TTTATCTAAGCCTATTATAAAGAATCTATAAACTAATACTATTAATCTACTTAGAACTATTAAGTTAGATAACTAATCTAGCTTAATACCTAAAATATTAAGACTCTTTACCTATAGAAGAAATTTAACTAAAAGAACCTTAATCTATTTAAGATTCTTAAGACTATAGGCTTATATATCTACTATCTAGAACTTCCACTTAGAATAAAGATCTACCCTATTTTTAATATAAACTTACTCTACCCTATCTTAAATAATCCTCTCTTAATATAAAGATAGCTCTTTCTACCCCTAATTAAAGTTAAAGGTCTTAAGGAATAGATTATTAAAGATATCCTAGACTTTAGATAGGAACAATAAGGTTATATGAAACTCTACTTAAAGTATATTGTAAAATAGTTAGGTTATAATAACCCTATAGAAGAGCCTACTAAATACTTAGAGAATATTAGAGAGATTGTAAATAATTTCTACTGAAGATACTTATTAAAGCCTAGTTTAACCTAAGTACTACCCTAGTCTTATAAAGCTTAGCTCTAAGGAGAGGGGTAATATCATGGTATAGATCCTTATATAAGAGGATCCCTATTCCTATTATTATATAACCCCTAAGACTATTAGAACTTCCTATTCCTATTTGATATAGCTCTTTAAGCTATATCTTAGTTAACCTTCTATCCTGTAGCCTATCTATAATACAACTACTTCTGATCCTCTACTTACCGTATAAGCTAGCTTGTTAGCTCCTGATATATAACTGCCTGCCACACCCTAACAAAGTATTAGTTTTAAGTTATATAGATCTCTCTAGATTAAAGTATTATAAGAGAGGTATAGTTGAAAAGATATTAATAAGATCCTAAAATGTTTTTGATTTATAGTTATTTAGCTTAATATTCCCTAGTTTTTTCTTATTTTTACTTCCTTTAAGAAGCTTTATAAGTAGTAGTATAATTAAAGAGTAATTTTTAATAAACCTTTAATAGAAGTTATAGAATCCTAGGAAGACTTGAATCTTCTTATAGGATATAGACTATTTCTATTCTTAGATAGTTTAAACTTGTTCTAGGTCTATAGAGATACTATTTTAACTAATAATAAAGCTAAGGAATTTAATTTATTTCTTATAGAATTAATATTTAGAGGCTTTTATAAATAGCTATATTTCTCTTGATCTTTTGAGTATAAGATAAAGGTATTCTATATATTCTTTGTAGGTCCTAGAGAAGATAAGAATATTATCTAAATATATAATATAAATAATATTAAGAAGGCTATAAAGTATAGTATAGATATAGCTTTGAAATGTTATAGGTATATTAGTAAGGCTAAATAGTATAACTATATATTTAAAATAGCTATATCTTATATAAAAAGCTATCTTCTATTCTTCTTTTTCTTGAATATGAATTTGATAGTATATATCTTATATATCGATTTTACTAAGGAATTAAGTTTTGGAAAGGCAGTTAAGAATCTCTAAAATAAGGGGTAGAAGATACTGATTTTTAACTGAAATCTTATTTAGACCTTAATAATTAATATAGAGCTATAGCCCTCTATCTTTTTTAGGTATAAATAGGATAGGTATACTAGCTAGGCTCTTTAATAGTATAATTTAACTATTTATTAAGTTTTTGTTAAGATATTTCTATAACTCTATAAGTTTTGTTTATAAGAGGGGGTAGATTAGATTATATAGAGGTAATATATCTTCTTTAAGTTTAATTAAGTAGTTAGTCTCTTTTTATAGTAGTATAATTTTAGAGTTCTATACTTTAAATATATCCTAGAATATTAGTAATTCGGGAGGGATTCAGTCTTAATTTATTATTAATTTATCTTCTTCTTCTTCTAGGGGAAGCTAGATTTCTTCTAGGGTTTTAATAACTATAAAGATATAGACTTAGTTCTTATATACTTTTATAAACTAGTAAGGCTTTAACTATTCTATTATTTTTCTATTATATTCGAACTACTATTATTTCTACTATAGGATTAATATGATTTATATTTCTTAGATAGTTATATTTAATAGTAATACTAATAATCCTAATAGATAGGGATCTCTATTAACTATAATATAGGGATATAAAAACTTTTACTTAGTTCCTTAAGAGTTATATATAGTAATTAGAATAATCTATATACTATAGATAGGGATATTTTATTAGTCTACTACTTTTAGAATAGGGATATTATACTTAGTTTAATTAAAGTAGTATTTCTAAATAAATTTATAATTAATAAGGTCTATCTCTATATAGATATTAATATCTATATATATCTTAATATTATTTTAGATATAAATTAGGATATAGAGATAGATAACTATTCTTACTTAAGACTAAGAGTTAGAATTTATAAGAGTTAATTTAACCCTAGTACTTTTTTTAAGTCTTTTAATTAAATATTATTATAGTAATACTAGGGTCTTAAATAAGCTTCTTAGATCTTTATCCTTAGGGCTTATAGTAGTAGATAATATTTATTTATCTAGTAATCTAGTTTACTATAATTAAAATAACTATTTAAAGAGATTCTAGTAAATAAGTTAGATAGATTAGATAAGTTAGTCCCTCTAATAGATATATTATTTAGATTATTCTTATTCTAAGAGAGAAATAATTAGGGTTTATCTTTAAATTAAAAGGGATTTAGATATAACTTAGAATTATTATAATTTAGGTTAGATCTAGGACTATAAGAATCTTTTAAGTATAGATTTCTAAGACCCTTTTAATCTTATTTTATACTTTTGGATTAGTTTAGGAATAAGTTATTAGATTATAGGTATTTTAAGCTTAAATTTAAATTATTAATAAATAGATTATGTTTATATATCTTTACTTTTATAAATTCCTAGGTATTCTATACTTCTTCTACCTATTATACTTAAGTCTTAGAAGAAATCTTTATATATTAATAAATATATAGTATTAACTATAGTTATAGTTTTAATATATAGTAGTATATTTACTTATCTTAGAAGACCTAAGGAAGATAATATTCTAGATCTATAAGATAGTAATAAAAGGTCTTTGGTTCTTTATTAGTTTATTAGTAATAATATTTTATCTTATTACTAACTTCTTTAGTAAAAGTATTTTTATTATATATTAAGATAAAAGTCTATTCCTTAAAGTATTCCTAGTTACTAAAATAATTATTATTATTATTTTTAAGATATCTTTCCTCTATAGTCTAGTTATTTTTATAGTTAGAGTTAAGATATTTAACTTTTATAAGAATCTTTATCTCTTTATTCTTATAGATCTTAGGATTACTTTAAAAGATATATTTAAGCTATAAGAGTTAATTTACTTATTCTTAAAGACTAAATAATTTCTTGAACTTATTAATCTTAAAATCCTCTATTTTCTTATATATTTTAATCTTAGTTCCTCTATAAGCTATAGATAAATTATCTAAGAAAGCCCTAATATTAATTCTAAAGACTTAAGTAGAGAGCTCTTTAAGGTAAGTATAAATTATAAGGAACTCTTCTAGGTATTCTAGTTTATATCTCTTCTCTTCTAGGGTATCTATAGTAATACTTCTAAGTCTACTAATACTTTTAGTTATAAGATTATTAATAATTTCTCTAATCTAGTTTAGATTAGATTTAGTTAGGTTTATATACTAATCTAGGATTAATTTAATCTTAGATTATCTAATAATAAGAGAGAGAGATATAGTAGACTTAGATTAAGTATTATTATAAGAGGATATAGGGTTTTAGTATATAGAGGATACTATTATTAATCCTTAGATAGTTAAAAAAGAAGAATTAGAATTATAATGGTTACTAAGTTATTAGGCTAGAGACCTATGACTAAATAAGGATATCAGATAGTAGAGATCAAATAAAATAGTTAATATATAGAACTAATTCTTACAGAACAAGAATCGTAGCTATTATTTATATATTTTAATATTATTAGAGCTTACTAGGACTTAGGGTAGTTATATATTAATAGGTATATTATAGTAGATTCACCCGCGGAGCAACTATAAATCGTACCTGAATTGTACCCGAAGGGATTCAGGAATCCTGTGATAAGGAGGTTAGGTTATTTTATTATAATATATATATTAGTTTTTAAGCTTCTAGAGGAAAGCTATAAACTAATAGTATTTATAGATTAAAAGCTTATTATAGAGAAATATTCTATAAAGTTCTTAGTTAATAGCTTATTCTAATAATATAAATAGGATTTTCTTAAATATCTTTTTTTTAAGTATAAGATATTAGAATTTAGTAAAGAACTAACTAAATTTTTTATTAATCTAGTAGAATTAGAAGAGTTTATCTTAAATATTATTTATATAATTAGAATTACTAAAAATATTTTTAAGAATACTTAGGATTTTTTTATAATTAGATAAAATATAACTTCTATTCTAGATATATAATAAGATCTAGATATATAGGATTTCTTTAAACTAACTTATTATATATAATATTTAGTTTATTAGGATTAGAAATTAATTAAGATTTATAATTAATTTTTTTTAAATCTAAAATATAAATTAATAAAGATCTTTATAATCTTTACTAAATATATAAAAATCTAAAAGATATTTAGAAAAAATAGAGAAATAAATAATATAAAAATTAAATAATAAAGATATTTTTAATACTAAAACTAATAGTTTTTTAGTAAATACTTTAAAAACTAAGCTTATATAAAAAATATTTATAGTAAAAATAATAATTATTAAGATTTAATTATACTTTTAGTAAATAGATTCTAGTTTATAGATATATTCTAGAAGATTTTCTTAAGTTTATATTAATTTTTTTTCTTAGTATTGTACGACACGGTGAGCGGGCCGCCGGAAACGGCGCCCATTGCACCGTCGCTCTGCCGCCCCCCACCGCCTGCTGCCTTCCGCCATGTCCCTGCCCCTTCGGGTATGGCGTCCCACCTCCGACCCGCTTCGGGCTTAGTGCCCACGCTGGCCGCTTTTACCGCCCCCCGTCATCTGCCATCCATCTATAAAGGACCGCTTGCCCTCCCCTCGACTCGTCGACGCACTTCGTCCTCTTCGACACCCTGCCTGGCTTCCGCATCCCTTTCTTCGCCGGCCCCGCCGCTTCCTGCGCATGGACCTTCAGCCTGATGCACTGCCCCTTTCATTACGTCGGCGACGCCGTGTTGTCCGGCCGCCCCAGGGGAAGAAACACCGACGTGATTCCTGATCCAGTCTTCTACCGCATTGGGTGTGCTTGACATCGCATGCTTGCCATCATGTGGCTGCGTGTCCCGCTCTTCTCCAAACGATTCACCATGGATCTGGCTACGAAGCTATCTCAGTTGCCTGTCGCCAGCAAGGCCTTCCCATGAAAACGTCTCTGTTCCTCTGCTTCCTTCGCTTGTCGCAAAATTTCCCGGGTTCCCCTCGTACCCTCCTCGGCGTTTCGTACTCCACCTCGTCCGCCCCTTTGAAACCCCATCAGACATCAGAGGTTACATTGCATAGCCCTTGGCGTCGCAAATTTCATCTCGGCCGCTTGCTCCCAACCGTCTCGACCCCGTAGTCGTCGTCATCGTCGGCCTCTCCGGTCCATCCTCGCCCAATCGATGAGACTTGACAGCTTGCAACCATAATACGAGCCAATAGCGAAAATGCCGCGCCATTAGTGAGGCAAATACCTGTTCAAGCTAGGGTAAGACCCCACAACCACGCAGTCTGGTGATTGGAGGACAGAGCGGGCGACGACCGTGGAAGAGATCATTGGTTGGGGGCTATTGGTGAGATTGATGGGATTTCTAGCCTCGCGGATGCGAGGATATCGTGGTCTCGCAAAGTGTGGACGGAGTGGCATGGGTTGCAGGAGCCGATCCGTATCATCTAAGCGGGGAAGAAAGCAGATCAGACCGCGCCTCGCGTTCTATAAAGAGGCTACAAGTCCACCAGAATGACACTGCAGCGCAGCAATCCCAAGTTCTCCCATCCTGCCCCTTCCCACTGCCCACTTCCTTCTGCCCCTGCCCAAAGTCCCTGTTTGGGTTTCTCTATCTACGAGTGGCCTCATTCATCATATGCCGTGAACTCGATCAGCTGCTTTTTTTTCTTTCTCGAACAATATGTCTGTCGATAGCTTTCGATTGGATTCTTTCCGCCCGTGGAACCCTTTTCAAGACAAAGTGCAGATTTTGCGAGATTCGCTCGATATCTGTCGATACCCAACTCCTGTTTCGATCACTGCCACCTCACCTCTCTCCGATTCCAGCAACTCGGCTCCAGAGAGTACACATGTTCACTTTTGTGAATCTGTGCGACACCCCCTTCCTCCCCGACCGCCGTCGGAGGTTTGCCTGAAAGACAGCCTACCACAGGTGATAAACACTCAGCACCAATCTGCTGTGGAGGATCAGATACCATGCGTTAACCCTGGAGTTGAGGCGTTCGACTTCGACGATATCTTGCAACTGCCTGATTTGCCAAGCTCTGGAGATCAGGACCATCCGATGATATGTCATGATCTAGGCTTGGAGTCTCAGGACTCACTCAGCTTTGAATCGGGCGATTCAGAGCTCGCTTGCATTACCAGTCAGCGCTCTAATGTTGGTAATGCTGGAAGTTTCGGTGTGGCCCGCGAGTGTTCCGACGCAACAATTGACCCGGCAATCCTGGACGACGATCAGATCCAAGATATTGAGCAGACCCCGGCAAGAAATGAGACCTCGGACGTTGTGTCTACTTATTCTCCGTCAGATAAAAGGGTTCGTGGTCCCAGCATGCGACCACATTCGCAAAGGACAACGAGCCCTAGGCGGCAGCGGTCCAAAGTCAGCAAAGTTGCCGTCGTCGTGAACAATCGCCACATGAATAAGACTGGCCGAAGTACTCGAGCAAACAGGCCCGTTGCAACCTCGTTTTCTGCTCTTCGTGATCAATTTTCTTCTCTACCGGTCGAAGAGCGACTCCAATTTTTATCCTGGCTGTTTGAGGGTGCTTTGTCGCAATGCCTCCATATGCCCACCCGTCCGAATTCTGCATCAGCATCGAAGGACGTCGAGAGAGAGGAAGGATTCGCGGTTTCATCAGCTGATCAATCAAGCGTAGGCGATGGAATTGTCCACGGAAAACCTCCCTGCCCTTCAAGGAAAGGATTGCGCTGGTCAGTAGAAGAAAAACGCCTTTTGATGCAGCTAAGAGAAGAAGAATCTCTTTCCTGGTCGGAAGTAATCAACAAATTTCTTCAAAGGTTCCCTGGGAGGAGTGAAGGTTCCATACAGGTGTACTGGAGCACGACTTTGAAGAACCAGCGACTATCCTAGCGGGGGTCAAGGGAAATGCCATCTTCATCAATTTTGCGTTGCCATGTACAGAGTATACTCTTTCAATTGAAAATATATTTTGTGAGACTACAACGCCGTTCTTTATATCGTCAGTTCATAGAGGCGGAGCGTCTACGTGATTTTCTTGAACTATCGAGGCATAAATCTAATCAGCTTTCGATGACGTGTTACTTAAATCACAGCACTGGTCATACATAGAATGGAATACAGTTCAAAATGCTCCCTTCATTTGAGATCAAATACGTTAAATATGTCTAAGCAGCTAGATGATTCTTGGGATCTAGAGAAACAGCATTCGTTCGACAATCTGAGAACCTTCAAACTAGACAGAAACATTTGAAATGCTACAAATGGAAGCCGAAATTATTGGGCTGAGCCCCTTTTAGCCCGCTTGGGGAAATTTCATCATCATAATCCTGATCCGCAATGAGCGTTTCAGCCACTTCGGCCATGAAGCGTAGCAAAGGGAACGTGGAAACGCTGGTGATAGAATGTACGGACGAATGAAAGGTGTTCTAGAAGACATCAATTAATATCAAGTATGGCATGGTGCCTCAGGGTCTTGGTAGATTGAGAGAAGATGTTTACCGACTCGTATGGCCGGCTGACCATGCTAGACAGGCGCTGAGTTCCGTGGAGCCAATCGCAATGAAACAAGGGATGCAAGTCATGGCGGGCTCGAAGCCTGTAGATGTGGCTCCACTGTCGGAAATCTGCGGTGGTGAATCTATGGCCTCAGGCCGAAAGATTTAGGTCAGTTGACTTGGGTCCAATGACTCATAGCGTTGGACGTACGGCTGGCTTGGTCGTACGTCCGCAGCCTTGTGTCTGCAGCGGCCTCGAGTCTGTCAACTGGCGTCTACTATGGCTTTGCAACCATAACAGACATGAACTCTTGGAGTGATATCTCTATGGGGCGTAAAGTAATTACTAGATATCTTCCAGACAGCTCATTGCATTTTCAAACTACAGATCATGTTTCCTAGGACTCCTGGCCCTCACGAAACAAATTTTTGATTTTAGGCGCAGAACCAATGAATATTGAGCTTTCTCGATAAGAGCTTCGCTAAGGACTGCGCTTTTGCGGCCAAAGCTTAGCTTCTCGTGTATTCGACAGACAGGTCTATTCGACTTTAGCATGATCTATGAAGCGACGGCTGAAAGAGTTGACTTACTTTCCCAAGCCCTTTGCGCCTAATTTTAGATTTTAGCATACGGGGACCGCCATCTATCCAGTAGATGGTTTAGAAGCACTTTGAGAGATAAAACCGGGGACCCTCCTGAGAAGCCCAGCATCAAGTGCAACAAACTTGCTCATGCCAACCAAGTGAGAGGGGAAACCGTGGACCCTCCTGAGAAGCCCGGCATCAAGTGCAACAAACCTGCTCATGCCAACCAAGTGAGAGGGGAAACCGTGGACCCTCCTGAGAAGCCCAGCATCAAGTGCAACAAACTTGCTCATGCCAACCAAGTGAGAGGGGAAACCGTGGACCCTCCTGAGAAGCCCAGCATCAAGCGCAACAAACTTGCTCATGCCAACCAAGTGAGAGGGGAAACCGTGGACTCTCCTGAGAAGCCCGGCATCAAGTGCAAAAAACCTGCTCATGCCAACCAAGTGAGAGGGGAAACCGTGGCCTGTCGCAGGAAATCGCTCGTCTGGAGAAATTAATTGTCTTAGGATATGGAAAACCGTGGCCTGTCGCAGGAAACCGCTCGTCTGGAGAAATTAATTGCCCTGAGATATGGAAAATCGCTCGTCTGGAGAAATCAGTTGTCTTAGGATATGGAAAACTATGGCCCATCGCAGGAAATCGCTCGTCTGGAGAAATTAATTGCCCTGAGATAGGGAAAACTGTGGCCTGTCGCAGAAAACCGCTCGTCTGGAGAAATTAGTTGCCCCAGGATACTGAAAATATTGGAAAACCGTGGACCATCACCTAGCTAGTTGGGCGCTTAGAAAATTGTGTGCTGCGTTCATCGGGAGTCCTGCCGTTGCTTGGGTTGGGAGTTAGTGTGCGTGCGAATAAGAGTTGGCCCGCATCATCGTCATTCGCGCGCGCGTAGAGAAGACCAATGATGGTCAGTGCATTTGCCCAAGTATGTGAGTCATCAAGAGGAACCATCTACATGAGCGTCCATCAATAGTCCCACTATAAGCTTTTTTGACCACCGCGATATTCGACAGGGTCAGAAGACAACAAGACAAATTTCACGTTGACCGGGGAATGCCTTCATTTTTTCCAGGTACAGTAGTATTCGAAATCAGATTTACCTCTACACTCTTCGACTTTCATTCCCGAACCCTAGCTTGAAACACGCTAACCCAGATATAGTAATTGTGATCCCTTGGTTCTTAAAATAGGAACTGTATTTTATATGACGCGCTGGGACCTGCCTTAGTGTATTTTACAAGAAACTCCTATACGTGAGATACCACCCTACCCCATACTCTCCTAGCAACGAGGATTTTTGGAACAAACTATGATATACAACACTAGGCGATATATACTATCAGTATTAAAGACAGAAACAGAGAAAAGCCCACAGAACTTAAAGAATCCTTCCAGCAAATTGATATTGCGTCTCTACTTAACAAGTGATGTTAGGAACTGTCAAGCCCACAAAAACAACTAGCACAGCCGAGTATGCAGCTGTGCTCGAAAGGACGTCCTTCAAGCCATCAAGAAACAAAGCCATCGTTAGGCCAAATATAGACACGAACACTGATGTGGAAATTAGAGCAGTGTAGAGCGTTCTGTGGAGGACCATAAGCCACATAGGTGCTATAAGAAATATACCGCCCACAGCAGCGACTCCCAATCGCTGTCGGAAACCTTGAATCCAGGCTTGACGCAAGTTTCCGTCTCTTGTACCGCCGATAGGCTTTGATTCTATGTCGAGTGCCTCCCAAGGAACGATGGACTTCTCCCAGCGCAGCGGGTCTGCCTCATTCTCCTTGTTTCTCATAGCTACTTGGAGCATCAAACGATCTATAGCTCGTTCCCCAGTTACAAGAAAGGGGTCTTGTGCCTGTAATATATATTTTGCCATGTAGTCGTAATCTTGCAAGGCCTGAACTAAGATAAAGCTGCGTTAGTGGAAAAGCATTACAATATAGCTAGTTCGAGCCAATATCAGACTCACCATATTCTCTCAAGTCGTCAGCCCAGCCTGAAGGTTCCATAGCATCATATCGTAGGTCTATTGCGTGGTGAACCAATTTATGTTGGAGCTGTCGTAACCGCAAGCGTTGTAGCTCAGAGAGATTGATTTTGTAACTCTCACTGTTTCCTTCTAGCTGGTAAATAATTGTGTTTATTCCACGTTGAGGCAGCGCATTGCTAAGTCCGAGCTGTTGTTCGTCTGTGACGAGTTTTTGACCATCACTGTTTGATTGCCATCCTGAATTATGATTTGAGCCTTTATTACTCTCGAAGGGTTGCGCACGTAGCATTTTAAACCAAGAATTAATCGGTCGACAGATCTTCGTGATGATATTGTGACGATGGTGGTCGATAATCCAGGAAGAATCCTGGAAGTCCAAAATGTCGTGCCCTGCATTTTCTCCGTGATTGCTTTCGGGATCAGGCGCCGACCGAGCCCGACGAAACATGATATACGATGTATCAGTGTGCCGTTTAGAGTATTGACAACATGTGATATGTTGGAAACACACCAGGGTAAACAAAACAGCAGGCAAGGACGTGCTTTCAAAGAGCGTGGCTCAAACTTGAAGTCACGATTAAGATTCGGGCGCGAGTGAGCGCCTAATTGTCTGCCTTGCGATCTGCCTTACCAGTACTCCTGACCCCACCCTTCGCCCATTGTTTTAATTAGAACCTTTGATTCTTCTGCCGTGATACCCCGCATTCTAGGCAGACTGGTTTCATCGCCCTTGTATGCAAACGACCGTCCTTTATATGGTCACGAAGGGTCCCCCAATCATCAGTTTCCGAGTCTAGATATTCCTATCTGGTACTATTCACCTCTGCCTACTTTGATCAACGGCAGTTTACCTGTGTCTAGCATGTACCTGGAGATCGCCCTTGAGTCGCCATATTTCCCAATCAACTCAATGACGTCTAAGATACTCATTGTGAATTCGACAGTCTGCGATGGCCGTATTCTTATTTCATTTTCATACCCACCATTGGCGCAATTCTATAAGGAATATTTGGAGACATCTGAAAACTCCTGCGACGACAAGCACCAATGGGGAGTGGCTATATCAGGACGACAGGTTTCCATGAATCTTCCTCCGGGCATAACCTTTGAGTTCCCAGGTGACTCCAAGGATGCGATTCTGGTTTTTGAAGACGAGACAATGGCGGTGAAATGGGAGGAGAAGATGATACTGTGGGAAAAATGTGAGAACCAGGAGGGTTCAAAGCGGAGCATTTCACGGTCATTGACAGTGGGTCAACTCATTGAAAAGCTAAGCCTGCCAGAACAAACATTTCGACTTCGTCAAGTTAATGGGGCTACAAGCCAATCTATTGGGCATATGTCTGATTCGCTCATAAGGCAGTTCAGAGGAACGGGCAATTAGATGGTTGATTTCGCAGAATTCAACCGGTATGTACTTCCTGTGCTCCGTTTACATTCAACACAGACCATAGAGAGATCTCATGAATGATGTCTGATGGCTGGCCTGCTGAAACTAGCGGAGATCTGATACTACGGAACAGCTGCGTGCTTTTGCGTATATCTGAGATAGATTGGTAGTATATTATTAGGACTCGATACATTTCTTTTGGGGGGGGGGGATCTTGCCAAATCGTTAGGATTCTCTACTTTATTTGGTCTTTTTGCATGAAAGATTCTATCAAATTCTAAGTCAAATTACGGTATTGTAACAACGGCCCATCCATTGTTACCAGGGAAAACAATACAGCCTGACCGGGATTACTGGGGAATGGCTAAAATTAGACTAGCGTGTTTCAGGCTAGGTTTCGGGAATGAAAGTCAAAGAGTGTAGAATAAATCTGATTTCGAATACTACTGTAAATTAGGCGGAACATATGTAGCAATCCCACATAGATCATCTTGCATACCATGTTGACCGATCTATGTGTTGGATAAACTTGAGTAAACCTACACATGTGGGAAATCCTCACATGTGTACTTACATGATCCGAAAATCACAGGTTTTTATTAATGTGTATTGCACTACAGGTACAGCTAAATACAGTGGCGTAACAAAAGTTCTCATAAAACTTATTTTGCCAAGACCCACCTTACGTAATATTCTGCCGGTCAAAACCTCGAAAATATCTCAAATTCTCTAATAGCTAGTATACCACCCTTTATTATCAATAATCTCCTTCACACGGTGTGGCATAGTAATAGCTAAATTCTCTAATATAGAGAGATCAATCTCTGACCAAGCCTCCTGAGCACAGGCAACTAAATATTCGAGAGTATTGTCGTTGTCTGGCATAGTATGAAGCTCCGCATGTAGCTCATAGATTTTGGCTTTTAATAACGCCCAAAGATTCTCAATAGGATTTAAATCAGGAGAATGAGGTGGCTAAACCATTACCTCGAAGTCTTGATCTCTTAGCCAGACTCTAACAACATATGCCGTATGAACAGGGGCATTGTCTTGCATAAAAACTGCATTTTCATTGCTATTGATTAAGGTTGGAAGAACTGATTGATATAGTTCAAGAATAACCCAGCGATTAATTCCTCCGACAATCTCACCCTCTTCATTGACTGGTGGATAGAGTGGAATTAAGCTAGTTCGACGTCCACAGCCTGAAAAAGCAGCCCAAAACATTTGTTTAACTCCTTTATACGAGAAAGTTTGAACATCGCGAGTTTCAGCCTGATATTTTGGTCTTGTAAAGGTCCATTCCTGACGAGCACCCTTTCCCCTTTCAACTGTTGATTCATCAGACCAGTAGAGTCTTAATTTCCATTCTTCAGGGGTTAAATTTTGCCAGGTTAAGGCCCACTGAAGTCGTTTTGAAGCCCATTCATCAGTTAACTCGGGACGGTGCATACATCGCCATTTTCGCATATTTGCTTCTTTGAGAAGGCGCCAGATTGATTGCCGATGGACCTGACGATCACAAGCATCCATTAGATCTTCAATTTTGGTACGTGGATTGCCATGGATTGCCTCAAACATACGATCACGATCATCTTCAGAGATCTTGCGCGGGCGCCCAGATCGCGGCGATGTAGTATTATTTTCTCGCTTATTTTCGAGATAACAAGTCGATGCAATTGTTCCGAAAGGAATATGAGGCAGACGGGCGTGAATTTCTTTATATTTGAGACCCTCTGAGCGTAGAGTAGTAATTTTAGTACGTGTATACACGTCTAATTGCGGACCGCGACGCCTCGGTGGATTTAAGGGTGCGCGGTATGGCGTAGAAGATGGCTGTCGAGGCAGCTGACGCACACGGTTTGGAGGCATATTAAGGATGCTTATAATGTGTTTTTTAACGTGCTTTTCGACGTGATTTTAACGTGTTTTTTTAATATAGTATAGTATATTGTTTCTACGCGTTATTTACCTTGAAGGCGGTAAGCCCTGACCGCCCGATTACTAAGGCTTGGCGAAAATAAGTTTTATGAGAACTTTTGTTACGACACTGTAAGTGAAGTTAGACAAATTTCACGTCGATCGGGGAATGTCTTCATTTTTTCCAGGTAAATGAGGCGGAACATATGTGGCAATTCCACATAGATCATATTGCATACCATGTTGACCTATCTATGTGTTGAATGAACTTGAGTAAATCTACATATGTGGGAAATCTTCATATTTGTTTTTGCATGATTCAAAATTCACAGGTATCTCTTAATAAGTATTGTACTACAGATGCAGCTAAACAAGTGAAAACCCTATCTATGTGAGCGAATATGATCCCATCAATTCAAGTCCAGCTTTTCATATCTTGCGACTCAAGTAAGATTAAAGTGGAAAGCAGAAAAACAATTGAATTAATTTAAGCTTCTTTGCTTTATGCTCTTTTGAGTGCAGAAAAAGTTGGTCATCGTTCCTTGTGAAAGCTATACTGATGCCCTTTTAATTTCGAGGGTGTGGTATTTGTGCCTTAACCGCCAGATCTTCACCAGCCTCCACTGACCCCCACCTGCCCTCAAAATATTGAGCGGAAAGCAGCGGCTGCCTTAGGAACTGTATTGCTATTGCGGCCTTCTAAAACGCTGCTAGCCCACCCCTTACCCGACCTCCAAAAACCGCTCAAAGTGGTTCATCAGAGAGTTGCGTCTAAAGGCTCTTTTAATTCCTTTCAACTGGCCTTGGATATCAAGAGCCCTGAAAGAGTCAGAAAACTTGTAATCTCCAATTTCCACCTGGACTTACTAATTGAGAGCTCAGGAACGACCAGAACCCGGAGGCGTCTGCGGAATATATGAGCACATTTTGCTATACTCCCGCGCCTTTTTCTCCAGGCATGACTTGCGCCGGTCTCTTTTCTGCCGGAGTAGTTTCTTCTCCACGCTGGAGGGGTTTGATCGTTTTGAAATTCTCGCCATTATCTTGACTAGGCGGATATTCCTGGCTGAATGAAGTGAATGGAAAGAAGCTCGGTTTGATCGTAAAATGGCCAACATTTGCGTTTAAAATGTACAAAGGAGGAAATGGTCCTTTTGAACGTCGAAAGACCACGGTTTTCCGCAACAGACCACGATTCTCCCCAAAGACCACAATTTTGGGTCTCGCAAATGGTTTAAGGCAGCCGTTCCCTCTACCCCTTGTGGGGTAAGTGATAAGTAGAATTCTTCGATGACCCATGAGCCGGAAGGTGAGCCGAAGGTGAGAATGGATGCGTATTTCGCGAGGGTGGCACCGAGATTGATGTGATTCTCATTACGAACTGATCTTTGAGAAAATGAATTCGTCTCTCTAGGGGATCGACGACGGAGCCGTTTCACGAACGAACTGCTGCCCAGTACTGTTTCAAATTGGTGATGGTTCATCACTATTGAAACCGTGAAGGTCTAAGAGGCTATGACTGCACAAGCTGGATCCACATTGGGGACCGGGCCCAGTCTAACTAGACTCAACGGTATCGGAGTTCAACCCATTTTGAGCTCACATGACTTTGCCATATTGCGGGGGAAGGGGAATACAATAGATGTACATATGGCGCCCCACCGAAGTAAAACAACTCCAGATCTACCATTTCAGTACGTCATGGCCTTCCGCTAATCTCAGGAGTCTTGCTGGAGTTCCGGCTCCAGCAGGACCTAGGAATCGTGCTGGACTTAACATTTGCTAGAGCTAATCGAAACCAGTGTATGCAAGGGGAAGTTAGATAAGAGGGAGGGCACGCCCGGCGTTCTGCTCGTCCAGGAGGCTTAGCTGTTGCATTTCAGAAGAACGAAACTCACACAGTGTCTTCACATAATTAGGTCGAAATGGATTTTGCAACAATGGAAAGTGAAACTCAGCGGCAGTGCACGCCTGCCTCCATGGTTGCGATTGCGTGCTGGACGTGTCAGTGTGAGTTTATTCCGAAGCCAACCGGACTTGGCGCGTTATCTAAGCTATGCCTAAAAATTAACCCCAGATCTTGGGCGAGGCGCCCATGTATATCAAGTTTTTTTTTATTAAAAAAAAAATTCTATTTTTGAGCATCTCTTTCAAGATTTCTATTTTTACCTCAATGACTTGAACAATACCTTGGTCTTTCGCATATATCCGAACTGACACCGAAGTCATATTAAACTGTTATAATTTTGAATGGCTTCGGTGTTAGATCGGATATAAAGAATTTGCATGTGTTCGCCGGATATAAGAAAAACATAGAATGAAGCAGTTGTTGATTTGCTAGGCAATAGAACCTATTGGATACAACAACATGGCCGCGAAATAAAATCACTCCCACCGTAGCCACAAGCCCTGGCAACAAATTCAAACTCATGATCGTTTCTGCAAATTGGAAGATCTGACCATTCCTTCCCCAATATGCGTTGAAACTCTCCATTGCCTGCTTTCTCATCCTCGTCCTTAGCGGCGTCGAACATGCGCCGAAGCGCTGCCCGACAGCCCATCTGCGTCCCAGCGCGTCGCAGGAAGTTTTTGGTGTCTGGTGGCCACTCCCTTCGATCATTACACCACCGCTCAAGATTTTGTGCGGTAGGAACTTGTTTTGCCCCAAGACACTCGGCGGCAATTTGGAACATATTCACAAAGCCTTTTCGAATTGATTTGTTGGTTTTGAGGTTGTGTCGCACATCGGGATCGAGGTGCTCGAGTTTCCAGTCGTTAAATTTTACCCAAAGGCCGCCATCGTCAATGTCATTCTGCATGAGATCATACGTAGTCTCAGCCTGAAAGAGCAGAGCGCTCATCATTCGGGCGGATAAAAATCCCCCCACACATTCTCCACATGTACAGCCGTATTGGAGGCATGCTTCATTTAGCCCCAAACCATCCTGTCCCAAAAGCAACGAGAGGCAGCGCACTGCAGTCTGGGGGTTTCCTTTAAAGTGATCTGATACGTTCAAGATCCGGAAAAGGCCGTATTCCTCTCGTGTTCGCGTTTCCTCTAATTTCTCCTGCAATGCTTCGAGCGGGGTGTAGCCGTCAATATCGCGAGCCACCTTCCAGGAATCAGAGTAGTGAATATTTTCGAGTAGCCACTGTGTACTCAGGGGTTTGAGAGCGCAAGCTGTTAGATGCAGAAGTGTAGATTCAGAGTAAGTCACTTGATCCCAACCGATTCTATCGTCAGCATGAGTGACGAAAAAGTCTTGCAGTTCTTCGTCCGTCAGAGTGAGAGCTGCATGATGTAGTGGCAAAGCGTCACGAAGTCTCTCCATTTTCAGCTCCTCTACCTTAGTAGAATGATCTTCTTCGTAGATAAGTCTAAGCTCTTCGTTCTCAAGATCTTCAGCATGGCTTCTGCGCGGGTCAAAATCAGAATCTGCCGCAAGAGCGCGAGACAGATGCTGCAGATCGAACGAAAATGCGAAAAAGTGAGACGCTCCGATTCTGCGAAAACCACACGATCGCCAAAATTCGATAGCAGCGAGTTGATATTGAGTCTGTGTCATCAAACGTTCTTCTGCGGATTTGCCCACCAACTGCGATTTAATATCAGCCGTTAGATATCCAGGACTGGCTAAAACATGTAGAGTCCATGCTCGCTCAAAGATCTCATTGGACCCGTAGAAAATATCTACGTTTTTGCCGTCTGGCTTATCGTCCAGGCAGTACTGCTTGGCTTTTCTCAAAAGCAAAGACACAATTTCCCGTCCCAGTCCTTTACGACGTAGATCCAAGGCTGTAACATGAATTTTCTCAATCAGGAAAAGAGGACCATGATCAAGTTCGCTTCCCCATACACCAGTTCCTCTTTGCACAGGATGGTCCTTATACTTGGTCTTGACTGTTCCATATCGATCAAAAACATGGAAAGCCACATTGCAAGTTTCCTCCTCGGGCAATTCCATCTCTTCCCAGAATTCAGATCGTATGCTTTCTCGATGGATATACCGGGCTAGAGCAGTCGCGACAGGGACACCATCGTAACTGCATTCGACGACAAAGTTTTTCATCCATTTGAACTCGCCAAGTTGCCCATCGGCCAAAAAAAGTCGAATCTTCACGGTTCGTGGGGCGTCACCGGAAATTTTGTACTCGTGCTCTTCCATGTCCTGCTCGCAATCCAAATCTTCGCTTTCATCTTCTCTCAGGCATTCTTCTTCCTCGGTGTCATCGAATTCGTTGTTTTCAGAGTCATCTTCCGTCAGCTCATCGTCTTCGAAGTCTATTCCTGATCGTCAAAGAAACTTCAGTATAGCTCACATCTCCTATATCTAAGTAGTAGGGAAGTAGAGCGCACTGCTTCGCTTGTGGGATACTCGCTTCGCCTCCATTTCATCCCCATCATATTCCATTCTTATTATTATGACCCTTGCTGCCTGGCTTAACTTGGGCGAGAGATTAACAAGGTAGGAGAAGAAGGTAGGCGGCCAGAGAAACAGAAGTGAAATTAGTCAATAAGTGGGGGAATGTTGCATTTTAATAGGAGGCAGGCGTGTGATGCAGGTGCCTAGGATGGATCACTAACAATATCGCGGATTCCCATAGTTATTAGCTTCTCCTCTCTCATAAAAAGTACTTCTTCGTTGGCAGGAATGGCAGAATAGTGGCGGTGCTAGATAGGGGCGGCGTTAGATGAGGTGGGCGCCGATTTTGACCTAGCCAGAGGCCCGTGAGTTTCCTAACACTCCCTGGATCCCCAGGGTCTAACAATCCACAGGCATAGATACCATTTTTATCACCTTGTTCTCCTATTATTATGCAATGCATGCTAATCATATTTTGTAACCATGGCAGTGAAACACAGTAGCAGTGCACGCCTACGTCATGGTTGCTAGGGAGCCAAGGGAATCCTCCCCTGGGTGCTTACATCCTCCAGGCAGAACATCCCCTAGGGGAATTAAGCCCTTGGGGTAATGTTCCCCTAGGGGATGTTCTGCCTTGGGTGCTCAAGCCCTCCGGAGTTGAATTCCATGGGAACAGGTGTCGATCCCCGGCCTAGCCCGAACTCGGAATGGGCCGGAGGTGGTCGTGACAAACAGGTTGAAATAATTTCGAGTCAAAGACCCGGGGGGTGCAGAGGTATTACGAAATGCACGGGCCCACTCGCTTGGTGGGGAATGGCTTGTTTAGTAGCCAATCATTTATATTGCAATATCAATTTGACTGAGTCCATTCAATTGCACTGTTTACCGTTGATCATCACTTGAATCCATCAAAAAAAATCCAGAGCGTTCAACTATGCATAAGCACAACCGTTGATCGATCGAGCAAGCCAGAAGTGTCAACAATCGACCGTTTAAATCAATCAAATTCTGGTTTACGGTCAAAAATATACCCCCTACCCAAAAACACAGGCAGAGGGAGGTACGTGTAGTTTGGAGTAGTGATTTACATTCTAGGAGGAGTACGAAGAAAAGAGTGTTTCTCGCAGTTCCTCCAAAAGAGTATCTCCGCAATATTTGAATTCCAACAGGTTGTTAAACCATGTAGATCCTATGTGCTAATTAGGGACTCATGTGCGCTTTGAACTATGGACTATGGACGTTGATTCAACACTGCTGGTGAGTGATCGTTCTTCGTTCTTTTACGGTGAAGTTCCGTTATTGTTGAGTAACCGCAAGGTGAGTGGGCCGTAGCTGGTCCAGCCCGTGAATTGAGCCGCAAAAAGGTGGAAGCAAGGACGGTGGAAGTTATCTGAGAGAATGTACTGCCTCTCCTACCGAAGCGCACGGGTGACTACACTACTCGATTGCTTCAACTGCCCCTCTTGCTCATTAAAATTGAAGCTACTTCATTGATTCCCTTTTTTTGTGAGGGCCGAAAATTCCACTTCTGCTGCTTTTATTCGTTAGGGTCTCGTTTAACGTAATTCGGTCATGAATAATACAGTTAATCATCAATCAACGATGGTGTTCCTCACTTTTTTTTGGACTTTCGAATTAATTTATCAAACAAAATCTCTCGTGAATTATTTGTTAAACGCGATAAGACGGCAGCGGATGTTGATAGCACATGAAAATTTACATCGTGTGTTCATCCCTAGTACTGTTGAACGTTCATTAACAGCACTCCTGGAAATGTTAATCTGATCGCCGAAGATCACCATTAGGAGATTTGCCACTGGCCCGCGACACAACAGCAAAATCGTTGAAGCCCAAAATTTATCTGCAAATAGAAGTACAAATTTTGGAACGTAAATGCAATTATAGATATCTCAATGAGTTTGTTGTGTTGTAAAGGTGTGTCGAAGTTGACAAAATCTTGCGGACTTGGACTCGCTGGACAAAGATCAGGTGGCGCGCTGGAGGACTTGAGCCAATTATAATTTTCTAGACATGAGGTTTAGCTCATTATAAATTCCCTAGACAGGAAGATACAGCCAATAAGAAGCGCTTATAGCTAGAACACCAGTCCCATCTTTATTGATAGATCAATTTCCCAATTGGAGTATAGTCCTTGTAAACCCCCGAAGACTATGGCACTCTTATCGACTCTTCATTATAGTAAGCGAGGTACTGGGACGCGTAACTAAACTTGCATCGATACAGGCTTAATAGACAGATCAAAACTATATTATCTCCGAAATGCATTTTCAGGGTAATCTCAGAGCCTACTATACTGCGTAGTGGATACAAATGAAAACTTCGAACGGGTAGGTTTCGCCGGAATACACGATTTTTAAGTTCTACATGGGCTAAGCCGGATTGGGATTGGACATGGTCGTGACAAGCAGGTTGAAATAATTTCGAGTCAAAGACCGGGGGGTGCAGAGGTATTAGGAAATGCACGGACCCGTGCGTTTGGTGGAGAATGGCTCGTTGAGTAGCCAATCATTTAATACTGCAATTTCAATTTGAACGGGTCCCTTCAATTGCACTGTTTCCCGTTGATCATCCATCAAAAAAAATTCCAGAGCGTTTAAATTTTGCATAAACACAACCGTTGATCAATCCAACAAGCCAGAAGTGTCAACAACAGACCGTTTAAGTCAATCAAACTCTAGACTACGGTCGCAAATAGAGAACAACGTCTTCGATTATATTATTTCCCACAAAAACACAAAATGGAGGTAGGTACGTATAGTTCTGAGCAGTAATTTACATCGCGGTAGGGGTTCCAAGGTCAAATCAATTAAAATCGATAGTACGCAGAAAAAAGGATATTGTAGTTACTCCAAAAGAGTCTATTTCCCCGGCATTCGCTAACTAAGAAGCTGCGTGCGCTTTAAACAAGGACTACGTACGTTGACTCAACAGCGCTGGTGATCTATTGTCCTTCGCTCGTTTTACGCCTCAAACACGTCTTTCATACGGTGAAGTTCCGTTATTGCTGAATTGAAAAGACATATGCACCTATTTTGCTCAAAATTGAATTCATAGACTAATAAACGTTGAAATTGACCGACCCTCGTTGACGACGGCGGTTTTTTCTAACCCATCAAAAATGAAATGGAAGCATTTAGACATAACGGGTTACTTGGGCCCCTCATCAAGTTACTTGAACGTTTTAATTGATCATGAAAGTAGACTTTCTCAACTATTCCGGTATAAGGACTTTTCACTGTATGTTCACTTGGTGAAGATATGCTATGTGGTGTCCATTTAAAAAGTCAAGATCGTTTGGGTGTTTCGGAATCTCATATCCAAATTTGAACCTTCAAATAAAGTATATAAAACTATCACTTTAAGCCCCTACCTCAAAATATCTCCTCAAAGACGCTCGCTGGCAATGGCTACAGTAAAAGCAATGTCCAATCACTCCTCGACCAGAAAACTGACGCGCCAAAAACAATGTCGCCGCAGAACAAATATGATGAAAAAGGCATATGAGTACAGCAAGTTGTGCAACGCAGATGTATGCATGGGGATTCGCATGCGAGAGACGGGCCAGATACACATCCTGTCCGCAGATCCTTCGGGCTTTTGGGCTTTTCTTACTACACAACTGGTAGGTTTTATGACGTCATTTGAAGAAACAATTGTTAATAACCCGATTAGAAGTCTTATTATCCGACCCCAATTCTGGTAACCGATCGCGACTTGAAGAAGGGTGGGGAAGATACCACAGTCAATATGGTGCAATAGAGGTTACAAATGCTAGATGCCAAGCTGTGCGTAAGGACTACTACTGTACAGTATATGTGAAGGAAATTGATCTCCAAATGATCACGCCGCATATACATCATCCACTAGTGATTCAGTTTCTCGTGGTGTGGGACTATGTACATTAGATGGTGTACAGTATGAGTTGGGCTAGTGACAACTTTAAGATTAAAGCAAGCGAGGGTCTTGACGATCAATGTGGTCGATGTTTATTTGGGGGTTTCTAATTCTTCGAATTATATTCTGGTATATATATAGTATATATAGTGAAGAGATGCGGTGTTACTCCAAAGTGGAGAAAAGAGTCGTAGTTATCATTAGTAAGCTCGGGCCGAGCCATATCCTTAATTGCTGAAGTCCAAAAATAGCTTCGCACTTGATAACATTGAACCACAAACTGGTTGACTTTCAGAATATACTTCAGGGCATGAGGTCGAATTAAGAGACATTCTGTAGAAAAATCCCGCATCTTTTGCATCTGTCTCATGACATTCTTTGTCTTATATCAGTCTTTGTCTCATATCAAGATTTATCTTATATCAAGGTTTGTCTTATATCAAGTTTTATCTCAAGACACTTCCTGTCTCAAGAGAAAAGCAGAATGAATTCTTGTTAAGGAAAACACTGTCCTCTAGCTCGTCCGGTTGTTATGCGCCGTGGAAAAGCCGCAGATGGCGGTGACGTAGATCATTACAGACACTATGGAGTCCATATAGCTCTCCATATACTTTTACCTCAACTACACAGATAGTCTTGAAGAATTTGAAGCAGAGATCCTTCTCACAGTCCAGTATCTTATGCCAGATATTGAGTAACCGCAAGGCGGGTGTGGCCGTAGCTGGACCGGCCCGTGACTTCAGCCGAAGATGGGAAGAAGGACGGTTGAAAGTTAATCCGAAATGGTTGTTCTGCTGGTAATCTCAGAAAATGTACCGCCTCTCCGTACGTCCTGTAGCGCGAGGCCACACAACTCGATTGATTCGACCGCCCCTCTTGCTCAATAAATTCCAGTAACCTCATTGGTTCCCTCTTTTTTGTGAGGATTGAAATATTTCACTCCGTTGTTCTTACTTATTAGCCCCTCAGTTGACGTAAATCGGTAAACCGTTGATCATCCATTAACGATAGTGTTCCCCGTTTTTTTTTCTGTTTTGTTTCCCGTTTTTATTGCTATCCCCTTTTTGATTCGTTGATCAAACAGAATCCCTCATTTATTATGTGTTGAACGTGGTAAGACGGCTGCAGATGTTGATAACACGAGGAATTTTCAATCGAGCGTTCACCACAAGTGCTGTTGAGCGTTGATTAAACGGCCTTGATATAGGTGTATGTATAAAGAATGTATTCTCCAGATCACGTGCATTTGCTAATAGTTCGCGAGCCCCCAGATTGACACTTAAAATTTTTTTATAATTTTCGACCTTAGTGCCTGATTTCTTAGACTTCAATAAAAGTTTTGACTCGATGATCCATCTGATCGCCGAAATATGACTCAAGCGGGAAAGATCATCGCAGAATCGAAGGCCACTGCGGGATCCACTCACTCAGCACCGCTTAAGCCAATGAAAATGAAGATCCCGTCCGCAATCCCTGTAAGATCTAGGCCTAGGCCTAGAATGCTTGGACCAGGAGAAAGGGAGCACTAAAAGCGAGCTCATATGACGTATAGCCTTCTATGCCGTTCGGGCTCTTCAGCAAGCCGTGCTGTGACTAATTTCCTCTCAAGAGGATTCGCCCAAGAGCCATATTGGCTTGAAAGGAGGGTCCTGTTTCGGAGCTTCCAAGCCATGTCTTTAAGGATGATCTACCCAAGAACAAGCTTCTATTAACTCCTTCTCACGATTTCACTCATAATACTCTCCGCATAGTCCCGGATTCCACACAAAAAACAGCTCTTATTTCTCTCAATCTCCCAAGATGTCTCGCACCGGGTGACATGGCTCATATCTCCCATGCCCTCCCATTTTCGGAAACACAGGCCTATTTTTGGTCTAAAACGACTGTTAACTCTTGCTAGACGACGAGGTAACTGTAGGGACAGGTAGCTACTGAGCAAAAGCCGAATATGAGGCTTTAGGAGCAGCACAGTTCCCAGGGCCTTGTAAACCGTCTATAGGATTGATGGAAGGGTCTATAGGAACAATAATGCCTGTTCCCAGGAGCTTTGTTGCTCCTGGAATCATATACACAGTTCCTGAAGACAGCTGTAGGTTCTCTGGGATCAAATAGAGTGAGGGTCTAACGTATCTTTAGATGAGGAGTGTGTAAAGCTATGGTCGATTCTAGATACAAGACTTAGCGCGAGGCAGTAAAAGATAGCTTCCCCGCGTTTAGGGAATCCAGAAGCGCCATGTTGGGCCTTCTCCTGCGCTTATCGTGTAATACCTTATGTCAATCCCTGACACTGTTGCAACCACCTCTAAGCTCATTGATCGAGGTTTTACTGTTCCTGGGAGCTTAATCTGCTCCTAGAGATCTTGTGAGGGTATCACGTATCTGTTGATGAGGAGCGTGTCTTTTCAATGAAGGATCATATTAACAAAAGTAATAGTCGACTCTAGATACAAGACGTAGCGCGAGGAAGCAAAAGAAAGTTTGCTCCCTCGCGTTCAGGGGAACCCAGATGCGCCATGTGGGTCCACGTTCTGGGCTTAGCGTGTATGCCTCATCTATATCCCTGACAGATCTGCTATAGATTCCCAGGACCGGCTGAAGCGAGTCCAGGAATGTAACAGTAGGTCCCAAGAGCCTTGTTGCTCCCAGATGTGCAGGTACAGTTCCCAGACGCAGACGTAGACCCCCTGAGATTGGTTGGAATTCCCACGGAGTTGGCTCCACCTAACGTAGCGAGCGATAATAATGATGGCTCAGTATTTTGAGGGTACCGCAAGCGATTGGTGGGGCAGAGTGGGGCTTGATGGAAATAGAACACGCATCAAATCAATCAAATACCCTCATAAATGAGAGGACATCATATTGCGTGTCTATTACTACCAATCCCACGAAATCTGCACCTGTGAAAATTAAGTCTATCATTAAAGCAGGTCCGCTCAAAAAAAAAATCGCCGCTTCGAAAAAAATAGGCCGTTTAAAATCGGCAGGCACATCGAAAGATGATACAGACAGCTTAAAACTGATCTTTGATATTGATGTGATTTAAGTGTAGGGAAAGAGGCACCTCACTAAAATAAATTACAATTTTAAGATGTATGCGAAACGGCTTGTCACAGTTACTCTTAAGACCCGTCGATCAGCCAGTTATTTTTAGTATGATGCGGGAGAAATATCCGCTCACGTAGATTGAAAGAAATTTATGAATGCAAGAATATGAGGCTTTCAACACAGCTGCTCTACCATTTTATTTCTACCGGCAGCTCTTTAGTTGATGGAAACATTACTGCTCAAAACTGATGACCTCTTTAGAAATGTCAAGCATTAAACAGGCCCTGCGCCTATAAATAACGTGTCCGCCTCCAGTCTTGATTGTACCATCCAGGAGAAAATTGTTGCAAAGCATACCAGCGACAATTCACTTATCTTGCTCAAAGGTTGTATTCGACCAGACGCCAGGTACGTCTCTCTACTTCCCATGGGTTCTGTTGACAAGTTGACGAAAGGGAATTTCATCTCCAAAGGTTGAGGTAAGAAGAAGTGATTCGTATGACATATGGAGGATGAACGGGGTAAGCCTATCCTAACTATACTCAAGACCTCTCGCTGACTTTATGGTTCGTGTACGTTCTTAGCAAGATCACAAAGGAAAGAAAATATGTACAGCGGGCGGCTGGATGATGGTAAAGATTGGTTCTGTAGATGATGCAATTAAAACTTGACGCGGTGAAGGAACCAAGGATTTTTTGGAGACCAAGAAATGTGCTAACAAGCCAGTCTAGTCACCAATTTGACTAGTCAGTAGCCAAGACGAACGGTCAAAGCGCTGGTGCCTGAGGCACCCAAAGCTCGAGTCACGGGATAACTGGTAAACATCAACGCGGGTCTCCCCCTCAGATTCTTCCCATGTCAAACAGCCGGGACCCCCTGCCATGTTGGCCTCTATTTCATATCATTAAACCATTTGCTGAAGATTGCTTTTGTCAAAGATGGAACAAACAATCGCCGAGTTAAGACGTCAGCTCGAGGAAGAGAAGACAGCGCGAGAAGAGGAGAGACAGGCTCGAAAAGAGGAGAGACGAGCGCGAGAACAGGCAGAAGAGCGCGAGAAGCAGGAAGCAGAAGGAAGGCGCCAGGCAGAAGAGGAAGGAACCCGAGAGAAGGAGAAGACTCGACCAACTGCTTTCATCGAACTCATGCGACTTTCTCACAATTTGCTCTCCCGACCGTTGAGGGTTGAGACACCATCTCGCTCGACTAGCGGTAAAGTCCCTCAGCCCACTGGAAAATACTGTCCGACACGTTTGGAATGTTGGACAGACTGCCCAGAGCAACAGTCGGAGTTCTACAGGTCCGTATGCAACTACCTACAAGTGGCACCCGGGGGGGCGCCGCGTTTGTTCTCATCTTTGCATGAGTTAGAAGGATTGGGCAGGCGACTTTGCCGCAAACCTATAAGCAGCGAGCAAGAACTGGAGGCTTATGAGCGGTTCGCTGTGGAGGAACACGTCTATGATATAATACAGGCGTTGTGCAACATTCCCGCTGCTCGCGAAGAGTTCGGCCTCGGCGATGGCATTCAGTTCAGCAATCATACGAACTCCTTGACCGCGAACACAGCTGTTGAGGCGGAAGCGAGCCAGCCTTCAAGCATACAACACCCAAGGCCTGATCAATTTTGTATTCATCGCGTCGATGGCGTCACAAAAAACCTTTTAACAAGTGTCGAGTACAAGCCCCCGCACAAGCTTCCCGTCGCAACCCTTCGAACCGGACTTCGACCAATGGACTTATGGAAGTATTTGGTCCGATCAAATAAGATACCCACGGACCAGGAAGCCAAGTTGAAATACAACGCAGCGAAACTTGCCTGCTCCGCTCTTGTTCAGGAGTATCATGTGATGATCCAGGAGGGGCTCGAGTATTCCTACGTGACCAACGGGATCGCCCGTGTCCTGCTCCGCGTCCCACGCGATGATCCTAGCACACTTTATTACTTCCTTTGTAATCCTAACAGTGAGATATATTCCGAAGACAGAGGTTCTTTCCAACAGCCCAGAAGTTCCATTGCACGGACTCTATGCCTGTGTTTGATGGCTTTCCGCTCACCTGTGCGCGGCCAGGAGTGGAGGAATTCTGTGCGACCTCATCTTCGTACATGGGAGACTAATTTTGACCACACTCGTTCTCAGTTTTCTAATACAGAATTACAGCAGATTGTCCTCCACTCGGACAGCACAACCATAGATTTCCCGAGTCCAGAATCTGGCTCATCTTACGCGCTGCCATCATCTCCACCGGATTCGCCCACAGGAGGCGGTCGTCGGGTGCCCACCAGGTCCCAAGCTACCTGTGCTCCTCCTGACGAGCAACGCCGCTCCCAGTCGCCGGAGATATCTGATTCCGATCCGAACGCAACGGGACGGAAACGTGGATTCAGCCAAGTCATGTCCTCGCCGTCTACCCGACAAGCTACCGGTCGTCACGAATCCAGAGACAACCAAGCCAGTCAGACACGGCGCCACAATGCGCAATTTTGCACACAGCGGTGCTTGCTTGGATTGCAGACAGGAGGTGCCTTGGATGACCGTTGTCCAAATGTGAGAGTTCATCGTCGGGGCCAAGATAGCTTCAGACATCTCATCACCTCAGAGGATCTGCTGCGCCTGCTTAAAACAGAATTGGACGAAAACATTGACCGCTGTATACCTTTTGGAAGATGCGGTTCATATGGTGCTCCCTTCAAATTGACCTGTGCTGCATATGGTTATACTGTCATCGGGAAAGGAACCACGTCTGGATTGTGGAAAGAAGTCTCCAGGGAAGCGCAGGTGTATCAAATTCTGCAGAAAGCTCAAGGGTCTGCTGTGCCTGTTTTCCTGGGTACGATTGACTTGGCAAAAATATATTTTCTTCATGGGGCTGGAGAGATTCGTCATATGCTCGTCATGGGCTGGGGTGGGGAAAGCACATCAACGATGGAGCTGTCGCCTTGGCTTCGCGAAGAGATGCGCAAGTCTTACAAGCAAATCAAACATTTGGGAATTGTCCATGAAGATCTTCGGCGTGACAATATTCTTTGGAATGAGGAATTAGGACGGGCCTTAATCATCGACTTCCATCGCACTACTTTGGGATATCGGCCAAATCGACATCGACTCCAAGCTGCAAAGCGACGTCAATGTGGAACAGAGACAGAACCTACGAAACGTTTTCGTGTTTCTTGAGACGGGAAGATTCGCGTCCCTGATTTTTTTTCTGTACTCGCCTTGGAATGCTGTTACTTTGCCTTCTTTGAGCGCGGATGTGTCTCCAAGCCAGTCGAGCCACAATTGTTGACGTGGAAAGACGTCAGATATCAAATATGTGATTATGCCTCTTAATGTTCAATCCGGAAATTTCCCATAATATTGTCGCATAGTTGCGATCATATGTGACATGCTCGATATTCTTCAAGCGGAATCAAAGTCAAGTCAACCTTGCGTTGAACAAACATACATTTCATCAACGGGGCGCTGTCTCCCAAACTCTGCTGCAAATTTATTGCTTGTTTTCGCAGCCAACTACAAGCATATTTAGGTGACTCGAGCTTCATTCGCCTTGGCGAGCGACTTTGCAACCGTTACGGTTTTCTTGGTCTGGGTGATGATGGTCAAATTGATATGAACCCAGTAGCATCAGCCTCGCCTCTCCATTAATGTGTTTGGACTCTAAGGGCCTCGGAAAGAAAGGCTGTCCAATGAACTCTGCGCATGTCTCGTCAAGTCTTCTTCAATGATCAACCGGACCATGCGCACCCGCTTGCCAGAATCTGCCCCGTCTGAATCCAAAAAATATGTTGTTACGTCATCTGTTTCGCATTCAATGGCACATTTGCCCTATGGAACCAGAATGGAAATCATTGTCATTAAGCAAAACCTTTCAATTTGAATTAAACTTAGTACTAGCAAAAAGGAGGGGAGGGAACACTGTGAAAGGCTTTCGTATACGGCCTGCGGTTCAAACTGTCGATGCTTTGTCACAGAAAGGAAGACCACCTGGTCAAATATACATTCCCTCGTTATGTCCAAATTCTTTCAAGAACTTTTCATTGACCTCCGCAGCTGTTTGCAAATGGTCATAGCTAACTTGCTGACCTGCGTCACTGGCCAATGCGTGTGCCGTAGATGTGAGGTTTTTGATCTAATAGTGTAAGTTGATATTAAAGCCAATCGTCAGGGATTACTAACATCGCGTCCATTAAGAGCCAAAGATTCCAAGCGCCGCAGTTCAGCATCGCTAACAATAGCAGGACCCTGATGAGTATTTGCTTTTGATAGGAAAAATGCCCAGATTTCTCGGCGGGCACTCTTCGGGAGTTCCCCATATTTGATCTTGAGATGGATTCTGCTTAGAACTGCTTCGTCAAATTCAGCCGCCCTGTTTGTGGTCAAGAAGAGAATGCCTTCATAATACTCCAAATTTCGCAAAATCACAGTGACCAGGCGATTGTGACCCCCATAGGAGGCAATGCGACGATCCATCCATGCGTCCGCTTCATCCAAAAGAAGCAGTGCATCGAAATGTTTTGCAATTTTGAAAATGCGTTTCAGTTGCACGTCAAGAGCGTTTGGGTTACCATGGTCTACATCAAGTTCACCGGCGGAGATCTAGTTTTTCAGTCAGTTTCGGTCTTTGTATGCTGGAAGATCAAAGGAGTTTACCGAATAAAGCGGTAAATTGAAGTATTCTGCAGCGGCTTCAACTGTCGAAGTCTTTCCAACCCCCGGCGGGCCACTATGAAGTCAGTAGTGTTATTTATGTTTTAGGCTCCTGGTCACTGACTGCAAAAGGATGTTTAGCCCACGGCCTTTTCCGGCGACGAAATCATCAAATGCAATCATTGGTGTGCGGCTTAAACGAGTTTTTGCCAGCGATAAGAGTAATCTCTTGGAAGTATGCGGGATGCTGAGGCAGTCAAAGGACTCCGGAAACCACCGCATGTCACTTAAGTCATCAACTGCAAATTCCACTAATCACAAGTCAATCAATGTCTTTCCCAAAGTGCATTGTATGTCTCACTGAAAAGTTTCTCCTGGAAGCTAAACCCACACACAGTTGGCGAGCAGATCAAAAACTCTTCTTCACTCATCTGATTCAGATCTGTATTATTGCTTCTTAGTTTCTCCATATCTCTCATTCGATCTTCATCGGACAAACTGATAATCTGAAACCCGTTTGTTTTCGGAGCCAACCTATCGTGAACTCGTGGTCGTGAGTAATTCGGCTGCATGTTGTTAAAAAAAGCCGCATCCACCCCTACGCAGCTGGTGATATTCATTTTAATAGGCTCGCCATCCTTCATGATGAAAGCCGTTCCGTCACACTTTCGAATGTGCCTGCCAACCAAGCTTTGGAATCTGCGACCGGTCCCAACTATTTCTTCACGCACTCGTTCATGATCCGGGTGGTAGTGAATAGGGAAGGCATCCAGAGATTCAATCGGCTTGGAACCCCGATATTTCAAGATACCCAAGGCCATCCCGGCTTCACCAAACTTTTCGCCATCATGATCAAGGTAGCGTGTCTCAAGTTTGTAGTATGTCACGCCGTCTCGTGTGAATTCTTCCCCGGCATCGAACACGACACACCTCGGCTTTCCGGTGCCAAGGCACTTGGTGAAAACATAACAACCGGGCTTGAAAAGCGCCCACAAGAGGTCATAGGTGATATGGGCTTGTGCAAGCAGTGAAGACACTTTCTGTGTAACAGAAGCGTTTGACTCCGTTACCCATTGGACAAGTAGATTTAGATGTTTTGAACATTGAGCGCTGCTGTCTGGTTGAAATCTCAACTCTTCCATTGCTTGCCTCAATTCAGGAAGGAAATGGAAGAGGATGCTTTCTTCAATCTTTATATCATCAGCAGACATCCCGTTGACTTGGTTGAGGATCACCTACGGATGGCTTGTCTCCTATCATGTTGACCGCTCTTACGCCTTGCAGTACCTTTCGAAGGACATCGCATAACGCTACGGATTTCACATCAATGAATCGAGTCACCTGCTCGGACTTTCGATCTTTGGAAAAATTAGTCTTGGTCATAGATGTCACATCCAACGTACATACCTTGGCGCTCGCGGACAACAAAGATGTATTGTTCAAAGCGGTCAGCATCGCCTTTGATCATTTCGGAATCGACGATTTCATATTTGCACGACTTTTCGTTCCATCTGATTTGTTATTAGCCAAGCCGAAGTCACAACCGAATAGATACCCTACCTTTCCAAAATTCTCTTATACTCTAGCAATGACGCCCGGGTTTCTGTGATTGTCTGAGTGTTTTCGTCCTGGTCGTCAGATGCCCATTTCTCGAACGTTTTGAAATCATCCGGAGTGGTGCAAATTGGGGAACTGAGATCTGCTTCGTCTACCACCGAGGCGGTTGCCTCATTTTCATTACTTGCCAGAGGAGACTGGGCAGCCTCGGCCACCCCAAGCGATTTTCCATTTCGGAGAAAGGTCTTTAGCAGTTTCTGCAATTCAATCGCATCCGGTCCTGGTTGATGAATTTCCTGGGACAAGGGGGTGTTCGAAGGCGCCTTGAGGTCGGAGAGCACACTCTCGAGGAGGTGCCTCAAATCTTCCACAAAAAGATGGGCCACAAATGGGCTGTCTGGTGGAGTCAACGCTTGGGAACAAGGCAATATAGACTTTTTCGATGCCATATTATGGTCGGGAAAATAGGGTTCTGTGTTATTCTCAACATGTGCCATTTTGCTTGATATAGAGGATGGAATTTATGATAAATTGAATAAGAAAGTGAGAAGCAGCAAGTTCAAAAGCTGATATGAATGCAAACAAACAATTTCTAAACACGAAAGGTCGCTCCCTTTATATCTTCATGGCCTGTCCCTGACCCGGTCAAAATCCCGAACAAAAGTACCGCGCAGATTGGGTCTCGATTACGTCGCAGCTTCTTTGGGTCTGTTACGGATGCACATAATTTCCTGACCCGTCAGAGGTTCTAGATCGAACGAGCTGCTCGTGCATTCACAGAATGGCATTGGTCTACAGCCTTCTAAAAGACGTCGAATTGGTCGAGACTATCGTTCAGTGACTGGGGTCGCGGGCGGAGCCCCTTGTCAATGATCAGCATTGCTACAGGGTACAGGGACACAAGCCAGCACCCCTGTCAGAACTCGGTAGGATGATCCTGCGCACTGAGGGGGTTTTGCATTTGCCAGGGTTCTGGTTGAGAACCCTTGTAAAAACGGGCCCAAGCGAGGGGGTAAGATTGGACGTAAGATCGGATGAAGCCGGGCTTACACGGAACATAATCGGTCATTTGAAAATAGTTTATCCGAAAAGGGGAGGGGCAACTTAGACCAGCCGAGCAACTGCATCCTATGTTGGAATTCTGAACATAGATTTCCTTTATGGCACTAACAACATTCGACCTTGAGAATGCGAGCAACGCAATCCGAAACTCTGGCTTCTATTGCGAGAAAGACCCGGAGTTGAGGACACCTTTGTTGGACATGGGGCCGAAGAGCTGCTTGTCTGAAGAAGGCCTAGAGTTTTGTAAACTTCATGTTTTAAGAGATAATGTTTGTTACCTGTCGATTTTGAAGACGTTTGCTGATAAACTATAGCGCGTACGAACGATTCTTGAGTCCTTCCTTCCCTGGTGCAGTCTTGGTCGATACCGGAAATTCCACAGTGACGCGGGGCACATCTTTCAGTTCAGAGGCGGGGGCGAGAAGGCGGGTCGACATGTTCTGGTCGTTCAACTGTGGGGTGAGGGCTCCGAGGTTGTCTTCTTCAACCGCTCTCATACATACGAGTTACCAGGTGTTCATGCCTCTAATGGCTTGTGGGAGGTGCCATATGCTGCCTTGGAGTCAACGAAGTGCGCTGAAGGATCAGAAATCATCTTCCAGCAGGGTGGCATGTGAGTATAACACAATATCATATCTGTGCTGCATCCTCTAACTACTCAAATAGAACTATCCAGGACGCTCGCGTGGCATTCGAAATTAGGAAAGGCACTCCGATAGCGACAGTATTTGCGATGCGTGATGTTATCACAAAATGGGCTAAAGTTGTTCTTCCAAACACGCCCCAAATACTACATAAGGTCGCCGAGTTGCAAAACGAAAGCGAAAGTATTGGATTTCACTTTGAGTATGATGCAAGGAAATGATCCGTCTATATCAACTGTTTTAGTTATATGTAGCGGTTGCTAATTTCCTGTTATGCTCCGTCCTCCCAATCCCACTGATTCAAATTCCCACGCAAGTGAGGCGTCGATTCAAAAAACGGCCCGGTCATATCATCACACATCCTGATACCATCCAATTCTGGTGGTGCATTGTGTAACACTAGTGGGGGTTCCAAAAAGAATGGCGGGTCGAAGTTATTTGCTGCTTGTTGAGGGCAGCCATGGAACAAAAGAGGCGCAAAGACGTCCTCATCAACCATTGGGTGCATATCTAGGCATTCGGAAGGAAATGACGGGCCTTCTAGCTCAACTGTCGTTCCACGTCAAAAGACAGCTTAATTTGAACCCAGACAGTAGAGTTAAATCCATACCGTGCGTTGTTGTGCCAGACATCGTACCAAGCAAACGTTGCTCATCATGATGCCGTAATTTTACCTTTTTCGAAGAGGTCAGATCTTGGTCAAGGCTTGTCCCTTCAAAATTTCTTTTCATGGTCTCCGAATTAGGAGTAATGGTCGAATTGTTCAGCACTTCCATCATTTGGTCCATTTCCAAAATAGCTTTATTGTGTAAGTCGTCGCACAACCCTAGCATAAATGATCGTTTCCTATCCGACGAATAATTGTGAGTTTGAGCGTGCTTAATCAAAGCACTCACGTGTGTGAAACGCCGGAAACACTCCACGCATACTTCGTTGCAGTCAACATCTGGGGCCAAATACTCGGTCAGAGAATGATGCATATTGCATTGTTCAAGAATAGGTACAGCCTACGGAGTTCGAAGTGTCTCAAAAGCTCCTTCCTGGTCTTGAACTGCTTCCCACAGCCAGCGTCTGGACAGTTTCGTAAACCACGAGTTGCCGGTCTCCGATTTTCGTTAATTCGGCTGGTGCTATTGTTTTCGTCGATCTTTGAATTGTCATCGCTTTCATTATTGGAATCGTGCGTGTCCACAGCAAGTGTCGCATGTACTTGACAGCGCTCACAAAGCTTGTTCAGATCGTAAGCTTTGGCTGTATGTGTTCGACACTTTTCTATCTCCTTGGTTAGGGCTCGTTCTCCCACCTAAATAGTCAGCAAAAGAAAATAAGTAGTGCAATGGTTGTATGGAGCTAACTCTGTACACTTCGAGATGAGAGCACAGTGCGACGTGGTTTGGAAAAGTTTTTAAGCAGGTTTGACACTGCCGCTGCAAGCTGAAGTCGCCAGTCACCATTTCGTTCAAAAGAGAGGAGCGAAGCGAGAAGCGGGAGGCAGGCCCATAGCAACTTATAAGAGCGACTGTTCGGCCCCTCACCACGTCTACCAATCACAACAGTTTTGCACTGTCCACATGTTGGCGGTAAGAAGTGGCAAAATATTGGGTCTTCTGATTCAACAGAGTTGGGCAGATGAATAACTCTCGCAAGATCTCCCTTCTTATTCCTTCTGTCACCTACCCAACAGCAATAACCCGTCATGGATTCTAACTGCTCTGACTGTAATGGATCTGGAATAAAGGACGGTTTCATCTGCGGCAGTTGTGGAGGAAAAGGAAAGTGAAAGTGAAAGTGAAAGGTGAAAGGTGAGTCATACGACTTTCGTCTCTCTTTAGTCTTGCTGCTCTCATGTGTCCTGATGCATGATTTATAATTGAATGATTATAATCTAATTCAATTCAGCAGTAATACTGCATTTCAACCCACGCAAGCCTCGGAATATCGACAATGCATGGACACGCTCAATAACCTCTGGGCGGTGTGCTACTTGCTCCGCGAACGCAGTCACTGTCCGGAATGAAGGAATCCTTTGCTAAAGACTCCTTTACCTGGTTTCGTCTTGTTATTCTTTTTTTCTTTTTTCACTTAGAGAAATGCATGTCGCATAGTGAACTCATTGAGGATTCTCCTGAGGCTGTGGCCGGAAGGGATATGAGCTTCATCCGCAATATACAGATACAATGTGCCAGCGCTAATGCTCCTCAAAGAGGGACTAAAAAGATTCCCAAACTGTAGATTTATCCGCTCATGCAAGCTCTCCAGTGCGTGCAATTGATAATGTCCCCGGTCGCACAGTATTTACAGAATTTCTAGCATTCCGTAATAGGTCTGCGTGGGTGAAATTCAACCACGGATGGTATTTGAAAGTGACATGATGTAAATGGTAGGCGGCAATCAAGACATGGGACGTTATTGCCAAATCCGAAGCCAACATAACAAGTAGTCTGTCTTTGACGAGTCGGCCTCAGGCGATTAGCTTTCAATTTTCAGATTCAGATATCATCAATATGGCCTTACTGCCTTCATTTTGTGGATGTTGGACGGACAACAACGGCCCTGGGCCTGCTCCAGGAGCATAATGCCTGTTCCCAGGAGCTTTGTTGCTGCTGGAATCATGTGCATATGCATATAAGCCTAAGAAAAACAACCATTTCCATATGCCTATTTCGAACTCAACAAACCAACATGATTGTGCTACCTTCTCAGGAACATGCCCCACAAATAAGGTAAGTTACAAGGGGCTGTAGGATAACTAGAGGAGCTGTGCAATACGAAAGGACATTCAAATGGAGACAAGGTGGTTGACGGTCGGCTGTACTTAGAATAATATACGAGACATCAGAGTTTGCCACCATGCATAGCTAGTCACAAAGAGTACATGAACTCTCAATACTTAGCAAAGATGCAGGTTTATTCGACCGGTCATGTTAAAACAAGGCTCTCAGTAGTATTAGGGACAACAACAACAACAACAACAACAACAACATTCTGCATTCAATTCGGCCCATCTCGCATTCCTCATCAGCACCATCCCAGCTTGCTAGAACCACTCAAGGTCCACATATGCGGAATTGAGCTATTGCTCGGATCGAAATTCTCATTCTATGTTATATGAATCAGTATGTACTAATGCAACAAGTCCACGTAGACAACATACTATGCGTGGTACAATATCTCGACCCGCTCTCCGCCCAGTCGGTGCAGCCTTCTTTCACGCATCTGATCGCAGGGCTAGGCATGATTCTTGATTTCGCACGTATGAGAAAATTTCCAGCAGGTGTGAGAATCCAAAGGAGATCGTAATATTTTTGTCGATTCGACTGCGAAAAATCCTCTTTTAAGTTCTCCCCTCAATTCTCTGTATGTACAAACTCTTTGTGATGGGTCATTTTTTGAGCGTTGACCATGCATGACAGTCACACAAAATGAGGGGTACAACCTATCAATTCCTTCGACCAAGCGCCACCAAGTTTCATTCGGCAACCATCACAATTGGCTTTCATACGACGTAAGCCGAACTCAACCTAAAGTCGGTGAGTCAGAAACTAAGGAAGTGTCGTCATACGATAATTGGCGGTGCGCGTAGTGTGGGTTTCCTTGTGATACACCAGTAAAACCCACGTGATACATTCATGAAGGCCAGGCGCATAAATAGAAGCCCGGATCGCCCTACCAGCAAACCTGTTTTCATGTGACTCGGACAGGATTAGCAAACGATGTTGTGGCTGTGTGACTTTGAAGATTGTAACAAAGCCTCCGTTCGCACACATGGTGAATGTATTTTGTGCAATCGTCATCTATGTGTGAAACACATGGGACCAAGCTACCACACCTGTCCGCGATGGGAGGTAAGTGAAAAAGAGAAAAAAAAGAAGGGGCCGATGCTGATACCTTCGTGAAGGAAGAAGCCGAATACGACCCTGCGGCTAGGGAAGCCGAGCACGATGAGATTACCAACCTCATCAATAAAATCAATGTCTCTGCGCTCACCTCTCGAGCCTCAGCTCTTCGAGGAGGCCTCGCTTGTTCCATACCACAAAAACTTGAATATGACAGATCAACACGGAGCTCAGTTATGGGGGGGATGAATTATCATATTGAACTAGTATTTGACGATGGAATCAGTTGGTTAGCGCGAATTCGGAGATCCAATGTCACTTCTCCGCCAGCAGAATTGCGAGATTATATCCTGCGCAGCGAAGTCTCAACTCTGCGATTTTTGAGTGCGACTTCAATCCCAGTGCCAAAAGTGTTCGACTACAACTTCTGTGAAAAGAACCCTGTTGGCGTTGGATACGTTCTCATGGAAAAGTTACCTGGGAATTCTTTGCGATGGTCGCTTGCCACTCCTGAGCAAAGAAAGAAGGTGACTAGTCAGCTTGCAGATATATATATGGAATTGAAGGCTCATCCTTTCTCTATGACCGGCTCCATGTACGATCCTGGGATCCATGATATTGGACCATTCGCTCGAGAGTCTTTGACAGACTATTCTGGTCCCAAGATGAAAGCGCTCGGTCCTTATTTCTCTACAAAAGAATACTTCACTGCACATATTCAATTGATCTTGGATCTGATAGTCAGACAGGAGTTGTACGCTGATCGGGCGGTTGATGCATTTTTGATTCACCGTTTTCTCCTCCAAATAGCCCCGAAGGCCTGCTCTCTAAGTCATGCTGACGACGAGAAGTTTTACTTGAAACATGCGGACGAGAAGGGAGACCAAATACTAGTTGATAATAAATTCAACATTACAGGAATCATCGACTGGGAGTGGGCACACACCGATTCAAAGTCAGGGGCATTCAATTCGCCGATTGTTCTACTACCCGTTGCAGATTTTTATGCGGGCAAAAATTCTATTGGCGAGGACGAAGAGTTTTTCGCTGAATGCTTTGAAGCTAATGGGCATCCGGATCTTGCAATGATAGTTAGGGATGGTCGAATCATCCACAGGTTCCGATTTTGTTGTGGCTACGATCTTAGTGATTGGAAAGGATTTCTCGGACTATTTGGCGGACTCCTAGCCGCCATAGGGTGCACTGAAGATTTCGATTGGGAAACCTGGAGAGCAGAAGCTCTGGTACGCTATCAAGATGATCATCAACTCCATCAATTAATCGAAAAATACAATGAGAATTAGCTTGCCTCGCTAAGAGCCATCGTTTTGAATGGACTACAAATGGGGCACAAATAGGAAGGGGATTTCAATCCTGCCACATTATTTTCGCGTATCATCTATCTTCACGCGAATATCATTCTTTCATTTCATTGTAGAACGAGCGATGCCTTTGCTTTAGACTGAATGTGTTTCTTCCCGGGGCCTTTCAAGGCTTGAAAAGGCTGCCTCCACTTATCTCCACCTACCCTCAAAACGTGAGCGGCGTCATTGGTTCTAGCCCCATCTGAACCCAGGAAACCAACGGCTGCCTCCAGGAACTGTACCTATGATCCCAGTACCAACAAGGCTCCCAGGAACGAGGAACATTATTCCCAGATGCACTCCCGTCAATCCCAGAGATGGTTCAGAAGGCCCCAGGGCCTGTGCTGCTCTTCGAGGGCCGACAAAGGGACACTACGGAGTTGCCTCTTTTGGATTACCCGCACTGGAGGACATGCAGAATTGATTTTGATAAAATGAAACAGTAGATTTCAATGCCGACGAATTACCTAGCTCGTTATTACCTAGCTCGTTACTTCAGAATTCTCTAGCCGTGGAAAATCATCCCAAAATAGTATCGAGCCAGCAGAGCAGGGTCTAACGATGCGATCGAATAGAAGGAGCAACTTATTAGCCAATCATTTACCGCCGGGTCATCTTGCAACTTTAGAGGTGGAGGTTTCATGGATGCAGGGACTTGGGAATAAGTGGCTTGATGGTTTGATTGTGGCAGATATGACAAAACCGTACAAAGCTCGCACATTTACGTGACTTGCTTTCTACTTTACGATTGTAGACAGAATGAAAGTTATGAGCTTCTTTCAATGAAGGTAAAGAATCAAACCGAGCGACAATTTATTAGTACACAAAGTTACACTTCATGTTTGTATTGAAACAGATGGCTACGGAGGATGCTGTATACAGTGAAAGATCGACAAGCGCGAACCCCAAAAAAAAATACCGACAGCATAGCCTCTCATTCGCGTCTCCTCGGTTTTCCAGGCCGAGAACTGGCCTTGTGGCGTAATTTGGTCGAATAGTGGACTTAAAGGCATGACATATTTCGGTCTGGGAAGTGAGCCGTAATCTCAGACCATGACATTGCCTCTTCTTCCTTCAGCCGCACCAGCAGCGCATTCTCGTCCGAAGTGTACTGTCTTTGTTTCCTTGGGATAACCGCCGTGTGGGGTCGAGACAGCATCGGGCTAGGGTCGGGTACGAAAGTAAAGAAATATGCCGATTTCAAACCAGATTTAGTATCGATCGTGAGGATAGCACTCCCACGTACACCCTGGATGGCACCAGAGCAATGAGATGAAACGGGAACGGAAGAGTCCGAAGGATCGGAAAGTGGCCTGATTGGAGGTCTCCCTTTCTTCTTCTTTTGACACGGCTGTTCTGTGTCATAGAAGGTAGTCTTTCTATCTTGGTGGTTGCCAGTGTCTCGACCTGAGCGGAGTCGCTTCTTGCATACTGCCGCAGCGGCCCTTGTGCTGTCCTGGCGGCTCCTTGCTTCCAGGACGATGATGGTACAACCACAGCTATCGACGGGTAGCGTGGAGGGATATTGGAACTCAGTGTCGTTCGAACACGAGAAAAGTTTGGTCCAATCAATATTCATAGAATGAAAGTGTGGTCAGTTGTGTAGTTATGACCTAGCTTTAAAATATTTATATTCTGAATAAACTTAATAATTAGACGCTCTTGGGTTTCTTTTTAACAATGTACGATATTATCACGCTTAAAAATGCCAGATATGGAAGTAATGTACCAAAAGAAAAGAGAAGAATAATTGGTGCCTATGGCAGGGGTAGCCCAAGAGCTGGTAAAGGCAAACAGGACACAGTCCCATGCACTCCTTCTGCATGGTTCAGGAGTGATTTTTTTGATTCTAGTCCTTCTCCGCAAACATTACACCTGCAGTGCATATCATTCGGGAACGGCTTGATATGCCGGTTGACAAAGTGCCGACTGAGAGAACCAGGGTTCTTGTACATTCTCAGACGCTCCTTTTCGGGCAGCCCAGCATTACCAAGGCAAATAAAGCAGATTGTTGGTCTTTGCTTTTCGTTTTTGACGCAGACAGTAGCGATGGCTTGACAAAAAGTATCGTCTCTCTCTTCTGCAAGGGTAGATCTCTGCCTCTTAGGCACGGGGGCAGCAGCGGGCACATCAACTGCATCGACCGGGCGTTTCTGCGGTGGAGGACGCGAGGGGGCACCTTCTTCCGCATCACAGACAGCAATCACCGCATTGATTGCAGCAATTCGGCGTTCGGTTTCTTTCTCGACTGTCTTCCCTGGCATAGTCAAGACACTGTCGATAAGCGTCATATGCTGCGGTGTCATATAGCCTGTACGCTGCAACGCACCCATAACTTCTTCATCAACAACCTTTCCGGCAAGCTGCCGCTCGCTATCTATCACTGGCTGCTCCTCTTTGTACCGCTCTAGGTTCTCGCGGATCAAGCGGTGCTTTTGCCTTCTCTTCTCATTTCTCAACTGCCTCACTGAGTGCTGAAACAGGTCCTCTGCGCGATCGTATTTCTGGCACAATTTCTCCACGTTTTTCTTTTGAGTTCTCCACCGCTTGTGAATTCTTCGGAAACCCTGGGTTGCAGGACTCTTCTGCGGGGGATCATCACCGAATTCTCGCTGAAATGCAGCCTGCGCATTTTCGTAGGTACGCTTCTTGACATCTCGGATCCGTGAGCGCGCCTGCTTCCTCTCTTCCAAGGAACGCACGTGAGGAATGTCATTGAGACACCTCGAGTCCTCTAGCCGGTATGGTCTCCGAGGATCAATGGACCGACTCATTGAGCAGGCAAACCGCATGAGCTGCTTCTGGGCGGGCAGGCCCCTTACAATTGCCTGAGCGTCCACATGAATACCCACGCTGTAGTGCCGAACAAAGGTGTCAATACTCGCATGCTGCAGCATGACGTTCTGCAACTCATTCGATACATCCGCTGATTCGGGGATTCCATTAGCCACCAAGTACTATAATGCGAAATTTGTTACTCACGACTATCGTTAAATGCTTTCGCTGCGCCGTATCGAAGGCAATACGGCTTCGCGACTTCTTCGAAGCCCGTGATCTCACCGCCTCGTTTCATTCGGTAGCTTAGCCATCCTTTATTAAGACTCTTTTCCAATGCTATCCGAATTCCGTCCGGTTCTCGTAGTGCGTGACAGAAAACATGTCGATCGAGGATTTCATCCTTGAGCTTCAATTCCTGTTGTCCAAGCCCACTGAGGACCCGAAGACTGTATAATTGCTCTGGACAGTTCATCACCGGACCGTCTTTGGACAGACTTTTAAACGCGTCAATCCTAAATAACATGCCCAGCAGGAAAACATGAGGACTGAGGATCAAGGTAGGGTCGAAGATGATTTCCGGGATCGGGAATGTGTTGCTAATTGAAATGATAAGCAAGACGGCGGAGACAATGATGTGACTGAAGAAGAAAAGGAAGGAGGAAGAAATGACTCATCAAGGGGATATTCTCACGATTCTTTCTCTCCAAGAAATGACTTTGTGAATTCTGGCCTCAAGTAGATAAAAAGTCGGGGGCGTCCTCCGTCCGGATCCCGGATTAACGTCAACTTTAGATCCTGGAAGCGAAGCTTTAGCAACGCTCCGGGCCGACTACCGGTAATAGCCGCCAGCTGGCAGAATAGGAGGAGTTGGATCCGGTACCAGCCACAAGGGAAAGTCATTTCTGTGGTGGACAGGATCACTCGGGCGAATTCAGCCACGTCCTCGACATACATGGTCGCTTTGGGGCGCTTTTTGAGGGAGAGTTTTTTGTCCGTGGCTACTATCGCGAGCACCTATGGAACGTCAGCGGGGTACAATCGATGCCGGTTCTGAAACTCAACCATGATCTTACATCGCGGACCTTGACTTGGATATCCTTGCTGAGGCCGTGGCCAACTTCGGCTGTGTATATCAGATGCCACCACTTCCAGAATGCGTTAAGTGTGCTTTTTTTGTTCACTCCTGCGGTGTGACGACCATCCTTTCCCCGTCGCTGGTCACAGCGCCAGGAGAAGAGGGCCTTAAGGAAGCGGACCGTCTCCTCTGTATCAGAGAGCCAGGAAAGACATTCTACCGGATCACGGTTTGTGCCTCGACAAAACCTGCGAAAAAACATCAGCGAACCAGGTCATGTAAACGGCTTGCTCTAGTGGTATCCTACCTGTCCCAGAAATCTTGCGTCTCATCCAATCGCTCTTGAGTTTTCGGACTGTAACGTTTCTGACGGAGCTTGGAGACATCTAAAGACTCGGCCTCTCGAAGATAGTGTTCTGGTGAAAGTTGCTCCTCTTCATCATCTAGCGCCAGCTCATCCTCGGACTCGTCGTCAGACTCAAGCTCGGATTCGGATTCGCTGCTGGTGTCCAGGTCGCTAGCTGCGGTGGAGGAATCAGAGTCGGAGGCGTTGTTCGAGAAGACATCCGGCAGAACTGAACTGGAGTCGCTCTCGTCGTCAGCTGGAACTGGGGACGGCGAGCCAGGCATGGCAGGCATGGCAGCGGATTACAGTGTGTGACAGAGGTGGCAAGAGGACAAAAAAGACCAACTGAAGCACGAGAGAGGGGATGGTCGAGGCTGATATTATTTCAGTTTGGACGAGTCATCTGTTGGAAACTCAGGCTTGGAGCTGGAAAAGCTGCTGGAAAGCGAGCGAGGACTGCCGGTCGGGGACCATGCTTGGGGGTATTTATGGAAACTCAGAGAATCAGAACGGTCAACAGGGGAGCCATTTTTGGCTCCCCTCCCACCTTGACTGGGAGTATGAGCGAACATGGGACCCTGCGGCGGCGGCTGCAGCACGAATGGACATGGGCTGGAACGATGGGTCAGGCACCAGGAACAGCCGACAGGACGCTCGGGTGGCATTAGATGGTGAGGCCGTGGTCTTTGGCACACGTGACGCCAAGACCGCCCACGGTGAGCGGGCGGCTTAAAACGGCGTCAAAGGCCGCCGTTTCTGGCCTCCAATTCACCGTGTCATCGCTATTTGGAGTATTTAAAAATATTATTTTTTTTAGATAGTTTATTATAGATTTATATAAATTCTTTTTTAATCTAAATAATTTCTTAGATTAAATAAATAATCTTTTATTAAATAATATAGTATTATTAATAGTATAAATAGATTAGTTTTCTAATCTTTTTAGGATATTTATATATTTATCTATAGTATATAAACTAGATTTTAGGGTTTATATTATAGTATTTAGTATAGGTTTTAAGATTTTTAAATAAGAATAGTAATAGAAGAGTCTTTATAGACTTTAGTAGCTAATCTATAATTAATAAGTAATCTAACTTTTAAAATAAAGATAGAAACTATATAATATTAGAATATAGTAAATAGTTATATATTAGAAACTAATAGACTAGTTTATATAATAAATAGAGAATTAGAAATAATTATATTATAAATAGGCTATAGGATAAAAGATTAACTAAGATATAGCTTAAAGAGTTATATTAAATAAAAATAGGAAGTTCTAATAATCTTAGGGATTATATAAGAATAAGAATAGAGATCCTCTTATATAAGGATCTATACTATGACAATCTACTTATCTTTTAATATCTTTTTAAAGATTAATCTCTATTTATCTTTCTAATTATAAGCTTTATTTTGATTTATAGAATATAGACTAAGCTATAAAAGGATATATTATATTTATTATTAAACAATAAAAGAAGTTAAATCTTAAGATTAGGTTATCTTTTATTAAGTCTTCTAGCTATTTTAATAATTTTTTATACTTATAGATTAGTAATACTAGTTTTACTCTTTAGTACAATAGTATTTAATCTTTCTTTATAAAGATTATAATAGGATATTAATATAATATAACTTTAGTTAGAGTTACTTTAACTCTAGTTATAATAGTAATTATTATTAATATTAAGATATTTATAGCTTAATATAGAATTCTATAGTAGTTTTTTATTTTTTATTTTACTTATTCTCTTTATTTTCTTTAATTAAATAGTCTTATTTAATATAGCTTTTCTTTATTTAGTATTAATATCATAGGATTCCTAAATCCCCTTGGATACGACTTAGGTATGATTTATAGCGAAGCGGAAGTGGATTTTGGCGACGCGAATGGGCTATCCATGGTCGGAAATTCTTTGTACCCCGAAATTTCCCGAATCGCCCAACCCAAACGTGGACCTAGCTACAAGAGCTAGCAATGCCGCAGGAATTTTCAATGAAAAAATACACCTAGGCCAAAAAAGGTGCACATCTACAGCAAAATCGTAAATTATGCATCTTAAGGGTGGATTAATCTGATTTCTGCACTATCTTTACCATCTCCATAAACGCCACCAATACACATGTCCTATAGTATAACCAGAAAATAAAAGCGATGTTCATATCACTTCTATTGTGGATCGCTAGGACCTATGCACATATGTCCGTGTTATAGGGGAGAGATGCGCCCGGATAAGGTCCTATAGCTGCCATTTGGAGGGGAAGCCTAAGTAATTTAGATACTAGTACGGAATAATTCGCAGCACCACTCGTTATTTATGAGTCCGGTTAGAAAAAACCTTGAAAGCTAGCGCATGCGCACTTCGCACTTGTGGAGGTCGCTTTTGACAACGTCCCAATACTCATCAATTAGACGCTCCTCGGCAAAATGAAGTGATATCCACAAACTGGCATGCCGCAACCTCCAGCAGATGTTCCCCCTTTACTGCAAGTAACAAAGGATCCTCGAAATAACGATTCTGATGATTGAGATCAACTTGAGGACGGCGTAGTAAAACCCGCACCATCTTCGAGTCGTCTGCCCGGGCGGCGATGATACTGGTTAATTGCCAGAGACTCGCCCTGACGCACCAAGAGCTTTACCGCTTCCAAGTGGCCGTTTTCCGCCGCTTGACAAAGGGGCGAATCTGCCACTTTCCATCTCGTATTAGCTTTGCTAGGGTGCTGTTCTTTACCCGTCTTCTCGACAGTAAAGTAGAAGCCGAGCCTGAAAAAGTACGAGTCCAGGTCAATGGGGCCACTTAACACGACTATCCTAGTCTCAAGGCTCTCAGCCAATGCCAACAATAGAATATCGGCGCGGTCTTGGTGACTTCAATTGCGGTCATTAAGTCAACATTAAACTGTGAAGACACGAGAGGTTCGACATTCTTTGGTGGTGACATTTCTGTGAACTCAGAATTATTGTCTCCCGAAAAGACCTAGCTAGTTACTCGGAAATCGACCAAAGTTTGTAGCGCGCGATCGCTTGATCCGGCGGAAGTCGACTAGAAGAAGCTGTAGCCAGACACTCATAAACTCTGGCATGCCGCAGATCAATTAGCATTGTCACAAGACCATATTGAATGAAACTAGATTCCTCTCATTCAACGGCTTGACCTCGCAGGCTGTAGTCATCGGCTAACTGATTACCCAGATTTGGAATCATTGTTCCTGGCTCCATAATAATGGAGCCCGAATTCGCAACTTCTTGGACAACACCCTTCCTCTGCGTAATGTGAAAAACCCTCCACACATATTTCTCGGCAGAGATTCCAAGCGCATGCCGAACCTTGCGGGCAAAAAGAACCGACGAATAACAGCACCGATGATGACGAACTCCATTTGTGTCTCGCTCTTCTTGCTCAGTGTTCAAAGAAGGTCGAGAACGACTCCCATAAATCAAGTCCGAATATAGGTTGCTCGGCGTTTGCACAAACTCAACCAATCGGTTCAGAATGTTGAATTCCAGCTTCAATTTCACACTGTATATGAATCCTTTGACTGCTGTTTGCGACGCGTATCTGCCTGTAAACTCGAGTATCAAGATGCAGATGTCCAGCACTATCACTATGACGCTAATGAAAATAAGATGTAGAAGAAGTCTCTTGCCGGCGTTGCCGTGTATTTCGCTGATGGATCCCTCGGAATGAAGCATTTTGTATGTCTCATACACGTAGAGACCCGAAATGATGACCTCCTGAACAAAGAATATTGAAACTTGAACTCTTTCGTATACCGCGTATGGTACAGAGAAACGGACGAAGAGAGGAGAGTTAGCTCCATAGCAGAGGATTGTAGTCGGAATATGCAGTATGATCGCATCGATGATAATCATGCCTAGAACCAACCAGAGAATCATGCGACAATGCACGATCAGATGAAGACGAGAGTACAGGACCATTGACTGGCCTGTGACCATCATACACCAACCAGCGATTATTAATGTAACGTAAAAATATGGGATAGACTTTGCAACGTTGAAATCCTTGAGAATGAATCCGATGGAGTAGATAGCAATTCCCCATGTTGCGACGAGGAAGCTCCAGAAGTATAGGCCGTTTCGTCGTTTGAAAGTTAAAAAAAGAGCAAATGTTAGCTCGACAACATTATAGATGGCGACTGACAAGAATGATGAGACGACATAGGTGACCGGAAGGGGGAGCTCAGAATTAAGAGTACTGCCAGTGTCATTGAGGGACATATCACCTAGTGATGACAGGCTGATCTAAATATTCTTAAGATCTGTATGACTTCTCGACGATCCCAGTGGTCATACGAAAAGCTTTTGCCTGGGATCATGATTATGCACAATTATAGATTGTGCATGAATGGGAAATAAGGTATAGCGTCGGTATTGTTTCAGTGTTGGGAGGTCTAGCCCCGATATATTATTGCTCATGATGAGTCATGGAAGAAGTTTAATTGGTATGTTCTGTGGTCGAAACATGCGCCAACGAATCATAGACTTTAGAGTTGTGATTTGCCACTGAGATTCCCTCACTATTTCTTACCTGACCAATAGACTGCGGTATATCCGCAGATCCGCGGGTTTGGTTTACACTTCATTATCCAATAGATATCCGCCAAAATCTGCAAACTAGCCGCAAGTATTACGCGTTGCTAACTGATCACGGTAGGTGGTCTAATATTGGTCAATGAGTTACCAGTTGAAAAGAACTAATACATGTGCGCGGATGAGTGTCCCTATATACCCAGTCCTCCTTGATGGTATCCGTGGTAGGTGGTAGAGTGGTAGATAGTGCTTGGCATGATCTACCCACTGATCGAGATATCCATCTACCAGTTTTGATAACGTGTGCTTTTTACCAGGTACTTGCACTTTGGTGCTATGTGGGTAACGGTAGAAAGAACGCTTGTTCTTATGTCACGCTAGCCGTTTCGTAGGTTAGTGCAGTTTTGTGACAGAATTCTATGATAGCTTCCACCTGCAATTGGCCCCTTAAGGTCCAGATGTAGCCCCACTGACGTTATAGAGCCTGATTAGCTGTTAACGTGGGTTCCCTCCCCTCACCTCGCGTGATTTACACGTGGGCAGGGCGGCATCCTCTCCACCTTTCATGAGTTCGACAACAACTTCTATCATTAACGGTACAAAGTGGATCCAAGAGGGACTGCTGAGTTACTATAAATTCATACCTCAGACAAAAGGCATCTCAATCTCTATAGATAAAATCTTAGGGTGGCGAGAGGACTTACATGAGCCAACAAGTATTGATAACCTCCAGCATCCTGCAGCCGAGCTTTATAGCGACTTTTACAAAGGCCAAATCGGAATGAAGGTTTTCAATATCAAATTCAAGAAAGACAAAGGGTATAAGCAGTTCATTAATTTAGGTTACAATTTACTGGTGGATTATTAGATAAAAAACAAGGCTGAATTTGCACCAGGAGGGAGATACTACAACCAAAAAGTACAAATAAACAAGATTGTCTTACAGGACTATATATTATCGAATTAACCAGTAAAAGAAGTAGGAATAACTGTATAAAAACTTAGAAGTTAAATCTACAAGTAACTACAATCTATAATCTCGGGGAATTTAGTGTTCCGATATTCTTTGGTAGCCTAGAATCTATACCGAGCCGAAGAAATACAGGAACTGTAATAAGCTGAGAGGATATCCCTTACAAAGCTAGAAAGAGTATATAGTAGACTTTATACTAGATTATAGGTTTACTTCTATTTCTGAAGCTATTATCTAGTAAATATTTCAGAGAGCTACCTTAATAGGTATTTTATCCTAATGGAATTATCCAAAAAACACTGCCTCTGTATCCCCTATTTTAAGAAGAATTATATTGACCGACTTTCTAAAAAGCAACAGAAGCGAGATCCAAATTCATTGAAGTATTACCCTTATTAGCAGCTCACTTTTCCCATTCTAAAACTCTGAAGCGTAAAAAGAAAATAGCCGAATATATCATACATTGTATGGAAAGCTTTCCCCAGTCTGTTCAAGATCAATTCAACGCCCCTAACTTTCCTCTAAACGCGAAAGCTTTTGCCCAGTCCATGAGGTTTATGGAAGTAGGTTCTGTAGCAAAAATTGACAATCTCCCGATTTGCAAGCGGTGAATCTAAATCAAAATCGACACCGCATTATACTTTGGCTTCAGCACTGTGTAAGGAATATCCTTAGCATCCCACTTTTCATTAGCATAGTCTTGAAACTCTTTGTCGCTGTCTTTCAGTGCATTAAAGAATCTGTCAAGCACTCCGTAAAGCTCATTGTTGCCGCTACTCTGGGCGAGAGCGCGAGCCGTCGTGACGTACCCGAACAACGTTTCCTTCTGTTCGTCTGGCTTGAAGCTGAGAAGATATGGAACGTGCGAGGACAAAAGCCATTCTCTTGTTTGGTTAATAGGCAGCGCCTTAACTAGGTCCTCCTCTGTGTATGCGAGCAAGGAATTCAGAGAGGTTGGTGGCGGGGTAAAAAGACAGGAGGGCTTGTTTATCACAAAGTCCTGATAGTAGTCTTGCAGGTAGTTGACTGCTGTATGCTGGGGTGAGGCAATGTGAATACACATGGTGACGCAGTCGACTAGCTTCTCGAATGTGTCGATTTCGGGGAATGAGCGCATATCAGCGCCACTGGGAGACTGCATTTCCTTCCACCACTTCTCAATGGATTTATCTTGTTTCACAAGGCTGTCAGCATAGGCGGAGGGATAGTACAGCGAAAGCATCTCTGTCACGTAAGTTCTGATCTTCCCCCACATGCTGTTGATGCACCGAGCGTAGGAATAGTTGTGGAACTTTTTCGAGTCCAGTTTCTCTGGTGGGAAGCCCCGGTTACGAAGATCAGTTGGCACGTAGCTATTCTGGAAATCAAAGTCGTCATACTCCTTTCGGATGAACTTCAAAGCCTCCTTTTTTGAGAAACCGACAATTTCAAGAATAACAGAGGGAACCAGAACAGTCCTAGCGGACTGATTGAGGGCCAAGGTCTTCTGCCAGTGCGGTCGAAGAATCTGGAAGACTGGGTGATCGTTTTCGAATTGTCGATTTGCAGAGACAATGACAGTTTCTTCAACCAGGTGAGTACGAGTAAGATGCACGGTGACTTCATGCCGGAACCAGTCACTGGTTTGCACACAAGTCTTGGCTAGTAGAAAAAGCACAAGATTAGCATACCATACAAAACGAGAAGTTGAAGAGAGGGAACATACCATATCTCCATGGCCAGTCATTGGCCTCATCAATTCTCTTCTCCTGTGGGCTGCGTGACTTCTCTCTCCCGGTCAGTAGATCTACCCTTTTAAACAACTCTCGGTTGTAAATAGTCACAGTTGCACCCGAACATCCTCGCCAATCCGGGATAATTGCGAGCGGATGAAGCTTCCCTTCATCATCAAGATAGAAGAGAGAAACCGCTGCACAGCCATATCGCGGGCTTCCTTTCTCGGGAGACATTTTTATCTCAGCTTCGCGATCCGTGAAGCCCGCACTATCGCGGAAGTAGCTGTAATCCTGGATGTACAAAGACTCCGAATGCCCTTCAGAGATCGCAGTAATGATATCTTTCGCGGCTTTGTCTTCTGGCTGTGTGGCAGCGCGTATGAAGTGCCTGACCCAAGATAGCGAAGCTGGTAGGAGGGTTGTAGGATTTGTCCCAGTGAATTGCTGCTGGGCAAATCGGTCATCGCTGTACCAATCTTCCAGCTCACCCACATTTGGACGATTGAAGATATCTTGCACATATCCATACTTCAACCACCTCTTCTTCTCTGCCTCGATACGATCCCGATTGTACTTTTCTACTTCGGCGATTGTATTGCCTTTATCGGGTGTGCCAACCTTCGTAATAAAATTCGGGATAACACCAGACATGATCATCTTTAACTGGATCAAATAGGAAGGGTCGAAGAGACCAAAGGGGCTCATGGTTGATCGTTGGTTTGGATCTTCATCGCCAATATCCGGCCAGGTCTTATTCAGACCCATATCAAGATGAGGAGGAAAGTCGCTATCACCGGGTTTGCTTTTCGTGAATGCAAAGAAAGCCTTCTTATCTACCCTGCTCACACCAATCGGTAGTATGGGCTCAACACCAGTGATGTCGGTGAATGACATGAATCTAAAAAGCAAGTTAGGGATATTTGAAATTATGGGAAAAGATATGGTATACAAACCTCTGTTCTATCAGATCGTAGACCTTTGTCAATGCCAATTGAGTTCCGCGATAGGAGCCCTCTGGTATCTTTGGTGACTCATATGTTGCAGCAACCATGCAAAGAAGGTCATCGGAGTTTTTGCTACCACTCTTCTTTTCATTGGGGGTGAAGTTGACTTTCTTCGGCATGAGGTTTAATTTCGTCAATTGATTGAACAGGGCACCAGTGTCCATGTCATTTAGGACTGGCTCTCCTTGAGCTTCGTCTTCTATGCCTCCAAGTTTGTTTGGCGTTTCAGCATAGCCAGGCATGGTAGCCACATCGTTCAGATTTCGAACCATGATTGTGGTAGCAAAGGGGTAAAGATTGAGGAATTAGTCAAGTTTCAGATGTCTTCGGTGAAGCAGGGAAGAGCAGATAAGCATGAAATGGGAAAGGAAGACACTTGTTTAAGTATCCCAAGGCTATGATGGAGGATGGAACTTGGGCTTCTTCAGACCCTATCTAATGACACACCTGACGGGAATTGAAAACAGTGATATTAGCATGATATACGATATTCCAAGGTTGTCATCGTATCATCTCGCACTTTACTACGCCAACGTCACATTGCGCACTCAGGAGAGGTCATAGAACACTTATTTCTCTACCCAATAAATCCATAGATTACTAAATATGTATTCCTATTGGGCGGCTAGGTTACAGTGACTATAGAGTAATGAGTGTAATGTGTTTCGTCCCCAGTTCTCCACAAGATGTTTTAGGAAAAGGAAGATACATAGAGCTAAGGACTAAAACGGCCTCTCATTTGGTAGTGACAGCAAAGAATCACAAAAGAAGTATTTGTTGTCTCGTACATACAGAATCTTAAATGTGCCAGTGTTGAGGCCGAATGAATTCAGATCTGATCCAGTATCTTGAGCGAACTTTAGGAGGACGATATTGACGATATTTCAATATTACATGCCTTGGAGAAAGCATTAGCCCAGATTATTACATACCAAGATAGAAAATAATGTCTCCCGAATTGTTGCAGTTCCCGGCCGACCTCCTCCATATAGCTATACTACAATTAAGCGGGCTAAACCAAAAACGTCAATCCCAATTTTTGAACTTGGATTTAGTTCAACTGATTTTTTTTTCGTTCAAACTAAAGAGAGCTCGGCTAAAGAGATTTACTCGTCTTTTTTTGTTTTACTCTTTTTCTTATTTATCTTTGTGGAAAGTTTATCGATTTTATCTTTGCTTTCGGCACGTTCGGCGGGCCGACCGGGTGACGGGTTTTGGTGGGGCGGAAGTATGTATTAGCCGCATCGCTGAATGCGATCTGGATAATCCCACCTCATAGTCTCTAGGGTTATACCGCTCGGGCTACTTAAACTGTTTGCATTAGTCAGGGAATTTTGTAAAGGGTCATCTTGTTTGAATCTAGTATGAGTCGTCTCTATCTGTCCCATTTCTGTTTTAAATTTTGCCTATTAGGTAGATTGCATGCAGAGCTTGTCCATTCCTCGCGTTGCTCCACTAATTACGCATTTTGTATTTCTCTCGGCGGGTATGTTTGGTTAGTTTGACCCACTCTCGGATACAGACCCATCAGATGGTTGGTCCAAGAGTAGGACTCCTACATGTACGTAGCTAGACCTGTGCAATAGGCGGCCTATAGGCCGGAATCTGGCTACCCGCCCATGGACAGGGTGGAGTATCTGAATTATTTGGCTATTACTATCTGAATGTGTTTCTCGGTAAGGCAGTCGTATCTTCCCGTAAAGGATTCCCAGCACAAAAGCTTACTAGCATTTTCCCTCATTCGACAGCAGTACTTTGTGTCACTATGGGAACTATCACATTTGCAGTGCTGGGGTAAGTTTGCCATCGCTGTTCCTATGGTTGCCTTATAGTTAATATTTCTCCCTTGACCGCTGACGCTAGTTCGCAGGGTATCCAGGGCCAATTAGCCTGATATTCCAAATGGCCAACGCATGATTCTCGGTCAGAAGTCAAATTCTTCCAAGAATATCCATCGTTATTTAGGTGGTATGTACACCGTACTAATCGGAGGCTTGGGCCAGTGTATTGAACTGCCATGAGGTTGGCCAAATATTGAATCAGCATTCCGTTGCAAATCTGCATCCTCTTTGGTCGTCAAGATTAAAAAGACAGAGCAAAGCCGACCAAAACTAAACTTTTTTCTTCACTTCGCTGTTGTTTTTTTTTTTTTTTTAAAAATTCCTATTCGAGATTTAACCTTGGAAAAATGGAAAACCCTCGAGTTCAAGTTATCGCCATTGCCGGGGGAACTGGTGATTTGGGTAAATATATCTGTGAGGAAATATCCAACGACCGCAGATATTCCTTCGCGCTTCTCACTCGACAGGTTTGGGCTCCACTGCAACTTGTACTTGAACGAGTTTTTTTGAAGTTCAAATTCCAGATTCCCGCCTGGGAAGGGCTGCTCTTCTTACTTAGGAAACAGTATGATTTCAAGCGCTTTAGAAAGTTCCAACATTCAGATATCCCAATGCGACCATTCACACGACGGACTATTCAGAGTCCTCTGTTCTCTCTAACTTGACATCTACTGGAGCAATGACCCTCATTTCCACTATTTGATGTCGAGATGAAAATTTCCTCAGTATACATCATGACCTCCTCAATGCCTGCCGAAATACCTCCGCTTGTAAAAGGTTCATCCCGTCCGAATGGGCTGGCAGTATTGAGGACTATCCGGATTTTCCAGAAGAATATGCAAGAACCCAGGGCCCTCTCCGAAAGATTTTGCGAGAGACACCAGATATTGAGTGGACGCTATTTAATTTGGGGCGGTTCGTGGAATATTTCTTACCTGAGTCCAAGTCATTTAGAGAGCTATTCCTGGCCAATTCCCTATCAATTTGAAGACTTGGACGTACTGCGTTCGGGGAACGGGTGATAAGCCTCAGTCATGGACCTGTGGAAGATGTTGCAAGGGCCGTTGCCGAGCTCTTAAACGTGGCGGAATAGGTTAGTATTCATTCTATTCTTAGCTACCATGCAGAAAGTCTAACGTTGTCCCTTTGATGCAATTCAGGAGCCTGTCACCTACGTTGCTGGACAATGGCGTACGTTCAATGAGGCTGCCAAAGTCTTAGAACCATTTTATGGTGAGATGTGGCCCGTTGAAAATTCAGTGCCGCGGAAATCAATAATAAACATTAATATGAGCCATAGACCGACGATTCACCAGGGAATACCGTTCGCTAGCCGACATCACCCAGTCATCTGAAGTATATAAAGATAAACCCAATAGCCAAGAGCTAGCTGTTATTGAAATAGAACAGTGGACAGTCAGTGGCGCTACAGCCTGTCGGAAGGAGAAGACCCAAAGGCAATTTATGAGATACTTTTCTAATCTCCAATTCATCTCCTTGGAAGAAATATTGAAGATGGCGGAGATGAAAGGTCACGTGTAGCTCTCTGGGAATGAGGGCCTTCATGTTCATTTGGGTTGAAGGAAACAACAATAACAATCAAGAACAACTACTTTGTGATTTTTCACTGCGCTCAAACTCAACCAATTTCTCCATATATCAACAGTTGGCTGGATACAATTGACTTTAGAAGTAGTATTTTATAGTCAAGTACGAGCGTCAGTCGACTTTATATCTTGATAGACACGCGGATAAGTAGCGATTTCCGCAGACCATCCTGTTTTTAACTTAAACCATACATATAATTATGTTATATGTATAAGAATCATTTTATACAGTAATATAAAGGTTCTTTGGTCATTCGGCTCTTCCTCGGGAACTGCAGATCTTTTATAACAATATACTACTGACTCACAAACAGGGGTTGAATGATAATACAACTGATGATCTCTTCCGAGCAAGGCGAAATCGAGATTTATATGCGACTGAGAAGATACTGGGGAGTTATAACACCGAGTACACTGCGGAGCGATCGATAATCAGCCTGAAGGAAAGGTTGCAGTTCATTGTGCATTGTCACTGTAATGAGGGAACATCTGAGGAATATACTATCTTCTAGACAATGAACTCAAATGCATATGCAGTGACCTCGTCTGTTTGATATACTGGGAAGGTAACAGTATTCTCTGAATAGGCGTGCTCATACCATCCCAAATCGGTGGGCCCGTCGATCTCTCCATAATGCACGTCAGAGGCCACAGGAAATCCCCAGGTATGGATATTCAGCGTGCCACTTGTCGGCAGTCCAAGAGAAGACAGTGAGTTTAACTCCAACTCCCAGGTACCGGTGTCGACTCGAACCCCAACTAGAACCCGGGCATAATCCGATCCTACCGTCGCGTATGCGTCTAGCTTCAAGTCGGAAGAAGGAAGAGTTCCCACTCGATAACCTGTCATATTCTGATAGTAATATTTGTACACTTGATAGTCTCCGTTGGGGTAGTATGTAGAACCGGACTTTCCCAGGAGGGAAGCCATATAGTCATGGAGATTAGTTCCACTTAGCCAGTTGCCTCTCAGTCCTCGGGCATTAATACGCTCCAACTGACTGATCCACCAAGCTGAGCCAGCTGGAACTTGTTCATCGTAAACGGCGTATTCGTTGATGTTGATTAGTTTCGCCGGAAGGTCGTAAGTTCCACGCCAGTAATCGAGACCAGCTTGAGCTGAAAGAAGATCTCCAGTGCCTGACTCCATATGCCATGCGTATTGATCTGGGATGGAATTGTTGCTAGAAACAAATGAAGCCCATGCCTGCCACCAACTATTGGAGGCAAGAGGCTCACCCGCACTGGCTGGGCCAGAAAGTTCTACCTCAGTGCCGAATTCCGCCCTTCATAGATAGGTCAGTGGCTTGCTCATATGCAATACAATTGATTATTGAATGGACAATCTTACCTGAATTTATAGTACGTCCTACCCCACATTTGAAGATACTGGTCCTGCTCACGATTCCAGAACCCGGATCCATCAGGTTCATTCCAAATGTCAACCACAAGAGAAGTAGTCATATCATTTGCCTTCATATCGGAGAACAACTGGGTGAGATATTCATCCCAGCTGCTCCAGTCGCCGTTATCACCAGGGTAAGGCGCGGACGAGTTCTGAGTTCCATCAGCCCCCCAAAGATCGTGAATGAGGAAAATGAAAGTCGCATCGTACTCGCGCGCTGTTTGGTAATTAGAAAGCGTTGACTTGAAACGGTTCTAAATTGACCATCAGTGTCAGCATAGAGAATAATTTTTTTGATGATGCTGTTTTGGTTGTATTCTACCTTGTACTCGGTTAATCCCCAAATCCAACCAAGGCCAGGGGCTGCAACCTGTGCGCCCCCTGCTCGCTCATAGTTATATCCGATATTTTCATAAAAGTGGCTCTGAGAGCATGTGATCGAAAATATTAGTTTGTGGTCAAAGATAATCGAGCAGTATCAATATCAACCTACGGGAATTTGGTTTAGAGTGTCAGGTACCCCATATAGAAGCCCGGATGCCAAATGCTCGGGGGCACCTGTGTTGTTGTTGAAGTTGACCTGGGCAGTGACTGTGTCTCTCGGCCGGAGGACGGGGCCAGCAGAAACCAACTGCACCAAGGCAAGCGCATGTACCAAACTGTGACGCATCTCAAAATGGAAGATCGTACTGGCTGTTCAAAAGTGAAACTCGAAAAATGAAACACAATAATTCTCAAGTCTTGCGTACATGAGATTTCCTGTCGCTTTTAAACCACAATCCGTCTAGAATCATAGTGGACTGAAAACTAAGGAAATCTCCGCGCGGGGTAGTTGTACATAGCAGCCAAAACAAGAGGGAATCATGAGATTCCGATCTTGAACGGAGCAGTTCAATTTCCTGATCACCAAGGTCTCCACAATTTCTCCCTGAAGAAATCCGCCCGGCTTCCACTAGTCAGGTGTACCTCGGGAATCTACCTTTCTAGGGCGCCTTATCCGCACCGGAGAACGCTCCCTTCCCAATTGGTGGCCTATAGTCAATAGTCATCATCTCGTTTGAAGAACTGGTTGAGTTTAAGATTTTCACATACTCGCTCCGCTCGGCTCCCCACACTTTCACGGGGTAGTAGACCCGCAGCGACCCGAAGAGGTAATATACCGGAGGAGAAACGTTCAAGTGACGGCCACGGATTAAGAGATGACCATGACAGCTTGCAACCTTGTATGATTTCTCTCCAGGGTAATATTTTAAAGGAGGGAAAAGAAGAAGAAAAAATTACTAAGATAGCCCTGTGGCTACATATATGGAGGAATGCCCCTGCATATCTATTGAAGGCATACATAAGGGCAACCACGTTTATTTCACTGCTTATCAACGTATTTTCCCAAGGTCCCATCTAATTGTGCCTCTAAAACTGCACCCCTTCCATCCATAACACTCTGAATTGCGTCAGGTAAACTCTTCGCCAATTCAGCGACGGTGGAAGCACGACCAGCCCAAACCTCCCCACCAGCAGCGGCCTTGGCGATACCAGCATAGTCCGGGGTTGGGGCGAAGGAGATGTTCAATTCTTCATTTGTTGCTTGCGATCCATCCCCGTTGGGGTGGACCAACAGCATACTTCGCCGTGGCGCATTCCAACCTTTATTGTTCAACACGATGGTCAGGATTGGAATGTTGTATCGACGTGAAATCCAGTAAACGGATCCAGGCACAGAGAACAAGAAAGTTCCGTCGCCCACGACCTGGACAACAAATTTCCCCTTGCCTTGGCCCCCGTTCTTCACATCCGAGGCTAACTTGATACCTAAAGCACCACCACCCGACCAACCCAAGCCCCCTCCTCCACAATTAATCCAGGAGTTAGGCAAGGTCGCAGCTATTTGATCTGATACCGGGTGGGTGAGAGTTACCGATTCAATTGCCCAGATAGCATCTGCAGGGCAATTGTTACGAACTTGCGCCATCAAATAAGAAACATTCAAAGGAGCAAGATCGCCACCCTCGGGCGTGACAGCTAGATCAGCAATCCCACTTTTCAATTTCAAATATTCCTCATCTCGTTTCTGACCCATGGCAATGTTGCTTTTCGAACCAATGAAACTTTGAAGGCGACCATTGGTGGCTATGTTGTCATTAATTTGTTTAAGCGCAGTAGTGGAGTCAGCGCGAAATGTAGCCATAGAGTTGATGTAAAAGACTGGGATTTGTTGCTTGAGTGGGTCAACGTCGATATGAATGATCTTTGCGGAGTCAGAGGGCTTGAACTGAGTTGGTACCCAAGGCACATCGCAATCTATCACCAAGATGAGATCTGCAGATTTGACGAGATCATGCCCCGGGTATCGCAATCCCAGCCAGGCGGGATGATTTGCTGGAAAGCACATGTCGCTTCCACCAGTGTCTAACACTCGAATGCCTTTGAAGTGATTTGCCAGGGTAACTAGTTCCGTTACAGCCTGTGCTTTCCTGCCTGTGTATCCAACCACAACAAGTGGCCTTTTCGCAGCAGCAAGCTCTGACGCGATGAACTCAACTCCATCTGTGGGCAAAGCCGCAGGCGAAACAGGGCCCCATACTTTTTGATTCAATTGGTATGGCTCAATATCCTCCTCCATCACCTCTCGAGCCCCAACCAGGTAGACTGGGCCCTTGGGATCGCTGGTTGCAAATTGCAAGGCCCGGTTCACCATTTGCTTGATATTTTTGCCAGACTTTAGCTCAGCAGAGTACCGACAGTACTGAGCGACAATTTGCTTCTGATCCGGTACATCTTGTATCCAGTGGATGTATTCTGTTCGCGATCCACGGGTTTCTCCTTCGATGGTGAATGGCGACAAACCGGCAAATATCAATACGGGGGCGCGGCCGCAGGAGGCGTTATGAACTGCAGCACCCAATCCCTGAGTTCCCACATCGACATGCACTATGACAGCCTGCGCTTCTCCGGTAAGGCGTGCATATCCATCTGCCATTGACAGCGCCACCATCTGTATTACAATTCAGCCATCCATACGGTTCCTCTCATCCGCTGCTAACACTGCTTCCTGGCGGTGGAATGGCGACATGAGACTTACTTCGTTCGGACAGGTGATAATTCTGGGGAAGCGATCTCTCTTCTCCTTTTGACCTTTTACCATCGCTTCGAGAATGGAAGGGTGGTCGGATCCCAAGTTGACAAAAACATGGCTAACACCCCCCTGAAGACAGTACGAAATGGATTAGCACGATGTACCACTGGAATATACAAAATTTGTTCGTTCGTACTTACCTCCCAGAGCGCCTCAAAAAATGCAAAAGATGCTGTATAAACCCTGGTGAAAGACACAAATAATTTAGATCTTGAAAATCAAATGTTTAGCAGCCATTGTGGTAACATACATTGTCGCTGCCAATTCCTGTATAATGTAGAGTCGAAAGGGAGTGAAGGCGATCAAACAATTCCGAATATCAATTTCATCAAAAAAGAAAGAAGTTCAGATTGAATATGGTGGTACGGAGGGGTCGCTGAGAAGCTCGACGCTAATAAAGCAGATCACCCACGTAATGCGGGCGGGGATCGGACACAATACCGAGGTGAACAGGAGAGGAGACGTGGGGGTTTTTGCACGATCTACCGGTTCTTGAACCTTTTCAAGCTTCTGAATGCTGATATAATGGAGATATGGTCACCAATATTGCAAGGCGACATCATGAATAATGATATTTTTCGGGTCTGCAGTATGAGCCATACTATTGTCGCATCACGCAACATAGATTCTTGCGTTGTTATTGGTGTGAACAATCTTGGAAGGAACCTGTGTATCGTAGCAACTAGTCAATGCGAAATTCAAATGACTTCAGATCCACATATATTCGGTTGTCCCCGTGTTATCCAACTTGCATGTTCGTGATTCAATTGATGCGATGATCACGTGACGATCTCAAGCTTATCACATGCGCGGAATGAATCCCGTGTTCCTTATCTGATTATCCGATAAGGGAATAACGGAAATCGGTCCGCGATAAGACCGGGCTGCACCAAGACGCGTTGGCAACCTTGGAACATGAAACGACAGTCATCTTCGTGTTTCATTCGTATTTCTCTGAGAACCCGTTCAGGTACATATGGCACACCAGTCCGAGCCAGCATGGACCCCCGGAATTTCTTAAGCGCGTCTACAAGATCAAATACAATTGCCAGGAGTCTACTCTCCGAGAGATGGGGTATCCGATCCCCTAGCTGGCACGGATTCATTGGTGGAAGATTACCCTACAATTCACAAATTCAGGACAACTTTCCAGGGGTTACCGCCAACCGGCGATTTTGAAGCATTGTGCGCTGTTCCCCGCACATTTTCTCCTCAACATGTAGATTGTTTCGGCATAATGATGACCGACTAGGTGAACCAGTTTCAATCTTCTTCAGGCTCACAATGTGTTATAATGGGTTTCGTATTTCCTCGAGTCCGCCTCGATCTTCGGATGATATATCATTTACATACCCCTTTTGATATTTGATTGGTCCCTTTTTGGCATCATGCATCTTCTGGAGTCCTTGGCTTTCACACTGGGGGTTGGCCTCACTCTCCTGACTACCACCAATGCAGTCCCGAGCAGTGAAAATGTCTGCGTTGTTAAGGCAAGGGGCCACCATTTGGATGACGTCCCAAATATCCTCCAAGCATTTAAAAAGTGCAACAATGGGGGTACGGTTGTTTTCCCGGAAGACCAGTCATACTGGATTGCCACGCGCCTAAATCCAGTCCTCAATGACGTGGCCATTGAATGGCGTGGAAAATGGACAGTACGTGATTCAATGACTGGAACTGCATCGTTCATAAGGAATTCAATGCTTTGAATTATCTTGAAACGTGAGCTAAAAGAACATTATATCAAGTTTTCCGACGACCTGAGCTACTGGCGCAATAACTCGTATCCTATTGCCTTTCAAAACCACCATGCCGGATTCATCATCTCAGGAAACGACATCAAGATCAATGGCTATGGTACGGGCGGTATTGATGGAAATGGCAACGTCTGGTATGAAGCAGAGAAGGGCGATACCCAGCCAGGCCGTCCAATGCCGTTCGTATTCTGGAACGTCTCACAAGTCGAGGTAGATGACTTTTATGTGAAGGACCCGCAGTTATGGAGCTTAAATATCATGAATGGTACAAACATGCGGTTCAATAACATCAACTGCAATGCGACCGCCGTCAATGCTCCATATGGTGAGAACTGGGTGCAAAATACAGATGGATTCGGTAAGAGCACCATACGTAGGAGATTCAAAATTGGCCGTCTACACGACACTGATATACCTCCTTGCAAAACAGATACGATGGATGTCAACAATGTTCAACTCACGAACTTGATATACCAAGGTGGTGATGACTGTGTAGCAATCAAGCCACGATCATATAATGTGGACATTCGTAATGTCACCTGCCATGGCGGAAATGGCATTGCAATTGGCAGCCTTGGGCAATATCTAGAGGACTCTGGTGTGGCAAATATTGTGATCGACAATGTGAAAGTTATTCGCAGGAATAATGACATGGAGAATGGTGCCTACATTAAAACATGGATGGGCGGGCTTGTTCCACAAAGTTCATATGAAAGTGCCGGGCTTCCAAGGGGCGGAGGCTGGGGAAGTATTAGCAATGTTCTCTTCTCAAATTTCGAGATAGAAGGTGCTAGCTCGGGGATTGCTATTACCCAGGACAGTGGGGACAATGGCTCCTATGTTGGAACGAGTAAGATGAGTATCTCAAACGTTGCCTTTGTCAATTTCACCGGGTATGTGGACACAACCTCGCAAAAGGTGGCCTCGGTATCCTGTTCGAACATACATCCTTGCTATAACATTGACTTCGAGAACATTTCACTGTATCCCGAAAATTCAACTACTGTGGGAACAGGATCATGCAAATATACTGCAAGTGGAGGCGTTCATGGGCTTGAGGGTTGTTGATTTGCCTTTAGCAGCTGGCATTATACAATCTGTCACCAGCAGTGGTGAATTTTTATTCCTATTTTGGTGTGGAACTTTTTATTTACTAGTTTTTTTTTCAATATTGATAATACAGTCATTTTGAGATAACATAATCGACCGATGCTAGGACACCAGGCCTAACTCTGTGCCCCATGAAATGGCCTCAACACGCCAATCCTGCCCCACACGGGCCAGATCTCCGCGTCGGGGATGAAGTCCGATGTTTGCACAGAGCATTGGCCAAAGCGGGGTTTACTGATAGGTCATATGCGGAGATCAAAGACTTTATTGAGGACATCTTTCTGGTGCTCATCTCAACATCGCCCTCTGCGTACTCGGAAGTATAAGTAATAAGTTGAATTTGCAGTTCGATCGTTATATGACCAAGTAGATACATCGATGCCATGTCTGGTCAAGCCAATCCTTCCACCTTGCTCGCCACAGCAGCGATCCCATCTTTCAAATGTCCTTTGGGTACAAAGATGCATATTTTGAACCTTGGAACACTTCAGGCGGATGAGTCTTGGTACGTTCAGTGAAATAGAAAATGATTAAAATAAACTGTATGGGTATTTAACATGGCTGTTAGGATCTTTCGCGGTGGCAACACAAGCACGCTCAGTGATCTTAACCCAGAGAATAAACGCCGCGATCTCGTTGTTCTTTCTGCACTAATCGAACATCCACATGCTGGGTTAATTCTATTCGAGACTGGGTGTGCTGAAGACCTTGAAGTGGTAGGTTCAATCCATTGCCTTAACATCCATGCCAGTGGTTCCTGGGTGCACATTGTTATGCCGAATCATCATTCAAAAGTCCGACTTCAACATTTTGAAGTGCTCCCGAGCTAATGATAAAACTTCAATTCTCTTTTCAGAAGTGGGGAGCTCCGCTCACAGATATATTTCCACGGATTGAATACTCAGAGGGTCAAAAGCTTCCAAATGCCATTAAATCAGCTGGCTATGACATCAAGGATATCAAGGCTGTTGTAATTGGCCATCTGCATCTCGACCATGCTGGCGGACTCGAGAACTTTGTAGATACAGATGTGCCTATCTATGTTCATGAAGAAGAGTTCAAGCACGCATGTTGGGCTATCGCAACTGGTGCTGATCTTGGCGTTTATCTGGGACACTATATGCTCCTCGAGAAGCTTAATTGGAGTACTTTCACCGAATCTACCTTGGACCTTTTCCAAGGCATCACTCTTCACCATGCGCCTGGCCATACCCCCGGGCTTTGTATGATGCAAGTGAATCTTGAAAAGGATGGTACCTTCATTTGGACCACTGATCAGTTTCACGTCGCGGAGAATTATGAACTCGGACATCCCCACGGCGGACTAGCAAGAGACCACAATGCCTGGTATCGCAGTCTCAATCTTGTTCGCCGGCTCCAAAGACTTTATAACGCGCGGCTGATCTATGGGCATGATAAGGGTGTATTCAACACTTTGAAATCTGAAAAGAAGGTTTTTGAGTGAAAGATATTCAGTGAATGGCAAAAGCATTCGTCTTCTGAACATGTCACAAAGCTGAAATCATATAATAAGTTATGGACATCATTGAATAAATGACTTAGATTTCCTGCTTTCGAAAGCCCTGAAGGTACCCCTTCTTGCACATCTTTCTTGAACTTAAAATAAAAGATCGAAATAAAGAAAGGGGACGAGAACATTGATTCTGACTCGTACTACTTCAGGTATGTACAAAGGCATTTTCGGTAGACTACTGGCCCGTAAAGGCCAGCGACAGATTGACGACAGACTGAAATTTACATAAAATTGCTACTCTTCTGGTAAAGACGCATCTCCGTAACTACTAATTAATCGTTCACAAATTTGACGTCCGAGGTTGCGCCATCCTCAACTCCTGCGATGACTTGAGGCGTCTAAACATTCCGAGTCTCAGGCCCCGTGCTTTCCAAAAACATTTTCTCAAGCTCGTCTTTCTGGTTAGTTGCTAGTTGGGTAATATGGACAGCCACATGGTCACCGAACTTGTCTCCAATTTCTTCAAGTGCTAGGCCTTTTGTCTCTGGGAGCATGATCCAAAGTAAGGGTGCTTGTATGGCAGTGAGGAGGATAAAAAGCAAGTAGTACTTCCATCCTACTTGCGCGAAAGCAGTGGGTGCCGGTATCAGATACGCGACCGTGGAAAGGAACAAAATAGCAAGCGACCAAGACATCCCTCGGGAGCGGATATGAGTTGGGAAGATCTCGCTGCAATAGACATAGGTTGCAGCATCCACGAAGCAACCATAGCTGTATATAGTATTTTCAAATAAATATGTCGTCCTGATAGGGAAATAAGACTTTGGCACTTACAATGAAATGTAGAGAAAAAGAAAGAAAACGCCAGCACTCAATCCAGCATGATTTGTTGTTCCAACATAAGTTGCTGAGAGCGCAGCTTCAAATATGAGACTAATCCCACAACCGGAAATACCAATAACTAGATATGTTAGAATTAAAAAACTGGGTTTTCTCATCTCTGGCGGTTTTGACATACCAAGCGAGGTCCTTCGGCCAATGCGATCGATCAACAGGGAGCTGATATAATTTCCACAGAAAGCAACTGTCACGTATGCAGCTGCTAATAGTAAAGGTATACTTCCAGTAAAACCAAGACCTTCATACAGGAGAACGCTGTAGTTATATACCACTAGTATCCCAGTTGATTCCGAGCCAAACATCACAAGAAAGGCACAAATCATGCGTTTTCGGTAGGAGGTCTTGGTAAACAGAGTCCAAACGGTCTCCGAGTTGGACATTTCTTGGTCCTCGGCGACTTGTTTGGTGATTTGATAGAACTCTATTTTGGCGAATGACGATCGATCTGATGAGCTCTTTGTATCGTGGAGTTTTTGCAATACTTCCCAAGCCTCGCGGGGCCGATTTTGCATCAGAACTAAATAGATAATTAATTATCAGTTATACAAGGTAAATTTATATCGGGATCTCACGCCAGCGAGGCGACTCGGGAAGCAAAGGAGTCATTATGAACATAACTAGCGGCCAAAAAGCCTGGAGGCACAGCGGGAAGCGCCACTGGAATGCAGGCATTGTCGAAAAATAACAACCGTATCCGATCCAGGCGGCTGCCGAGTAACCAAAAACAACAAGGACCCCTACTTTCATTAGCTTGATCGTTTTTAGCACGTTACTCAATTATATTGCTCACCATGTTGGGAAACAAGAAAGCCTCGGGTAGCGGGAGGCGCAATCTCGGATTGAAAAAGGGGAACAAGGACCATTAGCACACCTAATGGATCGAGTTAGCTTTAAAGTGAGATATGAGAGCAACTGCGACCTACCAACTGCAAATCCACCAATCAGCCGACCGGCAAGCAGCATTGCAATATTCACAGATCCTCCTTGCAACGCCCCTCCAAGAACTCCAATTGGGGTACAAACGAGGAGGGTTTTCTTTCGACCCAAGGCATCACAGGCCCAACCACCAAATATAGCACCGAGAAAGCCACCACCGGAAAAGCAGCCATTTAAGCCACCAATGATTCGATTCGTAAAAGCATAAGAAGGAGAAGATTCGTTGTCAGAAAGATTGAAGTAGCTAAAGAAGGAAGACTGTCCTAGTGTGGTTGACGTGACACTAAACGAGTAACCATAGGTTAAACTTCCTAGACATAAAGCCAAGACAGTCTAATAAAATCATTAGGTGAAAGACAGAATTTGGAAAGAAGTCAGATTCGCTTACAGCGAAATTGAAGGCTCCAACATGTCGCTCGCTGTTAATCCCCATTGTGTAAATCTCAGTTTACCAACGACCCTGCAACTGTGAATGAGAGCAAAAAAGTAGCTTCTGTACAACATTCTTCAGGAAGAAAATTATAGAGGGTTTATAGGTCAATCCTGTCTTTTTATCATTTGCATAACTTTAAGTGATTGGCGATTGAATCAAGCTCAGCCGAAGTCGTAACATCTCTTTGGATAGGACATAGATACCGTAGAATTTCCGCGAGATCCCCACAAGGTAGACACATCACAACAATTGGATGAACCACTCGACTTTTGAAACTCAATTTACTACCCCATGGGGAACATGGTTAGCTCCATGTCTTGTTTTCGGAAAACACGACCGAGCCGCGGCCAAGGAGCCCCGAAAGGCCGATGGCATCACTTTTCCATTTTATTTATTTTGTTATTAGAAGAATTCAAAGCTTAGCCCCGAGATTTGCTTATGTGTTTTAATGGTTTAAATTGGGGTATTATGGAAATACCACAAAAAGTGGCCATTTTTGTATAAAAGCCAATGATATACTAATAATATCTAATTGTTCACTTTCTAAATGTGCATCAATACGCTACGTGGTTTGCTTTTGACATTTGTATGACTTTATCACTGAAGTTGGCCATCGCGCATCACATTGCGACTGAACATGAACTTTTGTATAAAGTATAGTAAAATATGATGTGAACTTCTACCGGCGTTGCTACTAGTGATATCGCTTCTCATTTAACCTTAGGAAGTATCACAGCGGATCTTAAATTTAGTTTATAAAGGATTAATTCAAATTCATATTTAGAGCAAAGTAACTCATTTCAGTCTCAGATAGTCATGATCTTGCTCCTCAATCAAATATTCATGCTTGAATCATAGTCAAAGTCAATAATATGATACATCATCGGCTCTGATGTTGGGGATAATAACTTACTTGATCAGAATGGTTTTGGGCTCAGTAAACGATCGCAAAGCCTATTTAGAATATTCAGCATCTATCATCAGTAACCACAACTTTGCTAGATCGTTAGACTCACGTATTCTCCGAACTCTCTCCCAATCCCGGATGCCTTCTTCCCACCGAAAGGTACTTGGACATTCATCTAAGTACCATCAATTAGCTGATATAAAATAAAGATTAGAGATATAGCTCACAGAGCTGACGCAGTTAACGCCAACAACCCCAGACTCTAAGAGGGCTGACATGCGGAGCGCTCTGTTCAGGTCCTTTGTGAATACCCCGGACATGAGGCCAAACTCGGTGTCGTTCGCCAGCGCTAGCACTTCCTCTTCATTTTCAAATGTTTTGATAACGGACACTGGGCCGAATATCTCATTTTTATAAATTTCAGCACCCTCTTTCGGGTTCAAGAAAACGGTGGGCTCGACAAAGCAGCCTCGTTCGCTTTGGCGGACTCCTCCCACAACAAGCTCAGCTTCTAATCTGCCACGCTCAATCATCCCGTTAACACGTTCAAAGGCGGCTTTATTAACGAGCGGACCAATCAATGTAGACTCTTCTAGGGGGTTGCCCATTTTTGCCACTGCCTCCTTCATACGCTGTTTATACCTTTCGATAAAATCTTCTGCTACAGATTTCTGGACATAAATGCGGGATGCTGCCACGCAAACCTGACCAGACCGAGCAAGAATGGCATTAACGGTCCTGTGTGAAAACCTTTTAGCATATTGAGCTTAAGTAAATCGGAATATCAGATTTACCATGTTAAGGCATTATCCAAATCAGCATCTTCAAATACTAGGGCAGGGCTTTTGCCACCCAGCTCGAGAGTCACACGCTTCAAGTTGCTCTTTGCTGCAGCAATTTGAATTTTCTTGCCAGTTGCAACACTCCCAGTGAAGCTAATCTGCATGCTTTTTATTAGTATATCATGCTTCACAATCGTTCAAAATACAATTAGCGATACATACCTTGCGAATACGCATGTGTTCCGCTAATATCGCACCCGTGTGTCCGGCGCCAGTAAGGACTTGAAAAACTCCATTTGGAAAACCAGCAGCTTCAAAAAGTGCTGCAATGGCTAAGGAGCCCAATGGACTGTTTTCGGAGGGTTTCAAAATCATCACATTCCCAGTGGCAAGGCATGGCGCGGTTTTCATGATGAGCGTGGCGACGGGGGCATTAAACGGATTAATCCCAGCGCATACACTGGTTTTATCAGTTATATCTCAATCCCCGAAAGTTAATAAATAATGGCTAAGCTCTTACCCAAGAGGCTCGTGACGTACGAGTTTGACAAACCCATCATCGGCTGGAAAGTAATCGCCTCGCATCTTGTCGGTCCACCCCGCTTCGAGTCATTTAATTACTGGCATTCAACATTACGCTTGGCTGAACTTACCGTAATAATTCAGTTGGCCGATGATATAGTTCTTCTCTCTAGTGGGGATAATGGAAATCGGGTTTCCAGTGCTGAGGGCGTCTAGTGTCAATATTTTCTCAAGGCGTTCATCTTCATTCAGGATGTCTGCTAGCTTTCGAAGGCATGCCCCTCTCTGGGCACTAGTGAATTTACTCCAGGGCCCATAGAAAGCATCTTGTGCGGCATTCACGGCATCATCAACGTCTGCCTCTCCCGCAATTGGGATTTTATCTGAAATAACTTGGTCATCATTTGGGTTATACAAAGTATACCACTCGCCGGACTTTCCCTTGACATATTCCCCGTTGATGTATAGTTTATCCTGTAGCTCCGCTGGGGAGGGAATTGGTTGCGGGGAAGGCATATCTTAGTAGTTGTTATGGCTGTTGGAAACTTGAAACCTGTGCCAGTGGTCAGTCAATTCGAAGGAGCAACGATGGCTGGGTCGGCTCAGCAAGATAATATCCACATTTCCAAAGTGTAGCATGTTCAGCTCCTACCTTGGAATATGTTTCTTCTGCTGAACACTCCGGTGTCGCAATGCTAGGCGCGTAGGATTTCAATACCTCGGATGGAGGAGGAAGAATGCGGAGACATATTTACTTCGGTCGGGGATTACCCCGATCTCTGGCCTCAATATCCGAAAAGCCGAGACTATCGGCCTACATCCCCGCATTCAGTAGCCCGAGAGCCGGTGGACCCCAGGAATAGGCAATCATGCCCAGCGAGTATTGAACGGCTTTATCACATTATTATGTAGACTGATGACTATTCTCCTTCTTTTCACTCGATTATCCCTCTCCTGTCCCTGTCTACATTATCTGATCAGTGGAAACAATATTCGAGAACACGCTTGCGATTAGAATAAGAAGAAGATGCAAGCTGCAGTCTACGAAGGCCCCTTCAAAATCACTGTGAAGGAGAGACCTAAGCCAATTATTAAAGATGAGAGAGACGCGATCTTGAAAGTGCAGCTGGCAGGATTATGTGGAAGTGATTTACATGCATATCGTGGGCACCAGAAAACGACCACTGGACATATAATGGTAAGACTGCTTACGGGAAAAGATGGTAATAGTAAAGCTGACGTAGATTTAACAGGGTCATGAGTTCCTAGGCGTCATTGAGACTGTCGGACCAGCCGTTCATAAATTTAAAGTTGGTCAAAAAGTGATGTCTATCTTTTCGCCAATGTGGTGAGTGCCCTCTAGATGTTCCTACATATTCCATTATTCTTAGAGGTCGTACTCAGCTTCATAGCATGGAATGCTGGTTCTGCAAGCACGGTTATACAAACCGATGTCAAAACGGACCATCATTCGGTAGTATGGCACTGGATGGTGGCCAAGCTGAGTATGTCCGCATTCCTTTTGCCGACAGTACGCTCGAAACAATCCCCGAAGATGTGGACGATGATCTGATGATGTTAATGTGCGATATATTCCCTACTGGCTACTACGGGACTATGAAAGCTCTCACAAAATTGATGCAGAATACAGAGACTGCTGAGACCATTTTCAACTTTAAACCAGTTCCATCCGCACCTAAGTTATATTACACACGACAGGAGCTTAAAGATGTAACTGTGGTCTGCTTGGGGTGTGGGCCAGTTGGGATATGTGGTGTACTTACGGCTGTGGCTCTTGGTGCTGGCACAGTTTACGCAGTCGACTCAGTTCCAGATCGCTTGGAACAAGCTAGGAACATGGGCGCTATACCTTTGACACTCGGGGTTGATGATATCGTAAGTATCATTAAAGCGGCTACTGATGGGCGGGGTGCGGATGCTGTGGTAGAAAATGTTGGAAACAGAGCCGCTATGAGACTAGCCTTTGACTTAGTGAGAGCTTGTGGTGTGATTTCATCCATTGGCTTTCATCAATCAGACTTGCCGTTTGACGCTTTTGAGGCATATTCTAAGAACATCGAGTGAGTTAATGATATCATTGAGATATTCATTGCCATGGAGCATCACTAACTATCAAAAGTCTTAACATGGGACGAGCAGCTGTGCGCCCAGTATTCGGAGAAGCATTGAGAATCCTGACCGAGCACCAAGACAAACTGTCCAGCTTCATCAGCCATAAAATGCCACTTAGGGAGGCACCCGCAGCCTACGATATGTTCGAAAAGCACCAGGCACGAAAAGTGCTTTTCACGCTATGATCTTCTGTTAGAGATCTCTTAATTAGCTTTATCTATCCACAGAATCAATGGCACAATTGCAATCATATTTCTTCAAATTTGTGTATACGCGAGAAATGTTTCGGCATCTTTCCTATATGAGTGGCTCCCCTATTGCTAATGAGACCCAAATAATGATAGTCCATCACGTTAAAGTCTGCGGCATGTACAAGATTAGAGTGCGTCATGCAAGTGAGACTGAGATATCTCTTTTGTTTTCCTAAAGATATTAGAATAACACTCTTTTTGTGGCCTAACAATACTGTCGACGTCCTTCCTGACAATCCCGGGCCCTATTCCCGATCATTTCCATGCCTCGTATCTAGTATGTTACCCCACCAGATCCATCGCTGCCTACCCCGCCGAGTTTCCAGAAACTCGGCCCCGAAGTCCGTGGAAGAATGAAGGAATAGAAGTGAATGTCATTCTTTGGGGATACCCATTTCTGTAATATTCGAGCGACTGGGTGGTGTCGTGTTCCTATATAGTACAAGCGGGTATATCCAGCGTGACAAATTATTATATTCGTGTATCACATATATCCGCATCACGATGACAACGTCTCAAGTAGTAGAAAGTCGAGGTTCTCTCCTTGGACTACCTACCTACCCTGATGATCCGGAGTTTACAGGACTAACGGCATTGGTGACGGGCGCAAATGGGATTTCCGGATACCACATGGTTCGAATTCTCGCCGCATCACCCGACCGCTGGAGTCGCATCTACTGTTTGTCAAGACGACCACCCCCTCCAAACTTCTTCGAGGACTTGGGCGATGGAGCATCACGTGTCAAACACATCTCAGTAGACTTCCTCTCAAGTCCTGTGGAGATTGCAGAACGCTTGAAAGCTGAGATTGACAAAATGTACGTTACAGTTCGGTGATAATCAGTAAAACAGAGCAAAACAAACCCAAAAGCAAAAGGAAAAAAAACGGGACTATAACTGGATCTGACATCACTGAAATCTATAGCGATCATGTGTTCTTCTTCTCCTACATGCAAACCCAGCAGAAGGGCAATGTTCTTGGGATGTGGTCTGATGCAACTGCATTAGCTGAGCTGAATGGTATGATACAAAAACCGCCTTTTAGATGAGGTCGCTGACAATTTATGCAGGTAGCCTTATCAGGAACTTTTTACATGGCCTAAAAGAGGCAGCTCTCCAGCCAAAGCGTTTTCTACTGCAAACCGGCGCTAAGCACTATGGATTCCATATGGGACCGGCGACCAACCCCTCATTTGAATCTGATCCTCGCATAACCTTGGAAGATAACTTCTATTATCCCCAAGAGGACGCATTGGAGCGCTACTGTAACGATACTGGCGCGGCGTGGAATGTCGTTCGTCCATCCTATATCATTGGTGCCGTCCGTGACAGCGCTTTGAATTTCATGATTGGCCTCGCTATATTTGGAGCAGTCGAAAGTCATCTTGGAAGACCTTTGAACTTCCCCGGTGATTATGCGGCTTGGGATCGCGAGTACTGTCAGAGTACCGCATTGCTCAATGCCCACTTTCAGGAATGGGTCGTACTGACTGACACCGCTGCCAATCAGGCATTCAACATCCAAGATGGACAGAATTTTACCTGGGGACGCTTCTGGGCGTATTTGGCCACCTGGTATGGTACCACTTGGCAACCACCCGCTGATGACGAGAGCAAGTATAAACAGGTCCGATGCCGACACAAGAACACACCGAGAGGGTATGTCAAATTTCCCCTCACGGAGTTTTTTAGCTCTTATACTAACACTATAAACGCAGATATGGTCCTACCGGCACAACCCGGTCCACTTTCAGCTTCTTGGAGTGGTCTGGGCGCTTGGAGGTTCAGAAGGTGTTTGGAGAGCTCGCCGAAAAGCATGGGCTTGTGCTAGAGCCTTTTACCGAGAAAAACAGAGCTCAGATTTTCGGAATGGTGGACTCTGCAGTATTGGGTGACTGGCCCCTTTCTCTGAGCATGCGCAAGGCACGTAAATTGGGATTTTTTGGCACTGCGGATTCTTATAGGTCTTGCTTTCAGGCGATGCATAATCTTGCCCGACTCAAGTTAGTTGTTCCGCCAATGGTCAAGGAATACGTCGAATGATCCGATTTGTCTCTCTAGGAGGAGAATACAATATATCACTAGACCGAAATGATTCAATTCAAGCCAAATCGTGAATATTGTCCTGTAAATACTAGTAAGTAGTAGTTTGAGATGCTGTATATCTCGATGTCATGGAATTTTAGGTTCGTTAAAGCGTGCACAGGCACTCTGGTTGAATTTTCCCGATGATCGCTATCTGCCGTACATGAAATTGAGTCTCGGCCTTAAGAGATCTGATAACCCCGCACCATCTCGATCCGGGGTAAAACTGGTACCAAGGTTTGAGATCGGACCCCAGGATTTTACTCTTGATTAGAATCTGTCTAACCAACATCATAATTTCTCGCACGTTCCTGCGTCTTCAAAGATCGGAGGTTTCAAAGTCTCTGCGGTGAGGCAATACGCCGCTCTTCCATCCAAAGAACCCGGTTGGGGTAATATTGCCGCGAGAATGCACGCGTGTGAACGATGCTACTCGCGCAAGACCAGATGCGACCGACGCGTTCCCCAGTGCAGCTCGTGCCTAAAGAGTCGATCAACATGTCAATATTCGAATAAACGGCGTATTAGACAGCTTCCACAGGAATATTTGGAATCCTTAGAGGCGCGCCTGGATGAGCTGGAGCAGGATAATAAGCGGCTTCGAGAGCAACGGAGTATTACATCGCCATCTCCCTCCGCCATAGATTGCAGGGAGTTAGAAATACCAGATTCTTCTCTCCAGTCAAATCTATCGAACACTCAGTTAAATGCGACCGACACGAATGACGCGCTCCAAAATACTTCCCCGACTCGGTCATCTGGCTCTCTACATCGAACGCCGTGTGAAGAATCGCGGTATTTGGGCTCAAGCAATGGTGTTGAGTTTATCGATGTCGTTGAGCGAGCTGTAGATTTTCCTAACGCTGGTGGTCTATTTGGTCGAGTGACGGCTTATCGCACCAATCCAACTCGAATAGCTGTACCGTCTTCACTCCAATCTGTCACCCTTGTGGATGAATCTGTCGCAATGCCTTTAATCAAATCCTACTTCGAACACTGGCATTTGACATTCCCGCTATTGCATCGGCCTTCATTCATGCAGATGGTCGAGCAAATATACAACGATACAACACTTTATCGGCGCGATGCTGCCTGTGCATTTGCCTTCGACATTGTGCTCGCGCTTGGATCAATCCCATCAAAGAGAACGGCACAATACGTCAGCGACGCAGAGTCACATTTTGTTCGTGCATTAGCTCGGCTGGATGGACTGTCCGGATTCCGGGACATCAGGTTGTTGCAGGCATTTCTACTCTATTGTAAATATGGCATTCATGCCAGTCTCCGTGATACTTCTAGTGAGATGTGGGAGCTTCTTGGTAAGGCTACACAGCTCTGTGTTGAGCTGGGCCTACATAACAGTCCCTCTGTCTTTTCTCCAAAATGCGATATGCATATCACTGGGCCTTTACCGTCGTCTATACAAGTGGAGATGCTGAGACGGTGCTTCTGGTGCTATTACAATTTGGAAAGGTACGATCACCCCAACCGTCCTAGGAAGCATATGGATATTAATATTCAGGGCAGAATTGTGAACATCTCTCTCGGGAGACCCTTCACCCTACATGATGATGATATTCATGTACCCTTACCTTCGACTCTAGATGACGATGACCTTGAGAGGTCCCAAAATGCTACAGATCAGAGTTCCTCTATCATCACACCTTTTCTCCATCATATAAAGCTGCGTCGCATACAGTCAAAGATCCATCGTTCGATGTACACCAGTCGTGCAGTTCAAGATCTACCTTTACACGAACGACAGGCAATTCGAGGAGATATATTCCATGAACTACAGGTCTGGCGCAGCGATATTCTACGTCTCCAACTTCCAGGCAATTCCAAGACCCCATCTGTAGTTGTTTCCTCCAACTTCCTTCATTCAAGTTGGTATCAGGCTCTATACAATAGTGCATGTCTAATGCTGTTTCGACCCTCGACCACATTTCCAGCTATGGAAGGTCATGAATCCGACGAGGAAGCAGACGATGTTCTCCGATTAATTTGGGAATCATCTCGTCAAGTGCTAGCTAAATATTTTGATCTTCTTCGGTCCCGTCATTTGAATTACTCATGGGTTTGTCTGTACACAATCTTCATGGCGGGTTTAGCCAATGTGTATAGCATAGGATGCTGTGCCCAGCGATGGAAGCGTGGTATTCTGGCATTTCTTCCATCGTATCTAGATGTTGTCTCCGATGTTCGAGACTGTTCAAACATTCTTACCGCTATCTGCGAAAAGTGGGATGATGCGCGAGGCTCATGCGATATTTTTAATCAACTAAGCATGAGCGCCTTAAAGGAACTGGCCACGGCAAGCTTGCAGCCCATTACAGCGGGTGTACAAGATATCCAATCCGACAATGGCGCGTGTCGGCGATTTTCTGAATCTATGCCAGTAACCAAACGACCTCAAGCGGAAGGGACAACATCAAGAATGGAGACGAGGTCAACTCAGGTACAGCATTCCGGACCCCCACTACATGAGCCAATCGCCCTTCCCAACATAGGACAGCATACCAGCAATATTTACTCTGAGTTCGACCCGATAATTGATTTCCAGCAGCTATTTCAAGGTCTTCAGGATTCTGTTCACGCAAACGATGTCATGGATTCCAACGAAGTAATGCAAGGGTTTTCTCAGGAGTGGTTCGGGAGGTGAGACCATTTCTTGTTCATTGTCAACTTAAATTTACGGATTCCATAGTGTATACATATTTTTCTCATCTGACTGGAGCAACATCGAATTCCCACCAGTGATCTGGCATATCATAATATTGTCTGTGCGGATCTGCTTCAAAGTTTGCATATTGCATGACTTAAACTACCCCCTCATGCCGTAATTCCGAAACCTTTTCGGCACTAAATCCCAAATCCAATAAAACGTCCTCGGTGTGTTGGCCAAGGGATGGAGGACCTTCTCTAATAGTTGGCTTTGTATGACTGAACTTAACCGGCATCCCTGATCGATAGTTCTGCATTTAGTACAATAATTCTAGGCGACTTCCGAGCCAGATATGCACTCACCGATTACTTGGATATCCCCAGAGACAGATGCAGGGTTCTTGATTGTTTCGATCATTTTCCTAGCGATGGCCTGTGGATGTGAAAAGACCTTTTCCAAAGAATTGATAGGCCCATAGGGCATGCCGCTGCCTTCAAAGACCTTCTCCCAGTCCTCTGTTGTCTTTGTCGCGAACGCCTCATCAAGTATCTGCTTCAAGCCATGACGGTTCTGAACTCTGTTTTTATTATCAATAAAGCGAGAGTCATTCCCTAACTCAGACTTTCCGATTCGTGCGCACAAGTTCTTGAACTGTTTGTCATTCACGGCGCCAATTACTAGATAAGAGTCTTTGGTCCTGAAAGCCTCGTAAGGAACGATTGAAGGATGTCCCGTCCCCCAGCGCTGAGCTTCCTTGCCAAGGTTCATCCAAGACATGCCTACATTGCACATTATTGAAACTGTCGTTTCAAACAAGGATGTATCAATGTGCTGCCCGAGCCCGGTTTTTTCCCGTGCAAACAGGGCAGACAGGATTGCGCCATGAAGGTACAGACCTGTGCACATGTCCATCAAGCCAACACCTGGCTTGGTAGGAGGCCCATCCGCTTCGCCAGTGATATGAAGCAAGCCGCCTTCCGCGGCTCCGATGACGTCGTAACCTGCACGCTGTGCGTATGGGCCACTCCCACCATACCCTGCCGATTATCGGTTAGAATGAAATTTTACACTCTTAGTGCTCTCCTAGATAAGACTGACCAGATATACTTGCTAAAATGATTGATGGGTTCACCTCCTTTAGGGTCTCAAACCCCAGTCCTAGTTTGTCCAGCTTCCCGGGAATGAAATTTTCCACGCTGGGATCGTTATCCTCTATTTAGCAAGGGTTCCTTCTAATGGTGATCTGTGTTACTTACACAACATCGGCCTTCTTGGCAAGCTCTAGTGCAATATCCTTCCCCTTTTCTTGCTTTAGATTCAGGGAGATTGATCTTTTGTTCCGATTTATCGTATTGAAATAGAGTGACGTATTTGTACAATCTGATTTCCAGAACTTCTCTTCGCCAGATTCACGCCATAGGCGTGTATCATCCTAAAAGTTCACTATTCAGTCCGTGTAAAATCAATGGAAGTTTGGAGTTTTAACACACTCCACCATTTGGATTCTCAACCTTGATCACGTCTGCACCGTAGTCCGCTAGAATCTGTGTACAGAAGGGACCCTGTTTCAAATGTCAGAAGAGGAGAAGTCTGATGAGTCATGCTATAGCACTCACTGCTAGTACTCTCGTCAAATCCAATATCCGAACACCCTTCAAAGCGCCACCTGTATTCCGGCATGACTCTGTGTGGCTTGCACGTCTACATTGAATCCCTTGGACATTGGAATGCGACCCAAGCTTAGAGTTCGTTCGAAGGAGACGATACATTGAGATATAGTCCAATGAAATTGCGAAAATTCAAGAGGAAATCACTGCAGAAATAATTATTTCGCTCTGTATAAGCAATCCAATGGTGCGAGATTGATTCACGGTTGGCGTGTATATGGCTCCCTATCGATATCTGGCTTGTTTGATCAGTGCTCAAATCTCCGGTTTCCGTATTCTTCGAGATTCTGGCGATCTTCCCGTCAAAAAAAATATTAAACTAGTCTCACGGATTTCCCCGTTTACTCAAGCTCGGGTTCATGACTATGTGGGTATATTAGTTGTGCCTCGGTACAGTCCGTCCGAGATCATTTTTCGTATGCCGGACATTCAGGCCAGAACATTTCAAGCACACGCCGATTATTACCTTGACGATCGGTTATGTGACTTAAGTTGGTTCGGAGACCTGCAATTGAGCTTTTTCCGTATCATACACTAGTACCAGTGCTCTACATTGTCAACTCGCGGCTTCGGCCTTTCGGACCCGAAGATAGTATAAGGTTTGGTATTGTCGGACTAGCGCCCGATGCCTATAACAACCTGCCTCGGTAGTGCGGACTTATTCAATACCCATTGATGTAGCGCACATAATCGCCATACAGCCGATTGTATTATGCACGCTATATTAACTTCATGATTAGAGATGTACTACATAGATTGAACCTTCATTCAATGGTGCGATGGCAACATTTCGATTGAGTACTTCGGTAAGAGAGCAATTGCCCAAACACTAAGAATTCTTCTCTCATATACTAATAATGGTGAACAGTTGTGCTTACGAGCTCACAAGTTTCGTCCAAGGGTGGTCACTCGGAATGCATCAGCATCAATTCTAGGCTATACCAGTGTCCGCAGCGCTCACGCGCGTGCGACAGAATACCTCCAGAATCATGATGCTGATCTGACAGAATCGCAACAAACTGTCCGCGAGGCAATTAGCAAAATATGTGCGAACTACCCCGATGAATACTGGCTCAAAAAGGAGGAAAGGAAAGAGTTCCCTGTCGACCTTCACCGTGCCCTCGCCGAGCATGGCTGGCTGGGTATTTGTATGCCGTCAGAGTATGGCGGGTCAGATCTAGGCATTAGTGAAGCCGCAGTAATGATGCAGACAATCTCCGAATCCGGAGGAGGCATGACGGCAGCTTCATCGGTGCACATGAACATATTTGGTTTAGAGCCCGTGGTCAAGTTCGGCACAGATGAACAAAAGAAGCGCTGGCTTGAGCCCTTGATTGCAGGGAAAGAGAGAGCTTGTTTCGGAGTCACAGAGCCGAACACGGGACTTGATACTCTGCGGCTACAGTCTCAAGCACGCAAAGATGGTGACTCGTATCTTCTTTCTGGGCAGAAGATATGGATCTCGACCGCACAGAATGCACAGAAGATCCTGATTCTGGTGCGAACAACCCCACTTGACCAGGTCACCAAGCCATCGCAAGGGCTTTCCCTCTTTTATACGGATATCGATCCCTCTGTGGTAGAAATCACCGAGATTCCCAAGATGGGTCGCGCGGCGGTTGATACAAATACTCTCTTCTTCGAAAATTGGCGCGTCCCCGCTAGCGATCTTGTCGGGAACGAAAACGAAGGCTTCAAAATTATCATGCATGGTATGAACGCTGAGCGAATCCTCATCGCTGCGGAGGCTGTTGGGCTTGGGTACGCGGCTCTACGTAAAGCAGCAATTTATGCCGGAGAAAGACACGTATTTGGTCGTCCGATCGGCAAGAATCAGGGAATTCAGCATCCACTGGCTGATAGCTGGATGAATCTCGAGGCCGCCCGACTCATGATATACCATGCGGCTCGTATGTACGATCAGGGTTACGCCGCAGGTGAATATGCCAACGCAGCCAAGTACCTCGCTGCCGAAGCGGCGTTCCAAGCTTGCGAGCGGGCAGTCATGACACATGGAGGTATGGGTTATGCGAAGGAATATCATGTTGAACGGTATCTTCGGGAGGTGTTCATTCCTCGTATCGCTCCAGTCAGTCGGGAAATGATCTGTAATTATATAGGAGAGAGGATATTGGGGCTACCTAAATCCTTTTAATTATCCATGTGGAAAGTTCAAGGTGTATCATTCGCGAGAGCAACTTTGGCAGAAATGTCCGTGTGATTCAAAGTAGAATTGGTTCTTGAGCGAAATTGCAATCTATAGCCAATTTCTAAAGCCCGGATCAATCTAGCGAAACGTCTAATGCGGCATTCCTCGCGCATGGTATACCAAGATCTCACAGCCAAATTCGAACAGAGGAATCGGCACCACCAGTCCCGAGAACATAGGAGATATCTAGATCTTGGTTGATCTGCTTGGGCCCCCACCGAACACAAGTTATAAAATGATCGGAAAATCCATCAAATGTGTTTACCAATTGGCCGTCTTGCAACAGATCCCAGATGCGAATCGTTCGGTCATCTCCAACACTAGCCAGATATCTTCCACTGGGATGAAATGCAAGTCCTCGGACCCAACCCTCATGGCCAACCAATGTCTTAATGAGGATTCCAGTATCATTCCAAATCTTAATCGATTTATCCCTACTTCCAGTGGCGATGAAAGACGAGCCTCTTAATGAGACACCCAATACTGCGGTAGGAATAAGACCACCTAGATAAAGATGGCTCGAAGCTGGAGCAAAGGTACAGCACTCGATATAGCTTTCATGGCCGGACAAAGTCGCTTTGGGTTGGCCGGAAGATGTTTCCCATACTGTAGCGGTGCGATCATTCCCACCGACTACTAGACATGCTCCATCAAATGAAGGGGAGATATCACGAATCCAGTTCCCCTCTGTATGAATCGACCTGACGCAATAGCCGGTAAGGGCATCCCAAATGCGAATTGAGGCGTCGCGGCTTGCAGAGACTAGTAATGTGCCGGTCGTCGTCAAAAAGCGGACTGCTGAGACAGAATCATCATGGCCGTATAGCGTGCGAACATTTGAGTAACAATTATTCGGGTCCCATATCTTTATGGTGAGATCGTTTGAGCAAGATGCGAGTAGAGTGCGTCTCTGTGGTCTACCGAAATCAAGGCCTAGAACTGGTCTCAAGTGACCATTCAAGGTGTATTCCAGCGTGCCAACTTCACGATTCCAGATTTTGATGGAAAAGTCATCGGATGCTGAGGCTATTGATGGATGAACTGGATGGAATGCAATACAACTTATCGCTGCTCGGTGGGATTGCAATGTATGTGTAGCATGCATATCAGGCAGGCAGCTTTTCGGGGTCCCCCCAACACCAACAGGTGCTACATTCTCGAGTTTTGATTCAAGGTTAGAGACTCTAGATTCCAGGTCTAAAATCTATGGTTTTCATGTTAGTGTATCCTTTCTTTAATCAAGGCTGATAGGTATGTCTCACCCTCCTTTGTAACCGCATCACGTTCGTCCACTTCCGCGCCAAAAGCCCTTCATACTTCTTACGAGCGACATCATTAAAAGTGATGTCAACTGGAAGCTCTTTCTCCAGAACAGCAACACTTTGAATTGCATTCACAGAGGACAGGTACGCAATCATAGACTTGTGACTGCGTACATATATCAGCAGGAAGCATTGAAGTGAATGATAACCGAAGGGCCAACCTACAGCTCTCCTGCCTGCTTGGAAGTCAGAATGCAAGTCATGTTTGACACTGCGTGGGATAATGATGTTTTGGATGGGATTGAGATGATTGAAAAAGATATACAAACTCAACTACGCACATTACCGTCGCACAGGACCTGCAGCCGAAGTCGCACACAAAAGATATGTTCTCAAACCCATATCAAAAGGAATCATTGCATCGAGATAATTTAATTCGACATGGCGGATTTATTTGTAAGACTGTGACACGCGGTGTCGCAAATTGCTACCATTATATGCTGGGTCATGTTGATTTTTATTGTTGTTTTTTTTCTTGGGAATTGTACAGGTCCGAGCTGAAGCCAGCGGGTGACTATATGTGATATTCTTTGCTGTATGGGAAATTCGTGTCCCCCAGATATAGCGTCCGTCATAGGTACCACGTATCACAAAGGTGTGATCCTTTAGTGTATCAGAAACAGGTGGATGAAATGAGAAAGAAACGCCTATCGCCGTGCAATGCAAGTGCAAGAGAAAAGAAAGGATTGGAAGAGCCCGATGCCTTAAGCCTTGCCCTTTTTCTTGTCCTTCTTTTTCTTTTCCGGGCCAGCTCCAGAAGCGTCTCCTTGCATGCCTGGCATACCGGGCATACCGGGCATTCCAGGGATCGAAGGCATACCAGGCATGCCTTGCATATTCTGCATCTCCGCCATTGCTTCTTTGAAAGGGTTATCGCTAACACCACCACCGCTATAGGCAGGTGAATGGAGGGGCAAGATGGTTCCGATCTTCCAGCCACGCGGCGCCTGGGGTGCTTCGGGAAGCTTCTCGGGCATCGGCAAGCCACGAATGCGAAGTCGGTACGGAGATTGGTCGGTAGTTGGGTGGGATTTAAGATATTGCGCAACAAGGATGAAGAGATGATGCTCTGCAATGAAACAAGTTAGTACCACTCGACGCGCAATTGATGGAGGGGAAACCCTCGCCCGACCATTATTTGCCGGAGGTGTTACAATCACATACTATTCTTGATCTTGGGGTTGACCAGGCGGCCATTTTCGTCTTTGAGCAGTACACGCACTCGACCGGGGTTGGCCCAATCTTTGGGATGCAGCTTTTCGGGCTCCAGACCGGCCTTCAATCCCAGCATTTGAACCGCATCGACGATATCTCGAGCTAGTGGATTCTCGACAGCGAGCTCTCCACCAACCTTGCGGCCTTCGGCGCGGGAACGAGTTTTATCAAAGTAGACCGGGTAAAGACATTGGAAGTGCCTAGGAATCTCACGCTGAGGTTCCGGCACCTGGGTCATTGGCGGGGTTGGGGATGGGGTTGGGATTTGGTTCGGGGTTTCCCTTGTCGGAATTGAGGCGGGCGCAATGATGGTGTCTCCGGGGAGAGAGTCTGAGGGGGCGATCTCATCAGGATCAGAGTCCGATAACTCTTCAACACGAGCGTATTGCGACATGGCGAATTGGAACACTCGATCTAACGTTGGTTGTTCAAGTTGGAGGGGGTTTTGTGGGGGATGCGAAAAAGCATGGAAGAAAGTGCGGCAGTTTGAAGTGTCCTCTGTTGCTTGTGGGCGGAGAAGATTGACCAGTTGAGGGATGACTACATACTACATATAACAACAGAGAAACACTATTTGAGCTACGAACGTAAACTGTTATATGATTTAATAAATCAATTGGTTTCATTATTGTAACTAAATACATATCAATTAAATTTAAAGTTGTGCGGATGAATGAAAATACCCATTACATGGTGCTACATATATGTATACAATATCACCATCTACCGCAGTTATTAGTACCGGCTTTTCTGGAATCAACTCAACCTGGAGAGCGATATCATGATATACTTCACTTATTCAGGCATTAAATGATTTTCACACTAGCTTCATGCTGTTTAAAACCAGAAAAATAGAACTATTTGACCCAAAGAGTCGGTTGGGGGCCAAATTCCTCGGTGGCGATAGTCAACCAGCTTTCTTCTCGCCAGATGATGCCATGTGATGACCTTGGGAACTGATTAAGTTGTGTGTTAAATCTGGATATAACCTCGGAGATTATCAATTGGATAGCCGTCTGGTATTTCCAAGTTAGCCCTCGAAAGTTCGCGCGATGTAAATTCAAAACGTCAACATTCCCGGATTCGGTGGAGAAGATCAGCAACCATGGAAGTTCAAGATGTGGAGGACTGGAAACACATAAGACCATGTTCATCTACCAAGTAATCCGGGGACCTTATTATCAACATACTCAGATACTATTCATCAGCCCAACAGAGCATCTAGTACATAATCCTAGCTATACAAAGTGGGCTTATCATGATGTCTCCAAGCCAGTTCCAGGTGACCGACGAATCCTGGGGCAACCATTACCATGTAATAGCCTCGAATGACAGTGGGAAACACCATTTATTCATCGAGAACAATCCGTTTTCTAAAAGCCCATATGATATGACCATTCACGACGGTCCGAATATCGAGGGGCGCATCCTTGGGGTCTCCAAGTTTCGACAGTTCACTTCCAATTGCGACGTGAAGTTGGATGACGATAAGGAATGGATACCGATGGTGAAGAAAGGCTTGATCTCCCCAAGCTACTCCTTCGAGATGTCCATCGACGGAATCAATCACAAACTCTCCTGGAAAAAGACACGATCCATGGGAATTGGCGCCAGTGCTTATGGAAACTCCAAATTAGTGGACGAAGAGAGTCAGGCTGTACTCGCAGTCTTCTCTTCTGACCCGCATTCTTTAGTCACAGGTCAGTTGGACATTTATGGTGACCATGGCAAAACGTTTGGACACATGGCACTCCTTACGGGTCTAGTCTTTCGAGAAAAGCAACGACGTCAAAGCACTAGAACAGCTCGTGCGGGTCGGGATGATGTTTTTACTACTGGAACAGCCATCGGTGGGGCTGGAGGAGGAGGGTGTTGAACAAGAGCAGACAAAGTATCCATCCACGGTCGCATTTGACTAACTTGAACTATGGAGGAATACGCAAGCATCCATCGAGTCTCTGTATATAAATATGTACTATAATATTTTCATTCACTATCTATCTTAAAACTGTCTGAAGGGTTATTCTTGCCTATTTGAGCCAACGTCATTTTCCATCTCCTTCTCCCCCACACGTTCCATTTATCCATCTTAGACCATTTCATGCTGTCCAAGTGGGGACTTGGCAGGAGACAAGTTCTCCAATGGGAAATTAGAGCCCTTCCTCATGAAGCAATTGGCCATCTTGCGGTAGTATCGACACGACAAGGCCAGTCTTGGAGCCGACGATGCCGTGTCGTTGGGAGGAAGGAAAAATTACTCTCCGTGTCGGAGGAATTTTGCCGGCGCGATCGAGCCGAGGAAACCGGACATTCATCCGATGTCCGTAGTACTCTGTACGGTAATAGATGGAGAATACGCAGCTTAGAAACCCCCTTCTGGAGATCGTCAACTATAAAAGGACAAAAGAGGTAAAAAAACGTGCCTTGGAAGCAAATAGAATCCAATGCTAAACCAAATGCAGTGCCCGACACCTGCACAGTTTTGGTAACTGGACACCGAGCCACACATCGGTAAAAAAAGGCTACATGGAGTATAGAAATATCGGGGATTAAGGAAAGTAGCCGGTTAAAAACGGGTAATAAACATGACATCACGAATCATATAATGAGCCCATAGTACAAGAGGGGTAACAATTACTAGATTGACGTGCGAAACGGGGTAGAAGTGGGGGTTTAGGAGATTCGGGGGAGAAATTGGCCATGAAGTCCATTGACGGTAGACTATTCATAGGTTTAAAACAGAAGCTATCTACTGATATCTCAAGCTAAACCGCTATATTAAGAGTAGAATACATCTATTTCTGCAGTATGTCGCGATTGTCTTCTGTAGAATCCTAGGAGAAACCAATTCTTGCTCTCTGGGGGAGGAATTGTCCAGAACACGACTCGGTGGGGACCACTCCGATGGAGGGGCAAAAGCGTGGGGACGGGTTGCTACATTGTACGTGGGATGTATCCATTCTTCCAAGGTTCAGACCCCCGCCGGAGACACGTCGCCAATTTATTAGACGCGATCTCCCCAGCTTTGCGACTTTGTTGCTTTTCTTCTTTTCTCAATTCCCTGCTTTTACAACACATCTAAAAAAAAAGAACCAATTCCACTACATAACTATACACCATGTCTCTCGGCAAGACCTTCACTCTCAACACCGGTGCTAAGATCCCGTAAGTATACTACTTGGATGAGCATTAGAAAGAGAAGGTTACTGACACACTTTTACAGCACTCTGGGTTTCGGCACTTGGCAGTCCGCCCCTGGTCAGGTCGGCGAAGCTGTCTACCAGGCCCTTTTGGCTGGTTACCGTCATCTGGTATGTTGAGTATTCCCCATTCATTCCTTAAAGAGGTGATACAATATAGTTGAAACGCAGCATACTAACATTATTCTCCAAAGGATTTCGCTACCATGTATGTCATACACAATTACGTTCATCGCGAAGAATTCCGATCCCAGGAAGACGGAATATACTGATCAATTCTCTTCTTTAGCTACGAGAACCAGCGCGAATGTGCTGAGGGTATCAAGCGCGCATACAAGGATGTCCCCGGTCTGAAGCGCGAGGACCTTTTCATTGTAAGAGACAATCTGGACTGCCCTTCGCATGTCAGTTGTGACTCGTCAGGTGACAGTGACTAACCTTTTTGTTACTTTTACTAGACCTCCAAGCTGTGGAACAGCCAGCACAACCCCGAGGTCGTCGAGGCTTCTCTGGATGCTTGTCTCGCTGAGCTGGAGCTGGAGTACCTTGACCTTTACCTTGTCCACTGGCCCGTTGCCTTCAAGAAGGGTGACTCCTACTTCCCCCTGGTTGCTGGCAGCAATGTCGAGGGCGGTGATGTGGAGATTGAAGACAAGGTCTCCATCGTCGACACCTGGAAGGGTAAGTTCAATGCCATATACCAACAGCATAAGGTTTATCACTCCTGGAAACTCACACGATGACTATCTAGCTATGACCAAGCTCCCCAAGAGCAAGACCCGCGCCGTCGGTGTCTCCAACCACAGCATTCCTCACGTTAGTTGAACCCCCCACCCCCATTTTATGGAATATTTGTTTAGGATACGAACCCTCTATTAACACCTTTTGCCCAACAGATTGAGGCCCTCATCAAGGCCACCGGTGTTACCCCCGCTGCTAACCAGATTGAGCGCCACCCCGTCTTGCAGAGCAACGACCTTGTCAAGTACTGCCAGGAGAAGGGCATCCACATCACTGCCTACTCTGCTTTCGGTAACAACGGATTCAACGTTCCCCTTCTGATCACTCGCCCCGAGGTCCTGGAGGTCGCCGAGTCTGTTTCCAAGCGCACTGGCGAGAAGGTCACTGGTGCCCACGTTATGTACGTTTGAGATCCCGGGAATAATCTAAATGCTCGCGGCTAATATTCCCTTTACAGTCTTGCCTGGTCCCAAATCGGCGGCAACAGTGTCATCCCCAAGTCCGTTACCCCCTCTCGTATCCAGGACAACTTCCGCGAGATCGAGCTCACTGCCGAGGAGGCCGAGAAGGTCAGCGCTCTGGGCAAGGACCGCAGACGCTACAACACCCCTTACACTGCCAGTATGTTACGCCGTTTGATCCATTTTGAAGATGAATGTATTACTAACCTTTTTCAACAGACGTGCCTCGCTGGAACATCGACATCTTCGGCGAGCCCGAGGAGGCCGCTGCTGGCCACAAGGTCATCGTTTAAATGCACTCCCAACTGTTTTATGAATATGAGGACATGAAAAACAGCGTCTTGCTTGAAGCAAAAGGGATCAAATAGAATTGGGGATGTTAAAAGAATGTTAATTGAATACCCAGCGTCGTTCCCATTGATTGATTCTTCTCTATTTTTATACGTATATGTACTAGATTGCCTCTGGTTTCACTAATTGCCTGTGATTAGCGCACAAAGTAAAATCATACAATATGAAGTAAAATTGGGTTGTAAACTATATACACAAAGGAGCTTTGCTTATCCGTCTTATGTCTCAATGGTTACCTCCATGGAGTGATCTTGCTAACGGTAACCATTGTTGACACAATAAGATGTAAGATGTCAATTGAGTCAAGCCCGGCCTGCAGTTGACGCTTCCATATGACCGATGGCATTCTTGTCCATGCTATTCACTGATTCACTTCCATCAGGGTAAAGATGATGGACGTTTTGCTGTGGCGCCGCTTCCCCATCGCCCATCGTATCATCTTTCCAACCTTGCTCCGCATCCGGGTCAATGCCATCGAACATCTCATTGATTTCCTCCAGCGTCTTTCCTGCCGTCTCCTTCAGACAGAAATAAGTGAATGCAAGTATGAGTATATCCAATAGGCCAAATAGTAAAAACGTGGCCCATCCAATTCCAGCCATAATGTAAGGGGTCGAAAAGCTCCAGACAAAATTGAAAAGCCACTGTGAGCCAACCCCAAACGCCACACCTGGCTCGCGGATTCGGGTCGGGAATATTTCACTTGTGCACGGCCAAGGAAGGGGGCCCCAGCTGAAGTTATAGGCGATGATATCAAGGTATATCAGAGCAACGGTACCAATGCCTGCAGACGTGACAGCCCCATCGGTCGGGGGGTAGTTCTTGACGAGAGCCGCTGTGGCCAACATACAAACAGCCATGAAAGCAGCTCCTCCAGCAAGCATCGGACGACGTCCGAACCGGTCGGACATGAAAATGACAAAAATCAAACAAGCGACGACTTTGATGGCACCAAAAATTCCAGTAAGTAATAGATTCTGCTGCCCGGGGCCAACGAGAAGAGAGAAGAACTGCGGGCCGAAGTAGGCCAAGGCAGTCGATCCGGTCGACTGCTGCGCCAAGAAGAGTCCTCCGCCGATCAGAAGACGGTGGAGGTTGGGGCCTTCAAGTAATTCGCGTAGGTGGAAGCCCGCCGTGACATGACGCTCCTCTTCAAGACCTCGGCACATTTCTTCAAATTCTTCATGTACCGCCGGTCGATCGCCAGCACGGATCCACACAAGACTGTTCCACGCATCTGTCGTCCTACCATGGGCCAGGAGCCAGCGTACACTTTCATCAAGAGTAAACATGCCCAGACCCATCAAGGCACCTGGGACCAGCTGCAGGCCAATTGGTAGTTGCCACTGCATGGCGCTAGCGGGCATTTTTTCCACCCCATAATCAATCCAATATGATATTAGAATGCCAATCGTGTAGGTCAGTTGATAGCAACTACCCAGCTGGCCACGGATCTCTTTAGGACTCATTTCTGACATGTATATCGGGATAACGGTAGCAGATGCACCAACTCCCAACCCACATATCACACGTCCAATATAGAATACCGAAAGGGAATGCGTGTCGATAACTTCAAGTACAACGCCAATGCAGAAGACGATAGAGCAGAGCATCATAGCGATCCGCCTGCCCCACCGATTGGTCACAGGCCATACAATGAAACAACCAGCCAATGCCCCAGCCTGCTGGATACCAACTGCAACGGCACTGATACGAGTCTTCTGCTCCGCAGTGAATTGAAATGATTCTTGAAAGGACTCAAAGGTAAGAACGCCGCCTGGAAGAATACATACGCGTTAGAACAGAACAGTAAGAGAAAGGCCGCACTGATATTGATTCCAATAACATACCAATGACACCAGAGTCATATCCAAACAATGCACCACCGCAACAGAGCACAGTGGCCAGCCAGTATGTGCGCCATCGAGCTTTTGTCAGGCGTAGAGCTTCCATTGCCGGCTCCTCTAGCTCGGAATCCAATGCAGGGGATTGATGGTTGAGATTCTGGGGGATTTCCGAGTAGACCGCGGAACAAGAAGAATTGAAATTCCACCAGCTAGTCAGTCTGGCCTGCCAAGCTGAAAAGAAGGACTCAGGAGAAGAGGAAGTGGGCTGGGTAGGGGATGATGATATAGGGCTAGAAGTTACATGGTCGGTCATGGTTACGGAGGGGAAAGGCGACTAGGCTCGAAGACCTAGTCAAGAAGACTTCCCAAAAGAGCGAATGAATGTCTACTGCCGAAGTGTAAAGTCTGGGTCTGATGCTGCATCTGTCCAGTTCGATCTCCGCATTCGCTCATGCGGGTCTATCTGGAGGCGGTGAATTGCTCATGTAGCTTGAATTGCGCGGATGAGAACGTCATGGACTGCCGAGAGCCGATGTCAAGGCTATATCAGAGAAATATCCGGAGTGGAGTCATCTTAATCTGTTCATATGCTTTGGTGAAAGTTGGAGTTAGTATCTGACAGTGTACGTAATAATAACTTTCATGCACAAACTATAACAAGTGTCTGGGTCGCTTCCGCGAGCGGGTTAACGTGGCATTGTGGTATGTATGCAATACAGGGATGGAACCACATTACAAGGCCAAATATCCCACGTACGGCGTTCCCCGCACGTAATAATACAGCCGAATACACCAACCCGGGATCAGGCCATGTATCCACCGCCGATCGGTATTAGCGGCTCCATCGCAGCCGATGGCCGAGCGACAGCAGACAGCATTTGAGGGATCAATATCAGATATCAGATCTGGGATTGGAGTGTCAGAAAAGACGAAGACCCCAGACATATATCTAATTATAAGCATTGATTCCTAGGCATCCTCAACTCCTGAAGATAAAGAAAATCAACATTCAAGGGTTCAATTTTCTTCGATCTTGAAGAATTTATTTCTATTTGTTGGTATCATAACCTCATGACTTGCACCCATTGGCCAGTCCGTGTCATATTTACATGCTTGTATTAATATCTCGGGTGCCCAACGGGGGCGACGAGAACTTATGACTTACGGTGCATGGCACCAGCGCCACCCTGAATTGGTTAGTCTAGACCTAATGCGCAAGGAATATCAATAATGCAACTTACCTGATGACTAGGGAAAATCAGGGTGTCCGCAATGACTACGTTCTCTCGTCGGCCAGCTGCAAAAACTACAACCTCGGCAATATCATCACCAGTTAATGGCTCGACACCCCTGTAATCTAATTAGACACCAAACATGGCTTGACGAATTGGTACAATTTCACTTACTTGTAAACAGCATCAGCCTTGGATTTATCACCGTAGAAGCGGACTACGGAGAATTCCTGCATTCAAGTTAGTTTATTTGCTCGGGATATTCGCGTATGCAGAAAATGGGAAAGACATACGGTCTCAACCTGACCAGGGTCAATTTCGATGATGCGGATTCTGGTGGCAAGAAGCTCCTTGCGAAGAGAATTGGTGAAGGATCGTACGGCAGCCTTAGTGGCACAGTAGATACTACCACCGGCGTAGGGCTCCCGACCAGCAATACTGCCAATGTTGATAATATCACCCCGGCCGCCCTCAGAGCGCTTTTTGAAGATTGGTAAGATAGCCTGGGTCATGTTGATAAGACCGGTAACATTCGTGTTGAACATGACATTGATATCCTCGGAGGCAATCTCGGGTGCTTGGGCGACTCCCTTAACCAAACCGCTATATTTCGATCATGAATTTCAGTTGCTGTGCCGCGATACCCCGCACTCATCCCAGGATCTAATGACTCACGCATTGTTGACAAGTACATCAATCTCCTTGAATTCCTCAGGCAGGGATGGAACAAAGTTCTTGATTTCCTCCGGGTTGCTAACATCCAGCTTCACAGGAAGCACTTGAACGCCATCGCCAACCTCCTCCTTGATCTCAGCAGCAACCTGCTTGAGAGTATCAATGCGGCGCGCGGTGAGAATCAGCTTCAAGTTCTTTGGCGAGGTGCGGGCAAATTCCTTGGCGGTGCTCTTGCCGATACCAGAAGAGGCTCCTGTTACGACAATTGTCTTGCCCTCGAGGCGCTTTGCCATTGCTGATGCCATACTGCGTCGGATGGATAGAGGGTGAACTGCTCGGCGTAGAGGTGTGGCTTTGAGGGACGAGGTAGGGTTGAAAATCGAGCTTGGGGATCGAAAGAAGTGACGAATTGAGTTTGTCGAAGTCTTGAAATGGTTCATAGAGACAAAACTGATTTACTTTCAACAACGAATCGCGCAGAAAACAAAAGAAGCAATACAGATGGCGTGCGGGGACGTTGGCTCTGGCGTCATGTCGGGTTATGTAATCGGCTAAAAGTTCGGCCTAAATGCAGGATGCCGAGGGTATATCTATACCAAAGCTTGATTTACGCCGACAGCGAAGCGATAAGGAAAGACAATCTTGGGAGGTCAGTGGGTAGTAATATGTGACTCATAGTAGTCAATAGCCGGGGCCTGGAATGCAATATAGAATAATAAAAATGGGGGTCTGTTGATTAATATGCAATATAAAGTTATGTACAGAGTTTGTCCAGAGGCAGACTGGAAAGTCGTGCGTATCTATACGGAAATTAATGATACATAGGTAGTGGAATGGGAGGGAAATATAAGAGGTGTCAAGATCACTCCCTTAAACCCGAAATTGAGCTTTTGCGGTGTTGTTTTTTACCAGAACTGAATTTGTCATTCCAGCCACCCGGTCCGGCAAGCTCTTCAAACGCCCGGTGTATTGGTGGCGCATCCCAAAAGAAGTCCGGATTCCCTTGTTGGCGTGCTTTCATGGCTTCCTCTCGTTGTTTAACAATTTCTCCAAGGAGCCGGCGGATTCGGCGACTTGGATACAGACCGGCGTTATCCATATCACGTAGAAATGCCACCACTACTGGGAGGTCATTGCAGCTGTGCCAGTAGAATGCCATCAATTCCTCGTAGAGAGTTTGCGATGTCCCCAAAAAGGCTGAGGTGCGGCTGTGCTCTTTGACTGCAGTTCGAAATTGGCCGATAATTTGGGACTCGGGGAAATGCGTGCTGAGCATTCGAAATGCAAGAAGGAGTAGTTGCGGATAAAGCTTTGCAACCACGAGGCCCGTGGGCACAGCGGCCGGGATGTTCAGAGGGCCAGAAACGGGAGCCGGAGTTTGTGGTTGTTCGACTAGTCCATGTGAATGAGAATCCAGATTGTTGGTAGGCGCAGGAGCTCCAGCGCCAACATGGTCAATCATAGAAAAGATCCGTTGCCTACAGGCCTCCCAGAGACCCGAATCACCTTTCCCTTCTCCAATAACTCGAAACAGCTCGGACTCGATTTCTCTCGACTCCCGTTCAACAATCATATCGATTGCCTCTGACACAGAAACTTTGGGGTCTACCCCATTACTTATATCGGAACCCGGCAACCCCAGTTCACTGAGACTGATGCCTTCTAATTCATCGACATGCCCATCCTGTGATCGATTCCGATGTGTAGATTTCTGACCCTTTCGGCTTTCTTTAGCCTTTGGTTCTTTAGAGCCAGCTCGTTCATTCGTCAAGATTGACTCAAACACGGTCATCAAATCTGTGAGATTCCCACCCTCAGGTGAGGGAGCTGAAAGCTCTGGTCCTGGTCTTGAATCTTGTTGGGTCACTTGCTGGCGCTCTTGTTCCGATTTGAGATTGTCTTCTTGTCCAGCCTTCAAGCGCGCCAACAATACCCCAAACGCCTCCCGCTCATTTCGAGTGATTGTATTGCTCTGGATTTTGGAGAAAGCTTGCGATTTGGAGGATTTCAACTTGGTCGGCTCTATTTTAGGTGCTGAGCTGCCTCGCTGGCGTAGATAGCTTGTGCGTTTCGGGGGGTTGGCCGGGGCTTGTTCGGAGGTATTCTCGGTGGTATTATTCGGGTTTGCTGTAGATATATCATCGCTATTGCTGTTCTGTGTTCCATCTCCTCCAGTGGAGTATTTGTAACGTCGTTGGTGACATGGTGACAATGATCGACACAACGGCATAAGAGTGCGAGTTTGGTACAGGAATGCAGTGGCTGAAGTCGATGCCGACAGGAAGTATACTTTTGAGAGACTAGCCATTGAACTGTGTTTCTGATTCACAGCTTTCTCTCTGTCTGTTCATCCCAATCTTCAAAAAACACTTGAAGATATCCAGTGATTGCTGATTGCTGTTGTTCACTTCGAGTTCGACTTTCTTTTTTTCCCTTAATGGAGTCACCTGACCTCGCGTTTCAATCAACGCGTGCTTCCCGCATCGACTCATTGCTCTCTCACTTATCTTATTTTCATCTCATCTATGCCCATTGGGGTTCGCACATGTAATCTATCGCACATTGACTTTTCTCGTACTGTTACAAAATGACGACTAGTGCGACAAATGGCTTGTCGGAGATTGAGAGACAAAGACAAGCCAATATCGCCGAGCAGAATGCCTTGCTAAGAGAGTTGCAGCTTGGTCAGTCGGGGAATTTTGCAAGTTCCGCAACACCAAAGACCGCATCGTCAAGCAAAAGCAAGAAGAAGGCACCACCCAAACGCGTGAAGGAAGAAGAATCTCCCGCCCCCCGGCGGCAGTCGTCTCGTCTCCAAGGGCTCTCAGCTGAGAGTGAGGTTGCGAAACGCAAGGCGGAGGATCATTACGAGGCTGCCAAAGAGGCTGAACGCGCAAAGAGAATTCGCCGCACGGACTCCTTCACTCAAAATGACATGTTTATTGCAGGTCAAAAATTGAGTGGGGATAGCCTGATTGGGACCGATGTGATAGTCAAAGGTGTCGCCGAGCCATACTTTCGTACGTTCGGGGATGATGACATTGAGAAGACGGCTGATAAAGAGCTGAAGGCTCTTCGAGAGGAGATGAATGGCCTCGAATTATGGGACAAATGGGATCCGCAAAGTAAACAGCTCCTGGTTCCTACATTGTATTCCTCACCAAAGATGACTTCAGCTGACCTGCTATTTACAATCTTTTCTAGGAATCAAAATCACACCCGAGCGCGTCTATACTATGACATTCCATCCTTCCGAGGCAAAACCTTTGATCTTCGCTGGCGACAAGATGGGTCACCTTGGAATTCTCGATGCGTCGCAGGAAAAGGTTGAAACAAAAGTTGAAGATGAGGATGAAGAACAAGATGATCCAGATCCCGAGTTAACTACTCTTAAAATCCACACTCGAACTATCAGTTCTATGATGGTCAATCCGTCCAAACCCACATCGCTTTACACAGCGAGTTACGACAGTTCGATCCGAGAATTGGATCTTGAAAAGACGGTTTCAGTGGAGACATATGGGCCGCAATCAACTAACATTGATGAGGCGATCTCGGCCATTGACATGGCTCCCACTGACCCCAATGTTCTTTACTGGACTACTCTAAACGGTGGATTTGGGAGTTACGATATCCGAACTTCTAAGGATACGGCTTCGTCATGGGAGCTTTCGCAAAAGAAAATCGGTGGATTCACAATATGTCCATCATCACCACATTATTTCTCCACAGCGAGTCTAGATCGATTTCTTCGAGTTTGGGATATCCGAAAGCTTTCTCGAAAGGAGCCTGTCCCTGTTGCCGAGCATGAGAGCCGTCTTTCGGTCTCTCATGCAGCTTTCAATGCCGCAGGTCAAATCGCGACATCATCCTATGACGACACGCTTAAGATCTATGACCTCGGGGCGAAGGGCCTCTCATCTTGGACTAAGGGACACACACTTGAGGACGCAGACTTTCGTCCCGATACTGTGGTGAGACATAATTGCCAGACTGGCCGTTGGGTCACAATGTATGCTATCAACCTCTACATCGTTTGGACAAATTTTGCTAATTTTATCCTTTTCATCTAGCCTGCGGCCTCAATGGCAATTGAACCCTCAATCGCATATTCAAAAATTCTGCATTGGGAACATGAACCGTTTTGTGGATGTGTACAGCGCTGGCGGTGACCAGCTAGCCCAGCTCGGCGGTGATGGGATAACCGCTGTTCCAGCAGTTGCTGTCTTTCATCGGAGTAAGAACTGGGTCGCCGGCGGTACAGCCAGCGGAAAGCTATGTCTTTGGATGTAGATGTAGAATTCCAACATGTCTTGACACTGTTGACACCAGGGTTCGAGAAACCTTATGACATGTCCCAGTGGATCATTATTGTCTAATTTCCAGTTCTAATTGTGGAGTTCGTGGTGGTGTCGGAGGCCTGCTGAGCTTATTTTAGCTATCTTGTAACTCCAATGTACATTTGACGCAATGGACGGTTAATCTTTCTGGCTTGTCCGGATTGGCATAACACTTGCAACGAAAAACGGTTGATGACCTAGAGGTAGTATTCTAATATAAATAGTTTCTTAAGTGGGACAGTTATGAGTTCTACTAGGGAAACAAAAAGCTACTTGGGGTGATCTAAAGTGAAATATCAACAGGAGAATTGTTGAGTGAGATCCATTAACGTGTACATATGTACAAAGAATGATTAATTTTGTGCAGCTCAGTGCCTTCCAATGTCCACAAGGCCTTGCTAGACGAGGATATGTAAAAATGAAGATTGATGGGCTTGGTCAGCTAAGACTCAAAAGGTACTGCCACCCATGCCTGCAGCAGCTCCTCCAGGAAGGAGCGACGGACAGATACAGCCTGGTGGAACACTAGGGGTAGACATCCATCCCGAGGGCGGAGAGGGAACAGATCGCCCCAGGGCACGGGCGAGGATAGCAGTAGGACTGGAAGCTGCGTTTTCGCGTGCATGAAGCAGACCAAAGCGAAGGAATACCTCGCATAGGGTCACGAGAATGGATATAACAATTAGCACAATGATAATCCATGTTTGATCTAGAACGCATAATCGTTAGTAAATTGTCTATGGACGGTTGGGTATTCCATATCAATACATACGAGAAGTTCGGTTGTCGGCTATTGAGTCGGAAAGAATCTCTGCAAGATCAAGGAAAACTTTGCAGCGTTCGTTAAGCACTTGGATACGTGGTTTAATTTCCAGGTACTCCCGCACAGCGATATAGAGGGGACAAAGAGTCGGTTCACTCTCCCAGAAAAAGTTGGGTACGTCGAGCATATTCGATGCTGTGAAGTTGAAAATTAGTCAATAAGATCGTAGGTAAGATTCCACTCCTGAGGGTCACATACATAGATTGACCTCCACTCGGCTTTTGAAGAGACGACCCAGAATTCGGAATACCTCTTCACGCTTCATGCCCAGTTTGCCGGTCATGGCGAGACGGCGAGGGACATCCTTTGCATCCGCCATTTGACGGGCCATTACCTCCTCAAAAAAGCAGAGCTTTGTGCTCTGAGAAATACCATGACTGATGGCTAGCTTAATCATATGATCGCCACTGCGGAGTGTAATCATATCATTATACACGCGAGGGCGTGAGATCTCAGTCGAATACTCGAAGTGGAACTCTTCGGTTTCAAAATCCTCTTCATGAAGGGGCATGGTAGCAAGTGGGATGGGTGTCCCAGTCGCAGAAGAGGTTGCGAATGCTAAATCTGCCAGCAGATCTTTTTCTTGTCGCTCGGTGAAGTTCCAGAACACTACAACACCATAGCTGAATACGAACATTTCCGCAACGTTGTAAAGGGTTCGTGCAGGCGCGGGTGGCTTCGGCGTGGGTTGCGAGACCGGTGGTGAGGCAAGGTCACGCACCAAAGTGTGACTGTCATCAGTGCTATGACGCCGACGACGAGGAGGAAGATCGGCATTTTGAGTGTCATCGGATGCTAGCTGAGAACCATCCTGGAGTGAATCCAATTCTCTATTTGAATCAGTGGAGGTGTCCGGTTCACGATTATGGTTCTCCTCTTCGGAGATGTGTGGCATGAATCGGTCCGAGTGATCCTCTCGGGAACTGTGATCATCAGAGTCGCGAGGAGATCCCTCTGGGTGATGCCCATCGTCGAGACGATTGTGACCCCCAACTGAATGATCCTCAATCTCGCCAATGTAATCATCGTGGTGATCGCGAAGTTCATTCCGTTCAATTTCCTCGTCGAGCAGGGACCTTCCACCAGGAAATTTCACGACGGGGCTACTTCGCAAACGATAGCCTTCATGACCTGGGAGAAGAGGAAGATGATAGGCCGTGTATAGACAGTCGTCGTACAATTTCGTCCGAGCGCCGTGCCACTCTTTTACGAAAGACGCGACAGAGCCCATTTTGTAAGCCTGAGCAGTGCAGTAGGCTGTGACGCGGGCAAGTTTCTCTGCACGACGAGCTTTAGGAAGACGCTCTGCATAACTCTTTGCTCTCTCGGGTGCAATTCGTCGTTTTCTCAAAATTTCCTCCTCGGCCATCAAAGGCGCCATATCATTGTCAACGCCGAAATCCCCGCCAAGTCGCTTCTGCGACAGCAATTGTCGTCTCACGGTCTCCGGATCCAGTTTCCTCTCCCTTGCAAGCCGGTCAACAAGCTCTTCATCCACAAGCTCCGAGTCATCCTGCACGTCGTCGTCTTCGTCCTCCGGGCTGTCTTCCTCGCCGACACCGCCGGCATCGGGTAAAAGGACCAGCTTCTCGCTGACCTTAGTCGTTCGTGGCGGGAGACGCGGTTGCGCTGCCAAACGACCTATGGTACCAGCAGTACTAGCATGGGATCCCGCGGATCCACTGGCATTGCCCATCAGCCCACCAGATGCAATTCGGCGTGCTCTCGAGGTTGGCGGCGGCTGCCGTTGTTGCATTGAAGGGACATCGGAGGCATATTGGAGCACATTGTCAACTGTAATAAATCGAGTGGCGGGAGATCGCCTTCTTCGAGGTGTTGATGCGGGTTGCTGGTCACGGGAATCTGTAACCTGAATGCGCGGACGGCTTGATTAGCTACCGTTTCTTCCTGCATGTCGGAGAATAATTGCTTCTGCAAGCCAAAGCTCGGAAAAGAATGGTGTAACATACCAGAACAGTCGGACTCCGCTGGCTCGTACCTCGGCCACGAGCTGGGGGAGTCATAGTCAAGGGTTCTTTCACTCGAACCTTGCAAGTGAAGATAACGGACAGGAGGGGCCTGAATGATGAATGAGAAGATGGAGATTCGATCTTTCCCAGCTTGAGACCCGTTACGCTAGACCGTATATGGACTAGCGGGAGTTGGACGGTCTGACGTAATGCGCCTTCTGTTTTAGGAATCCACCGGTCTTTCCTTCCTAACCTAATAGATGCTTCATATAGATAGCAGAAGTTAGCGTCAATCTTTGTTTAAATACTAAGCAGTAGGGCCAATTAATTGGTTGCTGTAATGAGTATTGAATCATCATGTTCAATTTGCAGCGTTTACTATCTATGCTCTATGTACCCAGGCATGGTTCGTAACACTACCTAAAAGTCGGATTTTTCTACTTATTTTCTTTCCAGGTACTTCAGGTTATAGAATCTCCAGCTCCAATGCGCGTGGCTTTATATTTATATACTTCAAGTTCAAGTTTCACCAAGCTGCGCTCATTCGAGTTATCTTTTTTGAGCTCCTCATAATCAATATCAAGGCCAACTTCATTAGAGCTGGTCTAAAAACTTCCACCTGCAACAAATTGAAGCGATATAGAATAGGAAAGAAGCCGGATGATATGTGGTGATCCACTTGATTGGAGTGCCAGGTAGCCCAGGCTGTACTAAGATAGCCAACTAATCGAATCGGTTAGTGTATTGTGTTCTACGTGTATAGCTACCAGCTCAAAACGCTAAATTGTTGGACTAGTACACTTTAAGGGTTAAACCAATAAATCCAACAGAAAGCTCTAATTTTTCTCGATCGCGGGGTCTGGCCTTGGATCCACGCACATGCATTTAGTCTTTTATTGCAAATTGGGAAGCCTCGGATAGCTGCTAAACATTGAAGATGTTAAGTTTAAAGATCGGCGAGATGTCCGAGCCATTCGGAAACGCAAGCGGACGAAGATCTGTCAATAATCTCATGACTCGTATCCGTTTTCCATCACCAGCCACGAATCAAGGGATAGAAGCATTCCTACGGCTCAGAAACAGAAGAACAAAGAACCCGTGGAAGTGAGAAAACTAAATGATTCGAATCAATCTAATACCGGCAACTTGTGGGTGGTTCGCACCAAGCATCACTCCGAGAACCACAAAGAGATGTGGAGATCGGCTTTCTGTCCCGATCCCATGAGTCAATGGCGGATTTTTTCTTTTTTAATATTCGGTACTCTGTACCTGATTCCTCCCAAATTGGTAAGTCAATGCCCCGCAGATGTCAATTAATCCCCCGCTGCTCAAATTTTGTCACGGAGCCGGTACGGCACCGGTTGACTAAAAAGGTAGAACTTGTTGATCATGAGGTTTTGTGCACGATCGAAAGGATCTGATTTGCCCAATAAGTCAACATTGAACTTGATTTCTGTTTAAACCAAGATGCTGCCCAAGGTTGTTGGGCTCTAGACACAGAAATGGGTTTGAGAATGTAGACCAGTGTATGTCGCGATGCTTGCGGTTATACAAAGAATTGACCATGTATTTCCCGCATACTGATGCCCTTTAACTTCGAGATCGAATTCGGCGTTCTTTGCGAACGGCCCCATGTGTATTTACTGTATAGAGTGTTTTGGGTTGCCACCAAAAAATCTTCATAGTCTTGGCTTTACCTTCTGCGTTGGCCCCGGGTGCTCTATGACTACAATTCCTACGAACCCGTCTTAACCGAGAAGACGCTAAGCTATCGGCGGATCAACGCCCAAGCCTGCCGCATTAGAAAAGACTAGGCTAGATTTCTCAAAATAGTGTCCAGATCAGTAACCTGCGCACAGAGTCTTCTGTCAGGTGTAGGGCGCGGAGAAGCAATAAGTGGACATGATGTGGAGCCCTCGTCCACAAAAGTTCGAGTTTTATTTGCCTCTTACTCCAACTTTGTGCAGTGAACTCTGTCAAAGTGGAGACAAGTTGGTTTGACTTTCATATTTTTCTTTACTGTTACAATGCTCTTATAGTCGGCCATCCCACCTGGATCGGCGTCTAGCGCATTTTTTCCTTCTTGTTTGGTGGACAGCTCACGACGGTACTCATAATGTCGGACCATTTTGAAGCAGAAGAGAACCTCCAAAAGGCTCTTTCAGCTACTGGTAAGCTAGAAAAATAGCATTCTCGTGGGAACAACACTCAATATTAAACATTATGCCAGATGATGTAGCTGTGTCTCCTAATGAGTCACGCCGTGATTCAGATGAGGATTCAGAGGTTCTACATGAGCCTATTCAAGAACGATATGAGAATCCATCATATTCCCGTTTCCGACGTGTCGCGTCTAAGACGATTGTCTCTTTTGGTCCAAATGATCCAGATAATCCAGTCAACTGGAAAAATGTATGGCAAACCTTACTACCTGAGACTATTTCAGAATCTAGGAGAAGTCTCATTCATGCTAAAATAAGAACATCGACATGCTAACGGCATCAATAGTCTCGGAAGTTTCTAGTGCTTGCAGCTGGTGTGATGCAGGTAAGTGTCTAATATTCAATTTACGACAAGGACCATAATTAAATATCAATCTGTTCCAGGTTATGAACAGTACCATTGCTTCCTCAATCTGCAGTAATGCAGTGCCCCAAATTGCAGCAGAGTTCAACATCACCAACCAGCAAGCCCTCGTCTTGCCCATCTCTATCTTTTTAATCGGTTACATCGTAGGTCCCCTAATTTGGGGACCAAGCTCAGAGTATTTTGGACGCAGGCGCCCTCTTCTCATCGCATACTGTGGTTTCATGATTTTCATGTTAGCATGTGCAGTGGCACCCTCGTATGCATCACTACTTGTGTTTCGACTCCTTAATGGAATGATGGCTTCTTCGCCAATTGCTACAGTTGGTGGGCTATTTGCTGATGTTCATGACAACCCTACCAAGAGAGGTCGTCTGATGGCGTACTACATGGCTGTAAGTGGAGTCTTATACTAATCAATCATTTGTGAGTAACTAACGTTCTTCAAATTTTAGTGTACCACGTTCGGACCGATCGTCGGTCCATGGGTCTCTGGATTTGTTGCTGTTGTAGACTGGCGCTGGTGTTTCTGGATTGGTCTCATTTGTTCCGGCGCGACGTTTCCCTTGGCTATTTTCATGCCCGAGACATATGCTCCAGTTATCTTGACGCGACGCGCCCAGAAGATTCGAAAGGAGACTGGAAATTCTAATATTGTGTCGCCATTGGAGCTCGACTCTCGCAATCTCCGTCAAATGATTCTTCTCACTGTATCTCGACCATTCCGAATGATCTTCCACGAGTCTATCGTGTCTTTGACATCCCTTTATCTCGCCCTTGCATATGCAATCTTTTACCTTTACTTCGAGGCATATCCAATCATCTTCCAAGGTTAGTTCATCGTGGCTATCTACGTATATGCAACTAGCCGAACTTACATACTAACCCAATCTTATCAGATTTATATGGAATGAGTGCTGGTGTTGCTGGTTTAATGTTCTTACCAAGTAAGTCTACTCTTGCCTTCAACAGTCTGAGGACTCATCAATATGAGAAGTCTCTTCTAACATGACAATAGTTGGTATCGGAGCTGTTCTCGCCTGTTTCGTCTTCATCTGGTATGACGGATATCTTGCTCGTGCAAAGGCCCGAAATGCACCATGGGCTGCAATTGAAGAATACCGTCGCCTCCCCCTAGCCTGCATCGGCGGCCCCTTATACGTCGTTTCTCTATTCTGGGTTGGTTGGACATCTTCTCTAAACATTCATTGGGTTGTCCCGTTCTTATCCGGGATCCCCTTCGGAATGGGCTATCTGCTCATTTTTATGGCAATGCTGAACTATCTAACCGACGCCTATGAGACTTTATCAGCCAGTGCCCAATCCGCTGCAAGCTGCACGCGTAGTATTTTCGGAGCAGTGCTGCCTCTTGCTGCAAAGCCAATGTTCAATCGACTCGGTATCCACTGGGCATGCACTCTGATTGCTTTCCTCAGTTTGTTAGTCTCCATCATTCCATTTGGATTCATCCGATATGGAGACCGGATCAGAGCGAATAGCAAGTTTTGCCAAGAGCTTAAACGTATCAAGGAAGCCGAGCGCTTGGAAATTGAAAGAGAGGAAAATGGACAAGACGGTTCTCACGATTTAGAGAAGGTACCTACTTCTCATACTGGGCAGATTACAAGAGTCGATACAGCTCGAAGTCACGCCGCCTCGATCATCTGTTAAAGAGATACAACCACGAAATCTTTTATGGAATACAGATACTTCAATCTGGATGATTGCATCTGAAGTGAAGGCCCCGGGTCTTCTATCGATTTGGTCACTTTGATCAGGTTAAAAGTTTTTATTTCATTCGCGCTTTTTGCGTTTTGCTTTTTTGTCTTCTCTTCAGCTAGCGCAGCTGAAGTATACCCCTAATCTTCTAATCCGGTTGTGATTGTAGTAACCGGTTTGGCTTTGCACGAGACGACTCTTCAAAGAACCCCGGAAAACACAAACACAAGGTGTCTATCTTCATTTATTTTCTCCATGTCAATGCTTTGTTTTGAGCGTTCTCGTCTTGCACTTCGCTTTCTAGGCATTGCTCTCCGGCATCACGCCTCATTTACGCATCATGAGATTGAAGATACCAACCAGCTCCATAGGTCTAGTCATAATAATATTAGAATGAAGAACGATCTGATTATTTCAAATGTGCATATCTCTTGAAAAAAGTCCCGAATCCCTGTAATTTTGCCACATCTACTCCGTTTTCAGTCCTACCTTGCCAACCCGGCGCAGCCCCCACGCACTGATTGCCGTGGCAGCCACGAGGAGGCCAAAACAGGTCCAAAAAACTGCCCGGTACCCAACCATAAGCGCACCAGGGGAGCTTTTGTCTTGAAAGGATGATCCGTCAGTCACGCTCGCAGAGATGATAGCAAAAATCGTCAATCCTATCGACGTGCCAAATTGAGCGACCGTGTTGAAAACCGCACCCGCGAGTCCTTGAGTCTTCGGTGAAAAGGAATCTGCGATGATCAGGTTCGCGACAGTGAAGATTGCTAAGCAAACAAAAAGGATTAGTTCAAATGATAGAGAAACAAAATGACGAGAAAACGAAAAGGTCTATTACCATCAGCAGACAATGGCCCCAGTAGCATAGCCCAGAAAACGCAATACCACCATGACCACTTAGGGTCAATGATAGCCATAAGCAAAGGTGATCCGGCCGAGAGAATGGAAGTTATAAATACGAGATAGTTAGCCCGGAGACGGTGCACCAGTAATCCAGTTCCGAGATTGATGACGACGCCGATAATGACACTTGGTAAGAATCGTAGAGCTGCTTGGATTGCTGACAGTTGCTGGACTTCTTGGAAGAAAAGACTCATGATTGTTTCCATGCCATTAAGAACTGCCCAAGAGAACAGAACCATGACGCAGATTGTTGTGAAGGATGTATTGCTCCACAGAGAGTTCGGGATCAATGCCGGCTTTCCTGATTTCTCTCGCCATTGCATCCAACCCCAGAATGCGGGTATCATAGCAACGGCTGTGCAAAGCAACGCAAGATTTTCGGGCTTGCGAATACTTGATGGGTGATCTGTGATGTTTCTGAAAGAAGAATGATATATTAACTCTGTGACTTAATAACAGTAAAACACAGGATGAGACAATGGACTCACGAGAAAACATAAGATATGATGCCGAGACATGCGCTGGAAAGAAAGATCCCAACCCAATCAATCTCAGTTCGAAGTCGGCTGAATGAGAAAGGCTCTCGAGGTTTGTCCTTTGGCAATTTGAAGAAATTAACGATTGTCAAGATAAATGTTGCGCCTGCACAAAGGTAGTAGCCGAATCTCCATCCCAGTGCCGAATCTTGGAAAATTCCACCTAGTACCAGCCCGATGGAGAATCCGAACGGTTGACCGAGTCCTAGACAAGCAAATCCAAGATTCCGACGCTTTCCTGTTGGCATACTGTCCGTCAGAATACTGAATGCCGTGGGAAGGCACATAGAAGTCGCAATGCCTTGGAAAGTACGAAACACAATCAACTCAATACCAGTCTGTGCCAAGCTGCAGGCCAGGATGAACGCCGACAAGAGGAAGCATCCGACAAGATTGATGGATTTGTTCCCCAGGAAATCAGCCAATGAGCCCGCCAGCAACAAGCAGCACCCGTTCGCGAGGCTATAATTTGTGGTCAATTTATGATATCTCCCAAAGAACGGGACAAGATAGTAGAACTCACGAATAAACTGAAGCAGGCCTGTCATTTTGAAAATAGAATCGTGAGTTAGATAACTTGCTAAGCTCACAGTTTTATTTTATCTCAAGTAAACATGAAAGCGACTTACCATAATAATAGATTGTCGGGTAGATTCAAATCAGCCGCGATACCAGGTAAGCACACTGTGAGGAGTCCACTACTCATGCTGCCGACGAATGTGATTCCGGTCAGTGTGGTAGTCAAAATGATTGCCCTCGTTCGAGAAAGCTCCTGATTTGGTGAGGATAATGGATCTTCGATCTTCGATCCCTGCTGTGAGACCGGAGTCTGCCATCCTTCCAGCGAGATACGGCTTGAGTCATGCATCACTTCCAGTGGCACATCGCTTCGACTGTAGACTGTGGTCGCCATGGTTTGCACGGGGTCAGGTGACCTGTAACCAACTCAATTGCAACAATTGCACGATCAGCTTCACAATTAGAGAGTGAAATAGAATGGAGTGTATCCGGTGAAACTTCCTGGGGGAATCTGCTTATTAGACTTGGCTGTTAGTCATAACGCTGAGTGGGGCTACGCCTTTGCATGACAGGTGGGGCTTGGGCCTGGTTGGGCCTGACAGCGCGCGTCGGAGATAGTACATTAGAAATGAAATGACGGTGAAGAAGAATCAACAGTCGTAGAGGTCCAATTGCTAGGATATGAACTTCTGAGGGGATAAATATATATATAGGTTCTTTGAATCATTAGATTGATTGAGTCTAATTAACAGACAACAAGGAAGAAACAATCGACGAAAGAAAAAAAGAAAAAGATACTATGTAATAGGTAAGATCTATGGTGGAATATGTAAACAGAAAATAGACATAACAGTGAAAAAAAGATAGTAAATCCATCAAAAGCATACAATGGATGGAGGAATTTATGTAGGTATGTGAGTATGCGGGTATAGAAGGCAGTTAGATCTTAGACAGTGGCGGTTTATCTTGTTTTAAGCGCACAACACCCTATGACGACGAGTTAGCTTTGGAAATGCACATATAAACGAATCAAAAGAGACATACCTCCTGGGTGCATGTTGCAATCAACGTCCCATTCTGTGACCAGATCTTTTGGATCGCCAAACCGCGACCTTCCCCGGCCCATGGGCTCTCCATTTCATGAAGCATCCACTCATCCGATCGGAAAGCCCGTGGATTATGGAAATAGATTGAATGGTCAAGACTAACCATCATACCAACTTCTTTATGGTCAGCCTTACTGGCCTCACTCAGCGCTCCTTCGAGTCGGCGTCTCAGATCTGCAGCTTCCTCCTCCTTCAATTCCTTAAGTGCCTTTCTAATATCTTCATCATCGAGATCCGACGGGTTCTTCAGCGCTTTTAACAATTGTTCAAGCTCGGCCGGGGAGGAGAAGCGAGGAATATCATGCACGCGGGAAACGGTGCCAATAAAGAAGCTGTCGGTGATATAGGCCAGAGCCGAAAGGTGTGCTTGGAAACCGCCCTGGTCAGAGATACGGCCCCGGGCCCGAACATGTCGTCGTACTCTCTTATCTTCCGGGTTCTTGGTTCCTATTGAATTGTAAGCTATTGCATTCCCATCATGCGAGAAACGACATACGGTTGACAATTCCCGCTCTCTTAGACTCGAATGGCCCTCCCCCCGCATCGCTGAGCCCTTTCACCGTCTTGGACGTCGAGTCTTCTGGAATTGATGTATCTGGCATGGGGGCAGCGTGATTCAAGGTCTTCTCGCCACCACTACCAACCCTACTGAAACTCAGGGTGGTGGTGAAAATGGGGCGGCCCCGTTGACGTGCCTGTACCGTTCGAGTCACAAAGCTCCTTCCATCGCGCACGCGCTCAACATGATATAATATAGGTAGTTCCGAGTCGCCCGCAAGGACGAAGTAGCAGTGCATGCTGTGGACGGCAAAGTCGGCGGGGACGGTGCGCATGGCCGCGGATAAGGACTGGGCAATGGCAGCACCACCGTAGATTCCTCTGGCACCAGGTGGATGCCATAGTGGGCGCGTATTCGTGAAAACATCCTATATACAGCAATCTCATGTTAGCTGTTCAAGTTTTGGTAAAAATCGTAGCAGGGAAGGGAAAATGTTACTGGGCCGAGGTCCACTACTGGTGTCAAGTCCAGCACATTCTCGATCGGGGCCTTGGAGTTATCCTGCGGCGGAGAATCAAAGAGAGTACTGTGTTTTGTCATGGTCGCTGTATTATGTTCAAGAAGACAATGCAGCAAGAGCAAGAGCAAGAGCAAGATGGTTGTAGGAAGGGGAGTTTCAGCGGACGGCGGCGATCTCCAACATTTTGTGATCAGCGTAATCAGCCAAGTTCACCAGCCGAGGTCCAACGCGCTTCTATGCCGGGGCTTGGCACCACAGCACCAGCCCACGCGTTAAGAACTTCAAGTTCTTCATGCACAACTGTACCGTGCTTATTTTCAAATGACAACGAAGCACACATTATTACTCATTTCAACAGTCTATCTTACGATCCACACACTTTCCCACAGTTCAAGTTCTACAGAGTTTCAATCGTTGGAGCGTCCTCAGGAATACTTATAGCTTGGATAAGCGTCAGTATTTGGACAGGGCCAATGTGATAAGCTCTTTTCCTGGGGCGCTTATTTCAACAGTCGGACTTCAACGACCGCTTGAAAAATTGATTAGAGTCTGGACATGACTGTCGCAAGTCCCGATGGCATCCGATCTCTAGGTTTTTGTCCTTCTATGGTACCAAGATGCGTCAGACCAATGTTTATGAAGCTGCGATTTTCATATTCCCATGAAAACAAAATACTGCAATGATAATCCATGCAGAAGCAGGAAGTAGTTTGATTGCTAACATACTAACATTCCGAAGAACTCGAGGACTTATGAACTTCATGTGCTCTTTTCGAAAAGGACATAGCCGTTGAGCAGGTTTTGAACGATTTGAACACAGCCTTCCTTGAACGAAACAGATATGATATCGGAAACACGAGTTCTATTCCTGAAAACTGACAAGGTTGATTCGCGATGTCATGAAGACTTTGATGTTTGCCGATCCGGGGTCCTAGCTTAGCGAGTGGCATACATGAATACGAGATCAGCAACTCAGCCTCTGGCCGATCACCAAGATGCCCCCACAAGATGCCACCCAAGATTTTTGTCAGAGTGATTTCAACTTGAAGAACAGATCAACGCGGCGCTGCTTATTCTTATTGGTCCTTCTATAGTACACCAATTCGTATAGTCAAGCAATGATTTAAGCCAAGAGCGAGCCAAGAACCAGCAGAGTGCTTCATCACGACTAGACTCAAGACGAAAAGACTAGTCACTCAACCTGCCGCCTTAGAGACTTGGCAAGGCATCTTGGGATACCAGTTTCAGCTGTATCGAGCTGTGAAAATGATTCAACTAGACGAATATCATATCTTATACCCCATTATGTGACATTATGATTCATTTTCTTAAGCCGTGCTTTTTGAGGGCAGGTAGTGAATATTAACCTGTTCAACCCATGAACCGGATTTGATTATATTGATAGCGGTGGTATATGTGCATTCATTGTCTTTCAATCACGGCCTGAGAAGAAGCGACGATCTTGAAGTCAAAAATGATGATCACACCCGCAGGCTGCAACTGTTTGGGGAGGGTGCAACATATGGATGGGCGCCAAGATGTGAGTCAATTTAATTTAGCCTCAACCATGTCAATCTTGGTGTGGACACAAGGTTGAAGGAGCCTGGGGGCGACAAGCAGGCAAACATGGCGGATTTGGAGATTTCCAAAAAAAAAAACACGATATAAAGATCTTCTCTGGTCCCTTCCAAATTTATATGTTCCATATTCACCCTTCAAAGTTATCTCAAATTCCCAAAAAAAACGAAAGCTTTCACGTTCAAACCAGACCTACATCATGCGTTTCTCGGTCATACTCCCTTATATTGTAGCCACTGCTACTGCCGTCCCAGCTCCCGTTGCCCCTAAATCCAACAATGTGGCTCGAGATGATTGCGAATGGACCGGTCTGTATTTCCTAAAGAGAGCGGTTTATAGTATTTGTTGCTAATATGTTTTGGTTGATATACAGCTTGTCTTTCGTCACTGACAAGTACCGGCGCATCATGCGGTGAAATTGTAGCCAGTGTAATTGCGACAGCGGGGAGTGATGGGGTTACTCTTCGTACGTGAGTGGACTGAGCATTCAGGCTTTACGTATGTTTATAGTACTGATACATAGTATGATATAGCTTGGCTTCTTTCAACTCTCCCCGAAGTCTCGCCCGAGTGCATTGTCTCGGCAATTGGTGATGCGGTAAGACTATCCTCAAGTAACGTTCTATATCGGACATCGATTAACTGACAAGGGCTGGGTATAGACTGGATGTGGCCCTTGTATTGATTTTTGGTAGGCTGTTGCAGACTTCTAGCCATGTCTACACTTGAACTTGCCAGCCTATGAATGGGTCCAGGCTTGTTTATAAGAGAGGGATGTTTATTGGGTTCCAAGGTTATACAAGAATGACACTTTCCACATCTGCAGGTTAAATAGCCCCCGAATTGATAATTTATCACCGATTGTGTTACGCATGTTCAAATATCCACGAGAAAACAACGTCCCCTTGCCTCTGTTCTTAAAGAAGTAGCTGTAACTCTAGGTGTCTATGCATATTGATCAGGTTTTCCTCTTCTAAGGTGACAACTTGGGAAATTCTGCTAATGATCCTGGTGGAGATATCACACAAGTGGGCCGATCAAAGCAAAGAACGTTCCGAGCAAGCTTTCACCGAGGACGGTAAACTTCTGAGTCAAAGAGGATTAAGGTTATCCTCGGTGAGTTTTGATTGTTGGGGAGAGTCTCCGCCGAGGATCGGAAGGGACTTTTCCCGGTCGCAACTTAAACTCAACGATTCAACGATTCAATTTTCTTTCTTTTTTTTCGGTATAAGCTATTGTTTAATTTCTTTGCCCAGTCTGGTCTCAATCGACCTTGAATTTCCTAGCAGAACACTGCTGCGTGGGGGAACTGCCAAGAGACGGGCGAGTTTCTTATCAGATCGAGAAAGAAAATTCTCCGCTTTAGTCTTTCTCTGTTGAACTTCACCGCGGGCAACTCTGGTTGCACCTGGGATAGGATAGAACAAACCGGAGCAATCTCAGGTTGATCTATATATACAAAGGTGAGTTTATAAGCATGCTTTTGTTTCATGTTCAAAGCAGCGACAGGCCTCGGCAAAGATCAAGCTGAGCGCCGCTTTCGGAGAATGCGAACACCCGCTAATTCAATTATATGCAGCAGCGATATCATATTTACGACGATTTCCCCAATCCGAATCCTTTTATGGTCATTATCAGTTGGATATACATCGTGAGAACGTCTTTCATTGGGAGCACATTCACAGACGAACGAAGAATCACGCACGACGACCACGGTCGAGCTTTACAATGAGCGCGGAAGCCTCCGAAGCCGCAATAAGCGGACCTAAGAAGCCAGTCGCACAAGACATTCGGGAAAATTCACAGAATCAATCGAGTTCCGAAATATCGGATCGCCTAGATCCTGATGAATTCCATGACGAGCATGTCGAACGAATTTACAAGCAAGTCATCACCCCGATCTGTCGCTCGAAGATAATTGTCTAACATTTCACCTTATAGCAAGCTGGATTGGCGGATTATACCCGCTCTATGGGTGCTCTACTTCGTGACTTCGGGCGTTAAGTCCAATGTCGGCCTGGCGCAAACCATGAATGAAACATCCGGTCACGACTTGGCAAGCGTTCTACATCTGACGGAGCATCAGGTATCAACCGCGCTGGCTTTGTTTTATGTCGGCTATGTGGTTTTCGATCTACCATCTAACTTGGTCATGACGCGTCTCAGCCCACATGTTTGGATGAGTCGTATCGTGATCAGTGTTGGCTTGATCGGCACCTGTATGGTAGCTATGAAAGCAGCCTGGAGCTTCTAGTACGTATTGAATATTCATTTTCATCTTGACTGAAAACGCTTAACTAACAAACTTATCTTAGTTTCCTTCGACTTCTTCTAGGTATCGTCGAAGCTGGACTATGGCCCGGCATGACCTACTACTTGACATTATTTTACCCACCATCTCGACTGGGCAAGCGAATTGGCCGGTATTTCACGGCCGGCCAGGTCTCAGCTGCAGTTGTGGGCCTCGTATCTGCCGGCTTTCAAAAGATGGACGGAGACAGGGGTTATGTTGGATTCCAGTGGATGTTTCTGGTCTGGGGCGTAATTACCATTGCGCTTGGCTTCATCCTTCTTTGGTGGTTGCCCGATCGTCCGATCACGCCAGGTGAGGAGCGGCCTCCTCGCAAGTGGTTCATGCGATGGGTTCCAGAAACTGCTCCGGCTCTGAAAGGAAGAGATGCGATGATCCATTACCACGATATGAAACGCGTATATCACTCTCCTGCATGGAGCATGCGTGACCTACTCCATGTTTTCATGGACTGGAGACTTTGGCCCCTTCTGGTCATGTATTTCGGTGTTGTTGGTGTGGGAATTGGTGTTCAATTATATGCCAACTTGATTATTCAAGCTATTAACCCCTCGTTAAATGGAGTTGACGTGAGCTTACTCACTGCTCCAATTTGGATTGTGAGTTTCTAACCTTCCCCAAGAACTTCGGCATCTCACATAACTAACTATCCTCGTAGATGGACCTCATCGCCATTCTTCTGGTGACACCATTTTCAGATCGGTTCCATCGCCACCGCGCCCTCTTTTTCTCCATCCCCACCTTACTCCAAATCCTAGGTCTCCTCCTAACCAGCTACGCCGGTTCCGACGAGAACCCCTGGCCCCGATACGGCGGCCTATTAATAGTAGGATTCGGACTCGGTCCTACTGTACCGATCACCATGACGTGGACAGCGGAGATCTTCCAACCCCGTCATGGCGAAGTAGGAGTAGCCGCAGCTTCTGCAGTTGTCTCCGGTTGGGGAAACCTGGGCAGCATTCTAACCACCTATGCTCTCTATTCTGGGTGGGCGAGTGATGCCAATGCTCCCGGGCGAGAGAAGTACCGGAAAAGTAATTTGGTCATGATTGGCATTCTTATTGCCAGTATCCTCGCTGCTATCTTTATGCAAGTGACTCTTCACTTTACCGATGCGCGCCATCTTCAAGCTGAAGGCCAGGAGGGTGCTGTTGATGGTGCAGCGCGCCGCGAGGTCGAACAGCGTGGGTTGCGGGGACTTGGATCTGGAATGGGGAGATTCCTTCGCCGTGGTAAGGGCAGCCAAAAGTAAATTGCAGTGCATCATACATATACACTGCACATGTGGTATAAATATTTAATTATCGCGCCTTAAATGAGGAACTGAAAAAGTTTGTCATGTGTACATGGATTCTGAAATTGATATACAGAACATTTGCATTCGTAAGGTTTTGTCGCATTTGTGTTAGCATAAGATACTGTCCAGACGCATTCCATTTAAAAAAGTAAAATCTAGAATTTATCTTCATCAGTCAATCTCAGCCCTGTATGTATGCCCAGGTGTTCTGCACAACGGCCGAGATTGCCGAACGGCCACCGGAGCACGATCCAGCACCGACACTCGGCAAAGGGCGCCGTACATAGTGGAGAACACGGGCAATTATCATATCAGAACTCTAACCATGAATAATCCATCATTATCAGTGGAATCGGGGCTCTCCGCGTTGTCCCGCATATCACGTGTGTTGACCCCACCAACTGCATGTTGTTCGCATTCTGTAAGCGATTTTTTTTTCATGAGATTAGGCGAAGGGATCTCGGAGCCAGAAGTCTTTGATTCGAAACGAGAGGCTTCGTTGACTGCCAGTGGAGTGTGAATTTCGGATCCAGATTAAGTGGGTTTACGACTTTCCTGAAGAATCTAAAGAGTACAAAAAATCGACGGCCGATAACATCAAAAACTCTGCCGTGCCAAGGTGACATGTGGAGTTAAAGAACAGAGAGATAATTACTATAAGTTTGCTAGCGACTCTTGTCTCAAGGTCCTCAGTGAAAGCTTTTTTTCTTATATTTCTTTGGCCCGGGGCAGAACGAATCGAGATAGATTCCAAATGATCTTTCATTGGGTAATTCAAAATGGCATCCCACGCTGATGATGCATCTGAAGATGAACGAAGCTTTGAAAGCGATAATAGATGGAGTTTGAAGCCTCTGCTTCGTCAAGCTGAGCGCTCCCACAAGCGGATGCCAGGGCTTCGGAAGATTCCATTTCGAGCCATTGCGATAATTGCTTTTATAGCATTCATCAACATTATTGTATGGGTTGCAGCAGCCATCGTACTGGTGAGTTAACTTTTAATCGTGCACATAAATCAAATATTCGTACATAATATTAACACGTTAATAGCACTATCATCCGTATGTCCAGTTGTCCCGGGATCGCTGTACCTTCATGCATCGAGTTTTGTTTTCTAATCTTAATTTTTGTCCTTAGATCGTTGGTCTCTACTGCTGCACTCGCATATTCCCTTGGATTAAGACATGCCTTTGATGCAGATCATATATCTGTAAGTATTGATCCTGCAGACTCACTAAATGGCTCAGTAAGCTGACTAGATAGGCCATTGATTTAATGACACGACGACTTTTGGCAACAGGGCAAAAGCCTGTCACTGTGGGAACATTTTTCTCTCTTGGTCATTCCACGTGGGTTTTGAACGAAAGACCTAATTATGCTGAAATACTGACTCATTTAATGACAGAATTGTAATAATCACATCTATTGTCGTTGCAGCTACTGCAGCTGCTGTATCTTCCCGCTTTGATAGCTTTAGTACTATTGGTGGAATCATTGGCAGTTCCGTCAGTGCGGCATTTTTAATTCTTCTCGGATTAATGAATGCCTACATTTTGTACAAGTTGATTCGTCAGATGCAGAAAGTATTCAATCTGCCAGAAGGACAAGAAGATGAAGCTTGGAAGATTGAAGGTGGAGGACCATTATTTAATATCTTGAAGAAGATGTTCAAGCTCATTGATCGGTATGTCACTTGCAAACATGCATAATCATCCTCATCTCTGAACTAACAATTTCTTAGGCCATGGAAAATGTATCCTCTTGGCATTCTGTTTGGCCTGGGCTTTGACACGTCATCTGAAATTGCATTACTCGGAATCTCCTCCATCGAGGCCGCAAAGGGAACCTCCTTCTGGGTTATTCTGATTCTGCCTGCATTATTCACTGGTAATATTACCCCACCTGCATTTCGACAAAAGCAGCCGTATTGACTTCTTTCTAGCCGGAATGTGTCTCTTAGATACCATCGACGGAGCCCTCATGTACTCGCTATACATCCAACCCGCAGCCAACTTTCTTCCATCCAAGCCAGACAGTGTTATTTCTGAGACAGGATCAGATACCATGGGCGATGAACTTCCTCAGTCGACAGACAACCACCGGGACCCTGTGGCGTTCTTGTACTACTCGATCGTTCTCACCGTCTTAACTGTCATCGTTGCCATTGTGATCGGTGTAATCCAGCTTCTTACCATGATATTGAGCATCACTGACGCCAAGGGTAAGTTCTGGGACGGTGTACAAGTAGCTGGTGATTATTATGATGCTATCGGTGGTGGAATCTGTGGCTGCTTTATCATATTCGGAGGTCTGAGCGTTATCTTATACAAGCCATGGCGCCGTTGGATGAATCGACGCCACGGACGTCCTGACTATAATGACGAAGAGTTCTTGGGGGATGATACTTCTGAGCCCAGAACAGAAGGTCCCGGTGTTTTATGTGAACCAGTGGAGGGTGGCGTGCATGAGGGTGAGGGTCAAAAGACCACTACCGTTGGAAAAGGAACCTCGTCTCGTGTGACAGCGACCGAGGAACGTCTGATTGAGGACGAAATCGTATAATTCATTCTACCAGACAGGTCTTATGAATTACAATGACTACGAATGTCATATCGGCTAGCCGTTGAATTCCATCGGTCCGTGTAACTCCACGCTCAACTTTATGCGGCTTTCAATCCAGAATCATAAATGGATAGAGCGGTCAACGCAAAGATTATGGTCAATTTAATGAGATTTCCCGATCCTTTCTAGCGGTTCATACCGTAAGATTTATCTGTTGCACAACATATTTCAACATGAATGGGGCGCATGGGCCTAGTACAACTTGAATAGAACCTCTATTTCTGTTACTACTAGTAGTACTATACATTATTGTTTGAAATAGCTTCTGAACGATCCACCCAACTACTAGTACTGGCACTTGGTGCCAAACCATAGCCATAATCAGTCAATCAGCTATTGCTTTCGAATATTGTCTTAGAATTCAGTGACTGAGATCTCGCATATACATTTCGCTCCGTGAGACGTGTGTTACTCTGCTCTGCTGTGTTAGTCCGTTCGATCTTGGAATAGACACTGGCTTGAGACTCGAAGCTTTTAAAATAGGTACCGAGACAAACTTCAAGTTTACACAAAATACTCGAGTGTTCTAATATTATATAAATTCAACCCCAACATCCTCCCACGAAGTTCAAGTTCAATTTTGCTGCAAGTTAACTTCGAGCCTTGGAAGCCCCGGGTATAATTACTCCTTTACTCAAAGTCCAAAAATTTACAATCAAGCACCTCAAAATGAAGTTCCCGATATTATTTCTTCCATTAACTGCTCTACTGGCATATGCAGCTCCAGCAGATGTAACAGCGGATCCCAACAGCCAAATGACCGCCTGTTTGGTATGTTTTTTTTGGATTGTCTTGCTCTTTCAAATTAACTTTGCCAGTTGAATGTCGTCGCTGATTCAAATTAAAATACAGAGGGTTTGCAATGAACAGGCTGCTCAGTATGCGGGATGTTTGAAAGGCTACGTTGATAGCGATTGCACCTGTCCAAGTATACCGTACTTGCACTTTCTGATGCGATGCTTAAAGTACGGTTGTCCAGCATCTGACTGGGAAAGTACGTCTTCCAAGGCTATATTGACTATTAATATATCTTCAATAACTCACATTTTACGCAGTTTCCAAGAAATTACACATTGAGGTCTGCAAGACTCCACTTGAAGTAGTTTCACTTGACGCGGTTGACTCGTTCGTGTTTTAGGCTATCTCATTGAACATAATCTGATATAATTAAAGCAGTCAAAATCTCAATGAGGTTCTTCTTCTTCAGATTTCCTTTATATAAATACTTCAAAGCCTGTAATATCGCAATGGGATATGTAAAAACACACTTGGGTCTCTACTCTCTATTGGCTCTCAGGAATGTCAACGCCTTAGGCATAAACATTACGTCATTCGGTACTCGGGATCTTCACATAACGCTAACATCAACTCTCATCCCATCTACATCTGCAAGCTATGCAAGAGCTATGCCCACGTGAATATATAGGATCACAGCATACTTTCGCTGGGAAGGAATGACATGAGCGCGTTCTACGCGTCATAGTCATGCTATTAGCAACTCCAGCTGTCAATAGATGCGGCTTTACTGCCAACTCACTGAGCTTTAACCTCCTAAAGGCCCTATCATTTGACAACTCCTGAATGATGGGTACCAGCAGTGAATTAAAGAGTATATCTCCTGAGTTAAATTCCTCTGAAACGATACAAAAGAGTGTGTTCTCGGCTCACCCTACGATCTTCATTCTTCCAACTCACGTGTCGCTGGATGAACTTCATGAAGTTGAATTCCGACTCTTCGAACATGGAGGAAATTTGACGTATGACATTGCTGAAGCAGGTCTTATCTTGGGCAAGATCGGTCGGAAGAAGCGTGCAGCGTTGGAGCTTCGCTCACGTGGACTATTCACGGAGGAGATACCCGACCTTAACACCTCGCTACCATCAATATCAGGAATTGATCAACAACCTCCACTTAAACGTCAAAAAACGCAAGACTCAGAAGTTGTCGTGAAGGCGTCCACTCAAGTCGTGGACCTCTGCACCGACTCTGAAGTCGAAGAATATTCGGAAAAGGGTCTTAACGATTCATCTCAATCTCCAGAATTCATAGCAAAGAATGAGGGACAAGTGGTTACAGTGCTCAAGTTGGATTGGCTAGAGCAATCAATTGAGAAAGGCGAACCTCTACCGCAACGCTCTTTTCTGATTTACAAAGGACGCAAAGTTATCTCTACCCCCCCAGATGTCCCGAAACCACCTTCAACCGCGGTAGCCAGTCAAATCATGAAAAGGGCAACAGAAGATGCTTCTGTGGTGAAATATCCAACACAGAGCCATTCTTTTCATTCTCGACGTTCCAAAGGCCCCACAGACTCAACAGAAAAGTCAAGTCAACGAAATCCACCCACGCTCTATCGTCAAACTACATCTGAGCATGATGAAACTGTCTCCCTTCCACCTCAGCCGGATTGGGTCCATGATCAAGTTGGATTTGCATGTATGCGTTCTGCGCCTCTCCATTCTCCAAATGAAGAATTCATTTCTCAACTTGTAAAGATCCGCAGAATCCGCGAACTCACCCTTGATGAAATCGGAGTGCGAGCTTATAGCACATCCATTGCCGCCATAGCTGCATATCCGTACGTCATAAAAAGACCTAGCGAGATCCTCGCTCTTCCAGGATGTGACGCGAAAATCGCAAATCTCTTCGCAGAGTTTCAGCAGCATAGGCGCTGTAGCCATTCCGACAAGGACGGAAATGTTGCAACGGCAGATGCCCTCGATTCCGATCCAGTCCTGCGAGTCCTGAACACATTCAATGGGATATGGGGAGTCGGTGCAAAGACCGCCAGAAACTTTTACTATTCTCGAGGCTGGCGAGATCTAGACGATATCGTTGAGTTCGGCTGGGACTCCCTCTCCCGAGTCCAGCAGATAGGCGTGAAATTTTTTGACGAGTTTCAAGCTGGTGTTTCCCGTGTGGAGTCAGAAAATATCGCATCGATTGTGAAGCGTCATGCGAACGATGTGCGACCGAACAAAAGTCGAGAGATCGAAGCTATCATTGTTGGAGGATATCGACGCGGAAAGGAGTTGAGCGGCGATGTAGACATTATATTGACTCACCATGACGATGCAGTCACCAGGGGGCTTGTCGTGGACGTTGTTGCAAGCCTTGAGAAGGAAAAATATATCACACACACGCTGTCCTTGCATCTCACCGCGACCTCGCGCGAACAACAAACTCGACCCTTAGAGAGAGACGAAACAGGAAAGCACTTCGATGCGCTTGATAAGGCTTTGGTGGTCTGGCAAAGCCCAGAAGCCGGTAACAAGAGCGCAGATGATGTTCAGAAAAAAGATGATAAAAAGCGAAACACCAATCCTCACTGCCGTGTTGATATTATTATATCCCCCTGGAGGACAATCGGATGTGCGGTCCTTGGTTGGACTGGTAGTACCACGTTCCAACGGGACTTGAGACGGCATTCTAAAAAGGCGCATGGCTGGAGATTCGATTCCACTGGTATCCGTGAGCGCAGTTCGAGTGGCCCAGTAGTGGACTTAGAACACAACGGCAACACCTGGGAGGAAAGAGAAAGACTTGTGATGGAGGGCCTAGGAATCGGATGGAGACCACCAGAAGAACGATGCTCCCGATAGTAAATGATGATAACTTTTTTATATCCTGTCACATACTTGGACATAACGCCACACATACAATGACTGGATTTGACCAAATCTGTATGCGCCTATACATATGCACATGTTTGCATTATATACGGAAATTTGATCCATTTTTCGAATCTATATCTCAAATAATTCCATGAGATGACCTTTTTTTTTTTGGCGTTTATGTTCACCGGCCTCTTAAACCAATCATTGCTGCGCATTAAATTTATATACATATACTAGTTATACGCCCCTCACGATGACAGACACAAGCAATTCAACAGAAAACTATTTGGAAGCATCTTAGGGTGAAGTCATTTACATACTGAGACGACTAACGAACTCGCCAACTGCCTTATTCACTTCCACGGGATGCGTGCAGTTCAAAAAATGGGCGCCTCCCTCAATCGCAACTAAACTAGCATCCGAGGACTGCGAAAAGAGTTCGATCTCCTCCGTCGCATTTGCCAAAGAGTATACAGCATCTTTGGTTCCCTAAAATGGTCAGTCGGGGTAACAAGATAAATGAGCCTAACAGAGACATACATGGAGCCACAAAACTGGACAATTGATATCTGACAGCCGGAGGTGCAATCCTCCCCGTTCCGCAAGGTTGATCGCAGCCATTCGAATACGGCGTCGACCATCATTACCGCGATAGCTTGACTTGATAGAGTCGACCCAGTATTGACGAACATCAGCATCGCATTCATTGAACCCGACGTTGATCAATGCATCACAATACACATTGTCTGTTTCGAATTCAGGTGTAGGAGTAGAAGTAGTCCACTGCTTCGCAAATCCAGATACAATCGTCGGACCATCCCAACATTGAAGTTTACGAGATCGCTCCGACTCGGAATCCATGGAAGCTCCCAAGGGAATGATTCCGATAATCTGAGGGAATCAGCAAGAGAAGGTCAACAATTAATTTTACGACATTACCTTGTCTGGCCGTAAAAGTGCCATTTGCACAGTAACCCAACCACCCTGGCTAGTTCCCAATGCGAAGGCACGCTCAATTCCTAAGGCTTCCATCACCTGGAGATTCATTTCTGCCGTGTCCCAGTAGTTCCACTGTTCGGATCCAGTTCGCGTCTGGCCATGACCGAGCAACTCAATAGCGATCAAATTAATGTTGGATGCTAAATTGTGGTCATCGAATTGTTTTCGGTAAAGCTCCGAGGTTGTGGTAAATGCATTTATCAAGATGAGGGTTGGTTTCGCAGGATCATATGCTTTGGGCATTTGATATGCTGCATCGATTCCACCGAGATGCGGAACATGAATCGTCTTAGTATTAGCCATGACAAGGATTTTTACTTGACGTTTCGAATGAATTCCTCCAAGTAAAGAAAATATATTAACAATCTATCATTTGCGCGCCCAAGTCCGTATTTATTCCACTCACTCTTGGCGTCTACAATAGGGTTTTCGGGGAAATAGGAGATGACCGGACCACGGGAGCGAAGATCCACTATTTGGAGGCAACATATTGATCTGAGGGAGGGGTAATTCGGATTTCCAAGGCAAGATCATCGGTGAAGGAAATGAAAAGTCAAAAGAACTTGCATAATATCCATGAGATAGTAAGTGGTATGTATACATGATGTGTAGCGAAATGATCGCAAAATTCTAAGCAATTTCCAGCGCTAGATATCCTCAGCCAGCTCCACAATCGGACCAGTAAATCGTTTCTTTCCCGCAAAGACATAATAGTATACCGCGCCAAGGAATGCCCAGCCCATAGTCACGACAACACAATAATTCATATTGTTAGGAGTCACCGGCTCAACGGTAGGGAACGTGCTGAATACCATCGCGAGGACAAGCCAGAGCAACGCGAGTACATTGATCACAGGTCCCCATCTAGGTCCAAGATTAAACATGCCTGAACCTAGTCCCCGTATAGTTGACGAAGATTTTCGTCGGCCATAGATAAGCATAAATAGAATCGGTGAAAAATATGAGGCATACATGCCCAAGATAGCCATGGATAAGACCGCGTTAAAAGCAGTTGTGCTCCCAAGGTAGATTAGTCCCAGAAGCATTTGCAGAAACCCGACCACCAAGATCATGCGAACAGGCACTTTGAGTGTGGGATTCACATGTGAGAAAAAGCTAGATGCTGGTAAACCACGATCGCGTGCAAAGGCCCAGGCTGTACGGCTGGTCGAGGTTGTGCCGGCGGCATTAGCAGCAAGGGCAATCAGTGTGATGCAGAGAGCCATGACAGACGCCCCAGCGGGTGAGCCAGTTACATTCAAGAATAGCTGCATGAATGGAAAACCGGTCTTTGACTCAAGAAGGTTTTCGAGGTTGCCCAAGGAGAACAACAATACGATCGTATAGACTAGTCCGATCACTCCATTGATAGCAACACTACCAATCATTGCCAGGGGGACATTCCGAGATGGCTTTGGTAACTCTTCGCTCATATGACAGGCGGCATCATAACTAAAGTATCAAAAGTGAAAGGTCAGCTATCGGGTGTTCTAATAATTCTCGGTGCGAAGGATCCATACCCAAGAAAGGGGTATACGGTACTGAGCAATCCCACCAACCAAGAGACTCCATCATTTGACCAGCCACTGGTGTTAGAGAACTCCTTGAACACGTAATCAGAAGAGTGTTTTGACGACATCGCTCCGAGAACAGAGACGATGGCGATGAAGCCAAGAACGTGCAAAATTCCTATACCATGCATCAGCCGATGACCCCATGTCTCACTTCCTGTTCGACTTACCAGCGGCAGTATTAGTATGGGGTAAAATCTTAGAGCCGAAGATATTCACCGCGGTTGAGTAAGCCAAAATCAACCAGTAGAAGAGCATTCCTTGCCATCTGGTAGGGATATATGTGTCAAGATTATTTATGGTAATGAGCGCCTGCAATTGTAGTCCTGACGCGAATGCTGCAGAAGCCGCGAGGACGAGTTGTCCACCGATCGAAATCCATCCGGTGAACCATGATGCTGTAGCTCGATAGGAAGAAGGCGTGAGACAGTGGACCCAATGGTATTGGCCTGTAGTCATTTCGATCAATCAGTAAGTGGATGAATAAGAGAAAAGGGAAGATGTGGGCGTCTCTTACCACCTGCGGTAGGATATATCGATGCGATCTCTCCTAGTGACAGAACGATGAAAATCGTTCCTATTAAAGCAATAATACTGTAGACAAGACGAAAAATGAGTTTCGAGATTATGAATAGGAATCTCGAGTGGAAACCTACTAATTATAAAATAGGCAAGGAGCGCCGCCGTTCGTTAAAGCTGTTGCAACGACAGAGGAAAGGGCCTCCCATGTTGCCATCAGCGAGATCTGAAGACACACGATAGACCATAATGAGAATTCACGACGGAGCTCTTGTACATGACCAAGGGCAGCCAGCTGCTCCTCATCGCTGATGGGTTTCTCCGGAGAAGCCACTTTGTCTTTCTCTTGTAAATCGGGATCGGGATATGAAGACATCGCCGCTCACAACACACGGATGGGCATAGAATTCAATATTATTCAATGTTTCTTTATGCCAAGGATCGTATCCCCGGAAAGGGGGTCATATTAATCTTATAGCGGCCGAGTCATCACGAGATAAGGAATTGGTTACGAGGTCAATGGGCGGCACTCAATCCGCACTCACTCCCCATAGCCTAGGCAAGGATCATCATGGATAGCTATAATTGGGGTCTTATCACCATTATCGTCGGTGGCATTACAGTTTTTTGTTGCCTACAATGATTTGTGCTGGGTTATCGCCACAGATCCACCTCTTCCCCGCATTCTTCGCATTCAATATTGTTGCTTATCTCCGCGCAGTCGTTCCGCGTTTCCTTATTTGCACCGTAGCTTCTCAGGAAACGAATCATATTGCCCTGGAGTGTAAGTTAAGGATCAAATACTGAATTCGTGAAAAGAAAGCCAAAGCCAGTGATTCGTTGATGAAAGCCACGAATGCGTTCCTGTGCAGCATTCCCGTATAAATAATGGATGCTCGGAATCGGAATGTTCGATAGCTTAGCCATCATCATCTGGTTTGTTATCAACGGAATAGATAGTGAATAAGTACCGTGAGAATCGCAATCGGACTGGAAAGACTTACTATGAAAGCACTATTCATAATTGCTCTAAATAAATACCATACCTCCTTATCCTAGCGCCTCGGAGAATCCACCTCGAGTTAGAGAGGATATAACTATACTTCATTCTCAAAATTGCGGTCTTTCCAATTACATATCATCTTAGACATTATTGCTCCAGCTCCACCTCTCCGCATTCCGCTAAACCGAGTTTGTTATCTGGCGGAACTGTTTCCATAAATGACGGACAAAGCCCGAGTGGCCCAGTGGTGATTGGGCAGTCGGGAATATCTGTTAGGTAATGCTATGAGGAACTTGGCGATTCCGAGTTTTGACGTGTGGAAACTCGGAATGGATATAAGTGAGATAGTTTATCGGAACTACACTTGGCTGTTGATGCTATCTGGTAATATGGAGCACTTGGGGAATTGTAAGTCGCAGAGATAAGAGTATTTGGGGCTCAGTTATTACCAAAGCTGTTTATCAGTACAGTTCAATTTAAATTATAGCAAGTTTATCATGATAAGCGAGCTCTACAGTATATATACTAGTACTGTATGTACAATGTAGTACTTGCTCGGTTTGATTCCGCCGTTCCGAGGCTGCATCGTGCCTTCCCCACATTCCTGCTGCTTGCTCTTTCCCTCAAATCACGGAGGCTATATATAGAATAAGTCGCTATTGGTTTTTCCGTGAAAATAAACTCTCCCACTTAAAAGCCCGCTACATATTGAAGCACAATGATTCTTCATCCCCTCGCTATCCTCTCCGAAGAGGAGACAAATTTGGCCCGTGATGTCGTTAAAGCCGCCCACCCCAACACAGTTATCGACTTCCGCGAGATTTACCTGCAAGAACCCCCCAAAGCCCAACTCCTCGAGTTCCTGGCTTTAGAGCACGCAGGTCGCCTTAGTCCAACAACCACTCGCCCACCGCGATTAGCATTGTGTCAGTACGATGTGATCGGCGCAGATCGAATCCCTCAATATCAAGAATCTGTCGTGGACTTGGTTGCGCGGTCGCGTATCGAACATATCGTCGTGGAGAAACAGCACCATGCAGCTCTCACATTAACCGAGTTTGATACATTGGTAGAACAATGCATGAAATCACCATTGTTCCAAAAGGCTCTGGCAGATTTCAAGTTGCCGGAGGGTTTCGAGGTCGTCATTGAGCCATGGCCATATGGAGGTCTGGACCTCGCAGAGGATAACCGTCGCTATTTCCAGGCCCTATGCTTCGCCCAGGACAAGCGATCTGGCAATCCCGACTCGAACTTTTATTCCTTTCCTCTCCCGATCATCCCAGTGATGGATGCCCATACCCAACAAATCATTCGAGTTGATCGACCTGCCACCGGCGGCAAAGGAGACGGACTAGTCGAGCAGACATTCAAGCAGGACATTATTGGTCACTGTAAACCATCTGAGTATGTTCCCGAGCTTCTGCCTGAAGGAACTCGGAAGGACCTCAAGCCATTGAACGTTGTCCAGCCTGAAGGTCCCTCTTTCCGCGTCACAAATGATTCTCTTGTGGAATGGCAAAAATGGCGCTTCCGTGTTGCCTTCAATCCACGTGAAGGTGCCACTATTCATGATGTCTGGTATGATGGTCGCAGTGTGATGCATCGCTTAGCGATCAGTGAGATGGTATGTCTGAACTCCCAGATGCGATGATTCGTCCCAAGACTAATTATAGATTAGACTGTCCCATATGCCGACCCTCGACCACCGTTCCACCGAAAACAAGCTTTTGACTTTGGCGATGGTGGTGGTGGAAACATGGCAAACAATTTGTCCCTTGGCTGTGACTGCCTTGGTGTCATTAAGTATCTCGATGCCGTTATCACACAGGCAGACGGGACTGCTCAAAAGTTGCCAAATGCCATCTGTCTTCACGAGCAGGATAATGGCATTGGCTGGAAACACTCGAACTGGCGCACCGGTCGGGCCGTGGTCACTCGAAACAGAGAGTTCGTCGTTCAGTTTATCATCACATTGGCCAACTACGAGTACATCTTTGCGTACAAGTTCGATCAATCTGGTGGAATAACAGTGGAAGCACGAGCCACCGGTATTCTGAACGTTGTGAACATTGACGCTGGCAAGGTAAGCGAATACGGTAACGTTGTCAGTGGTGGAGTTCTAGCCCAGAACCACCAGCACATCTTCTGTGTTCGAATCGACCCAGCTATCGACGGTCAAAAGAACTCCGTTGTGGTGGAAGAATCCCATCCCGTGCCTATGAACGCCACTACCAACCCCAATGGCAACTTCTACAAAGTCACCAAGGAGACCGTTCAACGGGCTTCCTGGATTGACGCTGCTCCGCAGCTTAACAGAACCATTAAGATGGTCAATCCTCATAAGACTAATCCAATCAGCGGAAACAATGTTGGGTACAAATTTATCCCCCTCGCAACACAAACTCTTCTTGCCGATCCTGAATCGGTACAAGCACGACGCGCTCAGTTTGCCCAACACCACGTCTGGGTCACTAAACACTGTGAGAACGAGTTCTACGCAGGTGGTCGCTATACTCTACAAAGCCAAATTGAAGTGGGTGGCGTGGCAGATGCCGTGAAGCGTGGCGATGCAGTGGAGGATACAGATGTCGTTGTTTGGAATACATTTGGTATCACTCACAACCCGCGTGTCGAAGACTGGCCAGTAATGTAAGTTTTATATCATACCCTGTCCGTCTTCATCAAATTATCGAACAGAAACTGACAACGATAGGCCTGTTGAAATCTTTCAATTGATGATACGCCCTGCAGACTTCTTCGTCGCCAATCCTTCCATTGATGTACCATCCAACAAGAATGGCTCATCTCGGTTGGCTGACTCAGAATGCTGCAGAAAGTCACATATCTAATATGATAATTTGGCATAATGGAGGCAGGATCAATGTATCTTAGAAATGTGACCAGGAAAATCACCATATACCACTTTTCATCTTTGACATTTTATTCAATACTATTTAATATTCAGGCTCATTCAAAATTCAATATATGCCCCCATGCCCAAGATTCAATCGTTATTTTACGTACATTATGGATATAAGAATTCTTCTATGGTACGGGTAACTATGGCTGGAAATTGATACTTGGGACAAAAGCTGTCTCAATTATTCAGTCTTTTCAATTCTTAAGACATCCACCAGAGACCAGAGACACATGCACTGATCTAGGTATCAAAAAATCTCTGGAGGCGACTCTTCTCTAAGCTATATTTCGGGTCTTAAAAGTTCAACGACTCATGGTGTGTTCGGTCCGATGCCGCATGACATCATACCTCGGGGCGTCGGAGCCACCGCAAAGTGACAAACAGGCCATTAAGCATAATAATGCGCAACAAATGGTAACGGAGCGGAGCTTCAAAGAAAGACATTCCAAAAGTAGCACTATTAATTTCAATGACTAGCATGCGCCGAACAAACACCGAGTCTGACTCTGTTTTGTCTGTGGGTATACAATGATCCCATCCATCCGCGTTCGGCCCGCCACTCGGGGCCCAAAAGTAGCTCCGACGCCGAACAAGCTGCCTCAAGCTCCGCGTCTTAAATCAACACTGAACCCTGCTTCTTCCACCTCTCGACAAAAGAGCACACAATGGCGAGTGTGAGAGTAACAGCAGCATTTCTGTCGCGTAAAGCGATCACCGCGTGCCGGCCGCATGTTTATCTGGGAGTTCGCTGCACCAACGCGCGGCCACTCCTCTCAACAAAGCAGAGCACTTATTACTCAACAAGTGCTCCAAAATTCTCTGCGCTTGCCCCGAAGATTGAACGCGGTGGATCTAAGTTGTTTAAGGATGCCGACGCCGCGGTCGCAGATCTCAAGAGTGGCTCTACTATCTTGAGTTCCGGCTTCGGTCTTTGCGGGGTTGCTGGTGAGTGAATAGGCGCGCGGAGACATGGCGGAGATAGAACATTACGCTAACATCTAGAACCTATAGAAACAATCATCAATGCCATGCATCGCCGTGGTGCTGATCAATTGCACTCCCTCACGGCGGTCTCGAATAATGCCGGTGCCGCTGGCAAGGGCGGGCTCTCAACGCTGTCACAGAACGGGCAGTTGGATCGGCTGATTCTGTCATACTTGGGCAATAACAAGGCGCTGGAGAAGAAGTATCTATCGGGAAATATTGCTATTGAGCTATGTCCCCAGGGTACATTGGCCGAGCGTCTCCGTGCTGGTGGCGCGGGCATCCCGGCATTCTTCACGCCGACTGGAGTTCGTGAGTAACTCTAGGCCTACATTGAAATACCTATCGCTAACATGACAAAGATACTTTTATTCAAGAAGGGAAGATCCCTGTTCGTATGGATGAGTCTGGGAAGGTTCTGGAGTCAGGCAAACCACGCGAGACTCGCGAATTCAATGGCAAGACATATTTGATGGAAACAGCTTTGACGGGTGATGTCGCTATTCTGCGAGCTTGGAAAGCAGACGAAGCCGGTAACTGTGTCTTCAGGTATGAACTCAATTTCCAATGCTCTTATTCGGGCACCCTGATACTAATGTCGGCTTTGTTAGATACACAACCAAGGCATTCGGCCCGATCATGGCAAAGGCTGCTACACTTACTATTGTGGAAGCTGAGAACATTGTCCCACTTGGGTCTATTGATCCCAACGACGTCGATCTCCCTGGTATTTTCGTCGACCGTATCGTGCCTGCAACAGATGAGAAACATGTCGAGATTAAAAAATTGCGAGAGAGCGAGACAGACGACGTGAATGGCACAACCAAGAACGATGCTCAGGTTCAAAGGGAGCGTATTGGCCGCAGGGCAGCCAAGGAGCTTAAACAAGGATATTATGTGAACCTCGGTGTTGGTAAGTAATCTCGAGCTAATGGTGTGGTGCAAACAACTAACCAAGCGAAGGTATCCCAACACTTGCTCCATCATTCCTGCCCAAGGAGGTGAAGGTGTGGATTCAATCGGAAAATGGAATTTTGGGAATGGTGAGTTCATTACCATTATATGAACAACTTCAAATTTGAGCTCCTGCTAATATTCTTTAAGGGACCATACCCCACCGAGGATGAAGTTGATCCGTAAGTTCCCACGACTAGCCATGAAATTCCGCACTCTAACATCCCATAGTGATATCATCAATGCCGGCAAAGAAACAGTCACATTGGTTCCCGGTGCTGCGACCTTCGATAGCACAGAATCATTCGGTATGATCCGTGGTGGCCATGTGGATGTTTCAATCCTTGGGGTGAGTGCGGCAACTTCCAGCGATAAATGTCTCCATTACTAACAACTATATCCAGGCCCTCCAAGTTAGTGCCAATGGTGATTTGGCCAACTACATGATTCCCGGAAAGGTTTTCAAGGGCATGGGAGGTGCCATGGATCTCATCTCCAACCCAGACAAAACTAAGATCGTGGTGGCAACCAGCCACGTCGCGAAGGACGGATCTCCTAAGATTGTCCAGAGCTGCAGTCTCCCTCTGACTGGTGCTAATGTCGTGAGCACCATTATAACTGACCTGGTAAGTCATTTTGAATTCTTGCACGTCAAAATCTTCACTAACAGTGCCCTAGTGTGTCTTCCAGGTCAACCGTGCCACGGGGGAGCTCACACTTACCGAGCTGGCTCCAGGTGTTGAGGTCGAAGAGGTGCAGAGCAAGACTGATGCTAAGTTTGCTATCGCGAGTGAACTAGGAATCATGGATTAAACATTATGAATGAAGAGCAAATTGTACATAACACGTTTCTATTGGATATCGATCAACGAATGTTACTTTATAAGCTATAGAGTACACCAACCGATGTTACGAAGCTGAAAGATGCCCACTACTAGTGGAACCAAGTTTATTCTAGAAGCTGGAGAAACATAGATTCAGTTCACATCTGAATCTCATGAAAACTATAGCGTATACAAAAATCTATCCCAAAATCCCCAACTCAGCCAAAATCGCCTTATTATGCTCTCCGACTTTAGGAACCGAGCCCATCTGAGCACCATATCCACCTTTATCACTTGATTTCGTGGATCCAGGTGGAAGAAGGGCTTTCACATCGCCGGCAGGGGTCTTTACTTCCGTCCACCGGTCACGGGCTTTGAGCTGAGCATGCTTCCAAACTCCCTGCATATCATTGACGCTTGCATTGGCAATCGATGCGCTATCAAGTCGTGCAATAGTCTCCTTTGCAGTCAAATTTGCGAAAACGCCACAAATAATCTCTTTTAGTGCATCTCGGTTTTGCGTTCTCAGTGAATTGCTAGAAAATCGGCTGTCCGTAGCCAACTCAGGCTGAGAGAGGACACTCTCACAGAAGTTAACCCATTCTCTTTCATTTTGAATTCCCAACATGACTGACTGTCCATCTCCAGCTTCAAAGGGTCCATATGGATAAATGGCGGCGTGTGAAGCACCAGCTGGTACCGGACCAGGGGCGTCATTAAATGTATAGTACATTGGAAAACCCATCCACTCAACCATACTCTCCAGCATCGAGATATCAATACGGCAGCCCTGGCCATCTTTGCCGCGTTGAAGAAGTGCAGATAAAATATTTGTATACGCATACATTCCAGCAGAGATATCGGCAATAGATATTCCAACTTTGGCTGGTTCTTTCCCGGTTCCAGTGACAGAGAGCATACCGGCTTCACTTTGAATCAAAAGATCATATGCCTTCTTGTCTCGATAGGGCCCATCCTGTCCATACCCTGAGATATCACATACAATGAGAGAAGGATGTTTTTCTTTCAATGCATCATGAGATAATCCCAACCGCGCTGATGCGCCCGGCGCCAGATTTTGGACTAGTACGTCGGCGCGCCCGAGAAGTTTCATAAGTACTTCATGGTCCTTTGCATTCTTCAGATCAAGCGCTAGACTCTCTTTTGACCGATTAGTCCATACAAAATGAGACGCTAGGCCATCGACGCGTGTATCATATTGACGGGCAAAGTCTCCAACGCCTGGTCGCTCGATTTTAATGACTCTAGCCCCGAGATCTGCTAATTGCCGAGTACAGAAAGGTGCGGCTATGGCTTGCTCCAGGCTGACGACAGTGATACCTGCCAGTGGAGCTGGACGGTGAGATGAGCTTTGACTAGAGTATCGTAGACCGAGCTGCGGTTGTGGTGATGAGAAGCGCACGATTGATCTTGGCCATCGCAGGGCAAGACTAGGGGCGATGGGCAACTTCATGGTGTAATTGAAAAGAAAGGAAATAGATAATCGAAGAAATTAGATAGAAATGACTTCGTCGAATTATAATGTCCATCGGATTAAACCTTGGAACGTGGCTGGTGATCACCCCCGGTTCGACAAGTGTACGTCTGTATCCTAGTGGGGAACCCAAGTCGGCTATATGCCGGCTACATACAACTGGACCGAGAGGTCCCTGGGGAACTCGGCATTGGATATTACTTCGCCGAGTACGCAAAGAGACCAATAAATACGGGAAAAGGCGTTTTCAGGGAAGAGGAATAATAAAGAAGAAAGCGGAAGTGGTGCTCATAGTAGATCATGTCAACTAAGTATCATACAAAAATAATTAGGTGACGTGGGATTCATAGACATTCAGCCGAGTTTGAAGATTAAATTCCTAATCATGTTATTAATATGAATCGCCATAAATAGGAAATATTGAGACTATTTGAGGTCTTTCTCTTAATCTATTCGCTTAAGTTACCAGTCTTAGGCTTCGGTGACAATATTCTAAACTAGCATCACATATACTCGTGAAGCCTTACGATTTCAAACTATCGCGAAACCTGATCTTCACAACCTTGGAACCGTGCACTTTTATTTTCATATTTATTAGCCTTGCATGTTATCACTTATAACGTTCTCGATTAAGTTTACTACCAAATCAGGCTTAGTTTCGTAGTGAGCCGCACCTAAAACGAGACACGGAAGTCTGATATGATCCACGTACCATATCGATGTGGTTTCCCATCTCTTCTTAATAGTTCTCAATATCTCATATTTCACACCTCTCTAATCATCAAACACCATGAAGCCACTTTGTCGCCAGTTGAAGGATCGATATGAAAAGTTGTCCCGCATCGGCCATCGTCTGGGAAACTTTGACCGACGCACTTACCGACGATATCCTCGCCCGCCTCGGTATTGATCTAAGTCCTATGGAAATAAGAACTGGGACGACTTCGCCCTCGGTTATAGCTTACTTCATCCCACGCGCAGATTTCCCCAGCTCCGAAGACATTCTTAGAACGAGTCTCGATATACGCCGTCATTATGATAATATTCTTGAACATGGCGATACAATCGATAGAAAAATCTCCGACTCCCAGGGAGAACTCGAAGAAGATACGCAATATCAACAACCCGTCATGTTTCCCGGGATACTACTCGATACATTTTTGAATTATATGCACTGCTTTGATCCCACACGGAAGTCATTTTGGTCATTTCAATGGTGAGTCGAAACTTTAGTATACAACGGATGATAGATCTTCGTTAGTATATCTGCTGAATAGCGTTGACTTTATACTAGGCGATCATGTTATGGTTGGCATGTAAGTTGGACACTCGAAAAACATTCAAACAAATTCAAAGCTGACACTTGCATAGTCCAAACGGGGAATGATTCACCACGGCAATATTTCCGTCAAGACAAAATAGAGCATAGTGAATGTGATCGGGAAAAGTCGGTGAAACTCTCTCCTGCCCTTGCCAACGCATACTATAATCCGAATAATGAAGAAGGTATTCCTGTCTCCTTTCCGACCTGTCCCAGCCATGGGCTTCACTGGGACACGATTTCCGAAATCGATAATCGTCGACCTTTTGTCATGGAAGTGCTATTCTTGATCGATTGGATCTTATATGGATTTATGACCCAATTCAATGCACTTTCCAAAATGCCATATGAGGAAAGTCTATACAATTTCAACCATATTCTCCCGGTTTGTCATCCTATTTATACGAGGTAGACGGACTTGATTGAGATACTAATGAGATTATTCAGAGAATGGCGGTGTTTTTTGACCATGAAGGTCTAGCACGGGTAATTTACGCATACTTTGATGGCAGACTAAAAGTCCAATTTACTAAAATTTTGGATTTTCGCGGCCTTAAAAAAACACCTCCGCCAAGCGGAAGCTATAAAGATGTGCTTGAGCAGTCCATATATCACGAAAAGATGGACATGTTGCTGAAATGGGCATGGCCAATTGTTCAAGGCGATACTAGTAAAGAAAGCCTTTTACCTGGCCTGGGTATCAATATTGAAGATGCTAATTGGGGTGGGGATGAGGATGAGGATACGGATGAGTATGTACAAGTAGCAGAGAAGCAGGGGAGAATCCCCTGAAATATTCAAGTCAAGTTCAAGTTAATGGTCCAACACTATTCTGCATTCCGTACTAATAGGTACCGTACGGATGTAGTACATTAACAGTAGTAAGTACAACTAAAATATACTACATCACCGAGCCTCAAGTGCACGTGCAGCATCCCTCCAATTCATGCAAAGAAAGCATGACAAAATAAATTCGCGACAAGGTTTTGGTGGAGAAGATAGTGGAGCATATGAAATGAAATGGGGGCGGAAAATGCGGGCATGAAGGTTTGTTGACCCCTTATTGTAATTGAATCGACTTTTCACTCCCATCTGATCACCAAAAGTTAGCCTCGATGAGCAGTTTCTTGTAGAAATAAACTACTTCAAAGATAGTATCCAGACTAAGACAAAGTGACTCGAAATAGGTGGCCAACAGTGTAGAATGTGGCGAAGCGATGGCGCATCATGAGCGCTGCAGGTTGTGACTGGTCAGTTCGACGATCTGCATTGACATTGCCCCGTTGCCCACTTAACCCGTCAGTAACTTTGTTGCGGCTAAGTGTCCGTCTTCGTGGACTCCACCTCGTGCACCGGTTTGTCTTGAGCTTTGAAAGCTGAGGAGTTTTCTCCCCCGCCATCCCTCGTGGATCCGGCCCCTTCGTTCGCTTTGACTTGAGGAAGACTCGAGCGCTATTAAACTGGCAACTGCCTCATGAATAACGTTCTCTGCATCGACAGAGCTAGTCTAATAGCCCCTCGTCCATACTTTGACATGAACGCCCAACATGCAATTTAGTACCACTCCCTCCGAGTACGGTGGACTGTTTCCACCGCCAAAGCAGGTCTTCAATATCAATCGGGTTTCGAGACTCTGGAGACTGTTAACAATATCTGTTGCGATCGTTCTTCTGACCGGGTATGTTTATGTTTATGATTATGTTTGAAGCTAGAAACTTTGTTGCCTGTTGTCGGATAGCTAACGCGCATTTCTTTGTTCTTCTAGATACCTCATGCTAGCAGTTGTTTTCGGGGACTCAAACACAGATGTCCATATCGATGAGACCACAACAATTGTCATCGCTTTATTCTTCATCGCTCTCTCATACGCTGCCTCTCTCGCGATCGCATTCTTCCAACGCCAACGCAAGCTCTTCCTCCTCCATTCATTATTCCTGTCGGTTCTCCCTCTTTTGCATAAAACGACCTCTTTTACTCACAATACCTAGACCATATACTATAGTCAACCTCCTTGCATTGTTCAACGTTCTCCTTAATATCTTCGCTCGCAATTTACGACCGCTATCCCCGCTCCGCGTTGTCGCAACTGGTCTACCGAGTGCGTTCATTTTGATATACGGATGTGCATCATTGTTAATATACCTTGAATTCGGGTCCATGGGAAGCATTCGGGCTGCTGACGGAACGCCATTGCTCAACGAAGAAGAAATGCAACGCCGACAACTTGCCCGGTTACTCGAAGAGCGATCCGCGCCTCAACCGTCACCAGACCTGGTCCGTAGTACATATCGACTGGAGATTCCTACCTTAGACCCGGTTCAAAAACCGTGGGATCGAAATGAAGATCAGCCCTTGGGGGTTGTATCACGCCCTCAACACACAAACCAATCGTGGAGTAGTGTAAGCCAGTCCATGATTTGATGCAAAGTATCAAAACCTCTGCCTGCATTCCAATCAAAAAGCTTTAATGGGGGAGACAGAAACACTCCCAGGGTTGGCCGCTCGCATTTTGAACTATTTAACGTGATTAATCTGGATGTCCCAGCCGTATATTGAGAGCGATATGGTTTGTGAGACAAAGGCATATGCTCTGTTATTGTCATTCCATCTGGGTCTTTAGCGTAGTCTTGGCGTGGACTTTTTTTTTCACGGCGTTTTAGTGTTTGCTAGGTTCCCTTTTGGCGTTTTCTTAACTCTAAATATAATGTGCTGGGGAATGATTTAGCTTACGGTTGAGAATCTAAAATTCGTGGTTCTTTCAAGGGACAGTTCAACTTCATCTATACTTCTCAGTTCTATCAATCAGATAGAAAGTATGATTGATTTGAATAAACCTACCAAATATCTCCCACCTATAGGATGACTGGCCCAATCAGTTATCCCATAGATACTACTACTGAGGGCCGTGCATTGGTTAAGTTATAGCTGAACTCCATTCAATAGCAGCATAGCTAATTATCAGCACAAGAAGGGTCGCTTTTTGAAAAAATCAACGAAGATGAGATGAAATTCTGAACTCGCTAAAGCATGTAACAAATTTGGGGAATACAAAATCCAAAACTGACAGCAGTTGAACATAAAAATAACGAAGAGTCAGACAGCCGCCCACCTTTTTTCTTCCGATGAAATGCAAAATGAGACAAAACATGGTGTATATCAATCTTTACTGCAACAATCATCAACTTTTCCGTTAGATCTTATCGTGTCATACCTCTACCTTCTCCGAAGGGTCGCATTGAGAGGCTTCCTTAACTCGAATATCATAGTATTCCAGTACTTTCTTTCCCCATACATTCTTGCCTTTATACTCTCCGACATGTTCAGGCCAAGTTTTCATTTCCATAGCCAAATTCTCAAACTCTTGCATCGGAAGCTGGCTAATGGGGGTCAAATAGGTTTTCACTCCGAAAACAATTGCACCTGTTCTGGGCAGGCGACGGAATGTTTGGCGCTCACGACGAATGATTATCTCGTCCGGAGTGGGATTACTGAGTTCCTTTTCACAAAGAGAGCCTGGTCGATATAGTATTTCGAGCAGATCCTCATTTGGCCGCTTAATCTCAACAAAGTAGTTAGATCTTTCCATTGACGATGCTGGCGTCAAGCGCGCAAGAAATCTAATAATTGTCAAAGAATGTCCAAGTGTGCCGCGCGAACTCTAGAGAAACTTACTTGCTAACAGAGTTGGATATCTGCTGGTGCCAAAGTGGAACAGGGCCATGTAATTGAGAAATGGTCCATCCAATTCGGTCCTTCACAGTCCATCCCGTTGGGAACAGACTTGCGCTGGCCGCCCTTTGACAGTTTAGTCGACGTCTCAGGTTAATGTCCAAATTATGAAACTCACAGATAATATTCTCCATCCTCATTCATCATTAAGACACTAAGGTCCTCCATTGTAAGTCTAACGGCCGCCTCCAGCACATCTGTCATATCACCAGCTTTTGTCTGGCTCGTAATCTTGAATTTTTCTTTCGTTGCTCGATTCTCAATCCATGATTCTTTGCCTTGAACTATCCGATGAAACATGCTTGGGAATCTTTGACAAAGAAATTCCGATACCTCCTCCAGCGTTTCTTGGCAAGCCTCGCCTGACTCAGGCAGGCATTGCAGCACTTGGTCTCGTTTCTCACGGAGTAATCGATCTCTCACTCGATGCTCGTCAATGTAGTTTTTGTCCAATGTAAGCCAGTTCTGGGCGTCTAGCCTGCGAATATCCATCATTATCCGATATTTTTCCCGTCCTCGAATGGGCTGTGCCGGGTACGGCGCCAGCCTTTTGAGATCTGATGGCCTATGAGAACATCCATCTCGACTTTTCAACGGGTTTCTCAGTAAAGACAGCCAGGTCCGGCAGTCGTGGTGTCGTTTTTGATACCCCACAACAAGCAGTAGTATCACAATTGAAAGTGTCACCAGAGAGAAGGTTGTCATACTTCTTCCATGCGGGCAAATCAAACAAGATCAAGATGGTAGGTAGTGATGAAGAATGATTTGAACTCAAATTGAATCACGAGACAAGTAACTTGTGTAACGAGAATTGGGTCTTGTATGATAGGCGAGAATGGAAAAAGAAAAGAAAACTGAGGAAACTGCTAGCTATAGAAATACAAAAATACAGTTGGAGGAAGGTTTTACATAAATACCCTTTGCCTGATGACGGACAAGATGACCTAGTCAAGATCAAGGCAACAAACCAGACCCAGATAGAACCGGCTGATCACCAGACGGTTTGAAAAAATAATAATAATAATTAAAATAAAATTCAAAAAATGGCTACGGAACTACCGTGATACGTCCAAGGATTCCCCGCAAAAAAAATTTAGAAAATTAAAATTAAATAGTAATGATAATAATTAAAGCCTCCATTCGTCTTTGGAGCCACATGATCATTGACCTCAGCTGGGGATCATCAGCAACTGGAAGGGACAGGGCTGTGCTAGCAATCATGGTCTACTCCACCTGGTGTCTCGGGGGCTGGTGGATTCAGTGAGATAGGTCAACCAAGAAGCGGGTCATTGAATCTTTCCAGGACGGAATTGGCGCTTGGAGAAAGTAATGAAAAGACGGGACGTGCCCAGGGCAGCTTGGGGGTCATTGAATCCGCTAGGCACGATCTAGGCACCATAATCATACATAATCGTCAACCTCACGGACTATGTCCGTGCGCGGGATGGCCCCTCTCTCGTGAACGTGGGTTTGCCGAAACGAAATCGGGAAACAAATCTCGAGACCAGGCATGGTGCAACGGACCCGGATAGCCTCGGGGGGGATACCGGGTTTGCCGCAGCTGATTCGCGACCGCGAGAAGCGAGGTGCTCTAAAAGCATCAATCAGCTCATATGTGGCATTTTAGGGGAGTGGGAACAATGTTTGATCTGAGTCACGCCTAGTGTCTAGCCCCAGTTCTGGATCGTCCAAGCACAGTGGTCGTCTAGTAAGATGGAAGATCCGACTGGCTCAAACTTCGATCCAGTTCCTGTGCACATCACACTTACAGTTAGTTGACAAGCCAAACAGGTTGTAGGGTTAGCTGGACCGATGGATCAACCTGACGTATCACGCCTCCTGGGAGTCGTGGACTATTGTGGGGTGGTTCCTTCGTAGTGGGATCCAGTGTCATTCAATTCCGCGGCCCCGATACTATAATGATGTTTCTCATCGTCGCTTTGTTTTTTGTTTGAGGCTTTAAGGCACAATGATCTTCGTTAGGCTCTTTCCCCCTCAATTACCCAGTGCCACTCCGTATACTAGAGGCAGACATAAGGCAGGTATGCAGGTCCATGGCGTCTCTTAGCCTTGATTTCTTTTTGGATCTTTCAGGTTTTACTGTGTCTCCATTATTCCTCCGTTAAATGGGTGAACGGGCGATCACCAGGTCCAGAATGCCTTCTCGCCCCCCTCTCCGCCCCAACTTTCTCTTCGTGCTTTGTTTCACGGTCCCACTTGAGTGACTCCACTCTGGGGTCGCTGCAACCGCTTCCCCCTTTCACGCAAAGCGCGCTTGCCGCAGTACCCTACAAAACAACCAGTTACATAGACAATCGCCACCACAATGACTAGGATCACAGTTGAAAGTCTTCCATGGATTACTATTCGGTGCGACCTTTTTAACTCAAATCTGGAGAGTATGACGGGCGAGAATATAGATCCGATCCTAGAAAAATTATCCCAGGGTGAGGCGAAGATCGCTGGGATTACCAAATGGACTATGAACCACTTTCGTGTGGGCCAATTAAAGTCGAGATATTACAATATAAAAAGTATTAGATTCAATGAAACACTCATTGGCCCTTTTGTAGCAATGTCCGCCAGAAAACAAGGGGCTGACCCTCATTTCCCCGGAATGGACCTATGAGCATCTCTATATTTCCCATTCATGATATCACCGGACTTAATTTTGCTTTTGATTCTCTCTGGCGTGACCACGAAGTACATGTTTCCGAGGAAACTTACCGCATCGTAGCCAAATTTACAAGTAGCCTCGTATACCATCTTCAGTAGAAACCAAAGGCCCACCCGGCTCGGCTACACCATATGGGTCAACTGATGTGGATACGTTCGATGATAAAAAAAATTCATTCCGTGTTTGACAGCGCTTTGCTTTTTTTCGTGCATCCGCGTTTAGAGAGACCTTAGTACACTCTCCTTGACCGTTCTTTTGGTCGTCGGCGGGCCACATCTCAATGTCGCAAAAAGCAATGTACCCTCTGACGATTCTTATTTTATTATTTTCTTCTTCTTATTATCGATAGACTTTAATTGTCGATCATTCTTTCCAATAAATGGCCGAGGCAGACGGGATGGGGAAAACAAATCCAATATTGGCTGTACCTAATACTATATCTATGAATTACTATAACCTACTTTGTCAAGGTGCTCGATATGACCAAGTATTCGTCATTGGGGAGTGTAAATAGTGGATAATTGATGTTTCAACTGAGAATGACAGCCCAACAGTCGTTTAATATGTCTATAATAAGTTTGCCTTGTAGGCAAGAGGCAAATTTTACCCTGGTCGTGACTCAAATGGGAGTACATGCATGCATCCGATGAGAGCGCACAGAGCTCCGCAGTATAAGCGACCCCAGACCTATAATGAATCGGTATCAGCTGCCTAATAAAAGTAGCGGTGGGGCTTTCAATTGACATGACAGAAGCTAATTATTGTACTTTGGCTCGGAAGGATCAGACACATAATACCTGGGGTCTACGTGGTTCCATGAAGTTGTACTAACATGTAACCCGGGTTCATTGAATCGTTTGAAAAGTAACTAAAGATGCAACTGACGCTTTGATCGGGGTGACATTCGTCATGGTCGGCTTTGGGTCTCATGTCCCCTGACGTGAGGCGAGTGGCGCTAAACTGGATGGGCCAGGACTTCATGTATTTTTAGGTATGAAGGAAAATACCTGGGTATTGATTGTATACTGTTCAAAGGCGTCTAGAGATTCAGCCTTGGGCGGAAAATGCAATGGCTAGGCCTCACTTGAATGGGATCGGGCTTTCTAGAATTGCACCTTGACTCATCTGTTTTAGGTGTATCAATCAGGTCGACAGTACCCCTACAGCACGAGATATCGTCGTCGATTCTGGTAAGACACTCTAGATTCGATATTCGATATTATGTCCCTAGCTCGCATTGATTACTAAGTTGCAACAACCAATCAGTTCTACGTTCAACACAGAACTAGGGAAATCATCACGTACAGGATTTAGCACTCAGGGATTCCCCGCCAAGGGAACAGGGAAACACTTCAGCAAAGGAGCCATAAGTAGCCTCCTCCTAACTAGGCGACCAAAGAATACTTACTATATAATTAGAACAGTACACTAGGGGCTAGATTTAACACCTACAATATGCGAGACCGGCTATGTAGGAGTGTCTCCACACAACACACCCTACAGTACAGAGCACTGCACGCCCTTTTGCTCACCGTAGTATTCGTATTACAGTTATTCTCTCCCAATATAGGAAGGCAAAGAGGGTTGTGAAGTATTACAAATACGGCAGAATCTACTACCATGCCCAAAAAGGCTTAGCGTGGTGCTCAAATGTCAATGTAGGGTGTAACTAGTGGAGCCGACCTCGGAGAATGGCTGGCATCTGTCAAAACTGTCCTCTCCAGCATAAATCATATATTTTTTAATTATCTCTGCATATTTCATACAACATAATGGCCGGCAAACCTTCTATTCGTCTGGCAACGCCAGAGGGTGAGTGACCAATTGACCGCTTTGACCCCATGCGCTTCATTTCCGCTTTTAGCTATTCCCCGAACAATTGAAACTCTACAAGATGAAAAACTCCCCGAGTCCCGCAGCTAATGCATATCACCAGATGTTCCGCTCATTCTCCAGTTCATCCGTGAGCTTGCCGATTATGAGAAAGCCCTGCATGAGGTCGAAGCCACCGAGGAGTCCCTCCTAGCCACCCTTTCCTTCCCCGGTACCCCGCCACAGCGCGGCGCTGTCTACACGGCTCTCATTACCCCACCACCCACATCCGAAACCCCCACTCCAATCCCAGTCGGCATGGCCATGTACTTCTATAATTACTCCACCTGGCGATCTGCCCCGGGAATTTACCTGGAAGATCTCTATGTGCAGCCCAGTGCCCGCGGCCAAGGCTGTGGTATTCTGTTGCTGAAGTACTTGGCTAAACAGGTTCTCGAGGCAAACGGTCGCCGTTTGGAGTGGAGTGTTCTGAAGTGGAATGAGCCCAGCATTAAGTTCTATGAACAGGTTGGCGCGAAGGGTATGGAGGAGTGGATGAAGATGATGGTTGATGGTGATGCCTTGACAAAACTTGCGGACGGTGTATGAGATGCCAGATCCCAATATTTCCATGTCCGTTCTATATAGCCCCACACTGGCAGCTGGCGATTGAAGACATAATCTCCAGGGCGACTGATGCATAAACCATGTTTGAAAAAGACCATGAATTAATCAGATAGTGGGATTATGTTAGATCATAATGATTCAAAGCAAAGCCATTAATATTATTCATTACTGCGCTCATAAAAACCTTGAAGTGATCAAACTATCTAGTTCTAGTCCATCCAATCTATAAAATTCATAACACATAACAATCAAAAGCCAACTTTTAGATAACGTGCTCCTCCTTTTCATCCTCCTTGGGGATTCTCACCCAAATCAATGTGATGAGAGCTGCAACCACTTCAGCAGCCAAAGCAAACCACCAAATAGCCCGGAGTCCATCCAAATCAATATTTCCATTGGATTCACCAACCTTGTTCCCTATGGCATCCCCGACAGCTGTCATAACTGCACTACTCAGGTTCTGCATAGTCACAAGCAGACTACCAGCGCTGCCTTGGTAGGATCGACGAACATTACTCGTGATGTATATAGAAGCCGCCGCAAAGGAGAGATCAGGGCCAAAGGTAACTAGGGCGATTCCGGGAAAAGACAAGGCCCAGTACGTTGTTCCCGATGTCTGGGGTAGGAAGAAGGCGGGGCCCAGTGCAAATGCAAGCATGGCAGTAAAGTAAATGTAGTGACCTGGTACAATGTGCAAGGTCTTGCTCACTACCCATGTTGCTAAGACACCCACGATAGCATTGGGAAGAAGGTAAAGTGCCACCGTCAGGGGACTGTTTTGTTGAACGCGAAGCATAAACTGCACAGCAAAGAATTGCCAGCAGCCGGAGAAGGCGCCATATCCGAGGAAATAAGCAATCATCAGGGGTGTGAAACCTTCCGTCTCCCAGAGACGAGTAGGAATGAGAGGACGTGCCACCCATCGTTCAACAAAAAAGAAGCTAATCAATAGTAGAATACCGACAATGACCAGCGCATATGTGTATGGGGACCAATTCACGACAGATCCCTGGGTGAGACCGAAAAGAAGACACACACAGCCAGTAACGGCAAAGCTTGCTCCAATGAAATCAAAGTCGCGGATCGTCGGTGCCTCTGTTCCCACGATATCTGCCATGGGTTTCAGTGGAGGAATCACCATGAAGGCAGCAACTAGACACATTCCAGATATGATTGCATTGGAACCGAAAATCCAATAAAGACAGGACTGAAAAGCTCCGCCCTGGATACCACCAAGCCAAAATCCAAAGGGCGAGGTAGCAGACATAGCTGAAAAAACTTTGTTCTTCCGCAGACCAGGCTTATAGATTCGGCCAAGGATACTCATCGAGGCAGAGACCAGAACTCCAATAGCGAGACCTTGCATAGCTCGCACAATATAGAACAAAATGACTCTTTCCGGACTGATCGTGAACACCCCCACGATATTCCAGACAGTCAACCAGGCAAATGCGCCAACCATAATCATCCGCGGTGGTGTAAGATCGCTCAGTGAACCTGATATAACGACTGACAAACTCAATGGAAGTGTATATGCACCGAGTAACCATGGCAGCTGACTATTGCTGATTCCCAGCGCTATTTTAAGCTTTTCTTGGTTCACAGTGATATCGCCCAGTAAGAAAGCAAAGAACATCAATCCAGCAGAGCACACCAGAATAAAGATCATTTCAGCAGTAAGACTACCTAGTTCAGGAGGGACACCTTGCTGCTTTGCTAGTGTGGGTGATCCCGCTTCTTCCGCAAGCCCGGGCATATGCTTGATCGAATAACGAGTACTCTTCTCGCTTCGCCGAGACTGCACATTTCTGAGATCCTGATGCCCCGAATGCTGCTCGGGCATACTAGACATAGTACGGGATAGGTTCTCGAGCGCCTCACCCATATGAGAGTTGCCACGAGTCCTGGTGGTAGGGACCGTATACAAATCGGTGACATCCTGAGATTGTCGGTATGAAGCATCATCATCTTCTGAATTTCTGCGAGTAGAATCCATAGTTGTCGATAATGAGAGTGTCGAATGGACTCTAGAGTTGGCAGCAGTCGATCCCAAGTCCTCGTACGCAGTGTAAACATCATTCTTGATGTCTCCACCAGTTGCATCCATAGATGTGGGTGCCATAGTTGCTTGTAGGGTAACCCAGTATCAATGCTCCGATTTTTCCTCAATTATGTATGAGATTTGCATTTAATTTTCGACGAGAGAATTGGCTTCACAGTTCTTTATCTTTCAAAAAGCTTGGGCGATGAGAAGTTTTTAAAAAATAATTCGGACTACAAGGTGCGATCGAGCCCATAGAAAAAATTGAGTGGGCATGTGGATCCAACCCTCACGTCAGGCGAAGATTTTTTAAACTAACGGAAATCATTATCCGACTACAAATTCAAGCTCCTAAATTACTGAATTCGGGCACTTTTAGGCAAAAAAAAGATTCAGAGAAGAGATTGCGTTATCTTTCGGCTTTGTTTGACAATCATAATCCTAGCATATATGCATGAGAACAGCATCTCTTTCACCGATAAGCTACAACTAGATCCAATCAAACTTGTCGCCCAAGTATTGATGAGCCCGAGCATCTCCAGAACGAGCATGGCCCTCAAAATTCTCCGCGCGTGCAGATCTCCCACAAAGACGACCCAGTTCGCCACTCTCGTGCTCCGATGTTACTTCTTGATAGGTAACAGTTTTCAAATACTTACCCACCCATAGACCGCCAGTGTATCTAGCTGCACCTCGAGTTGGGAGAACATGATTGGTTCCAATGCACTTATCGCCATAGGAAACACAAGTCTTTTCGCCTAAGAACAAGGCACCGTAGTTGGACATCTTCTCCAATGCCTCGCGAGGCTTTTGAGTCAGAATCTGGACATGCTCATATGCATACTCGTCTGCAAGCTTGTATGCCTCATCCAAATTTCCGACAACAATGACCTCTCCAAGACGATCCCAGGAAACTCCAGCAATATCCGCGGTCGGCAAGACTTTCAGAAGACGGTCCACTTCCTGAATGGTCTTCTCACCAACAGCTTTCGAATTTGTAATTAGAACCGCTGGTGAATCAGGACCATGCTCTGCCTGTGACAGGAGATCTGTAGCTAGTACAAATGGGTCTGCATGTTCATCGCCGACGATAAGGACCTCTGTCGGTCCAGCTGGGAGATCGATACCAATCTCCTCTCCAAAGAGTTGGCGCTTGGCCTCTGCAACGAACGCATTACCCGGTCCAGCAATGAAATCCACCTTCTTCATGGTCTCAGTCCCAATAGCCATCGAAGCCACAGCTTGGACACCACCCAGGACATAGATATCGTCTGCTCCAGCAAAATACATGGCAGCAATAGTATTAGCGGGGATTTTCCCTAGAATAGGAGGCGTGCATGCAGTAACGTGAGGAACTCCGGCGCATTTGGCAGTGAGGATCGTCATATGAGCTGAGGCTAGGAGGGGGTAGCGGCCACCAGGGATGTATCTATAGAAGGAGTCAAATCAGATGCTCGAAGGTATTAAAACATGACGAGGAAGTAAAGACTTACGCTCCAACTGAATTAATCGGGATATTCTTCTGACCCAGATGCACACCTGGTCGAATCTCCAGCTCGAAGTCTTTAATAGAGTCTCTTTGCGCCAGGGCAAAAGTCCGAACATTTTTTTGAACCTGCTTAATATCATCGATGATCTGCTTCGGCACAGTTGAAATGATTTGCTGTATTTCCTCCTCTGAGAGCTTGAAGCTTGCGGGACTCCATTTGTCGAACTTCTCAGAATAACTTCTCACGGCCTGATCACCCTTCGCTCGAATATCATTAATAACCCCGCGCACGATCGCAGGCGTATCTACCGTTGATGCAGAGCCATTGTTGGCGGTGTTGCGTTGTTTGAGCTTGAGAGCCATGATGACGAGGCAGGATGTACAATTCTCAATAGTTTCCGTTCGTTTCAATCTTAATCTTTCAATTGTCTCTTCTTATAACGTTTGTAAAGCACAAGATTCGTCATAGCAAGCTCCAAAGTTTCATGGTTACCATCGGACTCGGCGCCGATTCCGATTATCGTCCACCCCGCATGGTCGGTTAAAGCGTGGGGGCCACACGCCTCGGTATGTGGAGGGTATTGAATATTCTGAGCTTCGAATAACTTCACTTCTTGCAAAGTTCAGTTCCATCTAGCTCGCCATTGCAGTTTCCCGGTCTCTCCCGAATCACTTTCCTTGATTCTGTTGTTGTCGTCTTCCTAAGCGGGCGCCACTGTCTGCTACCGATGCCGTATGGTTTAAACACATGTTGAACTAATATCTTCAATGATCGGACTACGGATACGAATATGGAAGTTTAAAAGAACTTATCATATAAAATGAAACCCCATGCATTCATTTCTTTCCTGGGGTTCCTTTTAGACAGTCTATGGTCTATCCCTGGGACTTTTTAGGCACTGCCAAGGAACTTGATATAATTTTGAGAATTTTGAAATCATGATTGATTTGGGTATCAAGTTGAGATAATTTCATAATATACATTAATATCATATTCACCCTAACCCCTTCCTGTCAAAACACAGTTTCCTAGATCACCCATCAGCTGAGCCAGGCTTTGAACCAACGGCGGAGTAGTCTCTGAGTTATCGACGCGAAGAGCTCGCTGTCCAATTTGCATCATCAATCCAGGCTCCGACAGGAAGACTGGTCCATTTGGACCTTCCAAAGCGGGTTGACCACAGCCCAGAGTCACGAACTTTGACACATCAGCGACTTCCTCCGCATCAAGATAAACTATCGGTCCCTGTGTAGATACTTGAGAAGCAGGGCTACCCGTGAGTCTTGTATTCTGAGCCTTAGAGACAACGCCATATGACCAGAATGCCAGGCTTGCATAGTAGACCCCAATGGCCAAGAACCCCGTCAAAGATCCAGGTGGCATTTGACGAGCTGCGCGAATCGTTTGTCCTGCATGCCAGACTGCACGCCGGGAGTCTGGACTCGCGATCCATTCTAACGCAGAATGGTATACGCGACGTGCTTCTTGTTTGTCTTCCTTTCCTGCAAAGAGTTGGAGCTCTTCGAGTGACATGTAAAGTAACATAGAGACGACCTCGCTGACTAGGGTAATTTCAGGGAGGGCTGGGGCATGAAGCTCAGAACGAACCATTCTAAAATGCTGGAGAGCCTGGTTGAGTTCTTGTTGGCGAGAGTTGGTTACAAGCGCGTGCCAATGCTTGGAATTGCTTGTTGAGATAAATTTTAGACTATGGTATTCATTCACCAGGGCAGAGATACCATGTAAAAGAACCAGAGTTGAGAGTTGGGTGTCGACTCGATTCTGGAATATAGATAATTGAGCCATGTCACGAAGAAGATCCGCTAGTGATGGTACACGCTCGGGGGTGACTGTTCGGTATAGCTCTCTCCATTCCTTGGCTGTTTTGGCTTCCCATAATCGACGCGGCGCGGGTAGTGGAAGCTCCAAGTCTGTGTATGATATCAAAGGATTCACATTAAGAGCAACTGCAATTTCTGAATCGTGAACAAACATATGATAGACAAGTCTAGAAGAGAATAAGCAAAGTTGTACAGTTAGAATGAAGGGTCACATCTCACCTTTTGAATGACTCCTGTTCAATCCACTCGCGCCATTTGCGCTCCAGCACATCGTCCGTATCTTCAGCAAGGGGGATTATTGTTGCATAAACTGATCGACGAAATCGGAGACCACGGCGAAGCATAGTTACCAATGGTTGATTGAAACTTTCTGCGATTTCAGTCTTCCTCCTATTGCCACTCCAAAGACCAATCCAGAGACATAGGAAGTTGGTCTGCGACGTCCGCAAGCATCGTGTCGCACTATTATCATTTTCATACTGCATTTTATGTAAGAAGCAGAACAATATCAAGTAGGAATAATGCGAAATACCTTTGTGGGCAGATACATCCGCACAATTTCTAAGAGGGCATATCCAAGCTTCCTAATTGTAGGAATAGATGACCTGATAGCTCCTGCAGCAGCCAACCCCGCAAGAATGCTCGGATGTTCACTATTTGGCCGAAACGTCGCTCCGTGGACGAATGAAATAACACTCTGGTTTTGGTACTGAAAGAACTGTTGAATAAGCCCATCTAGCAACTCTGTGCTAGGAAAAGACTTTGTGATCTGATGCAAGTTGGCCTCCCGACTAATCTCTAGTACGAGTCCGAAAATCAAGTCGCGGCTACTCGAAGATAACCGTTCGCACAATGTCTGTCTTTCGGTGGCGCCTACGCCCGGGCTATCAACGGCCTGAGGAATAGACAAATTTTCATGATCAATAAATGCACGATCTTCTCGAAGAGGCCTCCATGCAGATAATGATGATCGGTGGTAAGCCTCGGCTCCAATTCCAATGCCACTGTCTGCATCAAGATTATCTTGTTCGTTCTCATCGCCCGCCATCAAACTGCGGGAGTTGTACATGTCTATGAGTCCGAAATCGCCGTCCGTTAAACTGAAATCTAAGGAGAGGTTCTCGAGCACTCCGTATGGGGTAAACTCGGGGATGAAACTTGACGGATCAAAGGGATCGTTATATCGACCAAGGGAAGAAAACATCGAGTCGGGGATGAAGTTGGGAAAGAATGTGCCGTCGACGCTAAATATCCCACTTTCATGGTCTGTAGGTGAAACTGTTACTGTCAGCTAATTCCCGTTGAGAGTTCGGAAGAGACTATCATTCGTACCGCCATATTCGATTTGAGTCGGTTCAGCACATGTCGGAACCTCCGGGGAGAGTAATGGGTCAAGTGGTGGTCCTTGGGGGGTCATCAAGATAGTATTTGTGGGTTGGAAGTCTTCCATTGGGGTCGGCATTGGCGAAAATAGAAGAGAGGTACTCAAATCAGCAGGCGGGTTGTTGGGATTCTGCATATCGTGTTCATTTTGTTGAGGCGATTCGGGAGAAGAGTCTTGTGAGATATCCTGCCAGTCACATTGAAGGTTCCGTTCACGACACCGTTTACAAGGCTTTTCTTCGTCACATTTGAGTTTCGAAGCAGCACATGTCTTACAAGCCTGTGATACTCGACTTTGTTTTGCAACTGATGAGCTTCTTTTGCGTTTCCGGTCTCTATCATGTGCATGTCCTGCTGCATGGCGCTTCAAGAGATCCCTGCGTTAACCCGATAGTTTAGCGATATGATTAATCTTGCTTAAATCAAAGAATCAAACTCACGGACGAGCAAACCCCTTATCACAAACATCGCAAACATATGGTTTTTCACGAGTATGAGAGCGAACATGGCGAATCAAATGATCCGCGCGATTGTAGTGGCGTTTACAAAAGCCACATTGGAAGTAACCCCCGTCTTTGGACTTGACAGGGGATTTGGAGTCATTTTGCTGGTCAATGGTCGGGGAGGATTCACCAAGCATGGTTACCTGAAGTCAGACATTCGTATAATGCAGGGGATGGATGATGTTAAAGGAAGAAGAGAGAGGGGAGAAGGCAAGAAGGGGAAAGGGCGCGCGGGGAATCTGGGGAACTCTCGGTAGTGTACGAAGTTCATGCGGCCCAAGGTGCAGAATTCAACTTGATGAATTATGGACCAACCATTGATTGGGTTAGTACAATTGTCATAGCTCATCTATTTCTACTGGGGCTAATGAAGCTCCAGGGTACGTCTCGGCGACGATCACTGGCGTCTCCGCTTAGTCAACGCATAATACGAATCCCCAGATGCCAACCCCACAATGCCTCCATCGTTTCCTCTGGGGATTTTTAAATTGCTAGACTTGATTCGCTGAAATTGCCGGTTGGCTGAAATGGATCCATGTACCCTACGCCCTTAGTCCCCTTTTTATTTTCGAGAGTGAGGGGTATAGGATCTCAACATCTCGAAGTGGCTTGGTGCTTACGCAGTCTCGACTTCGGGATGTGGGGGACCACTTCCGACTAGTCCGACGAGACTCGAAAATGGCAATGTATGAAGCCTTGGGGTATTGTGTGCATAAAGTTGTATGTAGCTAATAAATCCTAATGAATTCAACACTTCCTGGCCTCGATATAAGCTAGAATGAGGACACACCTGCTAGAGGAGTAGGAGAATCTTGGTAGGTGTGGGTATTAGGGGAAGCAGATGACTTCTCATTCATACCTAGGGGTTGGCCCAATAAAACGGCTCGGTGTTTGTCTCTCAGTTGGTGGCGAGCGACGAAACGCTCACTTTGCCACCCAGGTTGTCCACTGAAGGTAGATAATCAATTCCTTCAAGCTAGTCACCGAGGCTTCCAAGTCTAGGTCGTCATTCATAAGTACAGCAGTCAACGTAGAGCAAAGTTTTTGGGAGACAGTTCGCACAGCGCGTCCGCCGAGGGAATGAACAGGGGCCGAGGTAGGAATCCATTCCGTAGTACATCGATCGATGGTCGCTGCGCTGTTTCCAAAGTCTCGATAATCAATGAATGGTTCCAGTAATTGCTCGATGCGATCACGTAGAGATTGAAGAGAGGAGAAGTCTCCTGCGGCCAAAGTCTGTAGTTCATCCGAATACCGGTATACAATCATATCCGCGATATTCTGCCAGTCAAATGCGTTGAGAGACGGACTGTGTGTATTGAGTAGGGCTGTAACATCTTCACGAATGGGATGCAGTTTTTCGATCGGTATATGTCCCAGTTGGGGGAGGGATGCATTGTCGGGGAAAAGATTGAGCCCATAGGTGTAGGCTGAAACGAAATGATCAAAGTCAAGTCGAACTTTCCGCCCGAGACGCTCATCGAAGCGGGTAGATAAAGAGTTGAAATCGCCGCCAGGTCGAGGACCTCTCGGCTTGCCGTGTCCGGGACCACCTGGGCCACCTGGGCCACCTGGGCCCCGAGGACCGCCTGGATGGCCTGGACCACCGGGAGATTTCTCTTGTGGCTTTGTCTGAGTAATGTATACTAGCTCGAGGTCCCGTTCAAAGTTGCAAAGGATGATCTCAAAGTCACCTTCCGTACGGGCGATTCCATCAATTCTATCACCCCAATCTTCCTTGGCCATGCGGCATGCCTCCTTCGCTCGTTGTTGCTCTTGGGGTGGTCCACCAAGAGAAGGCCCATCCACAGGTCGTTGTCCATCAATGGTATCATTGTAAAGAATTCGATCTTGAGACTCGGCTCCAGCTCCAGGGCCAGCTGACATCCCGTCGATGTAAAGTAATCGGAGATCCCGTGCTGCCGCGTAGGTATGAAGATATCCACCTTCCTCCACTTCTGTTGCAGTATCCTGCGCGTCGTTAAGCGGTTGCTGTCCCGGAGATTCGATCAGGCCATCCATATTTCTCGGCTTTCTCCCCCCACTGCGATGCGCGAAACCCAGAGAATGTTCGGGTTTAAAGGCGAGCCATTCGGTGCCTTTGATTGGGTCTTTGAGGCCAGTTCCGTGATAAAACTGGGTGCCTTGTGGCACACTAGCTAGGAAGAAAGACATGCCATTGTAGTTAATTCCACTTCCCCAATGTCTCAAAGTTGACTGAATGGCGTTGAAGATATGGTTTGCGTTTTCCACTTCTTGAAATTCGTTGTTTGCAAGAGACGAAGTAAACAAACATGCCAACGCGGGCAGTACCCAGGGCCATTCCTGATGAATGCGCATGGCTGTAAGAAGCTTCTCTGACGTGTATCTTGTGAAGAAAGCTGCCAGTGAAAACAAAGTCCTTGGATGGGGGATATGGGGTGATTATCTGACTTCGGAGATCGAGTACCCGCGCCTGACGATCTCCGAGATGACCCACTTTACGGCGTTAATACCCCGATTGGGTAGCAGCTTACGAATCTTTTACGAGTCCTTTTGAAGCTGATGCTAGTTTGTGTAGTGAGTGCTATTAACTCATGCATGAAGCTTCTGCAAAGAGGTAGCTTATACTGCAGGTCGTATAGCCACAAGCTGCAATGTGGGCCAAGCATCATCACACATGTATTCCAAAGTTATTAATAGAGACTTGTGAATTTAAGAACTCCGATGAACAAGTTTTGAATGGAAGATGATTTGTATAGTGGTAATAACCGTGAGTTGTCTCCATTAAAGCAGCAGTATCAGGCACGATCCAATGTGCAGACGCATATGTACAGACAGCCTTGATTAAGGGGAAAAGAAGCGTGCCCAGAAGTGTAAACAACAAGAGGAATAGAAACAAATGTAAAAGCAAGAATTAAGCCGAGGATTTTCCCCACGCCGATTAAATGCTCGTATGGATGACAATCAAGTATTTCGGGCAGAGTCCTTCAGGTGAAGCAAGACTCTGGAATATGCCCATGCTCGTGTCTCGTCTCTTCGTGTAGAACAGATCGTTGAACGCCGTCCCACCAGTACATAAGAAAGCCTTTCATAAAGGAACAAAGGAAAATGACACAAGGAAAAAAGAAATAAACAGAGGAAACCGTTGCGCCAGGGATATCCAACTCCAATCCCCAAAGACAAAAACCTCAAATGCGTTCAGGAAACAAAAGAAACCTAAATAACAACCACATCGCCTTCCGCGTCTGCCGGGTCGGAGGCCATAATATCACCATATTTACCAACCGCAATCATCATTGGGTCGTCTTCCAAATCAATTGCGCTGTCATCATTGTTAGGCGCTTGGAAGCCAGATTCACTGAGGCTTAGATCTTTCTCTGCTGGAATGTGTTTCGCATCGGCATCTGAATCACCGTTTGGGGCCTGCGCAACTCCGGGGGTTTCTGTGTTGGGGTGGGATCGAGCTTGGCTGGAGGATTGTGCATCAAATGAGTTGCGGTTTGAGGTCGTGTTGTGCTTCAGATGAAAACTACCCATACCCATCTGCTCTGTGCCGAATGTGAGGTTTTGGATTGAGGCAGGATTGCTTCGCATGAAGCCACCTTTCTCTGCTTGCCAGAGCATCATTTCATGGAAAAACACTTTCGTCATCCACCAAGCACTAAAGCTAGCTGCTCCACCGAGAGTAAGACGATGCAAGATGTTTTCCCACAACGCATCAACCTTTTCAATAATGCATTGCGATCGGTGGTTGGCGAAAACTGCTGGAATGCTGAGAATGAACTGAATCCATTTGTCTGGGAAGTTATACTCGTCACCACCGGCTGTGTCAACTGGTAGTGGGTGGGCTTCAATATCTTCCGCCGAATCTGGCTTGCGGTAAAAAGGCAAGGTCCCAGCGGGATCATCCTCGGACACAGGGGTCAGCAGAGCGCGAACATCGTGCTTGAGAATTTGCTCAGTGGCCCGTGCTGCGCAGACTGGAATGTTGGCCTTGGAGATCATTTCCGCCGGGTCTACAAGAGACCTAAAATCAGCCCACATCTGATTGCGGTTTTCAGGATGGCAAAGCCAAGCAGCGGCGGCGTTGGCAGCTTGGTTGACATCAAGCATGTGCTTTAAGAGGTTGCAGAATATATGGGCCGGGATCAAGCGTGCGATAGACACATGGGCTGGTTGTGTCTTGAATGTTTCGGCGATATGCCCACAAAGTCGCTGAGATATAGAGCGGAACGCATCAAGCACAGGTTTGGGGACAACTTGTGTAGTAAGAGGCGCGACGAAAGGAATCATCTTCTGGTACATAAGCCAGTCACACTCCTTAATCCATGGGGCAAGATTTGGGTGTGTTAAGAGTTTTTGAACAGGAACAGTCAATGTCCCGTGAAATGCAGAGAAATACTTTAGAAGGTTTCGTTCTTTACAGAATCGGAAACTGTCGATGACCGAGATGCAGTGGGATCGGTAAAGGGCTGCGAGGGCATCTGCCACCTTTAAATCGGTGTTGGCGGGCAAGTGACCGCGAATATCGGGTAACGTGAGGGTATCATTATCAACCGGGGGTTCATCTGTGGGGAACTGAAGCATTTGGTGGATCATTCTGCCAGCTTGCTGTGCAACGTTGTCGGCAGTAATGGTGGAATCTGACCCCGGTAGACCGGAATGGGTATCGGCCGGGCAGCCACAAGTTGGGCCGGGAGAGTTGGCAGGAAATCGGGGTGCAAAAGAGGTTGTCGGGGAGGGAAAGACGGCCGAGTCAGCAGTGGGCTGAGGGATACTGATACTATATTAACCGTTAGTCTTCTTGAATATTGACTTCTCAGTAGATGTCTGTTGTGTCACCGTACCTGCGTGAACGCATTGCACTTGCGGGCCTTTCTGGGGCCACTGAAGGTGTCTGGCTAGGTGCGACATGTGTATTTACTGATGCAGCCTTCTGTTGCTTTTCCTCAATGACGGACAAATCCACGTAGTGGTACTTGGATTCTCCACGAACACCGAGACGACGAGTCTGAACATTTGGGAAGATGATCCGCACAAGCTTTCCAAATGAGGCGGGGTTCAGAACAGACACTCGCTCTGTCCCACACTTTTCTGCATAGCAGCAATAAACCCGATCTCGCCTTACCGAGCCACTACTCTTTCGACAATTTTCTCGCAACCTGCAGAGGAATAGCTGTTAGTCATTCCGTCACAACAATTCAAAATTTAGGCAGGGATTATTGCTTACCAGATCATAGCGAATACCTGCTTCACCTTCTCTGCTTTACCTCCAGCACCCTCATGCTTCATCACCTCAGTGGCCATCTGTTTTAATGTGTATCCTTCATACTGACGAAGGAGTTTACGAAGCTCGTTGTCGTTTGCAAGCGTGGAACTTGACCCCCTCTTCTTTTTTCCTCCTTGCTCCGAAATTTCTTGCTCCTCCATAACTTGCTCGGGTATATGATTTTCAATCCCGCTATCATACATAGTCTGGTACTGAGGAACAGCAACACTAGGGACACCATTGGAACCCATATCCTGCGGGATTGAGTGGTGCGAAAGCGTATGGTTGTGCATAGGATGGGTCGGGAAATCGTCCTGTCGAGCCATTACCGAATGGGCATCTCGTAACCCTTGATCCATAGACGCGCCATGGGTTTGATGGGCGAATTGGTGGTTGAATCGCATGATCATGTCTTCAGGGTTACCTCCGAACATGTTCTGGGCATTGGCGACCTGCGAGGGCATAAACTGGGGGAATGCATCGACGTGTTGGTCTTGGGTTTGCTGGGTTGTGCTCGAATGGATACTGGCAGTTGAACCTCTTGATCGAGCACGGTGGCCAGCTCGCGAAATTGTCTCCGATCGTGATCGTAGGGGGTCTGCGGTCCCTGGGCGGCTATGAGGACCCATGTGTTGTGTTGTTTGTGAGATAGCGCTTCCTTGCGACGGGGCGCGTACTATCATAGTTGATGAGCATGGGCAAGGGTCGACTACAAGGAGATCAAGTGATCCTCACCTAGTTCAGATGGCATTCTGGTTCCGGTTGGTGAATCAAGAAAAAAGTGGAGGAAATCCGTCACCAGGGAGATGACCGGCCCTGCACACACAAGGGTCGTGTGTTTTTCTTTTCTGCACACACACAGCGACTTTGACCATTCGATGTTTCAGATGCCAACCTGGAAATCCTAGCCCGGATCTATTCAACAAGAAGTCCACACGACAACCGTCCCAAAGTCCTATAGCTGTCGTTGGCCGCGTAGTGCAAGTTGAGTCGTGGGAGGATAAACAGAGCAAGCCGTTCCTCAGACAACGTTGTTTGGGTAGTCACGTGAGTGGCTCAGGTAAGCATTCCGCGCCAAACAAAAACAAACCATCACGTCGAACTATGCAGCACGTTACAGATATGGGATGAAAAGCATGTACATGCTATATTTAGGCTGTCTATCTGACTGTCCTCTTGTTTGTATCTGTGAATCATAGGCTCTCGGCTACTAGGTGTTATCTCTGTCGGTCGGCCATCATTATGCTTACAGATTCAGCTTGGGGTTTAAAATCGTTCCCCATATGGTAGAACAAAGAAATTAGTTAATTTTCAATCCCCTCTCTCTCAAATTTCTTCGGAGTTCTTTGTTAGATCGCCAATGCCCAATACATTGACAGTTCGGCAGCTTCCAAGATTCTTGCATTCATGTACGTCATGCACTTGGCACCAACAAAGGCCCTTTTATAACATTGTATTGCTTATTCCTTCAAGCGCATTGTCGGCTTCTTCATATGAGCAGTGGAAGAGAAATAATATAACAAACAATAGAGCCATATCTTGCTGGTGAAGTACTATGTATTAGTCCACTGCCCAGGTTTGCAGGTGTCTCACCAAAAGTTGACTTGAAGAGGATCTGCGTACGGATATATAAAAATGTACGAAACCGTCACGTATACTAGAGCCCGGAACTTGAAGTTCAGTATTTACAGTGTAGAATCAATAACTTGAATGGAATAGAATATTAAGAAGTACTACTAGTATAATATAGCAGACCACAGAGGATGGGAGGGAGCAATTGGGGGTCCACAGTATATACTAGAGTATATATTGCAAAAAGGTGAAGAGATTGCCCCCGTGAACACGCGATCTCTCCAGGGCTTGATTACAAGCCAAGCACCTTACAACTTGGATACGAGGGCTAGTAATAACGCTGGAACTCCGAAATTTGCGAGCCTGGCTACACAATATTCGAACTGATCGTTGAAAAATAGTTCCCCAATGAAGGAACCTCCGTAAGGGACGGTATTGTCCTCGGCAAGTACAAAAAAAAGGAGAAGAAAAAAAGGATGCCCCCGGGGTGGATCGAACACCCGAATCTCTGCATTACAAGTGCAGCGCCTTACCACTTGGCCACAAGGGCTGGCTATAGCAAATTCCGGGATTGTTCATTACATAACCACCATGAGCACAATTCTTTTTTCTTATAGCTTTTAGTCCAATCCCTAGCTACCAGAAATGGTAAGGCAATACGAACTGGAGTTTAATGTTGGAGCTTGTCCTACCTCTTCATGTTTGTACATCCAAGCTAATAGATAGTTGGCGTGTAAGCATTTTAACTGCTCGTTCAACTGGTTCACCATAAGCGACAAAAATTGAAGAACCTTTGGACCAGAATAATGTCACCACTCAAATTTAGCTAACGGAACATGGATATACGCAACATTGAAGCATTGATTGATATGATATGATATGTGTATAGATACTACTCCCCAACAATTCAAGTTCAAATGACCTTGATCAAGTGGGGCTCCAGATCGACGCAGATTGGATCTGTAGTCTCGCATACGTATAGATCTATAATAGCCACCACAGCCCCAGTACAACACAGATCTATTTTCAAACATGAACCGCCCTCTATTTCGCCAAATCATAACCCCTCCCGCCAAGAGAACATGCCCGCGTCATCCGATTCGGCATTTCAAGGAACAAGTGGATCTCTCTAACGCCGCAACACTGGAACGGAACAGGAACCAGAACCAAAACGTATGGAAATGGATGATATTGGTAGTAAAATGGCGATCGACGCCAAGTGTCTCGTGTTGAGTTTACGCGACATTTTCTAGTATCCATAAGGCTAGTAGGGCCGTGATGTCACTAAGAGGCTAAGAGGGAAAGCGCGAAGGAGTGAAGTCGCCTGCAATTTTCATTCCCGATCTTTCCCCCTCTTTTTCCCCACATCGCAGTTGAGACTTTGCCCAACCTCAACACAACTATGCAGCGACTCAAGGAGAAGCTAGGACATGGCATTGATCATTTGGAGGAGTCATTCAAAGGTTGGTTTTCATTGATTTGAATCCCCCCCCCCCTTTGGTCTCCCTTTCACCCCCGCCCTGTCCCACGTCAAGATAGCATCGTCTCCGAGTCTATAATCTGTCATCCCCGCAACTTGAAGCTAATATTCTTTGCGCCCCTGCTTAGACCACAACCTTGAGGATGTTAAAGCCTCCGCGGTCCACCTGAAACATAAAGTCGGCAAATTTTACAACGTCGTGAACCCTAACCACCGTCACGATGAAGAACATGAACAAGCCACGGATCGCAAACGCACCAATGTCGCAGAAACCCATCGCTTCCAGTCTTTCGCACCTATCCATGAAAATAACAGGGTCAAGTGGTATGTTGATGGACTTGACTACCTCTGGGCAGTCTCTGAGGCCCTTGAAAAGGCCACCGAGACCATTTACATCGCCGATTGGTGGCTGTCACCCGAACTGTTTCTTCGTCGCCCCCCAGTCAAGCACCAGGAGTGGCGGCTGGACCAAATCCTCAAGAGACGCGCGGAGGCTGGTGTGAAGATCTATGTTATTGTGTACAAAGAGGTCAGGATGACATCCAGAGTCCATGCCGTGTTTGAAATGTGAGATCTGACCAGCTCGATCTAGGTCAACCAAGCCTTGACATGCAACTCTGCGCATACAAAACATGCCTTGCGCAGTCTTTGTCCCGAGGGCACACCTGGCCATGGCAATATTCGAGTCATGCGTCACCCCGATCACAACGTTTTCGAAAATGGAGCCGACATGACACTCTACTGGGTGAGTCTGCAGTAATACATTCTTCATGTATACGTAATATATCTAACATACCAATTGTCTAGGCGCATCATGAGAAATTCATTGTAATTGACTACGAAATGGCGTTTATTGGTGGGATTGATCTCTGCTTCGGTCGTTGGGATGCTCGCCAACATCCACTCGCCGACGTCCACCCAGCCGGTCTAGAAGACGACATCTTCCCCGGCCAAGAATTTAACAACAACCGTATTATGGACTTCCAGAGCGTGCAGGACTGGCAAAGCAATGAAATCAGCAAGGCTGAATACGGTCGCATGCCATGGCACGATGTAGCCATGGGATTGGTTGGTGACTGTGTCTACGATATCGCGGAGCATTTTGTTCTGCGTTGGAACTTTATTAAGCGTGATAAGTACAAGCGTAATGATAAAGTTGACTGGCTGCTTATGGAGGGTCGAACGGGCGATGACGAGGACATTATTGCTGTCCAGCGGCCTAAGTATCCTTGCGGTGACTATTTGCAGCATCCGCTGACGCCGCTCTCGACAAAGTCTCGTGGGAACCAAGGATCTGTCCGAGCACAGATTGTGCGCAGTAGTGATGACTGGAGCAGTGGTATTTTGAATGAACATAGTATTCAAAATGCATACTGTGAGGTGATTCGAAATGCTGAGCATTTCGTTTACATTGAGAACCAGTTCTTCAGTATGTTTCCACCTCCCCTTAACCTTGTGGATAAAAGCTAATTGTTACAAGTCACGGCTACTGGGGACCAGCAACATCCTATTTACAATCAGGTCGGTGCCGCCATCGTTGATGCATGTGTCCGAGCTGGCCAGGAAGGTCGCAAGTTCCGTGTTATCATTGTTATTCCTGCCATCCCCGGTTTTGCTGGTGACCTGCGTGACAATGCTGCATCAGGTACCAGGGCTATCATGGATTACCAGTACAAATCAATCTGCCGAGGCGAAAACTCGATTATGGGCCAAATCTCGAAGGCAGGCGTTGACCCGAAAGGTAAGAAGCATCTCTATCCCTGTTTCCTGAATTTTACAGATATTAACTTAGAAATAGAACATGTTTTCGTCTTTGCTCTACGTGCTTACGATCGTATCAACAAAACCCCTGCCCTCGAGGAACTGGAGAAAACGGCCGGCGTCACATACCAGGATATTCAGCGTGGTATTGCAGAGTCTATCATGGGTGAAAGTGTGCATCCTTCCATTGGCCAAGACGGCGACAGGCATGAGAAGAGCTACGAAATTGATCCCAGTCTCCAGCGGGAGAAGGTCGCGAAACTCGAAAAATTTGAAGAAGCAGTGGAGCAGCACAAAGAGCTGCGAGGCGAGGCAAGCAGAGACTCCGTGGCTCATACCACCATGTTGAATGGTGGCAAGATGTCCGACGAGTATTGGGAGGGTGACCCAGAAGCCGAGAAAGCCAATATCGTCCAGGAAGAGCTGTATGTACACGGCAAGGTGTGCATAGTGGATGACCGCATTGTCATCTGTGGCAGTGCTAATATCAATGACCGGGTAAGTCTGCATCGAAGCCGAAGTCCACCGGGGAAGAGGAGAGCAAAGCCGGGACATTTGTCATGCATCTCTCCCATTTCCCTGCATATTGACAATGATACTGATGCTGATCTTCACCGTATAGTCCCAACTCGGCTCCCACGATAGCGAACTCGCCATCGTAATGGAAGATCAAGATTTCATCGAAAGTGAGATGGATGGTAACCCGTATCGAGCAGGCCGCCACGCGGCCACTCTGCGTCGTCAGCTGTGGCGCGAACATCTAGGTCTCCTACCAGCACAAGATTATGACGCAGCGAATGAAGCGAATGCCCAACCACCAGATGTATGTCTAAATGAGATTTTAGAGGGGCCGGAGAACGACTTCGTCACCGACCCGCTGGGTGATTCGGTCTGGAACACATGGAGAGAACAGGCTACTGTCAATACGGAAATGTATCGGGTCCTTTTCCGGGCTGACCCAGATGATCACATTAAAACCTTTGAGGACTATGATAATTTCTACCCGCGTGGGGCCCATAAGCAGGGTCACCTGTTCGATCCGTATATGCCGGCAGCTGAAGTTCGGGAGAAGCTCGATCGGATCAAGGGACATCTTGTGTGGCTACCATTGGAATTCCTGGAGAATGCCGAGATGGCAGAACCCGGATTGGCCGTGAACCAGATCACCGAGGTAGGTTTTTGATTCCTTCTTCTTTTTCTTTTTTTCTTTCTTTATTTTTGAGGGGTTCTAATTTTTTTCGCCGGGTGTGCTCCGCTCGTTCGTGATGTGGGCCTTGAATTGTGGACTAATAACTTCGCTAGAGCATCTACACGTAGCATCGACCCATTTTTCGTCTCTTCACGTCTCCATGAGAATTTCATTTACGTTTTCAATTTTTTTCTTTCTGAACTATTTTATTGATTATCGATATCCATATACATACATATTCATCTGCTAGAAACCCCAAAGCGAGGGTCTGGAGTGTATCTGATCGTTTACAATACTGTAGATATTAAGTTTTGGAAATTTGTCATATAGTCTATTGTTTTTTTCCCCCTTATGATCTCCCTATCTTACACGCACATGATGTCCATTGCTTTCTTTTTCTGCTTGATCTTCCACCACGGAGATATTCAAGTTCCAGATCATCTAAATCATCCCGATCTATATTAGGTTACTATACCACTTGAGCAGGTAGTATCATCATGAATGGAGATAATAATGCCAAGTTAAAAAAAAAAAAAAAAACCGGGACCCAGAACCCGGGAAAACTAAAAAAAAAAAGCTGGGATATACAGCTAGGTACCTTACCCACTCCCAAAAGAGGTGCATGGTACTTTTGCCAGACCCACAGACCTCCACAAATTCCACGGCCATCTTTCCGTATGCCACCATCTGGTCCTTGCGTAGAGAGGAAATCCAATGTGGATCCCCAATAGAGTTAGCGGACCCAAGCCCCTGGAAATCCTTAATGCAATTGATTCTTTCTCGTCTTCGGACCGTGACTCTAAGCGAGAAGTATAGTGCGCCTCTCATTTCCATTTCAAGCGGCAACTTTATCCGTATTATTGCTTATGGGATCTGTCGATTATTACTCGTTTATCGCAGCCACTACTTTCTCTGTCTTGCCGGATTCCTTCTCCATCAGCGTGCATTGGTGTGGATCCACTTTAGCCTCCGGTTCGCTTGGCGCCTCTCGACCCGGGCCTAGGGTGCCCAATGGGAATACGAGACTTGGATGAAAAGGATCGAGCATGTCGGTCAGTTCAACCAAGGATTGACTCGGTGTTGCTCATTCATGTCGTGGATTCTTATTCTTATTCTGGAAGCCATGACTACAGTTGGAGTAATCTTGAATGTTGTCGTACAAGGGCGAAATACTATGCAGGAGGAGCATGGGTAACATTATGTGAAGTGAGAGAAGTTTCATATACATTAATGTACCTATACATATACTCTGTAGTGAGGTACTTTACAAGGAGAGACCCTGTGCGAATACCAAAATTGTTAAATATCGATGTAAGGTGTAAAAAGTACCTATGCACATGTAGAAGTACAATGACCAGATCGGGTCAATGGTGGGATTATTCTCTATTCTGATGTCTAGATTCGATCCCACGCAATGACATTTAAGTTCAGCTGCGATATACAAGGATTACCCTATGCAATAGGAATGGTTCCATGATCGGTAATTATTGTTCGCTTCGAGCGGATAAGCGTCTATACTAATAAAAAGGATAGGATTTGAATTGGGATTCGCGCTCATGCACAGAAAATACGGTGAACTGAAAAGATAAAGATCATCGATAATTAATTCCCAAATTCCCGTTTTATTTTGAAATTATGAAGTCCGATAAAGAACAGGTGTAAAGAAACATTGAAAGCGATCAGAATATTAATAAAAAAAGGACTCCATATGACTCGTCCACAAACAGACACCGAAAACCATGATCTAAAGCTTTTTTTCTGTAAAGGACACAAACAAGAAAAATAAGAGAAGCGAAAAAGAAGAAAAAGAGAAAGTAAACTCCATCCGATGCACCCAAACTTTTTGAAAGATGACTTTTTAGAGGACCCATCAAATGCACAGAATCTCGCATGTCGCCAAACGCAGCCATGGGAAGCAAAGTTACAAAGAAGCTTGAAGCGCAGTGAAATGAAAAAAAAAAAAGTCAAAGGCGAAGTTATCTTGACAGGATACCCCGGTCAAGATATGCAAGAGGCTGGAGATGGAAATAGTCAGCGGACGAATCACAGTTGATATCAAGGGTGCATATGAGATAATCTGTACAATTCTAGAATTGCTGGAGGGGAAGAATGAGGGAAAGGCAGAAACTTGGAACTTGATCCAAGGTTGAAACATACGTAGGTATTTTCGAGTTCAAATTCTTTAACCCTTGGCGTTGTGGCAGGCATTGCAGCGACAGTGGCCACAGATTTTGCATCGCCAGATAGCAACAAAGGGGCCCGAGTTGCAATCCGAGCAACGCCAGGTCAAGATATTGCCATTGGTAGCCTGAACAATGACAAAGGTATGACCGGAGCACTGGTTTGCCATGTTGATCAGATGTGTTGATACTAGTATCACTTGAAAGATTTGAAGTTGGAGGGTTCAAATTGATGCTGGAGGATGTTAGATGACTTAAGCTATATCAAACGGACCCGAGACTCTGTCACGCACCAAACTAGGGAAAAAGTCCAGGGCCCGAGAGACTGGAAGCGTCGATCACCGGATATTTGTTCCAAGGACAGGTAAATGGAGGTTCAGATTGTCGAGAAGTATAGGAAGTGAATTGAGTTTCGTAGTTCGTTGAACTTGAAGGCACCAGTTGAAGTAGAGGATAGTCAAGCCAAAGAATGGATTGGATAGAGCTCTAGAACTACTGGACCTAGGGCCATTATATAGCTTTTTTTTTTGATTGGGATGTTTGGTTGAAAGGACACCTCTATCACCTTTTCCTTTTTCCCTTTTTTTTCTTTAAAAATAAATAAAATTATTTTGTTTTCGTTCAGCGGGCCAAAGATGCCAGGTTTAACCAGTCGAGGACCAAAGAAGCCGATGGTCTGCAAAGAACCGATCACGCGCCTTTCCGAGTTGAATGCCGAATCTCCAGGGTTTGGAATAGGCCAGATAGAGTAGGGGGTGGAGAAGGTGGATGGGGAGATGTAAAAGAAGGGAGGTGTAAAAGAACAGAACTAGATCTACTGAGGCACCGAACCTTGAAACATCATCTTGCATGAGAATTTACGCGAAAAGCCGGCAGATCCCAGATCCCCTCCAGAGGACGCGCGATCGCGATCTGTATGCATCGGGGGGTTGCAATTGGTAGGGGGCGATCCGGGAGAGACATTTAATTTGAAATAGAATTTCGGATTTCGAATTAGTATTTACTTTATAATATTTGATTTATTTAATATTCCGTGATTATCAAGTTTGTGTTGCCAAAAGAACCTGTGGGTCTAGTAACAAAGTACCTTCATCCTACATACACCAACTTGGAAACAGACGCAAATAAATACATGATGATTGTAAATCTAAGTACAGTACAAGAAAAACCCTTTCAATTTCCCATATTTCTATTATTATTATTATTATTATTATTTATTATTATTGTTTTTTTAAACATTTCTCCCTTCTTTAACCCCTCGCTGTGTCAGTCCCAGCAGAAAACTAAACCTCGAGCCGCGAACCCGACCAGCCGGTTCTAGATGGAGAAAAGGATCGACAAGACTGGCATATCCAATTGCTCAATAGCTCTACAGAGCTGCCGATCGTGGATCTTGCGGGTTTGTGCATCCCAGCAACCCGGCTTGGGTCCGATCATTTTGACCGGGCCTTTTTTCTTGGGTACTGTACTAGTACTTTTGGAACTGACTATCCTGTGATTGTGGTGATTGTCCTTGAATGTTTCTAATTATAGTTTGTTTTCCTCTCTGCAAAAAAGTGATACATCTGCCATAAAATACCCATTTCTAGCTTAGACTACGCTTGGACCACACGGACCACACGGCTCTTTTTGACTTCTCCACATGGTCTCAGGGACCAATGGAAATGAAATTCAAATGATCTTTACGAGTGACGAGTCCCAGCATCCTCGAATGAAGATCGGCGCGGAAGTACCTCCCCGGGCAGTAGTCTGGTTGTGACCCTCCCATCGCTTGCATGGGCCAATTGTTTATTCCTACTGCGATGCTCCATATGCATTGTGTACCCAAAGGAGACTAATCATCTTTTTCAAACAAATAGAATTGTTTCGTTGCATTTTGTTGTTATTTGGGCGTGGAGAAACCCCATTCACAGCCCCCCAAACAAGCCACGGCGATATTCGGACCTTCTAGACTAGCCAAATGTCAATCAATTGATGACTCCATAGTGCTTCTTCGTATTCTCATTGGTGATCATCCTGTTGGTTTCAGCTCTAGTATACATAGGCCCGTATAGACCCGGGGGTTCTCCATCGTTACCCTCCTTCATAAGTCTAGCCTTTCTGCAGATGCTAAATGGGGCAATTGCAGTAGAGAAGTCGTACGAAAAGTACCAAGTACCAAGTACCTTTTATTATATATATATATATATTAATATTAATTATACGGTATGATTTCATTCCTGCGATCCGTCCCGGCTAGGCACCTGTCAGGGAGAACTCAGCCGTACAATTTGAAACCCGCCGACATCATGGAACCAAAGACCGGATCTTCGAAACGGGAATCTGACCTCATGACCTGTAGATTCTATTGTCTTCATGTTCTTATTCCGACCTGTCAATCTAATACTGTTCCTACCCTTGAAGAATACTTTCGACCCAGTTCTAGACTCGATCGCAACCAGGCCGCAGCCGAAGCTCTTCACGGGAAAAAGTTGAAATACGGGAAGAAATTGACGGGAAGCGAAGATACGGCGATTTGCAGGTTGATCTCGATAGGTAAAATGGATAGAAAATGATGTCAATCGAATGACTTCAAAAAGACGGTGTACACAAAACCAGTTGCGGATATAGAGAATGACGATAATGACTGCGGATCACCAACAAATTCATATATTGACTACTACAACTATGTTTTCTCCGTGCAAGAACTTCAAGTTCTACTTTGATATGTTTGAGGTTGTTCTCTAGCGCCGGTTCCACTGCCAAGGTGCAGATTGCACTGCGAGATGGCACAGTTGATCAACAACCTCGAAACCGGCGCCTTCGATCCTCGGTGGGTCCTGCTCCTCATAGTTCCTTTTCCCTCTCCGAAGAGAAAAAAAAGAAAAAGTACAAGAAGCCATGTCCCAAATGTTTTCCTCTGCCAACGCTCCGTTAAGAACACCTCGTGGATGACGAGATATCCCTGCAGTACCCACAAGTGGACTGCATCGCTGGGTGATCATGTAACAAGATAGATAAAAGACAAGAAAAAGAAAAAAAAAGATACACAAACAAACAAATAAACAGACTACGGGTTGACCGACGGGGAGACGGGCTTCGCAAAAAAAGCGTTCTTTTTTTTGTATCATTCTGGTTAAAAATAGGTATCATTGCCATGAAATCATGAATCATGGATCATGGAGCGCAGAGATCGCCTGCATATCAGTATCAAACGCCGCTTTAAGAATATTGTCAGAATTTCTTTTCCTTTCTTTTTGGGATTTCTTCGTCACTGCCATTTCGAGGGTATGTGATCATCAGTCATTAAGATGGAAAAGGGCCGAAACACTAAAAAGAAAAAAAACAGGATTAGGATGTGCTCGGGGCGAATCAGAGGACTTCAAGTAAGCTTACCTTTCACCGTAGTGATGCCGCCGAATGCTTTCAGCAAGGAGTGTCGAGACGTCAATGACGATCAACTTCTTTGACCGCTTGAGCATTGACGGCGAGATCGGGAAGGTGTTGGTCACGACAATGTGGTCGATGGAGGGACATTCTTCTAACTGATCGAGCGAATCGGCCCCAAACAGTCCATGGGTGGCAATGCAATACACCTTGCGAGCGCCACCACGCTTGACAACTGTCTCGGCTGCCGCGATCCAAGACCCGCTCTTGTCAATCATGTCATCGACAATGAACACTGGCCGATCGCGCACTTCACCGACCAAAGTGATGGTCTTTTCATCTTCGTAGCGACCAGCGACACTAGCCTCATCATCGGACTCAACAGCGTCGAAGGAACCTCCCAAAGCGTGGTCTGGGGGTACTGAGGACGCATTGGAGATCATGGAGTTAAACATGTGGTCAGGGACAGCTTCCGTGTTCTCAGCGGACTTGCTGCTACTACCACCAGCACCGGGTGTGGTGCTGTCAGACTGTGAGCCAGAATCAGGGTGATAATCATCATCCACTAATTGACCCTGTACCAGACGGCCGGTCACCACGTCCCGCACTCTATGATCAGTGTACTCATAAGCAGCCTCCAACTCCGACGGCCGGCGAGCAGCCGGAGGAGTTTCGGGTCGCAATAAAGCAGCCGCTGCGTTAGCAGTTTCCGGCTCCTCGGGGATGGGCGGTGGGGGATTAGAACTATGTAAGTGAAGCTCAAAGGGCTGTTGGTCCTTAGGTAGTCGTTCCTCATCCATAGCATCGAAAAAGACAGTGCTATCAGACATGGTCATCGGAACCTTCGGCCGTCGCCGGTCGGTAGTCACAATACCGAAATTTAATTTCAAGGTATCGGCCAGCGAGGTGACCCGCTTAGTGCCACCAGCATTCTTGCTAACCACGACCGCATCTTTCCAGCCATCCACGTTCATCCTGATCCAGCGGGCAATAAACGGTTCGGCGAAGAGGTTATCGACGGGTTTGCCGAAGAAGCCTTGCATCTGAGATGCCTATTGATGTCGATCAACATCGAGCCCACGATAAGTTCACCCTCTCCTGGGGATCAACAAAAAAAACGCTTAAGGATCATACGTACATGTAGATCCATGGTGATAACATGGTCGACGCCGGCGATGGAAAGTAGATTGGCGAGCATGCGGGCCGTAATAGCGCCACGGTGGCTCTTCTTCTTAGATTGGCGCGAGTAGGGAAAGTACCTCGTCTGCGCGTCAGCATCCTCTGTCATTGATTCAAACAAGACGGGCAGCATACGGCATGACCGCTTGAAAGAATTGTCAGTACATGATGCTTAAGCTTGAGCTCCTCTTCCTCTCCTGGTGAGATCACGACATACCGGTAATCGACTTGGAAGATCCGCCCTTGCAGGCGGATATCATGATCAGAAGCTCCATAACGCTGTCATTGATCTTACTACTGCCACTCTGAATAATGTAGACATCCTGGTTCCGTACCGAGGTGCCGATGTTGACACTGGTCTCACCATTGGCGAATTTACCAAGATCTGCTTTGGCAGGTGAAGTACCCAACCGCTCACAGATAGTATCTGCAAGACCCGGATGGGAATTGCCTGAAAATATTTGCACACCCCGCATGGCGGATGGGAATGAGGAAGGAAGAAAGAAAGAAAGAAGAGGAAGACGAAAAAGCGACGGAGAAAAAAAAACTAGCGACCTGCACGAGAGGTCTGTGCGGCTCTCCGTATGCCCCACGTCAACTCTGATGTGCAGCTGCAACATGCGAACTTAGTTTCTGTTCCGCGTTCAAACATGTCGAAATTTCCCGAGATTCAAGGTGGAGGCTCATTGATTCTCGCCTGGCAGATCAAAGACAAGCATGTGTTAGTAGTGGGAGGTGGTGAAGTGAGTTTTCAAACCCCTCCGAGCTACGTACCTAGATACCCACCTCCGGAGTCAGCTCCGAAGATATATAGCTCGACATGGTAACTCACATATACCCTTTCTTTAGGTCGCCGCCGGGCGCATTGTACACGCCCTCAATGCCGACGCCCGTGTTACCGTTGTTTCTCCTGCCTCAGGCCTAAACGAGGAAGTAGCATACCGAGTGGCCGAAAAGCAAGTGACCCACGTTGATCGGAACTTCGAGCCCTCGGACCTTGATGATGCCGACATGGTACTATGCGCGATTGACGACCCAGAGGCCTCTACACAGGTCTGGAAGCTTTGCAAGGAGAAGAAGATCCCGGCCAATATCGCAGATGTTCCTCCCGAGTGTGACTTCTACTTTGGTAGTATGCACCGCGATGGTCCGCTCCAGATTATGGTCAGCACAAATGGCAATGGTCCAAAACTGGCCAGTATCGTGCGCAAGAGGATCGCACAGGCTTTACCATCTAATATGGGAGCTGCAATTCAGAACGTGGGAAAGCTGCGAAAGAAGTTACGAGAGGTAGCACCCAACCAGGAGGAAGGGCCCAAGAGAATGAAATGGATGTCTGCGGTTTGTGAGTCATGGAGCTTGGACGACTTGGTGCAAATGACTGAAGAGGACATGGATGGATTACTTTCGCATTACCAGCCGAATAAAGTGCCAGCACTTCAAGAGGTGCGAAAATCATGAATATTGGAACTTGAACACGATGCCTACATGTATGTGTGTACCTAAAATTTAGAAAGAAATTATGACAACTGAATGAGTTCAAAAGAAGAAAGTAAATTTTATCTTATACAATACAGCTATGCACCTCTAGAAAAATTGGGGAAAACTGTTAAGCCCGTAGGCAACAAGTAACGAGATACGACAAAAATTGGATGAGACAGGCTAGACAGACAAGTAAGGAAGTAGAAACGCCATGAGCCACCCATAAAACCACAGAAGCTGGGTGAGCACATCTCCGAAGAATCCAAAACCATCATTCAGCTGTTGTGCTATTCTGACGGGATGTCCGTTGAGACACGGAGCTGCGCGGGCTGATCGGGGCGTCTAATGGGTTAGGCGGAGCTATGCCCAGTCGGACCTCGCCGATGCGACGCAGGAGGGCCTGTAGTGAGACGCGAATCTCCGGGTTGAGATCACGGCTCAGAAGCTCAACTCCCAAGGGGTAGAAAGTTTCAATATTTTTATCGAAGCCTTCCTGGGGGAAGCTGTTATATCCATCGATGACATCCACAACAACTGGTCGCCAGGCCACGATGTTGCGGTGCTGGGTATCCTCCTCAAGACGGACAAAGCTGCGAATGATATCCGCGCAAAGTGGAATCAGTGCGGCTTCAGTCTCGGCACGACTGCTCTTCCTCTCTTCCCGCTGATCATGGTACATCCGGAAGAGGATGTGGACATATGTCGCCGCGCTACCGCTCTCCTGCTTCAGCAAGTTCGGGGGCTGCTTCATAAAACCCTGTTGCCAGAGTTGCATGCGCAATTTCTTGTCCTCATTAAACTTCTTGGCGAACTGGTAGCTCTTTTTCAACAAGCCCATAAGTCGCAGAAGCTCATGACTAGGAATTTCAGCATAAACATTGTCATTGGAGAAAAGCTCATGGACCGTTTCTATCATCAGCAATTGCAGAACACAGTTAGTGATGATGCGATTGAAAAATCTACGGCGGGCCACGGTGACAGCAGCTGGCTGTTGTTGAGAATCCACCTGGGGTCGGTAATCCTCGAGCTCGGCACGCGCCTCACTCTGGGCTGGTGGATCGCCACCATCCTGAAGCGAAGATGTGCTTTGAGATCCATTGGGCTGGAGAGTGTCAGGTAGATCGCCACTCAATGGGTCTGATTCCGGCAAGACTGCAGCCTCACCAGCGAGAACATCGCCATTGGTAGCTGTTTCTGTCATTTTGGTCATCGAGGCTGCCGCAGTGAACAGCTCATATGCGGTGGTCTTGCTGAAGAGCTCCACAAACGCACCAACAATCTGGGTCCAGTGTTCCTGTCGGAATTTAGTGACGTTTTGGAGAATGAGCTGCTGCAAGCAATTACTGCCAATGCGTGCAATAGTATCATTTTCCTGGCATATGCACAGGGTCAACAGCTCTAGGAAGCGACCCAGCATGTATTCGAGTGCATCGAAGTAGTGAGTGAAGAGGGTAATCATGTTCCGCAGAGCTTGAATCATGGTAGTTGAGAGCCAGACAGAAAGATCCTCATGGTTGGGAACTTTGGACATTTCGGACTTGGACTGCAGGACTACAAAGATGGGACAAAGCAATTGACGCCAAAGGACATCCCAGAAGTCTCGGGGGAAGTCACCGCCATGTCGAACCAAGGTTTCGAAGAGATATGTAAGTGCGCTTGGGAATTTGTTAGCTGTTATGCGAAGATTAAAGACGTGAGTGCAGATAAGCATACCGAGATCGGACCTCGAGGTCATCACCAGTCATTAGCACATCTTGGAATGCAATCAGAATGGGATACCAGAATTGCTCCTCTTGTGACTGGCGAGTAAGTTGCTTGGCAAGGTTAGTTCCCTCCTCTTGGAAGTTGGGCGCTGGCCCTCCACGATGGGAGAGCGGGCACTCTGGAGTGCGTAGCATCTTAGTGACCGTTGATTTAAGAAGCTCAATCGCCTGCAGGGACTTCTTCTGGAACCGGGAGTTTTTGGAAAACTCTGTCAGACAAACAATGAGGTCTGCAAAGGCGCCCTGGGTGATGACAACACCAAAACGAGTATTATAGATTTGATTTACATGGTCGAATGCCATATTGACAATGCCCTCTGTTGGTACATGTTAGCTTTGTACCGAAAGGGACAGTTGGAGGAAATGTAACTTACCGTAAGGCTCCCGAGCAGCAACTGTGAACACACCGAACATAGTCTTCCATCCAGATCGAATATTGTCACCACGGGCCTGGATCATTTGAATCAGGCAACGGAGAATCATATCCTTGACAGAGGCAGTAGTACTGTTCGCCATGACATGCTCAAAGGGCTTGAGGAAGTCCTTTTGAAACTTGAAACCAGGAAGCTCGCCAATCTCCATGAAACGCATAGAAAGCTGCCGAAGAGAATCTAAAGCGAAGAACACAACGGTAGTGTTGGTGTGACAACCAACCTGGTTGAAGTGTTGACCCAAGACCTCCCAAATCTTTGACCACTCAATCCTGACCCGAGTCATGTTGTAGTAACTGATCTCGACCAGCTTCTGAAGGCTGTATGTTCTTGGGGAATCGCTATGACCGGAAGACTGGATTTCTTGCCAGCTAACTTCGCTCAATGCGCGCACAAAGTCTATGATAGCTTCGTGCGAGAGATTGGCAGTGTTGGTGAAAATGCGGTCCACACTGCGAACCATATCTGCTGATCGACTCTCCATAGCAATCTCCATACGGAATGCCGTAGGACCATTGACCGAGCGCGTACGCTTGCTGCGAGTGCTTTGCATAGACTTGCGAGGGGAGTCTGCTGACATTGTCGGTGCTCGAGATACATCGGGCAATGAACCTTCGTCTACACCATCACTCAACAATTGTAGTCGATCAAGCTGGCTGACACAGGTCAAAATCTCACGCCATGAGGTGCGAAGTTGATTGCCTTCAGTAGTAGCAACATCAAGGAGTGCTTTAAGTGCTTCAAAGTTCTTGGGCATCATTTCCTTTACATTACCGAGGTTAGTGAATTTGGCCAGGGCCGTTACAAAGGCGACACGGGGTGTTTCCAGATCGAAGGCGCAGCTAATGCGAATGGAGAGTTTTAGTCCCTCCATGCAAAGCCGGATGGTCGCAAGGCTTGAAGTATCTTGCATTGGCGCTGATAATCCAGACAAAAAGGACATCCATGTGACATTCAACATCGATCCGACATGTCGACCGGAGGTAGCAGGAATGAAGCGCGAAAGTGCATCGCGGACTGCGGTTTTACGCTGAGCCCGGATGAGAGATCGGTATAATTGCTCGGTCTTGTTAGCCATCTCTTCGGATGCCTGCGCGTACTTCTCTCCTTGGATGTCTCGACCAACTGTTGCAAAGACTTGCCCTGCTCGGGTCGCTAGGCCAGTTGGGGCAGCAGTTTGAATTCCAATCCCCGCAGCATGTTCTCGCTCAGTGTCCAGGACAATTTCATTACTCGCAATTTCATCGTAAATGGCTAATAGGTACTCAGCCGGCAGATCTTGGTTGTCATTGATACCACGATTGTTCTTGATGAATTCCTCCTTGTTCATGCGACGACCCTTCATCTTGGCACTGTGTAGATCAGTGTTGAGCAAGATGACCGAATAGGCCAGCACGTAGGCGGTATCGGCATTGGCGAAAGCATTAGGGTTTTGAGTTGTATAACGTTCCGCAAACTTCAACATAAATCGATCAATCTTTTGGGCTTCTCCAGGCAGACGGAAATGCTGCAAGAAAGACCGCAAGGCGTCGACAAACCGTCGCTTGACAAAGTCCATCTGATCAACAAAGTGATGCATGATCTCAATATTCTCAGCATCACCCTCACCCAGGTATTCACCCAGCATAGCCTTGTCTAGGCGGTCGTTCCGTAGTAAAAAGCTCGCAATATCCTCAGGGGAATTAGAGCGAATAAATCCTTCTTGCAAGAAAAATTTGATACCACGCTTGGCCTTGAAGTTGAATTGCTGGACGCCGTTCATCAGAGCGATTTTTCGCTGCTTGACCTTTTCGATTTGGTTAGGGTCATCGTCCGGCACAGGCGTGGACCTGCCAGTTGTGACTCCCTCAACTGCATCAGGACGCGGCGATGCAAGAACGCTTGTATCCAGCGACTCGCGAGAGTGATCAATTGACTTGGAGGGAACAGAAGAAGCTTGAGTTTGCTGATCCTCTGGGCGCTGTGCGCCCCAGCTGTCAAGAGACCGCAAGATTTCCACGAGAGACTCGAGAGCCTGTCGCTTCAAAATATACTCCGACGGCAAGTGTGGCACAGCAGGCTGCGGGGGAGGAGTGATGTTGGCACTAGTGAGGGAGGGAGGAAGAGTACCGCGTTGATGCCACTCAGCTCCAGCTCCGGTCATTTTAGTATGGCTTTCTTGAAATTGATTCTGTTGAGAAATGCTGGTGACGACTGGCACACTCGCATACCGCGATAATTGTTCGATCACGTTTTGGAAAATATTTTCCAATGCCGTACGGTCACAATCGTAGTTGAGATAGATCTCGACCAAAGCCCGAGGATCACTACCCAATCTCTCGAGAATCTCCATGAAATACTGCTTTTGGAAAGAGGGTGCAGCACGCTTTTCAAGGATGGCCAAATAGATCTCTTTCATGAAAACCTCAAGCTCCTTCTTCATCATTACTCTCATGTGCGTGAGCATCAGCCAGAATATCTCACAGCACACTTTGAAGACATGGGGAACCGAGCTGGAACCATTTCGGCTCAGGCTCAGACAGAGATGCGGTCTGATGGCTTGAAGAAGTGTCATGGCGTCGGGACTAGTGGAGCTGTTTTTTATGGCGGCAAGAGGGGATGTGAAAGTATTGGTATGGTTGTTGATGAGATAGTGAATGAGGTGCAGCGAAAGCAGTTTCGACCGCATATTTTGGGACTTGAGATCCTGCTGTTGGTCATGACCTAGTGGTTTGTGGCTGAGTTTACACAGAGCCCGGACTACCAAAAAGGTATCCTTGACATAGACCTCGTCGACCTCATCTTCAGCGGTGTTTTCATCTTCTTTATCCTCAGGGATGCCGGTGAGAGATCGCGTCGAGGAAGCGCGTGCAATTCTGGCACGAGTGACCGTAGTGGGTGCATTATCATTGACATCTGATACCTCCTTAGGCGACTCGAAGCTTTGTAAAGTAAGTTTCTCGGCAGTCGGCTCCTTTGTAACAGGTTGATCAGACTGGTCGGGTTGATCTAGCTGATCTTGCTGGTCTGCCACGGAGACCGAAGCCACCTCGGAAAGTTGGCCTTGATCACTAGCTGACGCATCCAGAGTGGCTCCTGAACGGTCGATTTCGCGAGTTCGAAGCTCCTTTAGATCTAGTCGTACCCGTACTCGGTCAAACACGGTGCTCACCATCTGTGTAAGGGAGCCTTGCGCAATCTGCTGGTTCTGACTAGATTTGGAATATATGAAGATATTGTATATCTGACGAACGGCTTTGAGGAGACCAGCTCCATGAACCACGATCTTATCATTCAAGACAGCAGCTAGCAAGGATTTGATGATCTGTTGCTGGATCTCATTGGGTGTGGCTTCATTCTCGAAACAATCGCAGATTGCATCGATAGCCCTTTCGATCAAAGGGGTTCGTTCGGGAGTGGCTTCATTCTGGGATTCGGCGGAAGGGAATGCGAAGTAGGAGTAGGAGATGAGCTTTCCAATGCAGTCCAGCGCTGTTACCTGCAGGGGCACACTCAAGCTCTTGCTTGCCAAGTGAAGTGGGCGGAATATAAGTTCTGGATCAATGCGATCCGACTTTATATTGCTCAGAGCCACCTGGACGGAGTCCTCGAGTTCTTTGCTCCTCCGAGCTTCCCGCGAGGCAGCAATGGCATCGAGTGCCGTCACAATGAACACGGTTGAGCTGACAGGACCGCCGCGTGCTGTCGCAAAGGTGGCAGTGGTGGACCGAGAGTCTGAGCGCACTCTTGATTCCGGCGGATTGTCCTCACTGGGTTGAGTTTCATAAATTTCGGGGGGTGCGTCTTCGAGGGTGGGTGGATCGGCCTCTGCGGTGTTATTGTTGTCCTCCTCCACATTATCCTTCGGCGGAACCTCAGGCTTTCCTTCTTCCTGGTCTTCATTTTGGGGTCCTTCCTCTTGTTGTTGAGTTTCTTCCTCTTCCTCCTTCCTCAATTCTTGCCATTCTGCCGTTTCGGATAGGTTCGGCTCGTTCAATGTCAAAGACGGGAGAGCTTCATTGGTAGTATCCACGGGAGGCTTTTCGGAGTCAGATGCGGGTTGATGGTTTGGCTCAGAGCCAGAGTCGACGTCCGCCATTGTCAAGGAGACTCCAGACGGAGCGATTGAATTAGATCAAGCACATCGAACGGGGGGAAACGTTCACTAGAGAGAATAGAGGAACGGGACGATATTCAACAAGCATATGGGGGCGCTGCGTGTTCACTTCTCTCCAAATGGAGTTTAGACCGGAATCGCTCAGCCACGCTAAAAAAACACTTACATAATAAAATTTGCTGAGGTCAGCTCTGTTCCTACACGTGATCACCGGATGTATAGGCTCACTTACCGTTTTGGGAATCAGGGCTGCAAGTATATTAGACTGTACCTGTACGAGCCGATGAACTTAAAAAAATGTATGAGTTTGAAATATAAAATTAGACGGAATAAAATATATGTATAGTTTCAAAACATTCAAATTCAAAAATTAATCAATTGGACCTCCTTCAACACATTTTCTTCATCTATTCACCCCCCGCTGGACGGTTATTGGTGGATCAACCATTATAAACAAGAAACCGCTGAGATGAGACGACTCCATCACCTGACACCACGTGACACCCTTCCCGGTCGTTCACCGGGGCTCTTAGGAGCTCAACGAAAAGTTTCCCGCGAAGAGGCCGACTTTCTCCTCCCCAACTCTTCAATTCCGGCCCTCTACGTCCTCCTTTTCGCGCTGGACTTTCCTCCCTCCATTCATTCTATAATACCCACGTCGAGGGCCTTTTGATCTTTTCGATTTTCGGCATTTTTAGCCACGATGGTTGCTGCTGTTGCTAGAATGCGCACACCCAGCGCCATGCTCATGGCCCGCGGTGCCGCCGGCTCTATGCGCCGTCCCCAGGTCTCCTACAAGTTCCAGGAGGTGATCCAGTATGTCGTTAAGAGTTATTTGGGCTTTGAAGAAACTGTTACTGATGAATTCTTTGCGCGCAGATCGCAATTGCCTGCTATGTCCGCCCTCGCCCGTTACTACGCCTCCAAGTGTATGGCTCATTGAAATTATCTACGAAATCCTACCAACCGTTCAATTCTTTCTAACAATAAATGTATTACAGCCTTCCCTCCCCACACTATCATCAGCATGCCTGCTTTGTCCCCTACAATGACCGCGGGAAATGTCGGCGCTTGGCAGAAGAAGGCTGGCGACAGCATGCAGCCCGGTGATGTTCTGGTCGAGATTGAGACCGATAAGGCACAGATGGACTTCGAGTTCCAGGACGAGGGTGTTCTCGCCAAGGTTCTCAAGGAGACCGGTGAGAAGGACGTTGCTGTTGGCTCGGTAAGACTTTTCCCGAGGGTTTCCCATTGATTTCCGATATCTAACATGTATCTTTTCTCTTATCAACAGCCCATCGCCGTTCTTGTTGAAGAGGGCGCTGATGTTACCCCCTTCGAGTCTTTCACTCTGGCTGATGCCGGTGGTGATGCCGCTGCTCCCGCCGCCGAGAAGAAGGAGGAGCCCAAGAGCGCTGAGCCATCGGCCCCGGCCCCCGCGTCGGAGCCCGCCGCTATTGAGCCCGAGACCTCCGGTGACAAGCTTCAGCCTTCCCTCGACCGCGAGCCTTCCATCTCCCCCGCGGCCAAGGCTCTTGCCCTCGAGAAGGGTGTCCCCGTCAAGGCCCTGAAGGGTACTGGCCGTGGTGGTGTTATCACCAAGGAGGATGTTGAGAAGTACAAGCCCTCCGCTTCCGCCGCCGCTGGCCCTGTCTACGAGGACATCCCTCTCACCTCCATGCGCAAGACCATCGCCAACCGTCTTAAGCAGTCTGTGCAGGAGAACCCCCACTACTTTGTCTCCACCAGTCTTTCCGTCTCTAAGCTCCTTAAGCTCCGCCAGGCCCTGAACTCCTCCGCCGAGGGTAAGTACAAGCTGTCCGTCAACGACTTCCTGATCAAGGCTTGCGCTGCTGCTCTCCTGAAGGTTCCCCAGGTCAACTCCAGCTGGATTGAGGAGAACGGCCAGGTTGTCATCCGTGAGCACAAGTCCGCCGACATTAGCGTTGCCGTCGCTACCCCTAACGGTCTGATCACCCCTGTCGTCAAGGGCGCCCACGCTCTTGGTCTGTCCAGCATCTCCAACCAGGTCCGTGACCTCGGTAAGCGTGCTCGTGACAACAAGCTCAAGCCTGAGGAGTACCAGGGTGGTACCTTCACCATCAGCAACATGGGCATGAACGCCGCTGTTGAGCGCTTCACTGCCATCATCAACCCCCCTCAGGCCTGTATCCTGGCTGTCGGCACCATCCGCAAGGTCGCTGTCCCCGTTGAGACTGAGGAGGGTACCGTTACTGAGTGGGATGACCAGATCATCGTCACTGGCAGCTTCGACCACAAGGTTGTGGACGGTGCCGTTGGTGGTGAGTGGATCAAGGAACTGAAGAAGGTTATCGAGAACCCACTCGAGCTTCTTCTGTAAAAGTTGCCAACCCAGGGACTTCTTTACCGACATTTACACTGTAATTTGTATTAAAATCTCCTTTGCCCCTTTAGACCCGCATCGGTCCCTTTTGTCTTTGATTTAGCAACTACAATCCATTTCACATGTTATAAGATATAATTTTGTGCCAATTTGATCCACAATAGTCCCTCCTAACTCCACAGTATTAGTGAACGCTTACTCTCGGATTTATATGGGGCTGAAGCGGGATGTGATCGGAGTGAATCGGGTGCATGCTGCCTTCATGTTAGTATCCAGGTACTCTTAGTGCCTCGTATATGCCACAGATCAGTATCAGGTGATTGTGATATTTCATCTGCTTGTGTACTACAGTACCCCCGTTGAAGAATCCCACTCCTTGTGAAAAGAACGTTAGAATCAGTTGTATTGCTCATGTAAAACTACAAAAGAGCTATAATATATCATTTCAATCTCACCACACTAAATCTTACACTCTTTATCATCTCCCCGTAAAATCACACCCCTATTAGCTTCGTTTAGAAACTGTCCAATATGTCAACTGGTATGGTAGTAATATTAATTCAAGTTATACACCTCAGGGCTTGAATATAACATTATCTAGGCCTCTGGAAATATCTTAGTAGAAGTCTTACCAGAAACGACTAGGCCGATGTTTGGAAAGACCATTGGAAAGACGTATAGTGTAATATAACGTTGAACGCGTATTACAAACCCACCGCTTCTAGCAAGGAGCGGGATTATTTAGGTATCGGGGTGACTGTAGCACTTCAAAGTCTTTTGCTTTTTGTTTTTCTTTTTTGTGTTTCTCAATTTCCCCATTTTCTTCTTTGAGTCTCTCCATATTTAGGATTTTGGATCCTGCCATATGCCCAGGTAAATGACGGAATCTACTAAATGTTAGACATCCGTGATGCTTGAGTTGTTCTTATTATCCTCGCTCCAGGTAGTTCGACCAATACATTTACTACCCTTCTTTGCCTGTACCCTTGGCTACGCCTGTGCGCGCTTCTTTGGCTATATCTTCGCCAATTAATCGGTTCAAAAGTGTCGGAATTAGTGCTAATCAAGACCAGAGCATAGGACCAGGTGTCAGTTTCCCTCCAATTTGATCGGCCCGTGAAAGCTACAATGACATGCGCATACTATACGATATATTTTGTCGAAGACAGGCCATCTAGAGATCTCCAAAGCTTCACTTTGGCCCAGAAAAGCTTCAATATCATCGTATCGTTTCCACCTTGGCAAAGTTATGGATACATCCATGGATATTGTTCTTGAGTATTAACAAGTCCACGACCCCAGGAAAGTAGATTAAGAATATCACGGTGGTCTTGCTACCCTGAAAACCATGCTTATCAATATTAAATGAACTTGCAAGTATCTCTTGGAGTGGTATGCACCCGTGGACCCACTTGAAGTGATCAGTATAAACATGAGTCGTATCTTCTTCCATCCATCTTCCTTCTTCCCTTCCTTTTCTGTTTTCCTTTCCCTTTGATTGATTCCATTCTTCTTCTTCTTCTTCTTCTTCTTCTTCTTCCACATCTTCCTCATCTTCATTTTTCACCATTCTGGTTCCCTTTTACAGCCACTTACCATCGGTACCACCCTCAAACAACTCCCATACTCACATCACAACCCCATTCATTGAATACTGCAACAATGAGTCCCAACAAGAAAGTCACGAAGGCGTCAACCGCCACCAACCTCACCATGGGTGATGTCAAATTCACCCAAGAGGAGGTGAGAACCCTGGCTGCAGCCGTCAGATTTGGCGAAATCCAAGTGAGTTAAAATGAACAATCATTAACCCAACTCGATCTACACTGACCTCAGGCTTACATCTCCAAATCCTCAGCTCAACCCCGACGAAATCTCGAAGAAACTCGGAATTACTAAGAACGCCTGGGCTCTGCGCTGGCGCCGCGCAAGGTTAAAGCTTCAGAATATCCCGCTCGGCACCGCTGATTCTCCTCCCGCCAACCCCGGGGCAAACCGAGGCGACAAAATCGACACCATGATCAGAGAGAATGCGGAGATGGTCAACGATACCGCTGAAGACTCCGAGCAGATCGATGAGACTGAGACCGCTTAGACGGTCGCTGCTGCGCTCAGCATTCTCCCTTTCGACGAGAGATTGCGCGATTCAGTGGGAATGATGAGGAGAGGTGGAGTTTCCTGCCGCTGACACCTTATGCCTTCGTTTTATGTTATGGGAGTTAGGGCTTTGCTTTTCGTGGATTTTATCAACCGGTCACTACTGCGTTCAACGACACTTCTTTTTTGCGACAGGAAAACGCGCAGTTCATTGGGATGGATATTTTGAGAGGAATGTTATGCGTTCGGTTCAGGGGAGTTGGGGTTTCTTTTGAGTGGATTTTGTGATATGTGTCAATGATTCCTTTAGCATATTTACTAAATAAGACACAATTCTGACCGGTACCAGTGCAGTCAATCGCGCATCCATATGGTATACCTGAAATTTGTAGTTCAGTATAACAAAACACGACTTGCTCCACCTGGGCAATGATAGAAATATAAACTTAACGCTTTGCTTCCCACCTCGGAAGCGCTCCAGGGCTGGCAAGGCCTGGGACCGGCACCTCAGAGCCGTAAAAGCTCTGGAGAGTTTTGACTAAAATGTGAAAATGATATAAATTAGCGGGAGAACATCATTCATCAAGTGCCGAACCAATAAAGCCCGAGGGTTTCATTACCGTGATATCCATGTAGCGGGGGGCAGCAGGTACATCCCGCCCCAGCAAAATCACCCGCAATAAGCAAGTACCACACATACTAATTCCCCCCCGGAACTGATCCCGGACTACACACCCGGGATGCGCTCCGGAAGCGCCTTGATAGATCAACCACAACCTATATAACAGATCATCATCCCCGCGCGGGGAAATAGACTTCAACACCGTGGCACAGAGGGATCTTACCAAAGAACCAAAAAATGGAAAAAGTCGACGTGTTAATCTGCGGCAGTGGATCAGCCGGTCTCAGCGCTGCAACCTGGCTTGCCCGTTACGGTATCCGATGCAAGATCCTCGAGCGCCGCGATGGTCCAATGAAAATGGGCCAGGCAGATGGTGTACAGTGTCGAACTGTGGAGATATTCGAGAGTTTTGGCATTGGAGAAGAATTGCTACGAGAAGCTTATCATGTCCTTGAAGTGAACTTTTGGGCAGATGATGGGTCTGGCGTCATTAAGAGGACTGGTCGGACGGCTGACACACAGCCTGGACTGTCACATCAGCCGCATGTTATTTTGAATCAAGCGCGGATCAATGGGTTGCTCATTGAATTGATGCAGAAGCATAATAATCAGCAGATTGATTATGGATACAATGTCACCGATGTTCAAGTTGATGATGCATCTGCTGGTGATTTGGATGCGTATCCTGTTACGGTGACTGCAGAAAAGAATGGCAGGACGGAGAGCTTCCAAGCCAAATATGCATTGGTAAGTACCAATTTAATATCCATGGATGTTGATTTCAAACCCTCGATGTATTAGTACGCTGATTCTAACAATCTCAGGCATGTGACGGCGCCCACAGCATTGTCCGCAAAGCACTCGGATACAAGATGATCGGAGATAGCAGCGATGCCGTCTGGGGCGTGATGGACATGATCCCTCGAACAAGTTTCCCCGATTTCCGCAAGAAATCCAGCATCCGTTCCAAAGCAGGAATCCTCCTGATAATCCCTCGAGAAGGCGACAACAACAATTTGACCCGATTCTACATTGAACTTGCACCGGGCACAAATCCCAAAGAAGTCACGCTAGAGAACCTACAAGAAAGAGCACAGAAGATCCTCCAGCCATACGATATTGAAATTGCCGAGACAGTCTGGTGGTCTGCTTATGCAATTGGACAACGTCACGCCGATGTCTTCCACAAGGACCATCGTGTTTTCCTAGCCGGCGATGCATGCCACACGCATTCACCGAAAGCCGGACAAGGTATGAATGTCAGTCTACAAGATGGGTACAACATTGGATGGAAACTCGGCGAGGTTTTAACGGGCCGCGCACATCCCTCTATACTCGAGACGTACGTGTTAGAAAGAGAAAAAACCGCCATCGATCTGATCAATTTCGATCGTTATTGGTCTAAATTGTTCTCTTCGGCAGCAAATACTACACCTGGCGAGTTCCAAGATGGGTTTATCAAGGCTGGAAAATATACGGCTGGTCTGACAGCTAAATACGATGTTTCGTCTATCACTTCCTCTTTCCAGGCTACGAATCTTGCGTCAAATGTTGTGGTTGGCATGCGATTGCCCAGTGCGCAGATTGTTCGGGTCTGCGATTCCAAGCCCTTACAGCTTATGAAGACGCTCAAATCCGATGGGCGATGGCGTGTGATGATTTTCGCCGGAGATCTTTCGGTAGCAGGGAGTCAGGCAAAGCTAAACACAGTGAGTCAATCGCTCCATTTCGAATTCAATTTCAAGTCAAAGACGCTATCTAACAAAAAGGTAGATTGGCGAATACTTTTCCTCTCCCAATGGGCCAAGTCACAAATTCACACCACCCTCCCAGGATGCAGACAGTCTAATTGAGACTCTTGTCATCGGCCATGGAAAGCGACACGATATTGAAATACACCAGATTCCCGAATGCTTCTATCCGGTAGTAGGCAAGAATCAAACTAGAGGTAAGTGGTCGCACAATGTACTATATGATGATCCTCGTTACTGACTACCTTTTAGATTTACATAAAATATACTACGATGATGATAGCCACAATCAAGGCCACGGGCACGCGTATGAATTCCTCGGAATCGACCCGAACCACGGAGCCATCATCATTGCCCGACCCGACCAATGTGAGTCTGACCTTGAACACAATATCAAACCCTACATATGCAGTCGCTGATTAAAATTTCTCATTTACAGATGTATCCGCCGTCCTGGGTCTTGATCAGTATCAAGAAATCGGGAATTTCTTCCAAGGATTTCTTCACCCGCAAACGTAGGTTAGTTGGTCCCACTACGTGGAGAATGCGATGGATAACTAAGACGGAGAACGTCATGTGGGTGCTTCAGCGAGTAAATTGTAAATATACTATACATATTTTTGTGTCAAATGCATGACCAACCATATCAAATTAACTCAAGAAAAGACTTCAATAGATGAAATGTATTGTTTGGTGGTGGGAGAAATCTGGCGCGGGATATAGGCACGTCAGTGGCTGCGGGTCACGCTGTTGCGATCCTTTACGGCAACTTCAACATGGGGAATAGCTGGAGCTAGCCAGGATACTATATTCCTGAACATAATATATTTGTATAAGGGGAAGTAGGAACTATAAAAAATAAAATATCCATAAAAATAGAGTGTTAAGTCCAATATCAGTCATATTGTATAGAATAACAAGTTGGTCTAGCTCCACCAAATCAATGACGTGATGTCACACGCCGAAGCTTCCAAGGTTTCACGTTCTCGATCGTATAAAACCCTCATCCCCCCCTCTTATTCCCTTCTGATCGCTGCCGTTAATTTCCGATAACTGATTTCTCCCGCACTTTAAACATTTCCACCAATTTAAATCACAAGAAATCCTTTTCTTCACTTAACAATCTCATCATGTCTTACGCCGACGCTGCTGCCAAGGGTCCCAAGCAAGACCCTGAGGATGTAAGTACAACCTAACATGTGACATGTTCATGTTCCCCGGCAAAGTCATCGTATAAGCTAACAAGATGAGCAGGCGTAAGTCAAAATTGACCATAACACTATAGGACATAGTATACTAATCAACCTATAGCCGCGCTCCCTACGTAGGAGGTGTCTACAAGGACGAGTCCGAGAGCACCGCCTCCCTGATCGACGTCGACTCCCCACACGTCCAGACCGTGGAATCTGACTTCCTCGAACAAGATGTCCAAACCACCACCCAGGCAGAGCGATTAGAGCGCGAAGCCGCAGAGGCTGAACAGCGCCGGGTCCGCGAAGCCGCCGAGAAGAAGGCCAAGGCCCGCAAGGGCAAGAGCAGCGGACTGGGCCCTAACTCCGACAACCCCGTTTACATTACCAATGCTGTTATCGGTACTCTGGTTGGAGCCGGTTTGGGCTTTGGTGCTTACCGCAAGCATGTGGAGGGCAAGTTGTCCTGGGAACTGGTTGGTCTTGTCTCTGGTGCTGTGGGCGCATTTGGTGTTGCGGATTACTTTGTTAGCAAGTATGTCTTCCTCTTTCTCCAGAATCACCGCTCAGATTCAGGAGTGAGAATACTTTTATGATATTATGATATTTGTGCTGACTGTTTTGTCTTTCTAGGTGGTTCCTGCAGAACAAGTACCCTGCCAAATAGAGTGCAGCTTGTTGATTCGAACTTTCTTTTGTCTTAACCCTTTACCCTTACCTTTGCTTCAATTCTTTGTTTAATATACCATCTCTGCTCTTCTGAGACTTTGCATTCTGTATTCTTTGGCGAGAACGGAGTCGGGTCGGATTGTCGGGCTTGTATCATTATAGCCTCAACGATACCATTTTGACATGAATGCGGTAGCAGTGAATCCTTGATACAATAATTAGTTGGTAATCATGATATTGACCAGCGAAAGAACATTTCAATGTAAACATAAATCCACCGTTGTGTAACAACCAGCAACTTGAACAGTAAAGGCGTGTCGAAGGCGGTCAGCGGCCAAAACACACATGTGGCCTCGATGGGACCAGCTTGACCTTGAATCGTGTTCCTTCTTGCTTGGAGGTACGCCAGGTTATACATTTCAATACTGTTGCCCACACTTGGACTCGCTCATTGTCGACTCTACATTTTACCATATCTTGCAACACCCCCCGCGTCCAAGTGGCATCTGCCACCATCTTACCACGCCACCATGGTATGCATCAACCCTCTCGTACATATTAACCCCGAGACCCTTGCTCATGCAAACAGAATTCCCTCTTCAATTCCGCCCTCAAGCAGTCTTCTGCCATTCGCCGAGACCTCGATACATTTTCACAGTCACCTGCCACCTCCTCACCCGCCTTACAAGGTATGTGCATGCACCTCAATACCGTAGAGAGATATAGAGAGAAGGGACAACTAGCTGACTCGATTCGCTTCAGGGCAAATTGCCGCATCATTAGCATCCCTCTCGCGAACAGTGGATGACTACTCAGCTCTATCGAAGAAGGAGTTGATCCCCGAGAAACAACAAAAAGCATTCGACCGAGTGAAAAACTTCCGCAGCGAACTCACAGACTACCGAACACAATTCGACCGATTGCGCAAAGAGCGAGAAGATGCAGTAAGGGCAATCATACATATATGCAGAATTCTATTCCCTTGGCCCGTCCCAACTAACCTTTCTTTTCTTTAGCAATCAACCAACAACCGAAGTGAGCTTCTAGGTCGCCGACCACATCACGCCGCTACGCCTGAAAACCCCTACGCACAGTCCAACCTCCCCCAGGGCTCCTCCTCCTTTGCACCATCCTCCGGCCTAAGCTTTGGTGGCGGCCCAGCCGACCAGACTCGAGAAAGCCATGCGCTACGCGAACAATCCTTCTTCTCCAATACAAACACTCAAATAGACGATTTCCTAGACCGGGGACGTGCCGTTCTAGCCGATCTAGGTCAACAGCGAGAGGTTTTAAAGGGCACACAACGGCGATTGTATAGTGTGGCTAACACATTAGGTGTCAGTGGAGATACTATTCGTATGGTTGAACGACGTGCTCGACAGGATAAGTGGATTTTCTGGGGTGGAGTGGTCATCTTCGTCCTGTTCTGCTGGATGGTGCTGCACTTTTTGCGGTAAATGAATCCTGATACTGTATACTGTATACTTTCCTTCTTTTCTTTTGTCCATTCTCTGTACGGTGGTCATTTTATTCTTTATTATTCTGGATTGGGGTCTTGACTTTCCATCAGCGACGGCGTTTTGATTGTTGGGAACCTGAACAATGCGATTATAGCTATACTTTACCTTGATATTCTGTATATTTGATTTTGTCACATGTAAAACCTTCAGAGTATATTAATCCAAGTACATAAAAGGAAAGAAAACAACTCCAATTCCACCCGACATGCATCGCTGATCCAATTACGATTCTGCCCGACTGGTGAGGATCGGCTGAGTGCCGGGATGTCGGAAGTGCGTGCTAGAGTGGATCCCCAGTTCACACCGGCCCCAATCTCTTCTCTTCCCCTTCCCTTTCTCCCCTTCCTCTTTCTTCTTCCCCATCCAAACTCCATCTGGACAGTAGACATCATGTTTGCCGCTCGTCAGACCTTCAACCTTTTCCAGAAGCGTGCCTTCTCCGCTTCGGCCAGCCAGGTAATACCTCCTAATCAATACATTTTCATTCCCATTGGCATTGTCATTCCTATCATCGCGCTAACACGTTTCCTTTCTAAAGGCCTCCAAGGTCACCGTCCTCGGTGCTGCCGGTGGTATTGGTCAGCCTTTGTCTCTGCTGCTGAAGCTCAACCCCCGTGTTTCTGAGCTCTCCCTCTACGATATCCGTGGTGGACCCGGTAAGACTTGCTCCTACTTACCCTTGTTTTCGTTTTGCAATCCTCAACTAGAGCTACATTGTCCCAATTGCATTGACTAACATGTTAAAACAGGTGTCGCCGCTGATCTGAGCCACATCAACGCCAACAGCACCGTTACTGGCTACGAGCCCACCAAGGAGGGCCTCCACGCCGCTCTCAAGGGCTCTGAGATCGTCCTCATCCCCGCTGGTGTTCCCCGTAAGCCCGGCATGACCCGTGACGACCTCTTCAACACCAACGCCTCCATTGTCCGCGACCTGGCCAAGGCCGTCGCTGAGGCTTCCCCCGATGCCAAGATCCTGGTCATCTCCAACCCTGTACGTAGCGATAGAAGCGATCGCAACCCCAGACTCCACCAAGAAATTGTTTAAACGAAGTATATTCTTTTTCTCTAACAAACATCTAGGTCAACTCCACCGTCCCCATCGTCTCTGAGGTTTTCAAGAAGGCCGGTGTCTACAACCCCAAGCGTCTCTTCGGTGTCACCACCCTCGACGTTGTCCGTGCCTCCCGCTTCATCTCCCAGGTCCAGGGCACCGACCCCTCCGTCGAGAAGGTCCCCGTCGTCGGCGGCCACTCCGGCGTGACCATCGTCCCTCTCCTGTCCCAGTCCGGCCACGCCTCCCTCGCCGGTGAGGCCCGCGACGCCCTTGTCAACCGTATTCAGTTCGGTGGTGACGAGGTTGTCAAGGCCAAGGACGGTGCTGGTTCCGCCACTCTCTCCATGGCTATGGCCGGTGCCCGCTTCGCTGAGTCTCTGCTCCGCGCTGCCCAGGGTGAGAAGGGTGTTATTGAGCCTACCTTCGTTGACTCCCCTCTGTACAAGGACCAGGGTATTGACTTCTTCGCTTCCCGCGTTGAGCTCGGCCCCAACGGTGTTGAGCAGATCCACTCCGTCGGTGAGATCAACGAGTACGAGCAGAAGCTTCTGGATGCTTGTCTCGCTGACCTTAAGAAGAACATCCAGAAGGGTGTTGACTTCGTTAAGGCTAACCCTTAAAAGATTGTATAACAAATCATTATCTCTTCTTCCGGTTCTCTCTTTGTGAGCCATTTTCTGTGTTGCTCCGGAGCGTTTCTGGTATCTTTTGTATTTCTAGATCGATATGATTGATTTAATGAATATCGGTCTACTCGTGACATCGATGATGACAGTCTTCTTCCTCTTTTCCTTAAGTTGTTCAAGTAAATTGTGTCAGTGGCACACGTAAGATAGATATCCATGCATGCAATGCATCTATCTCCACATAATAAGCAATCTCGTTTAGGTACGCATGATGCGTGCATATCTGCGTAATTCCAACCAACATCCTTCTATCTGCAGCTTGAGGACCCTTACCACTTGAACTTGAACGTTCAAAAACCAACATGGATGTAATGTATGTGGGGGGATGTACATTAATTAGTTCTACGATCACTGACAAGAGAATAATGTAGCAGTCGGGCGGCTACTTATCCTTAATGCAGCAGAGCAGCAGAAAAGAAAAGAAAAAAAGAAATAGTCCCAGAGGGACCCTCGACTTGGGCGTTATTAGCACCACGCTTTAACTGAGTTATGGAACCAGGTTGTTGAAACGGTTGAATTCTTTACATCTATAGGGCAAGCATAATCCTATAAGAGAAACAAGTCAAGTACGGGCCCATAAAAAAGGACCAAAAGATATGAAAAAAGATTTCCGTCCAAAAGTGCACGTGTGGATTTATTAAGAAGAGCAAGAAATGAATACATTCCAGTCTCGATTCTTCACTTCTCTCCATGTAAATTAAATCAATAACTCCCAAATTCATAAAGCACCAATTTGACCCATACTCTCTCTCCTCTCCTATGTGTAACTTCGCATAGCATCCAAATAACCAGTACCCCCACGTAGATCCTGATCAAAAGTCTCCGCAACATCAAGAACTCTCTTAATATGATCCATAGACAAGGGAGTCTTTTCATTAACGGCCAATGCCTGAGCTGTCCGAACTGAATTTTTGATCTATGAAACGTCAATGTCAATAACTTACAACATAGAGGAAGGCATGAAGCCATAGTAAGTGGGATAGAAAGTAGAAAGTATTTACCTGTCGTCCGTTCAAAGTGTGTCGTGCCAGTGTGTCATAATCATCTTCGGTAAATTTGGCCGTTTGTACGCCTTCGATTGCCTTCACACGTTCAAGGAACATCTTCCAGATGCTTCGCTTTGCGTTGGAGGCTAGGTCACCGTAGCGGAGCGCAACGTGGATACGAGATTGGAAGGCATCGTCAAAAGTTTCAACACGGTTGGTGGTAAGGAAGAGAATACCCTGGAAGTACTCGAGGAGACGGAGGAAGATACTAACCAGGGCGTTGCGGTGGATGTCGTGAATAGTTCGCTTCTCAAGGAAGATATCTGCTTCGTCGAGGAGGAGCACAGCGCCCCAGGAGTGCGCGATATCGAGGATCTTGTTCAATTCTCCCTCCAGAGAACGAGAGTCGGTACCTAGCTCTCCAGCACTGACCATATAAAGTGGCCGGTGGAGGAGCTCAGCGATACCCTCCGCTGTGAGCGTCTTTCCTGTTCCTGGTGGACCGTGGAGAACAGCAACAAGACCCTTGCCCTTGCCTTGGATCACGTCGTCGATATTCTCAGCTGCATGGAAAGTGTGAGATTCGACGAGGGCCTTGACGATGGACTTTTGATTTGCGGGAAGCACGAGGGAGTCGAAAGCATCCTTATCCCATTCGATGTCGCTGATACCCGAGATAGTAAATTCAAGCCACATCTTCTCTGCAAAGGCAAAACCCAGCACGACAGGACTTGCGACGAGGAGTTCTTCTTCTGTGAATTCACGGCCAAGAGTAGCTCCTGCACCTTCAATGGGATCCATGTTCTCCTTTTGGATCTCGAATCCATTCTCGTCCACTTCAACCTTCACCACGCGCGGAGTGCCATCATCACCCTCGATAACCTTGTACAGGGTCCGTGGAGTATCGGACTGACCACCATTATCAGAGTCGGAGTCTGATGCACCACAGCAGCAGCCGCAATCACTATCTCCGTCTCCCCCGTCGCTGGTCCCTCCATCAGACAGATCAAAAAGATCGGGATCTTTGGGCCGGACAGTACTGATGGGGTAATTGGGATTGATGCGGCGATGAATAGCTGGGTCAATCATTACTCGGCTTTCGATATTCACTTTGCCTACTTGACGCTTTTTCTTATAGAACGCCATACCCTTGTGGAAGCGATAGTTCATTCCACGCAGGGCGATAAACCGCTTACCACGTTCCACAAGACGGGTCCGTAGTCCCTCTGGATCACTGTGATATTGCAATGGGTAACAGGTCAGACTAGTGATCTTGCGTGCACCTTTGAAAGATTCAACTTCCGCGGACATGTTACCGAACCCGAAGTCTTTCCCGTCGTACTCCAAGTACCGACCTTCAACATCGTACCATTGACCCTTCATGAATGAAGATTCCTTGACAGCGTACTCAATCTTGAAAGCACGAGGCTCATCGGTATTTCCATAAGTAGGCGTGTAAGCAATCGTATTGGGTTTGTATAACGCCCAAAGCAAATCGAAAGTAATCGTATTAGCCTCAAGAAGTGGGTAAAGTGTCTTCTTGGTATCCGCATAGTCTGCATCCAGATACTTGATCAGCACCTTCAAGTGAGCTGCTTTGGCAGCGGCTGCCTTGCGAGTCTTCCGTTTCTTATCGTTACGTGATTGACGCTTCATGTCCTTCATGTACTGTCTTGTCTCTTCTAGATACAGGAACAACATGTTTGGGTCGACTACCGCGGTCTCTTGAACAAGGCTGACTCCCTTCACGCCGTCCATGACTTTCGCAAGTGATTCACGAAGGGGTTTGCTTTTGATGTCGACTACTGTCTCCAGATATTTATTTTCCCAGTTGAACCTGCGACGGACTGTGAAGATGTACTGGTCCCACTCGTCGGCGTCATGATCTTCCACTGTTTCGGTCAACTTGTACTTGTGGATAGTACTGTCCCATACTGGAGTGATTTAATTGAGTTAGTACTCTCTGTGCATTCTCAATCAAACCGCGAAGGTAATAACAAAGACGAAGGACATAATAACAATAAAAATGAAATTTGAACACCACCAGGATACAATGGATGAAAGTAGAGAGATATGGGAATGAATAATGAAGTCACAGAGTCAAACCGGAACTTACATTGATCAACCCGCTTGAATGCCACCTTCGAAGCTGGCTTCTTCTTCTTCGTTCGCTTTTGTCGCAGAGCATCAGAGAGAGGATCACTCGATCCCAGATCATCACTCGCATGATCACGCGATCGCTTATGACGTTTCTTCAGCGTAAGCTTAGCCACCAATTTTCGCAATAACTTCTCATCAAGCGATGAGTCCGAATCATAAGTGGACTCAGAATCCTCATCCGAATCAGAATCCTCATCCGAATCAGAAGATTCATCCGAATCGCTAACATTAGCAGTTCCCTTCTTTCCTACTCGTCGCTTCCCCTTCTTCTTCTTCTTCTTCTTCTTCTTATCCTTCAGCGCCCGCTTAGCGCGAGCCTTCCCCCGGAGCCGATGTCGCTTCCGTCGTTCTGTACCTGACTCACTAGCGATTTCCTCCCAGTCGGTATTTTCCGAGTCAGAATCACTTGAGGAGTCTGTAGAGAAATCCGAGCCAGATGAAGTGTCATCACTGTCAACCTTCTTCTTTGTTCGTTTCTTCTTCTTTCTGGCCCCGTCTGCCTTCTTGTCTGAGTGTGGGTGCCGCTTGCAATCGGCACTAGTCTTGCCATTGCCAGTGGGGGCGATCTCGGATGTGGGGACGGTAGTAGTTCCTGAATCTTTGACCGCTACTTCGGCGACGTTGGGCTGGACCGAGCCATTTACGCTTTTCACATTTTCGGTGGAAGGTTCAACCTCGCGTTTGGAGTCGGCGTTGAGGGTGGTGGGTTCAGCCATAGTGGAGCCTGGGGAGCTCAGGGAGCTTGGGTCTCTCTGGTGGTCCAAGTGGGGAAGTGGATGGAAGTGCGGAAGCTAGTGGAGTTCAAGTCTGAGAGTAAACAAGAGGAGGTCATGAAAGAATAAACATGAAACTCGGGAAAGGGAGAAAAAGAAATTTCAGCATGGGTGGGAAAGGAAGAGAGAGAGAGAGGAAGAAAGAGACAGTCGCAGAAAGAAAGACACAGTGGGTGAGACGGCGGACTTTTTAAGTCTTTGGCCGGCAGGAAAGCCTCATTCAGTGTACACGATGCTGATGCAGATCCATGGATACTAAGAAAAGAAATAAAACAAAATAGGGCAATACTTATCAAAAACCAATCAGGATCTCCCACGATACGACTGCGCTGGCGATTCCCTATATGTTGGGACTATTAAACTTGCTAGACGCTTCATGCTTCATGCCATCGTGCGTTGTCATTTGACAAGAAAAGCGCCGCGGCTCCGCCTTGTTTGTTGGTCTTTGTCTGTGACACCGGGGGAAATCCCATGTCAGCATGCATGACGTGGATAGGAGGAAGATCGTATTGACTGGATTTCTGGTGATTTCTGGTTGTGTTGGCAATTATTCTCTGTTGATATCCTGGCATGTATAGAGTCATGGGAGCCTTACTAGTACTATACTACGCAGTTACGCAGTTACCCACTTACCCAGTTGGAACGCCTGAATTTCTGTTCAGTGGAAATAATATCTCATATTACTGTACGAACAGGTCATCCAAACTATAATCTAGTGATCAACCTACATAGTACGTGAATCACATTCGCTTACAGATCCCGGCGCTTCCATCACGAGTCAACCGCTTGGTCCAACAAAGTACCTTCAACCCAGCTACTATTACAGACCCGATAGACAAGAACTTCCCGAAGAGTATAGTTACTATACGTTTAATTTCAAACCTTTAATCGAGAAGTAGAATGAAGCCTGGGGTTTCGAAATTCATATCCAGAACACGCCTAGTTGGAGATGTGAGTCTGGGCGCATTCACAATGGAGCCGAGCTCTTACAGTGGAGAACGGATCGAAGATGCTCCACTTACAACTGAACAGGGGTTCGATTGGATCACACCGCTCAGCCACAGGCACTAGAGCTGGTGGAATGCATCAATGTTTCATATTTTCTTATCGTGAGGATTTACTCTCTGGGATTCCAAGGTTGTCTTCGGGATAATTTCCGTGTCCATAATACTACGGGTTGTATAGTAGAGACTGGTATACTCAGGAATCAGACAACTAAAATTGGATCAAATATGTAAATTTCACCCACAAAATAGCTGGCAAAAGCTAAGACCTAGATGCTTGAAGCTTCCAGTTACCACCAGGCACAGCAGCAATACCATTCACAAGCTTAACCTTCTGCCCCGTCTTCGAAACCAAAGTCCCACTAGCCCCAGGTAACTTAACAGTCCCACTAGTAGCAGAAGGAACACTAAACGAGAACTGGCTATATCCCCCACTAGACTTCTGAGCACGCTTCAGCGCGACCGAGAAGATCCCCTTCTCGGTCGAAAATCCCGCATCCACAGACGTCAAATTACCAAGCTGCGGCGCGATAGTCCAAGAACTACCCGCCGGCCCCGTCAACTGAATACCAGCCGTATACGCCGTAAGCGCATAAGTAGGCCCAGTCGACCAGCCATGAGCATGTGAAATTCGCGCATCATCACTATAAGGCGCATAATGAATAGATCCATCAGTCGAATAACCCTCGATGAAAGTAGATTGTGTCATCTTCGAGTCTAGCAGCATGTATCCCCATTGTAGACGGAGAAGATCAAGTGCTGCATCAGGTCGACCAGCTAGATAGTGTGCTTGGAGCTCGAAGCCGCCGATGAAGGGGGAGATGGTTGCGCCGGCTTCGGGCGCTGGTGCACCGTATTTACCCCAGCGGGCTTTTAGAGCTTTGGAGATTGTTAAGCTTTGAGATGTAGAGAGTGTCAGGTTTGCCTTGACGGCCCAGGCGTTGCCATCTTGTGGATGGAGTGTTGTGGTTTGGTTATCGCGATATAATCCTGCAGAAGAATCCCAGAGGAGCTTGTTGGCGGCGGATTTGATGCCAGCTGCGGTGCTGGCCCATTGCGTTGCCATCGATGTTTGGTTCAGATCTTGTGCTAAGTTCTGAGCGTCTTGGAGGACAAAGTAGAGGATTGCGTTGGCTTCGATGTTCTAAAATGTGTGTGTTAGTTGTCTGTAGATGAGTAGAAAGAAAAATAGAAAGACAAATGCAAAGACAGATAAAGAGACATGTAGAAAGGCAAATGGAGAAAATCATTTTTTCCAAATACTCGAGGCTTTGCTAGTAATTTCAAGGATTAGATGAAGATGCAACTTACATGCGCTCCCATTCCAAAGCGAAGCCAGTCAGCACTCAAAGTGACATTGGCCAGACCAGAACTATCAACCGACTCCAAGGCCCATTTGACTCCGAGAACGTATTGATCCCAGTAGCTGGAAAGCCAGTTTGTGTCGCCTGAGTATCGGTACAGGAAAGAGAGACCAATCAGGTTATGAAGATGATATGTGTAGCTCACAGCAATGCCAAGAGGTGCACCTGCATAGGGAAGTTGACCATCAGGTTGTTGCAAGGCGAACAATGACTCGAGACCCATCCGAATACTATACAAATCACCTGTGCTGACAGCAATACTTTCAAGCGAGATAGCCATATCTCCAGGCCAAACGAGTCGGTCGCGCTTAGCTCCATCGGTGATAGTACTGCTCCCATTTGCGATGGTCTGGTTACTGTACCAAGGGTTTGTCTGTGGTAAAGTAATATCCCCAGCTTGGGACGTGATAGCATCTCCATATTTAGGATCAATAGTACACAGCTGATTCGTATATGCACCCGCATACCAGATTCTATCAATCAGTTCATCGTCAGAGTGGAACCATCCCTTATAATCTCTGAGACTCTGAGTTGGCGCTGCAGTGAAATTGATGTGAAGGGATTTCAGCGCAACAGTCGCAGTCGTGTTGCTCACAACCGTGAGATAACGGAAGCCACCACGCTGATATTTAGCTTCAGGTGTATATGTTCCAGGTCCCTTTCCGACATTGAACCATAATGGAGAGTCGTATCCTGAGTTCCCAGTAGCATCCGAGTACTCGCTACTGATCCAGAGATTGGATTCAGTGAATGTAACGCCCAGAAAGGCTGCTGAGGACGAGGCAGAGCTGACATCCAACGATACCAGACCAGCAATGTTCTTGCCAAAATCGTAGGTAACAGAGGAGATGCCTTTGAATGTAGTACCCGCACCAGAAGTCTGTGTTAAGGACTTCGGATTTGTCACTGACCCATTGAGCCCAACGACCGAAGTGGGGATCAGGTCCCGGGAACTTGGAGCCAGAATGTACTCTTCATATGGCACACTAGCCACCGCTGCCAGCGGAAGCAGTAAAGAAGTCAGCAAAAGCATGACTAGAGAAAAAATAATATTCGCCCGTTAAATTCACAACTCTTGGATCAGAATAATCATTTTTGGGTAGGATTCAAGATCACCTTTATACTCAGATAACTAGAGCAGGGTCCCCATAGACTCCAAGCAGGATGTCATCATATTGCAAGTAGTGCAAGATTTCAAAATCGACATCTCGGTGTATTTCAACCCGTGTGCGGAGAACAGCCTTCTAGTTCTTTTATTCGATGCAGCCTAATGAACTTTGTCACTTTAGTTAGTCGGTTGATCAACAGTCCGATTATGGTTGCATTGGCTGACGAAATGTGGGGTTTACCCCGTTTCCCCACATCACTATATTGCCCCTGGTGGCTTGTTTTTCTTCATCAGTAGATTTCCCGAGGTTTGAGCGAGATGCTAAATTGAGCTTGATAGAGGGGTTTTATGAATGTTACATTGATATAACTCTATTCTTTTTCTTGGGCTGTGGAGCGATATTTTACTTTTCCTAAATGATCGCCCAGGCTATTTATGGACTTATGTTTGCAATCAATGTTCTAAATGGTCGAAATCAATTAGAGCACCAGATAGTGGTTGAAACTTAGTAAGTTGTAATCTTTTTTCATTTCATCTACTCACGTATGTTTGAATTGTTTCCACCCCTTTTCCCATTCTCCTCAAGAGTCAACACTGAAAAGACTCACTTAACCAAGTCTTTTTATGATTAGACGGCGGTATTATTTGCAACTCAAATGACAACAAGCCGATCACCACAAAGTAATCTCATTCAGACAGCTCGGGGCAATATGTCTGAGTTGAGCAAGGTAAACCCAGACAGAAAATTGCTGAGAAGACCTAGTCTTCCATTCCACATCAGCATGACATACTGATAGAAACTCGGTCAGTTTCTTCTGAATTCAGTTAGAGGAAATTGCGCCCTGCAAAAGGTACTTATGCAACTGGTAGTGAACCAACAGGCCGGCAATTTTCATCCGTTGGCTCTTCATCTCGTGTGGTTAGCCTGAATGGATATAAACTACAAAGTAAACTAGACCTATGCCGGGATGATTTTTGGGCACAGACCGGCTACACACCCACTCACAGCATGAAGACCAACATAACTAGACCCTTTTTACACACCGCGAACAGACCGCGAACATGGCTTGTTTTTAGCCCCAAAGGCGAAAAGGGGGTTTTTGAGAAGGGTTTTTTGGAATGAATATTTCGAAGCTGAACTACACACACCACTTGCTTGCTTGCTTTACGTTTCGAAGGACCGATTTGTCCCTCCCAGGAAAGCTTTTAATAGACTCAATCGAAGAAAGCATGTGGTCTCCCCGATCACAGTAGAGTTGAGTCAAGCGGCTCGCTGACTACAGTTCAGATCCTGTTGCATTTCCGAACAATTTGTTTGACAGCCAACCTCGAGCTTTGGAAGAGTTCTTAAGGTCTCCATCATCATCAATATTTTCATCTCGAGAGTCCAGAACAGCCATTCGCGACGATAAAAACCTGATCTGGTGGAATCTGCTCAGCGCGATTAATGATGGCTGAACCTGGAAACCACGGAGGGTTATTCGACCCCTATCTCAACTTCAGGCGGCGCAAGTGAATATATTGAAACCACGGTCACAGTGGTCCTTCATGCCAATAGTTATTTATGATCCTTCAAGTTGGAGAAACGTGTAACGGAATAGGCCTTCGGATAGGCAAAAGGGAAAATTGGCAAATAGGGTAAGAATTCTTCAGACCTTAGCCACAACCTTCAAAATTCGAAAAAGCTTTTTTTATGAGAGTTTCTATACTACGCGATGTACCTGTTTCGCTTCCGCATTTGGACTAGTTAGTGCAACTGGAGCTCTCGCTATCTGAATTACGTAATGCTTCGTCGCGTGTTCTCCACGACGCGAAAACCTCCTTTTCTTGACTTCTCAAGACCCGCGATGCAGGTCCCAACAGTTACTTTGGTGAGATATCCCAAGTCCCAGGACCTTCGAGTGCGATAACTGGAGGAGGGAGCCTATTCTAACCTGATCGTTCCCTTTGTTCTAGGAAGATCTCCAAGCATTCCATGCCCAGCACTTTCCTGGGCATGAAACTCCAAACGCACCTGCAACTCAGCCTGTGGACAACGATGAATATAACGAAGAGGCCGGTGAAGAGGAGGACCTAGGATATTATCCTGATGGTGTGAAAAGGACCCTCACCGACGAACAGATTCGGATATTCAGACACAGCGAGATCCACGCCTTACTGCGAGCCAGTCAGCTCGCGCAAGATGACGCTGAGTACGAAGCTAGGCGCAACCTTCCCGAGGAAGGGCCAGTAGGCGAAGGTCAGAGTAACAAAGTCCAGGAAACACCCGAAGTGAAGCAAAAGTCCGTGCCCACATCAAAAAAGCCCAAAAGAGCAGCTGAGCACATGCACAATGCTGTGCCGGAACTGGATTACGAGGAAAAAAATCAGCCATCATCACCTAAGAAAGCTCACAAACAGAGTGATAACATCTATCCCGGTCGAAGGATTGTCTCTTACAATGACTGAGGGTCGCTCAGAATTGATCGTACCCCGGTATTTTGAAGCCATGCTCCAAACTAACAGCGACCACTTGGCGACACAACAAAGGCAGCGGCAGCCTTTTCAATACGAAGAAAGCTGTTAATATGTGACTGGTGAGTTTTAAGCAATTTTTTTACATTTCACTGCACCCAAATCCCGCCTGTTATGATGAAACAATCCGTATAGTCATCCTTAGTCGGAATCATGCCATACCATCTCGAATGTGTAAGGCTTTGACGACTTTAATCTTCTCTCTGAGGGCTTATTCATTCTATTTTGATTTCAACGATGCATATAACTCAGACCATGTGACTAATGGCGATATAAGCAGGAAAACCCAATTCAACGAACTCATTGAAACGACATCTCATTCCCAAAACTAACACTCAATTTGCAGCCCATAATGGCCCCAGGAATTGAGAGCCCATGTTAATACCCAAAATGACCCCATCCAAGTCCTGCAATAACCAGTTGTATCGGCCCGACTCAAGAGGCATTCCAAACTTTGCCTGCCCTGCCTTTGATCTGAAAGTGCTCATTAAACAATGGCACTTGGTATAAAAAATCATGCCGCCACACCCGACGATAGAAATTTGACATCATTCTAAATAATGGCACGATACTATCAAACTCCTGTGTCGTTTGCCACCGCTGGGGTGGCGATAACATACAGGAAACTGTTGATTAATGACTGCAAAGAGCTTCATCAATAATACAATTATTCCCCCCCAACTTTTCATAACTGCACGCTGTTTCACTATATTAAAATATTCTCCATATTGTCTTGCAAGACCAGCCCGGGGTTCACGTATGTAGTCGTAAACCCCGTATATCCCTTCATCACTCACGCACAACTTCCCACGGTCACTAGCAACGATGGAATAACCTTACAATTCAAGCGGATCTGACGGATCTGACGGATCTGACTTATTGGTGGATTTGAGATCAAGTCCCCGACGCAGCCTGATTCAAGTTTCAAGCTCCATTCTAAAAGGCTTGAAAATCGACTCTCTTTGCAAATAATATCACCAGGGCCCTGCCTTGTAATTCTAGTTACAAACGCCTCATCTATATCACGTAGAATAAGATGAATATGATCTAGATTGCGTACACTCTGCCACTTCGCGCGATTGCGAAACCACTGGATATTGTCTTCAACGACATGCCCTTCTTGTATATGGCCTGAGAAAGCCCGGTGGATAAAGTCAGTGATGGCCTCGCATGATCCTGTGTCCGGGTCTCCATTCTCGTCAGTGTTGATGGGCGTTTTGGTCCAGGCAACAAGATGAACCATTCCCACTTCCAGAGCATGAGGCCAATCATTTCGACGAATGCAGAAGTCAGATCTGTCTACGAACGGGGTACGATTCATAAATGTGAACACCGACTCTGATCGGTGAAGACTTAGGTACCAATTTGAAAGTAATATGTGCTTGACTATGAATTTTAGGACCGACCCGTATTGCTTGTCGTTTTTGATATGTCGGTGCCACATAATATAGTTGAATAGGTCTGATGGGGTGCGTCGCAGAAGAGACATGTCTCCACCCGCTGAAAGGAGCGAGCCATCCAATATCAGTATAACTTTGGAAATCTCGAGGAAAACAGTAACATGACACGGACTGACCGATTATTCTTTTATTATCCTCCCATGAATGAGGAACAAAACCAGCTTCGGGGGTCCGCAATACTTGCAGCCAGTTTCACTCAAGTCAAAAGGTGGATTCTTAATAATGTCGTCCAGATTCGGGCTAACAACCATCTTGACAGATTTGATAACAACCTTGTGTCTTTGACTGACTTATGAAATAAATTTCACCAAGCTTAACTATCAGGGTAAAATGTAGTCGTTCGAAATGAGTATGAGAAATAGGGGCGTTCAGGTTGTACGAGCCTCCGCCAATTCCAAGTTTGTCCGACACTTATTCAAGTTGCACAATTTTCAATCGACTCTGCGTGAACCGCGTGTTTGGTGACACCAACATATCGATACCTTCAAAGGGAACTTCTTCTCTAGAGTAAGCTTGCTTTGGTCATACCGGACATAAAAGCAATCTTTCATCCTCTATTGTCCAGTATACGAGTGTATGCGAAACCCGCGTGTAAATATTTTAGGTGAAATATGGCAGAGGTTTATCTGATATCTACTATTCACCCTGCTGCAGGTAAGGAGAAAGAGGTCAGTATTAAGCCCAATGGTATGCTATTTTACATATAACTACTAATCAGAAGACAATCATAGACTCGGGACATTCTCTGTCAAAGGATTGATCAAGTTTGTCCGGTCGAAAGAGGCTATTATACATTCATTCTCGCCGAATTACCCATGCCAAATGGTGGGACCGAGTTCAACGTCATTGAACGGTAAGCATCTCCTTGACATAGTTTACCTCAATCCATGTTCGAAGATCTTAGTTTCCTGGCAAAAGCCAGGCTCTATATTTGAAGGCAAAGCTTACAGACTGCAGATGGATCAAATCCGAGACTCGGTATATCGAATCTTAAAAGATGTTGAGGGAAAGAACATTCTGGAAGGAAACGAAAAGATACTAAAAGTGGCATTTGTTGCAGAATTTCCGTCGACCTAATTGAAAATTGTAGCAGATATTCGCAGTATTAAAAATACTCAATGCTGTTCCTCAGGTGGCAACTGGACATGAACAGCAGCCTCAGCACATGATCTATTTGCAGCATTCTTTGTAGCAATGTATGAAGTGACATGCCCCGGAACCTGAGCCACTTTATTTCCATCACTTGCAACTGGTTCTCCATATGTCTCCCAGACAGGGACCACACCCGTCCAGATACGACTAGTAACATCTCCATTCTCCGTATCCTTACGATCATCAGATACACCTCCATCGCGAATCTTCCCACTCCCATCGATGATCTTTACTTTGAGAATAACAGTTGACGACATTTCTGCTCGGTCGGGAGGCACTCGCGAATTATTCCAACGATCTGACACAACTGAGTTGGTGATCAGTTCCATTGCCCAGAGCTTTTCCTCTTCAGATGTGACAAGTTTAGCATATCCATGTAAGATCGCAGAGCGGTAGTTGTAGTTATGAGAATTTGGAGTGAGAGATAGAACTATCCCGTCCACTCTACTCGTCGCGATGCAGATAGGAAGGCCCTCTCCATCCCCATCCGAATTCCGCGCCAGGTTCATAATCCGCGAACTAACGTAGCCATGAAGATAGCACTCAAGAGTCTCATCAATTGTTGCTGACGGATAGTCAAATGAGCCCATTTGACCAATCATCGGTAGAATGGTTGGGAATGGGTCATCGGGGCCCGGATTGAACGATACATGCAGTACCTTGGAGTCGTTGACAATAGAGTGAATTGCACCCGAATCATATGTAGCTTTGCTAGTGTTAGCTATGATTAAGAGTTCTTTGTTCTTCCCCAGTATCACGAACCACGATGCTTATATCGATTCACGGTATTTGATGCCCGCTTCGGGTATGTCAACGTCCGGCCCATTTTGTCAGATTTATTGCGCAGAAGTCACAAGCACCGAAAGATAATAGAATATTACTTCCCACTTGGATGTAAAGTCTCTCTTAAATGTCAGATATTACGATTATGGTGATAAAGAATACAGAATAGGGTAAACTTGCGACGCGCTTCCAATTGCCTGTTTTGGGTATGTCCAGCCGACCCAATATCAACCCGCCACATGCGATTGGTCCCGTATACTTCGGTAGGCCAATGCGCGCCTCTAACGAGGCGGGGTTTTGAGGCTGCCTAGTAGGTAAGATTCTTGAGTATACTTTGAAGCAGTAATCTGCTTAATTCTGTTGGTCGCAAATTCGATGATTCTCGATGTTCCCACCCAAGCGAATAAGCAAATCGGCACAGCTGTTGGCTATCATCGCTATCCGAAACCTACTGCAAATAAGGCAAAGAGATCCGTTGGTGCATTTGATGATCGACGGACTACTATAGACAGCAGGATTAACTACAGGGAGTATCGATGTTTGCAAAATGCAGTTTGTACTATTATCCTATCACATTAAGCACTCTTAACGCTTCCTATAATCGGATTATCCCGTACTTTAGTATGTTTCATGTTGTAGTCCGGGATGTTTATTGTTAACCACCTACCGCATCAAATTTCGATCCAGTAAATTCTAGAATGGTAGCAATATTTTAATTCAAGTGTTGCAAATGACGTATGAAAAAGATAAATTCTACAGTATGTGGCTGTTCAACCTTGGAATGGGGGTGTGATGTTTTCCCAAGATAGGTGCGGCCTTCAACAACTAAACCATAATTGAACAGCCGAAAACTAGCTATACCAATTTCAATTCCGATATGCTCTACACGATGAGACAGAAAAAGAAACTCGACTTTCCCTCTCTTCCACCGTTTTTTCTTCTTCAACCCTCACACATTTGGAATATTCATATCAAACAGCACTGTAACTACCTCTATCAACATGTCCGACCACTGGAGCCACCTCACCACAAAGCCCACCAGCACAACGCCTGGATACCTTGGTGAAATCTACTCAGGCGAAACATACAGACCTAAATCTGGTAAGTTATTCTTCGTCAAGAAATAACCTGAGACTCAGAAATCTTATGAACTGACACCACACAGAGCCCTACTATGGTCCCAATCACCAACCACTGCCCGAGACTTTTGGGAAAGCAATGTCGCCCACAGAAGTGAAATATGTAGACAAGAGTCGCTGGGTTGCTATCAAAGAAGCATCCTGCGGATTGAAACTTGCCACCTTCATGACATTCTTTTTCATCATTGGCTGCACGATTGTCATTGTACTGATGGCTGTGGATATAATCCACGTACCACGTCGAGACCCGATCACGAAGACACTTAACTCGACGGATGTTGACTGGAAAGGACTCAATTCAACAGTCACAGCTTTTTCCAAAACGTCTGTTGTGGTATCGCCACCTGCCACTGCGGTCGTTATTTCTGAGCTTTCAATTGACGATATGGGATGTATTTCTAACGCCCAAGTCGGATTCGTGACAAAAGTTCGACCCGCACCAACTAAAGTGGTAAACACCCACCATTAAATATGTATCGGTGTGACGCAAGCGTTGAAAGCCAAGTTAATCGTGTAATATGAAGAAATTGATGAATTGGAAGTGATGTTAGTTGGTGTTTGGTTGATCATTTTATTGTCCATGTGTCGTTGTTTGTTTGCAATTCTGTTCATGATATTCCAAGTTTAACGGTGTCTGGTTTGTCCGCTCTTCTAGAAGTTTTTATGTTTCTTGTCTGCCCTTTCTTTTATACACTTTCAATCACAATAAAGATCAATAACATTTCGTATCATACATCTTCTAATCATACAAGCTCCTGTTACTAGCCGACGGGTCTTGAAATTTTGATCTCATTCACGGTCGATTTGGGGGCGGTTTGTTGAACCATTTCAACTGCGGAGCTATGAAGCTATGCTCCATCTTGAACGCGTCTGTGTGTTCTCAAGCACCAGGCCAGGGCTACCGAGCCACACCAGCTTGCCGGATATCGCAAGTTAGGTAGGGGTGCGCGGAATTTCCCTGTTGTGAACTTCTCGGAAATGTAAAAAGAAATGAAGCATGGGCACTGCATGGTTATTTGTCCCAGTAAAAACGAAAAGAAATGCGGTCATATATGCCAAGGTTGCAAATACCACGAACCCTTAATGCTGTCATCATCCGGAATGATCGACCATGTAATTTATCTTCTGAATCAATTCCCCAATACCATAAGGTTTATGGATAACATCATCCATTTTGGAGCTGAGAAGTTCAGCGTCCTGTTCCGCTCTAGCATTCGCTGTCACGCCGAGTATCGGAACATGGGAGCAGCTATCCTGCTCCGTGTCACGGATTGCCATTGATGCTGTGCAACCATTCATCACTGGCATCTCTTGGTCCATAAGTATACAGTCGAATGTATTTTCCCGAGCTGCGTCCACTGCTTCTTGTCCATTGGTTGCTTCTGTAATGTGGAAACCTGCGGATTTCAACTTCTTCGAAAGAATCCGCCTGTTTATGATATTGTCTTCAACCAAGAGAATGCGATAGCCCGTATCTCTCTGTTCGCGACCGATATTATTTGAGGTTTTTTGATGGCGATCTACCTCTTCTTCCGAGACCTGCCTTGCTATATTACCTGAATGCACAGTTCTGTGGTCTGGAGTAGCTCCGGGTTCTGACTCTCCGACCCAAGTCACGTGTGGATTCTCAGAGATGACGGGCTGTTCGGTGGTTTGATTTACCCCACTGACTTCGTTCCCCAGTCCTTGAATACCGGAGACGAGCTGATCAATTTGAGAAGTATTATCCCGCCCAGATTCATCACCACTCCCTGGATCGGCCCGGCGCACCTTGAAAAAGAACCCAAAAGTGCTCCCATGCCCCTCTTTCGAGCTTACCCCGATTTCGCCTCCGTGGACATGACATAGCTTTCGGCAAACATTCAAACCAAGTCCGGAGCCACCGTAAACACTCTCCGTCTTGGGAGTCGCTTGGTTGAAGCGTTGAAATAGCTTCTTCTGGGCGAGATCGCTGATGCCGATACCCGAGTCCTTGACAGCGACCATGATATATACGATCTCGCCAGACCCCCACTCGGGCGTATTTGTTGCATCTTCCTTCAATGCTGCCTTCCCGGAGTCAAAGAACACCACGTTTGGTGGATATGAGGTAGGTCTGTCTATCGCTGCTCCTATCGAAACTCTGATCATCCGCTCATTTTTTGATTGCGATGTGAATTTGACAGCATTCGACAGTAAATTGACAAGAACCTGTCCCATCCTGTCGAGATCAGCCATGGCCCAGTCAATTTTCGATTCATGATAAGACAAATCGGCTTTGTATTCGAACTCGATATGCTGCTTCCGGAGCTCGGGTCGAAAAATAGCAAGTGGCTTTGCCAATTGCTTTTGGGGCTGGACACTTCGTGGTGATAGTGCGAGCATCGAAGCATCAAGTTTTGAAAAAGTAAGAACATCATTGACGATTTTCTTCTGATGGGAAACGCAAAGACCGATCGTCTCTGCGGCCTCGGCAATGTCATATTTTGGGATTTCGGTCGCCTTCTGGTTTACAGCCTCAAGAATATCCTCTGTGCAATGTAAAATGGCCGAGAGAGGATTTCGGACTTCGTGACTGATCATATCGATGAAACGCTCTTGCTGCTTCTTAGATTCTTGTGCCGCTTCTGCCGCCTTCCGTTGAACGATCTCAGCAACCTTGGTTGATGTTATATCCGCAACTGTACAAACAAACCCGCCCTTTTCATCCAACCCGAAGCATCGAAGGTCTGCACTTTCCAACCTTTCTAGAATAAGTGAGCACCATAAGCCTTTCTCGTCAGAGATACGGTATTCAGTGCGAAGTGTGCTTCCATTATTTGATGCTTGCTGAAACTCTGCTACCGCTCGTTTATAGTCATCTTCGCAGACCGAATCTAGCCAACAATCACGGAAATTTGATTTGAAGCATGGTATTAGCTGTTGGAATCGACGACTCGCGGATATCAACTCGTATTGGTGATTGAGTACGGCTACTCCGTTCGGTAGGATTTCAACCAGTTGTTGTGCTGAAACATTTGCATCGAAACTCAAAGACATTGAACTTTTTTCCGGGAGATAGTCACAGTCTAGCGCTAAGCTTCAATGGAAGTACTGAACGGTTCAGGCTTCGAAAAATCGCGGGGTACGTTGGGTGGAGATGGATCAGTCGGATCGCACTGTATGCGGATAGATTCAACGTCACTCGGATACAAAGGGCGATGTTCGCTGGGTGAATCGGACTGGCGCTGCGTACTCGTGAGAGATGATTATAGGAACGGCGAGAGTTGCGATTAGAAAGTTCAGTTATGACTTCAAGAACTTCATCTTATCCACTTAGCATTGGGCGAAGGCGAATTAGCCTATGGGACGCCGTTGGGATTCCTTTTCCCAAGTTCTGATCATGATGTCATTGTGGAGTGCGACCAGACACTTTTTGCCCTTTTCGGACTCACGCGACGTCGGAAATTCTAAATTCCAATGTTTCTGTGGGTTTATTTTGTCTCTTAAGTCCAGAGTAACTATTAAAATGTGATGTCGATGCCGCCATGCGGTAAAATGCGGATGAATAAAGGGAAGTCACAATTTGTAGTGATTGTGCTTTGCCTCCTCTGCCATGGCTGGCTAAATATTTGACTTTAGCGAGATTGTGAGACTCCAAAAGACTCCATTTTCTTCAAGTTTTGAAGAACTTTTCAAAGGCTATACTCACGAATCAACCATCATAGGAACAGGGCAAATGCCATCCCCAGCATACTTAGGCAAGTAAAGTATGAATCATTAACGAAAAAGGTGCATTCTCGGTCAAGACCAGTACCAAATTGACATATCTTTACCCACGCATCTCTTCTTATTCGTTTAGATATTTGGCACTGGTCTGTATTCTGAAGCAGTTCGCAATTAAGCAACTTAAAGCGCCATAATGTTAACTTCAACAGCCTCAGTCGCGCTCGGACCATCTCCTTGATTAGTACAATGGAGAGACCCCGGGATTGCCCAGCATATCTATTTATCCACCAATCAAAGCTACAAAATGAAAAACATAGGGACATCTGGAGTAATCAAACCCGTACATTTAACCCATTGCCGCCCACAAATCTGTCCATATTGAATAGATAGGCCGCAACAATGAGTTTCACGAACCCAATCATTCCGGGCTTCAACCCTGACCCTTCAATCGTGCGAGTCGATGAAGATTATTTTCTAGCCACCTCGACCTTTGAATATTTCCCAGGGATCCCCATATATCATAGTAGAGATCTGATTCAATGGAAATTAATTGGTCACGCATTGACAAGAACTTCTCAGCTTCAAATCCACACTCCAGAACCCGGTGGTGGTATCTGGGCCCCAACATTGCGTTACCATAACGGGAGATTCTATGTCACTGCTGCGAGCTTTTCTCGTTATCGCCCACAAGAAGATGATCGCGTCTGGCCGCAAGGGTTCTATGTTCAAACCACAAATATTTGGAAAGATAATTCTTGGTCGGACCCTATTTATTTCGATCAGGTCGGATTTGATCAGGATGTAAGTGAGCCCTATCATTGCTATAAAATATGAGAAGAATGCCGTCTCGAGATTTTAATTAACAATCATGAAAGCTTTTTTGGGACGACGATGAAACCGTTTATCTTTCATCTACTTATCGAAAACTTCAACCAACTCCTGGTGTCAAGCTCAAGGATTTCGCCGTTCACATTTGTACCGTTGACTTGTTAACCGGCCACTCAACATCTGAGCCAAAACTAATTCGCGAATCAAATTCCGGGGTAGCAGAAGGGTCGCACATCTTCAAACGTGGTCGCTACTACTATCTGCTCACGGCGGAAGGTGGAACCGAGAGTGGTCATTGCGAATGGGTAAGTAGAAGCACTCATGGCCCCCTTGGCCCATGGGAGCTTGGACCGAATAATCCTCTTTGGCGCAATGGGCTAGACGATGAAGTTCAAAATACAGGCCATGCAGATCTGGTTCAAGATGCTCAGGGGCAATGGTGGGCAGTACTGCTCGGAGTTCGACCCGTGCGACGAGACGGTCGATGGGAAGAGTCTGTCTTCGGTAAGTCCCAGAAACTGCATAATTTTGAATATTTGCTAATCAACTTTTAGGTCGTGAGACTTTTCTCGTTCCTGTTCACTGGGAGGATGACTGGCCCATCATCAATGAGGGCAAGAAAATCGCTCTTCAAGCAACGGGGCCTGGCCTGTATCGCCATGTGATAGATCTCGCCTGGCGAGACGATTTTCATGATCCCAAACTACAATTAGGATGGTATAGAAAGAGTAAGCTTTATATCATGCTCTCCAAGTCCAGTGTAGCTAATAAACGCAAGATACACCACTAACAACGGATTACACATTAACCGAGCGACCTGACTACCTTCGACTATATGGAGGACCATACAGTCTTTCTGTTCCATCCAGCCCGACAATGTTCTTGCGAAAACAGACCCATCCATTCTGTACATGGGAGACAAAATTGTCTTTCGTCCCGACATCTGCGCATACCGAAGCGGGGACTGTACTATGGTGGAACCATTTCACGTACAGCTCATTGGGACTGCGTAAGATTGGGGAAAATCAAATTATTAGATTTCGTTCATCGGAGGATACAATTGTGGAGCATAAGTTATCGTTAACAACAGAAGTTGTACTTGTTGTTGAATGTGGCGATCAATACCGATTTGGATATCGCGAAGCAACAAAGTCTGATATTATTTGGATTGGCACTGTGGATAACCAGATTGCAACTGAATCACCACCGGTAGGGGCACCTTTTACTGGAATGATGCTTGGGCTTTATGCATTTGGCGAACGGCAGCGATGTCTGGCACCAGCGGATTTTGAATATGCTGAGTTTCGTTAAGAATCCTAAGATGTGGATCGGAATGAATTGATCAAATATTTTCTTAATCTTGCATATGGCAATGTCAACATCATTGAATTTCAATTATCATATCAGTGGCCTGATATAGTGGAGGCTGGAGAGGCTGAAGAGGTTCCGGGAATACCGTACCGTAACTGTTATGACAATACACTCACGCGCCTGTCCAGGTGTGTGGAGATCTCCGTAACTCCGAGTTCTTCAAACTCTGCCAAGATGCATTTCTAAGCAAAACCATTGGTTCACACAACCCAATCTTGTCGTCAGTGGCTCGCATAAAGACAGGCTTGCCTCCCATTTCCTCTTTCCCCTTCTCCCTCAGATCACTCTCACGGCATTGCTGACATCCTAGCGCTGAACCCGACACAATGGCTACTTCTCCACAGCCTAAGACCCCTCAGTCGATCCCCGATGCAGACGAGGATATCAAGACCACAGACGATTGGGCGGGTCTCACCGATCCCGCAGAGCGTCGAAGGCGCCAAAACCGAATTAACCAAAGGGCGCGCCGTAAGTTGACTTCCGCTTACGCGCACAATATAACATACCATGAAATCAGGATTAAGGCTTATTCTTCATATAGGGAGACGTCAACGTTTACAAGCCAACAAAGATGTTCATCCCAAGAGCGTGATAACACCTTCACCGTCTCCACCTTCCTCGGCTATAGTTCCCTTAGGTCTGCCGCTGAGCCAAACACTCGAGGAGGTTGGTTGTATGAACTCCGCTAGGCGGCAAATACTTCGCCAATTCGCTCAAAATGCATATCAAAGCTATATTCACGGCTCCCCAACTGCTGACCATCTTTTAATGTTGACAAAAGTCAACGTCTTTCGAGCATTCGCGCACAATATCCGCCTAATTGGCGGTGATCTCAACCACATGAACGATGAGGCAATATCAATATTTAACAAAGCACTACCATCACCGCCCGACGGATCACCATCAGATCGAAGTATAGACATGCCAGTTAGTCTACTTCCTACAAAGATACAAAAAACGATCCCCCATCATCCATGGCTCGACTTCTTTCCTATCCCCAAAATGCGAGATAACCTCATTCAAGCTGGCGATGACTGGGATGATGAGGAGCTTTGTCTTGACATTATGGGATTTTGGAGTAATTCATCATCTACTGAAGCGGGTCTTTTAGTCTGGGGCGATCCTTGGGATGTCAGGAATTGGGAATTGACTGAACCTTTTTTGAAGAGATGGCAATGGGTTGTAAGGGGGTGTCCGGAGATAATGAATTCCACGAATGCTTGGCGAGCAAAACGTGGGGAGAAGTTGATTTTCCGATATATATAGAAATCAATTGAGCTGAAGCAATTCAGATATTGAATAAAGCTATAGTTGTATACATTAGAATCTGTGCGACATCATGAATTAATTTGTCTAACGGGTGGATTGCTGGTGGGCCTTGGTATACCCGCCAATGCAAGTTGCTGACAGGCTTTAATCGGAGATACCTTAAATCAGCCAATAATATTGGCCAAATGAGGTAATTTAAGTCCGGTTAAAGACCCTGGAAGATGTAAAAGTACAGTACATACGTGTATTTACGAGACTTGCAGACATCAATAGACCCTCCAGGGCTGACTTACTTGAAGATCAATACATGTCATTATCTCTGAGAGAGTATGTATGAGCTGTTAAGTCGGAGTTTCATTAATATAGACGATGAGTCAAACTTAAACATCGAATACGAAAGGAAGTACAAAATGGCTTGGCACCTGAAAGCTCGATGAGTTCCAGGGCAACAACTTTAACCACGGAATCAAAAAGAATAAAGTTGTCAAGCTGCTAGTCGGAGTACTCGGTGGTAGGAGAATAAAACTGTCAGAGCCGTCATATCTGTTGTCAAAGCTCTTCTTTACGGGGTTTGGAAAGCAAACTCGCAGAGATTACTCCCAGAACTTCAGAAAAAATAGGGATTTCACTGTTCAACTTGTTCAAAATTCATTGGCTGAGGAGATGTGATAAATATCCATTCTAGCTTTGCTAATTTATTTTATTAAGAAAAAAAAACAATCTTGGCTTATCTAGCTCGCGTGTGAGTCTGTTAATTTTAACACCTCTAGAACAACATGTTTTAGTTTAGCCCCCAACTCTGGAAGGCCACCTTATCTTATGAGCCTCAAACCTTAATATAAAAGGGTCCGCATGGAACGCCTAACTGACAATGCCCCACACATTCTCAGGACATCATATCTCAATACAAAAATATGGTGAATAATCATCGCTTTCGCATTTCTCTAATATTTCTTGGAATCCTTTCTCTTTTCTTTCTAGTTGCTCCAATAACAGCAGATGGCCAGGAAGAGGGTACGTCCCTATATGCGTATCGAAGAGGCTGGCGAACTTGGTACAATAGCCTACTGGTACCGCCCGACATGGCTTTTCAGGCCGAGGACTTCTATAATGATCCTCTGTATGAAGAGGCAGACCAACACGGGACTATGATTCATAACCCGAAGAAGGTTGCCATAATTGGTAAGTTGCCTATTCCACAGCGTATGAGTGATGTGAAATAAGATGAAGTAAGACTTATTGAACTAGATATTAGTTGGGAAAGAGTAAACTTGTGACTGACTCGGACTACAATTCAATTATAGGCAGCGGGATTGCGGGTATATCTATTGCAAATTCCTTTCCTCCAGACTCGAACATCGTTTATACACCACATGCAACTGTCTTTGAGCGAGAGTCCTATATTGGAGGTCGAGCACGCACGGTTATGACATACGACAACTACGCAGAGACGGGCCATGAAATCGCAGTAGGGGGTGATGGGTTCGATTACGATGACAGATGGATCATTTGGGATAGCAGAAGTGTAGGAGTAGATCTCACCAGGCTGAGCGTCCACACCAATTATCGGTTGGACAGTGTTGGCGTGTGGGATGGAGAGCAATTGAATTTTGGTAAGCCTGATGGACGTCCTTCGGATTCAGATCTGATGCGCATGGCTTGGCGTCGGGGTGAACCTTTAAATCTCTGGGAAATGGTTGCCAATCAATTACGGGATAAAGGCCTCAATGACGAGAAAGACATCTTGGCATGGCATGCAGTCACCACTGCACTGATTAATCAAAACAAATCGCCCAAAAACACGCCAACCGAAGCCGATTTACGGAAATTTGCAAAAGACTGGGGGCTCACATTGCGCCCAAAGAAAAAAGCCGAGGGCGGAAATGAGCGATTCCTAAAACGAATGTTACGTATGTCTGAATCGTCTTTGAACCTCAATTCCACAGTCACTCGTATCAAAAGATATGAAGACCTCACATTTGATGTGCACTGGTCATACAAAGCCCCCAATGGGACAATCGAAGAACACATCGATCGATATGATGCGGTCATTATTGCTGCACCTTTCTATGAAACCGGAATTGCGATTGAGCCCCCTCTTCGCAACCCTCCAGAGAAAGTGGATTATACGCACCTCCATGTCACAAGTTTTATATCTCGCTTGCCTTTAGATCCAGAAACTTTCAATATGTCTCCAAGAGATGAGGTGCCACCGAATGTATGGCACATACCAGATATCGATTTGAACCTAATCAACGAAAGCTCAATATCTTCAAATTCAATCTCGCCACCACCCTTCATCGCCCTGAGGACAATAGAGGCAACTCATCGTGATGGTTATTTTCCAGAAATTAAAAACATATACCGCATCATTTCCGACCAGCCAATCACCGACGACGATATTGCGAAGCTCATCATAAGATCGGGGGTGGCTCGAAGAAATGTCACATTTCCGGACCAAAGTTGCTGGCCGTTAACTCCAAGCAGTGAGTCTCTATATACGCCTTGGCCCGTCTCTTACGACGGACACGTTAGAAGAGCAGGCTGTGTGAAAGAGCCCGATGTTCGTTGGATTCATCGGCAGTACTGGGACCATGGCTCGCCCAAGCTAAATGATACTGCTCAGAAAAATAGGAGACAGAAGGAAATTGCTCCGCGGTTATTCTACATTTCAAGCTTTGAGGGAGTCGACGGGGCTTCTATGTCGCAGAGCATCAAGCATGCTCAGTTGTTGATAATGGATTATCACGCGGCACATTCTATAAATCGTTAAGTTTGCATTCCTCATGGCCAAATTTATGCAATCCACACGCGAAAATGTATAATAAATATCACTTTTACATGTGCACGCGTTATTTGGCGTTTGAAGGAATGATGGAATTCAATTAATAGGGGTCAGATGTCTCTTCCAAGGTTTCACCTGATCTATTTCTATTATTTCTTTAAAAAGTTCCTCATGATTTTACCATATCATCATACTATGTAGTGTCTTGTCACAAGGAAAGCTCCCTTTGACATGTGAAACTCGGGTCGTGTTCTTATCTGATCCGATCCAGTTCGCAGTTTGTGCCTCAGGTTCCGAGCCGCTCAACTCCGATGCCCACGGGTTGATGTTTAAAACAAGCAATTTGTCTCGAATATCATGAGACAAGAAATGAAAATGTTGAATTCAGATACTCTGCCTACTGACCCTCCATAACTTCCACTCTTTGTGGGTATCTACCAAGACAAACTAACTTACAATATGCATACACATTGATACTCAGCCCATACACTAATAAGCCAACGACAGGCAGTTAAGATGACAAGACATACCTAAAGCTCAAAAGTGTGAACAGTAACTTTGAATTTCCTTCAGCCGAGGCTCATATTTTGGGGAGTTCGACCTTCTAGAAAGTCGGTAAATTATTTCCAATGACGCGACACCGGCCATTACCGCGACTCCTGATCAGGTGCTCAAGTGGCGATCCCTCTACTGCGTTAATAGGCTGAGACCCTAAGACCCGACTTCGGTGACGCCAGTCTAGGTAAGCTGACCCCGGGAAGGCCCCAGCCGACACCCACTCGGCTTCCCCCGCAACCCCCTCTAATGGATGGAACAATGAGGGGGAATAGGCATTGGCAAGATGGAGAAATGAACTAACGAGTCACAAATGAGGGAAATATCCCAGTAAAACCTCTAGGACCATTCTAAGATCTGTGTAGATTAAAGAAAGAATCGGCGAAATCGGTGATCTTCGGTCAGAGTGTATCGTCTCTGATTGGCTGATGTTCGGGGCCGAGGCAATTACCGCATTGGGGGCTGCGAATCCCTCGGTTTACGTCGCTCATTCATGGTTGTGCTGGTCTGGGGCCCCATAGTTATAATCTCCTCCCCCAAGTTTCAGTTCAGACTTCTTCTTTCGTTTTATCCAATCCGACCCTTGCCAATTACCCTTTCCCTCATCACACAAAATGCCATCTCCTCCACCCGACTGGGTCAAGGCTCTGAAGCCTGCAGGCCCGCAGGGTTCCGAGCTGCTCGCTCAAGAGCGAGCCCAATCCAATGTCAACGTTGAGAAGCTGTCCGAGTACCTTCACACCAAGGCTGCGCTGGAGAGGCAAGATAAGCTGGTGGCTCTGCTCCAGCCCGAGAAGGTCTTCGACAAGTCACAAAATCACTCTCTGGGTCGCGTGGAGCGTCTGCAGCGATCACTCGCCAAGGCCAAGCGCCTGCAACAAATAGCTGAGGAGCACAAATGGAACATGGAGGAGCTTCACACTGCCAATGAGCTTATTGGCGAACCTACACCTTATGGCCTGCATGCGAGCATGTTCTTGGTATGTCTCCCCGACGCAGCACCTCCTACAGACACGGAAACAAGCGGCTAATCCCACTCCTTTTTTTTTATTATCTAGGTGACCCTCCGCGAACAAGGAACCCCCGAACAACACAAGCTATTCCTCGAGCGTGCCCAGAAGTATCAGATCATCGGTTGTTATGCCCAAACCGAGTTGGGTCACGGATCCAACGTCCGTGGTCTCGAGACCACCGCCACCTGGAACTCCGACGACAAGACCTTCACCATCAACTCCCCGACTCTGACTGCCTCGAAATGGTGGATTGGTTCTTTGGGTCGCACTGCCAACCACGCCGTTGTCATGGCACAGCTGTTCATCGATGGCAAGAGCTTCGGTCCTCACCCATTTGTGGTTCAGGTCCGTGACCTCGAGACTCACCAACCATTGGAGAACGTTTACGTTGGTGATATTGGTCCCAAGTTCGGTTACAACACCATGGACAACGGCTTCCTTCTGTTCAACAAGGTTAAAATCCCTCACGTCAACATGTTGGCCCGCTTCTCTCGCATCGATAAGGACACCAACAAGTACCTTCGTCCCGCTTTGCCAACCTTAGTTTACGGTACTCTGACCTGGGTGCGCTCCAACATTGTTCTTCAAGCTGGTGGCGTTTTGGCTCGTGGTGTCACTATTGCGACTCGATATGCCGCCGTTCGCAGACAATTCCAGGACCGTGATGCGGAGCCTCACGCTGGTGAGAACCAAGTGCTCAACTATAAGATGGTGCAGGTTCGCTTACTACCGCTGCTCGCATCTATGTACGCTCTCCACTTTACTGGTCGCGGCATGATGGCTCTGTATGAGCAGAACCAGAGCCGTATGAAGGCTGCTTCATCACCTGGCCAGGACTCTCGTGGGGCTGGCCCCGAGGAGCTCCGCGCTGGTGCCGACCTGCTGGCAGATCTGCACGCTACCTCTTGCGGCCTGAAGGCACTTGCCAGTACTACCGCTGGAGAGGGTCTCGAGGTCTGCCGTCGTGCCTGCGGTGGCCACGGTTACAGCAGCTACAGCGGTATTGGCCCTTACTACTCTGACTACCTCCCTACTCTCACCTGGGAGGGTGACAACTACATGTTGACCCAACAGGTCGCCCGCTACGTAAGTATTCGTCCTTTTCTCTTTTCAGTGAAGCCTCTCTTTATGCTAACCATCAATACAGCTGCTCAAATCAGCCCGTGCTGTTCTTTCCGGCAAGTCTGCTGACAACGACACATCCCGCATCCTCCGCAACTACCTCAACCGCCGCGACAAGGGTGCATCTTTCGATGTCCTCGAGGAGGACGCCGACATTGTCGCTGCTTTCGCCTGGCGAACAGCCCACCTCACCTTTGAGGCCCTGAAGCACCGCGACGCCGAGAAGCGCTCATGGAACAGCCTCCTGGTTGACTTCTGGCGTCTATCGACCGCTCACTCCCAGTACCTGGTAGTCAAGAACTTCTACGAGGCCGTCTCCTCACCTCAGCTCGCCTCTGCCTTGGACCAAGACACCAAGTCTCTGATGCACTCTCTCTTCCGCCTCTACGCCCTTTACACCCTCGAGCGCGAGGCCGCCGAATTCTTCTCCTCCGGTGCTGTCACCGTGCGCCAAATCACACTGACCCGCACCACTGCCGTGATGAAGTTGCTAGATGAGATTCGCCCTCACGCCGTGCGCTTGGTCGATGCCTGGGCTATCCCAGATTGGCAATTGGACAGCAGTCTGGGTCGTTCTGATGGACAGGTCTATGAGGATCTCTTCCGTCGCGCAAGTCAGGAGAACCCCGTTAATGATTTGACGTTCGATCCCTACCCCTGGAACAAGGCTCTGCTCAAGAATGAGCCCACCAAGAGCAAGTTGTAAATTTGAGGTTTTTATTCTATGATGTGTTATTTTTTTGGGATATAATTATGTTTTATTTTGGGGTTTAAATAGATTTAAGACAATGCTAGATCTTCTACGGTGATGCCGCAAAATATATGAATAACCTATTTATCTACCGTTCTCTTGTATATTTTCTCGATTATTGAGTATTGACCTCATTTCTTAACTCCTACGAGAGTTCTAGCTGAATAAATAGAAAAATGAACGCCTTACCTCTCCAATGCCGCCAAAATCAACACCAAAGGACCACTTCCCCTAGGACCAACATCCCCAAGGCCAACATCCCCAAGGCCAACATCTGTATGGGATCGACTGAACAGATAGTTCTTGATTCCCCCGAAAGGACGCATTACATGATTGCCCCCACTAATCTATCTCTGGTCGTCCATAGAATACTTATACTAGTATATTTACTGCGGCTATAATATTAATATGTAGGCGCCCTTTCTTGCCACTTTTGGGGAAGACGTGCATCAGAATGGATACACACATCTTTCTTCTCTATATACTTCAACCATGAACCCTCTACTAGTATTGTATCATTTCTCGCAACTGAATCGAAGACACTCCGCTGTCGCAGAGAAATCAGACTAGCCAATGGTGTTGATCTCTGGAAATTTTCTTACCGGCCTCTTTTCATTGTGAATAGGACAAGAGTTAATGCCCTCGAACAGCGTTACAGTCCATTTCGTGGAGTATTCTTTCGCTCATGCTGTTGGGAGGTACTTTCCTATGTCGTGAACTCTCCCAAGCAGAAGAGGCCGCACCTATTCAAAGAGATCGAATTTACCCATCGCCTGTATAACTTGCAATATTTTGCGGAGCAAACACCGTTTGACTCTGCACAGAATGCTGGAAAACTTGAAATTTGGGGACGGTGAAAATTTTCTTAATTTATACAACCTTCACGTTGTATGGAGCAACGTACAGGCTGCATTAGACGCCACGTACCGAATTTCTCTCCCGGTCCCTTTTAAGACAAGATACCGACTTCAAATCGTCAAAGCAAGTGGTGAAACGCTACATTCCCGCAGCGAAATGCCGCAGAGTAACAGCTTCATTTTCACTTCCTTTCATGACTCTATCGACATTTGTGTACGAGGGAATTGGCATAGGCCGGATGAGGGCATATGGAAAAGTCTATGCTACTAAGCTCCGAGCTCTAGGAGGAATTCAACTTATTCGCAGTCGATTCGGCGTGGGTTTTTCAACCATCAAATTCAAGGACAATAGAGTCTGGGGTGAATGGTTTGGCTCATACCATCAACAATCTGATGATGTGCTCCTTGAGTGGGATGACCCAAACAGAAGTTGATCTTTCATTACAGCGTAGGTTGAAATATGTTCCGTCTCTACTCAGCCCCCAGCCTAACAGAAGTAGAAACGCTCCGGGCAAATTTCAGAAGTGATGCTAATGTCGCGAGGCTCTAACTAATTTGCCTTCAGCACAGCTACGAACGAGTCATTTTAATTGAATTTGTGTATTGAGTTTTGGTTTTTGTCGTACTTGCAAGTATATCATGATATTCTCTGACGCCGCAGATCACACATACATGTATCTGTTTCATTATCTACTGTCTACTTCAATTTGAATACTTTTCTCTCGGAAGCCAAATTATTTGAGCGCCTGATGGAGTAAACTTCTTAGTGGGCCAAGGTTTTTAAGATATCTTCAAACAGCGGCAGTCTTCATTTGAACAATGTCATTATGATACTTTACAGTTCCAACAGGCCCGTACATGTATAGATCTCTACCTCTCTCGGTCTAGGCTGATATAAGACCCTGTACTGGCGGATAGAGAGTGACTAAAATGGTAATAGCCCGGCGGTGCGCCCCGGTAGAAATGTAACGATAATTAACCGAGCGAGCGCAACTAAAATGTGGAGTACGATCACAAAGCGTCTTGTTCGTTTTGATTGAGGGACACCTGTTTTTCGACAATTGAGTTATATGCATTCTCGTTTCCTGATGTTCAACTAGCTAACTGATCGGCGTTCCGAATTTGTGGCGTCAAGCCATGCGTTCTTTCTCCTTCAATCGGCGCTACGGCACGCCACGCCATCACGGAGGCCAAGCGGGCCGGGTGCAAGAGTCTCTTGGCGCTATCTGGGAGTAATTAATCGTACATTCATCACTTGATATTTGGGAGTAAGGTAGTTCAATATTTTGCCAGTGAATTTTGGAGCATTCTTTTGAATGGAGATGTTCATGTGCTGGCGACGCGGTAACATGCTCATTCAACTAAATAGTACATAGCACATAGTACATACTAGTTTGAATGTACTTCGCAACTGCCAGATACACCAGGGCTCTAAAGGAGTTGTAAAAACTATAATAAATGAACTTGAAGTTGACTCAGATAGCACTGGAATTTTGAGGCGAGTTTCCGATTGGCCCTCGATAACCCAGATTTGGGAGGAATAAAGACTGCCCCATAAATCCTGTTCATGGATGACCTTTCCCCAGAACAAATACCCAAGACCATAGTATTCTCCCCCGCATCAAAGGTCAACATGGGGAAATTAATGTACATTTCAACAGCTATTTAGTTTCTAAAAGCCCAACTGTCAGAAAAATCATTTAACAAGTTCTCGTATCATGACGTCGGCATGCCGATGCAGCCACCACCAAAAACTGCGGGCCGGTCTACATCCACTCCGTATACAAACTTCAAGTTAAACGCATCATCAGAAACAAAAATCCCTCGGATTAGGAAGCCGGGACCATCTTTTCCTAGAAACGAATCAACCTACAGAACTCGGTAAAAGACCATGATCATCTGAAACCTGACTTACTCCAGTTCCACCCGGTTAAAAAGCTCGATGCATCGGTTAAAAGCAAGTCAACCCGAACCGAGCATTTCCCCTCCTCAAATTACCCCGACGGGCCCTCTATTACCCACATCCCCACCCAATGACGCATCGTCCTTCCCCGAGGTTTCCACCCCCAGGTCTCCTCCACAACACCCCCGGATGATCCCTCCTGTTTTCAAGCCAATGGACCGGTAACAATTGTGCCATCCCGCTACGCTACTCCCGTTTATTGCGTAGCCCAAGCCTGATTAGAGCCACCCCGAGAATGGCGCATTGACCCGTGGATCCCGAAAACCAACATATAAAGCGGTTGAATCACTTATTTTATTTCTTTCTTTTGGAGTTCAAGTCTCGGAGACATCGCAATTATGTATCGGGTCTCGAACATATATGGTAGGTCTTTGTTAAATCTGTCATGGGTGACACTTCAGACTAATTCTTTCTAGTACTCGCCGCATTTGGCACCATCGGCGGAGGGCTCTTCGGGTTCGATGTCAGGTACGGAGCCTTCTTGATGGCCTTATGGAAACATTTTAACCAAGTGGTTTGCAGCTCGATGAGCGCCTGGATTGGAGTCAAAGCATACACCGATTATTTTGGAAACCCCGACTCAAACCTTCAGGGAGGAGTATGTACACTGACTGATCTTTGTGATTTGATACCAATGGCTAATTTTCTCGTCGGTATAGATTACTGCCTCTATGTCGGCCGGTTCATTCGCCGGTTCAATCGCAGCAGGATGGATTTGTGATTATCTCGGTCGCCGCCGATCATTGATGATTGCCTCTTGGATTTGGATCATTGGCGCTATGATTCAGTGCAGCGCCCAAAACGTCACACACTTGGTAGCCGGTCGCGTCGTGAGCGGTCTTTCCGTTGGTATTACTTCCTCACAAACCCCGGTTTACATGTCGGAACTTGCGCCCGCCCGGATTCGAGGTCGAATTGTCGGGGTTCAACAATGGTCTATCGAATGGGGCATGTTGATCATGTATCTCATTGCGTATGGCTGTGCCGTGGGTATCTCAGGTCCTTCAGCATTCCGGATTTGCTGGGGTATCCAGGCTGTTCCAGGGCTCGTGTTGTTCATTGCACTGTTTTTCTTCCCCGAGTCCCCACGTTGGTTAGCTGGGAAAGAGCGCTGGGAGGAGGCACTCGATACACTGGCTCTGCTTCACGGTAATGGTGATCGCCATGATCCCGTTGTTCAGGTGGAATTTGAGGAAGTACAAGAAGCTGCCCGAATTGCCCACCAAGCAAAGGATGTTTCATTCCTAGCATTATTCGGGCCTAATATCTGGAAACGGACTCTATGCGGTGTCAGTGTGCAGGTTTGGCAGCAGTTGCTTGGCGGAAATGTGGCCATGTACTATGTTGTATACATCTTCGAGATGGCTGGAATGGTAAGTTATGACACCTGTCTTGCTCTACAACATCTTTTAACATTTATCAGACTGGAAACTCCTCGCTCTACTCAGCCGTCATTCAGTACGTTATTTTTGTCTTCACGACAGGTGTCATGCTTCCTTTCATCGACAGAGTCGGCCGCAGACAGCTTCTGTTGATAGGATCCGTCACTTGCATGGTTGTTCACGCCGTCATCGCCGCCGTGATGGCCACGAAGGGCCATGCTGTACCTTCTGTGAATGGTAACGCCAATCTTACCTGGGAAATCAAGGGTGGTGCTGGCAAGGCAGTCATCGCCTTCTCATACATTTTCACTGCCATCTATGGGTTCACTTGGGTATGATTAATTCCAAGCCAACTATAATCCCAGTTTCAGTAACTGACAAATATCAATAGGCCCCTACCGCGTGGATTTACGCGTCCGAAGTCTTCCCCTTGAAATACCGCGCCAAGGGAGTCGGCCTCTCAGCATCTGGAAACTGGATTTTCAACTTCGCTCTAGCATACTTCGTTTCTCCTGCCTTCCACAACATCCAATGGAAGACCTATGTGATCTTCGCCGTGTTCTGCTTTGTCATGACCTTCCACGTTTTCTTCTTGTACCCCGAGACTGCGGGACGTACCTTGGAGGAAATCGATATTGTCTTTGACACTAATGTCAAGCCATGGAGGACTGGTCTGATCGAGAATAGATTCGAAGAAGAGGTTGAGAAGCACGAGGGTGGCGTGAAGGAAGTCGAAGCAGTGGATCACAAAGAGGTTGTCTAGCACCTTGCAATTGAACAAATTAAGATACCATATGTGTATGAGATATATGAATACAGAAATGAATTAGATTCAGAATTCAAAATTAATTGAAATCTCAATTTAAGTTAATCTACACGAATTAAACTTGAGATGGCTGGTAGATATGCTGCTTGTCATCAGCTGAGGTTAGGTTAGAGATGTGCCCCCATCATTTTGAGGGCCCACTGCAAAAGCTTCGCCTCAGCCCCCAGATCATACCCATAATTTATGCGCCCAGTACTCAATTTATATGGAGCCCCTTGCAAGGTCCTTGTGGAGTAAATGCTCTTAATGCTTATGATCTTCATTGCGAGTGGGAAAATCAAAGAGCGAAGTTAAGAGATTCCAAGGTCCTCACTTCCAAGGTTGACAGTAGATACTAGTAACATGTTGAGATTGGCAGGTAAATAAAAGATTGTAAAGCTTACAAAGTCAAGAATTTACAAAAAATGAGATATTCATGGGAATAAGTGAAAATTACCAAAGGCAATAGATTGATTAATTAGGCCAAAGCGATTCAGTCTAACGTGGGTATTGGACCGTTCTCGAACAGAAAAAAAAAAGAAAAAACATCATGATGTTAAAAAGAAACAAAGATAGTAAATCTCGGCCTTCCGAGTGGGCTATGAGCAAAATCGTCACAGCATGCCGTTAATTCGGGTATATGGTTGATATATTCAGAAATAACCACTCATTTATTTCTCCTCGCTGCTGCCTCCGTCGCTCTCCTTGGTCTCGGCGACGGTCTCAGTCATATGCTCGTGGTGGTTTTGCGCAGCGCGCTTAGCAGGGTTGCTTAGGGCGCTAGCACGGCGAACAGCGTCGTCCTCCACATCATCAAGAGTGCGAAGCAATTCACCGTTAGGGCCATACATGTGTGGCTCTTCACGAGCAAGGCTGACAATGTCAAACACACTATTCGACTTGCGGAACAAACGATCCATCTCCTCCAGAGAACGGTTGGTGGTCTCGGGGAAGAAGAAGTAGACGACGGGCACGATACAGGCGTTACTAAGAGAGGTTAGAATCGAGATCGGGAATGTTGATCAAAGCGGACGGTGCAACTTACATAACAGCGAAGATAACATAGGTTTTGTACCCAATGCTCTGGAAAGCAACGGGGGTGATCATCACGACCATGAAGTTCCAGATCCAGTTTGACGAGGTGGACAGGGCATTGGCTGGGGCACGAATCTTCAATGGCACAATTTCGGCAGGGTAGAGCCAGGTCATACCAAGCCATCCAACGGCGAAACATGTGTTGAAAACGAAAAGGAAAACACACTGAGCAATACCAGCACTGGTACCCTTGGAATTGCCTATGTTCGATGAGGAGATCTGATCAGAGACGGCCAAAGCAACCATGGATAGTGACATGCCGACAGCGCCCCAGATCATGAGAGTACGACGACCGAACTTCTCGACAGTGAAGACAGCAACCCATGAAGCTGCGAAATACTCCGTGCCGTTGCAAGCTGAAATAAGGCGAGAAAGAGTACCAGACAAACCAACTTGATCCTCAATGATGGTGGGAATATAGTAGGTGATCAAGTTAATACCTGAGATCTGCTGGAACATCTGGTTGACATAGCCAAGCATGGTGCGGTGGAAGTGACGATCAGGACCCATAGTGAACATGTCACTCAGGTTGCCCTTTGCCATCTCTAGCACAGTGGCCTTAATAGCAGTAAATTCGGTATCGAGGAAGAGCTCATCGGTTTCATCTCCCATGAGAGAGCCGAGGACTTCACGAGCCTCATCTTCGCGGCCCTTCAGAATGAGCCAGCGAGGGGACTCGGGCAGAGACATGACGAAAAACAGAATAATTGCTGCAAAGAAAATCTGGAATGCCAGGGGGAAACGCCAGGCTACTTCACTCGGATCGGCGAACATGAGTCCGAAATCGATCCAATAACTGATGGTAATACCACACGTAATCATAGCGCCCTCTATCATGACCATTTGACCACGGCGATGGGATTTGCAACATTCGGATTGCCAGGTGGGTACGGTGGATGTGTTAATACCGTTTCCAAATCCAGTAACCAGACGACCAATAATAAGTTGAGCCAGATCATAAGAAGTGCATTGCAGCAGAGCACCGACGATCATGATAGCAGAACCAATGAAAATAGCCTTGCGACGACCAAGCATGTTACCAATCCAAATAGTTGGAATCGATCCAGAGAAACATCCTAGATTGTAGGCGGCGACGACAATACCCTGGCGGGTAGATTGGTTACTCTTAGCAGCAGAAGACCATCCAGCTGTGTGACCGGCGGTAGTATCGATTGCTGGGAAATATTTTCGGAATCCGTCCAGATTCAACAAACCACCAGTCACACCTTGATCGTAACCGAACAGCAAGAAATCCATACCGGCCAGCAGACCGATGGCGATCTGAAGCTTGGTGCCGGTAAGGCCCAAGAAGCGTTTGGCAGGCATCTTGGAATTAGGATTGGCGAAACCTGTTCTCTAAAGAGGGGTGATGTGTATTCCCCGAGTTAAACAAGGCCGATCCAGTCGGGGAGATGGGAAGGAATGGAAAGTTATCAAGAAATGGTAGGTAAAGGGGAGGACAATCTCGAGAAAAGAATTGTCATCGGCAGACTTAGTGAAAGAGAAGAATAAAATAGAAAACCCCAGAGATCAAGAAACGATCAACGCATCCGGGGGGCCTGGCCGGATTTAAAAAGACATGTCCATCAACAAAGATTAGGGGGCCGTGGGTCTCTCACCCCCTCAAGCCATCTATGCAATCAATTCATGGGGTCATTGAGCAGGGGTCTATTCTCATAGGGACATTTCTGCTCCTGTACCGAGCCGCTACGCCAGAAATGCAACATCATACTATGATTCGAGAAGAAAGAATTCACGAGCTCCACTATAGCCTCCAAGAACCCCATGCGAGCCGACAACGCGGGCCATGGTTGGCTCCGGGGGATCAGGGCCATCTCCAGCTTTGTACAGTATGGCACGGACAGTCGGGGTCTGTTAACGGCCCCCAGTGTCCCGATTGAATATGGCTTCAGAACTTGGATTTCTTACACACGATTCCGAGCCACGCGAGTCTGTAGATCCAATCAGAACGAAGTAATCCGGGGCAAAGACTCGGGGAGACACAGCTTCGGCTTCACCAGGTCCGGTTAGTATAGTTTTGCTTTTCTCTCCGCACAGGAACTAACCAGCTTTTTGAAAGCCCCGCCGATCGTTTTTTGTCCAGTTATATTTCAGCCTGCCTGGACAAGTGGAGCCGCTTATTCTACGTCTCCCTTTCATCCCCGCGACGCCCGTCCGCCCCCCTCGCACAAATTAAAATGGGTCTGGGGAGTTGCCCGCATTATTGTGGGTGAAGAGATGCAGTTTTCCCCAGAATGTCAAATCCATTTGGGCACTTGTGTAGGATTGGGGGCGAGGGTTAAGGAGATCTGTTTGGGTAATTCCGAAATGTATTTGAGCTGTCAACAAGGGTTCTATTTTATTATACTTTAAAGGAAAATGGATTTTAGATTCAGATCTATGCACTTATGATTGTTATGGGGCAGATATTACTAATGTAAACCGGGTGGTACATCCATCTACTCCGTTCTGGCCTCATGTATTAGACGAACCTTGTGCTGCGATCTATGCGATCCCTAGATGAGCAAGTATAGCCTAGGGAAAACCGCGTACTTCGCCTGCAGCTAAAAGAATGCAAGAAATACTCCGTACGACGGACAGTGAAAATTAATTTCCAGAGATCCTAAACAACTTCCACACGTAGTACATTGCGTGGTCGCGTTCTAGTACCACCTCGATCCCGTCCACATCGGAATCGCGGGAAAAGTCGCAAAACTCAACAGTACATCGGCGTCTTGGCGCCTAGATAGACCAAGCCACTGACCGAGGGGCTTGTTTGTTCCTAGTTCTTCTTGGAAAGGGCTTGTCTTGTCTTGGTTGGGCTTGTTTTTGCTTGGACTCTTGGAAAAAAAGTCTTCGCTCAACCTAATTTCGGGCGCAAGGCTTGGCCTTTGTTTTTACATCAAAATCCTGTTCTGAACAAAAGATTCACGGCATAGCATCCCGCCAGAAAGAAAGAAGTCGCGAAATAGAAGGAATAACAGGGGTGGATCGTGATTGTCTAGTCCACGCGGCAAACCTGGACAGTAGAAAAGACTCAACTCCGATTGGGCTACATGTTTGTAACAAGGATTCGAAGAGATTAATATGAGGATCTTCCTTTTCATCATAATAGAAGATAGACGGATTGATCTAATTTCGATATCACATTCCTCTCATTTATCGCCCGGTGTGGTTGCCGTAGCCTCGACTTCTCCTGAAAAAGCTCACCGCGTCAGAGTTGCCAATATGAAGTACTAGAACTAAAACTCACTACCGAATAGCCGAGTCTGCCCGCTGCACACTAAAAGAACTAGGGCTGCATCCTCCTATGTCATTTGGCTCGCCTTTTTTCTGTTTTTCTTTGTTATTCTCCAAGCTAAGCCGTGACTGGTTGTCGCAGATTACCTTCCATGCCGGAACTGCCTCTTATGGTAAGTTGTACTGTCCATCCCCCAGGATTCGGACGCAACCGCAGCGAGGGGCGCAATAGTTTTTGTTCTTTGTTTCGGGCTCACATGGCCTGATGCGCGCCATGTGTGTCGTGTCATGTCGCGTCGCGCCTTTCATCCCCTTACAGAATATGCCGCATTATTCTAGAAAAACAGCTCCAGGTCTTGCCTCTGCCTCCTGACGCCCTGCATCATGGTCACCAGCGGCGCCACGAGCTCCTTCCCGTCCGCCACTGAAGTCATCTAGCGTGACTCAGAGTTTCAACTCAGCCATGGCGTGCGGATCACTAAGGACTGACCCTCGGGACGCTTTGACCCGCGTTGCGCCCCTTGTTGATGGTCGGGCAGAGTCACGTAGTTGCTGGAGGGAAATGGGTTCCTCAGAACACAGTAAATGGTTAGTTTGCGGAGATGTGGGGATATGACGGAGTTAAAGGGGACAGAGGCAAGCCAGGATGGTTATACATCGACTTGAGTCTAAAGGGTCGTTTTCGATCAACGAGATGTTTGATTCTCATGAAGACTAACAAATTGTTTTCCGTGCCAATGAAGAAACTCAGCCTCAACGCGTGCTCTGTCGATCTGTGATCTGTTCGGTTTCACATCGACTAAGCTGGCCCATGTGTTTTGTTTGCCCTTTTAATCGATTTGAACCGGTTCCATCAGGCTACATCGAATGTGGAGCTTTAGTTTGCCCTGCTGCCATTTTACATATTTATTGACCTTTCATATGCAATATGGATATAAGCTCCAGTAGTGGCTGAAATCCCTTGCTTACATGGATGCGGCTCCTCGAAATATGGATAGAAAACCTCATGGCCCCTGATCTGTATTTTTCCCCGGACCATGAAAATGTTGGATATTTAGCCCCCATCTATGGAAGACCGGGTTTCTTTTCATGCGGAGAATTAGATTTCAACTAGGGGTTGTTTGGAGAGCTTCTCTGCAGCGCCCTGTGGTGACACTTATGATTCTGCGCTCTTCCAGGATTTTTCACCGATTGTTTTCTGGGAGCTAAAGATGCATGCATGATGCAAGAAGTGTTGCCCTGTTGCATACATAGCCCTCACCGACGTCTAGAAGGTTCTCACGGGCCTTCTCTTGCATTTTATAATAGCATGCAAGTCATTATACTGGCTACGTGTAGCTGAACTCAAATTCCAAGTAATAGGTTGTTAAGTGCAATGTTCCAAAGTTGGCCAAGAGGTCAGTCTATACTAAAATCTTCATCATGATGACTCTTGGCAACTAAATTATCCCCATTACAAAGCCTCTTATTGCCTAGGAAATGCTGTCATTTTTATGTCGAAACAAATTCGATAGTCTCTATATAAACTGTCGGCTCCGGATATAAAGAAACCACCGCAACCTCAGCGGTATACTAGCCACAGGAGGCTATACATGTATCTCTACCATTATATTATACATCTTCTCAAAAAAGCCATGACTGATGCTCACATCAAGCAACACAATACTTCTGAATTTATAACCTGACCATCAGCAAGACCATCAGATTTCCCACGAATTTTATGATACTCAAGCGTCTTTTTCAGTAATACGGCGCGTTTCTTCCAGCCAGTATTTATGAAATCTGTCTGGTATTCGGCTTCAATGGCTTCGATCCGTTCTATCTGCTCTGGGTCATCTGCCGCGGCTAGTGCAACAACGAGGCACAACGAAACGTATCCAGCACCGAGCGGGCGATAGCAAGAAGCCGCTTTCGCTTCATGTACTATTTGTTCGCAGTATATCGTAGTATCCATTCGTAAAGCTTGGTTATCGGGATTATATGCTCGAATCAGTGCATTCAGAATGGTTAATAAGGAAAGTGTGACAGAATTGACTGCCTGAATTTGAGATTTCTTGAAGACTGCTGTAGAGGAGAATGATTCCGAGTCGGTACAAGGTAATTGGTTCAAGTAAGAGCGGATTGTCTTAATGTCATCCCGAAGCTTGTAGTATGCAGCGCTGATCTCCGCCATATGCGAAACTGGATCACGTAAATATTTGGGCATTTTTGACATTATCGATAGTGTGGTGGTTGAATTTAAAGATTGCGGTTGAATGAAAGCGACTAATCTTTTCATAAAAGCCGGTTCGATGTAGACTCGCGGATTTGAAATCCCTTCCATGATCTGCGGAAATTCTTAGCAAGTGACCACTAAGCATCGAATCTTGAGACGTACAACCACGACGGTCAACGTTGTTATCATTTCTTTTTCAAACCAGCCTTGGCACTTATTCAAATCCAAATTCTTGAGAAGGTAAGCCAGAGCTTCTCCATGGCCAATCTCCGATTCATCTTCGCAGGACCGTAGCCAACTCTAAAATTTCGAATATACTTTAGTCTCGCAAGTTTTTTCTAGCAGAATAAGAAACCTTACCTGGCAAATTGTCATGAGGTAGATCGCACACAATGTATAGGGTGAGCAAGCTTGTCCTGGCTCATTCAATGTTTCTCGAAGAACCCGAAGGCCAGTTCCATAGCATTGTAGCGCATTGGGCGCAACATCTGACCCACGAAAATGTGGGTATACAGCAACTAATGCCTTAGTTGCGGCATCGAGTGCACGGTTACTCCCCAACATTTGGGGAATATCTTTTAAAAAAGCCCCATAATACGACACTGCATACCGAATGTCACGGATCTCGAGAGTTTGAACAAAAGAAGCAGCGACTGGACTAGCCGAAGGCACGAGGATATCAATAGGTTGCGGTGTCTTCAATACTACTTGATTCGAATTTTTCTGCCTCTTTTGTGTTGAATCCGTAATTTTGAACAAATATCGTTGCTGTCCAGCTCCTTCGCAGTGGAGTTTTAGCCGCTGGCACCGAGAACAGCGGGGTTGTAGTTGGTCACACTACCCAAATTAAAGTATGCATTAGCGGAGACTTTGTCAGATCCTTTATTTATCAAGCATACTTACTTTCTTTTTTACCTTGCGACATTGGTTGCACGCTTTACTTGATGGAACACCCGGCATTGTGCCAATTTGATGAAGATCCTTGGTCGGTTCGACACACTAAGTAGACAAAGGACCGAATAAGTTGATTCTTCCTACTTCAGCCAGTACATTGCGAAGAAGAAAAACTTATAAGGTACTCACCCTGATTCTGGTCAGCAACCATCACGCTAAGCTGGGCTGAACTTCGAGGAGATGATGGTCAGTGGCTGAGTGTCTTGGAAGCTTGGCACTGCGGCTTCGGCCCCATTCACGAACCAACGAGCCAATACGAGAGCCGAAGAAGGTTAGATTTGCAAGAGCGCGTCAAATGACCGTATTAGGAAGTGATTGTCGTAGATCTGACATGAAGATTTCAGCTAGCCAAGCTGATATGATTTATTTATACAGGCAAGTATGTTGATCTCAATATTTAAATACAAAGAAAAAGTCTTTCTATAGTTTTTCATATAATTCATCATCAGCCATATCCTGCTAAATGAGATGAGGCTCGAAATATTCTACCCACCTCTTGATTAATCTGAACATTGAGCTTGAACAATAAACACCATCATGGCTTCTTTCGTCTTTCGTCATCCACCAACAGACCCGACAAAAACATTAGTCCATATGCCAGGATACCCGATTGAGGCACCGCCAATCTTCACAGCCGTCGCATCCTCAAATAAACATGTCATGGTTTATGGAGGCTGGGGCGCTGGTCCCCAAGATATCATTGGGAACTCCAAAATTCACGTCGGCTGGTCGAAAAAGAAATTCAACATAATCCTACGCGGACATCCCTTGACTATGAGGGTCGATTCGAATAACAACTTGGTCATTGAAGATTCACCTATGGGGAAAATCAAGTGGAAGCGCGACTGGATGGGCAAGCTTTCGAAGATGGAATGCGCTGGCAGCGAGATCGCATCCCTTGGAACAGACCCTATGACACAGGAGAAAACCTTGAGAATCGCCCGAAGAGATGATAATGGATTTTTGGTTGAACTTGCTGTTATTTCCTATATGGCATACAGAGTGGAACATGCAAAGGGAATAGCCGACCTTGGTCAAGCAGGCGAGGTGTTCGGTGGGGCCATGGGTGCTGCTTAGTGAATTGATTTGAAGAAAGAAAGGAACAAGGGCTGCGAGGATCCTGTATTAGCGAGTGCATAAATATGATAATATTCAAGCTTTCATGATTAACTCATACGACAATAATCTATTCGGAACCTCGTGATAGGTGTTAGTACATGTATTAAGATTTTCGGAGACGATTCATGAAAATCCATGTATTGTATTCTAAGTCGTTTATCCATTTATCATGCTCTGCATTATGTAGTCTATGGTCATAAAAGTGGCGAGCCAAGATGTATGGCCTCAAACTGTGGCCTTCGGCCGGTGGAAAACGGTGAATAGGCCACTGCTGTTGTTTGAATTGGATCCACGCTTGAAGGTCGCCTCGATCTCCTCCAAAGATCGGCCTTTTGTCTCATGCATAAACACTGCAGCAATAGCAGCAGTAGCAATTGAGCACCCTCCAAATAAGAAATAAGCACCATAGCTACTTTTGGAAAGTAGAATAGGAGTCACTAAGGCGACGACAAAGTTTGCCAGCCAGTTCGAGCTGTGAGCAAGTGTAGCTGTTGCTGCACGACATCTCTGTGGGTTCACTTCTGCTGCAAAAATCTTGACACTAACTGCCCAGCTCATTGAGTATACAATGGCGAAGAGATAGATGAAGACGATAACGACCCAGCGACCGGGACCAGAGGAGGGGTGAACAGCATTTCCAGCATAGAGAGCTCCAATAACGAACATGATGGCTGCAAGTCCTATCCCGCCATATATAATGCTCTTCTTTCTTCCCCATTTATCGGCATACAGGGTTGCTGGGATTGTCACCACGAAGATGACAAGAGCGGAGACACCCGAGGCGAAGAAACTCGCATCCGAAGATTTCAGTCCAGCCTGTTGGAATAGTAAAGGTGCATACTATTAAAAGAGAGATGGTCAGAATATGTAGCGGGCAGAAGTGAAATGAAGTGAAGAAAATCCAGGCGGACTTACGTATAAGACGCCATCTATTCCGCTCAACTGCTGTGCAGCCATCATAAACACAGCAAGAATTGTGCGAGACCTAACATCTTTCGAGAAGATATCCAGTAATTTCTCCATGGTACCCTGATTAGAGGGCACACCTCCTTCTTGAGCGGCATTCTCAAGTTCAACTTTTTCATGCTCAGCATAGCTGACACCTAGCTTTTCCCATGTTGCGCTAGCTTCTGCATGGCGACCGTGCATTGACAACCAACGGGGCGAAGGAGGCAATAAAACCAGTGAGGCGACAGAAAGAATCATAGCCAAAGAAGCAAGAAGAATAAACGGAGTGCGCCAGGATAAAGAAGATGTGATGTGTTTTGACGACCCGTAGCAAGTGAAGTAACCCAAACAGATACCAGAGGTGATCACAAGTTGTGGACCAGTTGTAAGGGGTCCCCGATATTTGGTAGGCGACACTTCACATATGTATACCACAAGATTGCCTAAGAACAATCCTTCACCTAGTCCTTCAATTACCCGACCGGCAATGAACATCCCAAGGTTAACAGCAGATGCCTCTATAGCAGCACCAACTCCAAATATGAAGCAACCGATACTGATACTCATTGCACGTCCAAAACGATCAGCAAGATGTCCGGCAAAAAGCGAGGACAATGCTGCTGGAATAAGAATGCTCGATACGATTAATCCATGGATAGTTGAATTCTGGCTTCCACCAAACTGGGCTTTAAAGTCTTTCATATCGGTCACAGGACCTAAATAGTATCTGTTACCATCTTGCCCATGAAGCATTTATTCTCAGTTTAACTCCCTACCTATAATCCCAGTATCCATACCGAATAATATTCCATTCGCGGAGCATAACATGCAAGCCAGAACATAAACGGGCGGTTTCTTCAAATAACTCGCCATAATGTATAGGTATCGGCAACGCCAAGACACGGATGAAATTTTTTCGAGGCCCTTTGTCCGACAACGTCTCTTTAAAATGAAGTACAAAACTAATTAGAAAGGTGAAGAAGCATTATGAAAGCAGAGAAACGCAGGTAGAATAAAAAATTCAGCATTGTGGATTCCTGGGGGCGATTTCGGCAAAAAGCAGATTCTTCCAGCCTACAGATTCCCCACGTTGCTATCTAATCACAAAGTCCCCGTGGAGTGAAAAGTGGATCAGAACGAAAATCGTATCACTAACCGCCGATAGTGGTGATTCAGTCCAATTGTGTGAGCATGTCGAAGTCTCGCGTTATTAGCTCGTACATCTACATGCATAACTCCGTATCTCACCTATAAAGCATCCAATAAAAGATGGCCAACGTTTGGACCTATTTATCTCCAAGATCGAATAATTAAATATCTGTAGTATCTATGTATGATACGGGGGCCTATAGCGATCATCGGCCAAAAGCCGCCTTGGCTATTGTAGTGGGGAAAACCTCCACTCTATCAGGAATGACTCTTACTATGATGAGGTGCCTACGATCTACCAGAATGGAGAAAGGTACGAAGAACAACAAACAACAACATTAAGGAAAATAGAAGAAGAGAGAGAGCTATACTATATATATATAGACAGATACCTACTCTCTAGACCAATTATCTGATTAGCCTATATCCGAGAGTAGGTCAAATCACACAAACATCCAAACATACAAATATACCTATCCAAGTCTCCTCTATATATTTATACTACATTACTTCTACCTAAAATATAGGTAGTCCTCTAACTATATTACTATTCAAAAATCAACTAAATACAGGAAAAGAATCAACCAGCTCTATTATTATCTATATAATCGACAACAAACTTATCCTACTTTATAATCTTAATCTAATATAGTAGTTAATAATGCCCTTAAAGAATGATCCTCTTTTATGCGCTTATATCCCGCTTATATCATTATTTCCGGTGCAAAAGATCCGTATAAGGGGTTTGGTAGTATGGAGCTATTTAGACACCTTGCAGCTAGCTAAGCTCAAGATCCTAGACTGCTGCCTCAGCACCGCACGGCCCCCACTACACCCCCGGGCTGTGTCGTAACTAAGCCCACTTTAGATTCCATTAGGCACATGTTGAGCTCGCTTGGGTAGCAAGTGACTGGAGTGAAGAAAACACACGTGATTTCCATTTTGACATGTCAGTAGCTGTGAACCTTCCCCAGAGCCGCTGTTCCTGCATACGCTGCCATCGAAGACGGAGCTTAAAATGCTGCCTAAAGAGCTTGTGTGCGACAGGTGTTGGAGTACCGTATTCAACACCGAAGATTTCGAGAAACTTTGCACACTTGATCGCTCTCAAATTGACTACGGGTCTACACTGATCCAAGCAACTGCCACAGTTGGTGAGATCAAGAATTCCGTGTGCAATTGGTGCTCTTATATGTGTGAATTTATAAGCGACGATTGGACAACAGAAGATAAAGTTACCATTTTGCTTTCACCCACTCGTATCGCATCCACTCTACCCCTAGGCGGCAATATATTCTACCTCAGCACTGCATGTACGTCTTCAACAACCGGTAAAGATAAGGGCGGCTATAGTCTCTTTATTCATGCTTGCACGGGAGCCGATGACCCCGCAGCGGCTTATGTGACTGCCAGACCTTTGAGGACTGATGTCGATAGTGATGATGCTTGGAAGCAAATGCGAACATGGTTGAAGGAGTGCAAGAAGCATGAGCTCTGCAGCATTTCACAACAGGAGGTTGTTCTCCCGCCCAGAGTTATTGAAGTTAGTCCACCAGAACACCAGCGCCCACGCATTGTTGAGTCTAGTGGCATGCGTGGAGTTTATGCCTCAGTTTCTTATTGCTGGGGTAAACGGCCGTTTCTTGCCCTTACCAAGGCTAATCATGGTCAATTAACGGAAGGGTTGGACATGGAGAGCCTACCACCCACCATTCAGGACGCTATAACAATTACTCGCGCATTGTCCATACCATTTTTGTGGGTTGATGCTCTCTGCATCATCCAGGATAATGAAGAACAGAAGGTTAGAGAGATTGCCAATATGAAGGAGTTGTACTCCTCTTCCGCGTTAACTATAATTGCTTCTGCTGCGGAAAATGTCTATCAAGGATTATTGTATCCTCGTGTTCAACAGGAGACCCTTCACACGATACCTGTTCGGGTAGGGCCTGGCAGATTTGGTACTATGTCTATCAACAAGCTGGATAGCGCATGCTATGATGAGCGACTTGAGTCAATAGCGAAAAGGGCTTGGACTTTGCAGGAGCAATTATTGAGCAACCGTACCCTGGCCTTTACTACACAAACTATAACGTGGAGGTGTCGTGAATGGGTACAGAATTTTGGCAATTCATTATACTTTCCACATGATCTCGACAGTGGATATAACGAAAATGATGAAAAGTATAGCCTTAACCTGCACTTACTTCTACCTGAGGGGGAAGACGCCAACTCTGCTAAAGACAAATGTTTGAGTTGCTGGCTCCGGCTCGTCACGGTATACTCACTGCGAGCCACCAGTCTTGAGCGGGATAAATTGAATGCAATCGCCGGTGTTGCCTCTCATCCATCATTCTCCGAGGTCCTTGGACCTGGATACTTCGCTGGACTTTGGCAGCATAATCTTGCGAGGCAACTTACATGGTATACTTCGGACCGGCATAGAACGCTTGAAGAAGATGAGACATTTACCTTTCGCCGGCCCATCACATACCGGGCACCGTCTTGGTCTTGGGCAAGTCTTGATGGAGGTATAATTCATTTCGATTTCAATTTTGACGACGAAGACGAGGCGCCTCCAGATGTTGTCTGTGAGATCATAGATTGCTCGACAGAGGCAGCATTTCCCAAATTAAACCCATTTGGAGAGATACTGTCGGCAAAGCTCACACTGAAAAGCCCCATTAAAAGGGCCTGGTTCAGTCCGGCCACATCTAATGTTCTCCTACTCCCTGGTCTTATCACATCAATAAAAACAGCTTTGATCCCAGACGAAAGTGTGATGACCTTTGAGCAAGCGTTTGAAAGACATTTGAAGGAGTACTTTGATGTGAATGGAGAGATTGATCGGGATGTTATTAAAGAAGATCCAGAGGGGACATACTTACACGGCACATGGATTCGCAACATGTGCGGTATGTACGATGAGACCGTACTTCCTGAGCCTTGCTTAGTATTATGCGCGGCTATCACTATGAAGAAGGACGCCTATGATGGTTATGGGGTGAGAGGACTGCTTCTTGTCGATGAGAAGCAGGGCAGTGACAACCATCATTTGAAGAGAATCGGCAGTTTTGAGAGAGGCAGAAACCGTGACTTTGAAAATGAATTTAGAAGCGAACTATGTATCATATGATCATGCGAACGCTTCATGAAAAGCCTAATTTGAACCACTCTTGTTATTCTGGCTACCAGAAGATATTTAAGAGACAATGAATTATCTAATTCCAAGGATTCATATCTTCGTTTACTCAACACTTGTACCATGAGATGGTGCGTGGAAGCTAAAATCAAGATAAGAGGGCAGGTATGATCAAACTGTTAGAGTGAAGTTGATCACGTTGACGACTCCATTATCCCTTGGAAAAACCTCAAACGTAAAGACCGTGCTCTTTCCTGCAGCAATGACCCTGACCCCGTGGAATTGCAATTATAGATACGATTCTTTGATGCCGCGGGAGCCAGAACGTGAGCCGAAGGTGAGAATGAGGATACGTATTCGCGAGGGTGGCACCGAGATTGACGTGACTCTCATTACGAACTGACCTTTGGACTGCTACCTGTAGTGTAACTACATGGAGGAGGTCGGCCGGCGGGCATGTTGCTTGGTTTGACCCACTCTCGGATATAGATCAATCAGGTGATTAGTCTGGAGAGTGGGCATCCACCTTTACATACATAGTATAGCTCTCTCTCTTCTTCCCTTTTCCTCAACGTTGCTATTCGTTGTTCTTTACACCTTTCTCCATTCTGGTAGATCGTAGGCACCTCATAATAGTCATTTTGGGAGCTCCGAGTCCTAAAGAATTGAAGCTCTGAGTCACGTCAAATATATACCGTGACTCAACTACTACTACTAAATTATTCAAACTATAATTAGGTATTTGTGCGATGAAATACCAAAGAAATTTGGTCGTGATTGTTCAACTTTCCATCTATAAAATCTACACATCAATAAACAAGCACACGAAGTATCCACTCAAGGAATGATCGGCAATGTAACATAATTGTCACCGAGTCCAAAATGAATATGATTCTGACCCTGGAAGCGCTCCACAGATCTAAAACTCATTAGTAACTTGATCGAACAAGACAAGATGGAACTTGAAGCATATAGGATGAACTTACCGGTCAATAGGCGAATTGTGCTGGAACATACCGCTTCCCTGAGTATCCCCACTGGAGATTTCGAGAACGATCTTTCCACCCTTTTCCACGACAACATTTGTTGGCCAGATCTCGACATCAACAGGATAGACCTCTCCCGGAACCACGGGTCGTACATCTGTTGAATAGTAATCGCGATGCGGCAAATAAGGTCTATTGCGGATATGATCCTTGTTCACATGTCGCATGCTAACGCGTTGCCAACCTTTACATAAAGGTACGGCATCACCTGCTGTGCCGGTATAAAAGACTTCGTTCCCAGCAGGGGAAATGTGTCGCAGGGTGATAAAAAGATCGAGATCTTGAGGCGTCGGTGCGCCAGGAAGAGCACTCATCGAGACGTTCAGATGCGCGACGATATGTCCTGTAAATTCGGTCTCTTTCTCAAATGCTGGAGTGGTGAACTGCACAAGCTCCGGTTTATCCAGGGAGCCAAGTGCATCGTATGAGATCTTTACAGGACGTTCTACAGGTGCGTGTTTGATGAGATCCTTCTGAGATGTAAGGTAGTACTTCGTGTACTGGGTACGAGCAATCGGCCACTCATGCTCCACGCGGCGCTGGTACTGCTTCTCTGCATCGGCATTGTTGAATCCGACGTCGCCTTTGCGGAGTACAACATCCACCTTTGGTGCTTTACCAGTTGACCAGCCGATTCGATCATCACTCTTCAAGAATGCGTCGAGGAAGCTCCGCTGCAATTCGACCTCTTCCTTATAATAGAAAGGAAGATCGTGACGCCCAGTCACAAAGCGCAGATACTTCAGATCCGAGCCGGCATGAGTATACCCCTCCACGTTTCCACGGAGATGCAACAAGATACCACCCCAGTTCGCGACCGAAAGGAGAGGCACCTTGATATCCGACAGACTATACTCTTTCGAGGCATAGTACAAATCATCGCGGTACTTATTTTCGGCATTATCGATATTCTGATCCTGTCGATTTGCCACTAGTTCCTCCTCACTCAGATCTCCTTCAATAGTATCAGGACCCCAGTTGCGTGCTGCCCGTCCACCAAGACCGTACTGGTTACTCACGACCTGGCGATCCCACCAGAACTTAATAAACTTGCTCGACAAGATTCCACCATGTCGGCACCGGTCTCGGTAGTAGTCTGACATCCCCTCCCACGGAATAATGCATGACAGTCCCTTCGGCTGTCTCGCTGCAACACGCCACTGGCTACCAGCAAAGTACGAGATACCCAGTAGACCAACCTTTCCACTGGACCAGGACTGTTCAGCAGCCCATTCAATCACGTCGAAGAATGCTTCGCTAGTACCCCGAGACATGGTATCGAGCTTTCCGACCGATTGACCGGTTCCGCGCTCATCAGCACGAACAACTGCATAACCCTGACTGGTCCAGTACTTCGGATCCGGAGTTTCCCAAGCGGAATGCTCAGACTTTTGCTCAGGGTTGACTTCACCGAAGCTTTGGGCGTGGAAATCCTTGTAGGGAATATCTTTCCCATATGGACCGTAAGTAACAAGGACAGGAACCTTTTCAGTTCCCTTTGGGCGATAAACATTCGCACGTACGATTCCCGATTCATCTTTCAAGTTGATGGAAACATTTTGTTCGAAGATGTAGGGAAATGACTCCTCATCCCGAGTGGCGATATCTCTGATGGTATTCGGCATTTTGAAAAGCAATCAAATCACCAGAACAAGGGGAAGACGAGAATTGAAGAAAAATCAATAATTTCCACAATCAACTGAAGGAAATAACCACGATTTAACTCTCCAACTCCAAAATGTTCACCCACCCCGCTCGGCGGCACTATAGACCACGTCCCCGCAGCGTTGTATGTGGAGCCGAAACCGTTCCGACGCGTACTTCCGAGCATCTACGCCCTCAGACGATCACCAACCGAGAGGACATCTGAAGGGTAAGGCGGGGAAGAGAGGAGGGGGATGAAGCCGAGAGCATCCGGTTGATTTATTTAATATGCTCTTTACCCCTCATGTAGGTAGTATAGACGTTGCTAAATTACATGTATACAAGATGACGGTGAAAGAAGTAAACGGCAACTCAGGCTCAGGCCTGCGTATCTTGATTGTTGGTGCGGGGATCGGAGGTCTCACTGCAGCGATTGCGCTGAGACAGCAAGGACACCATGTAGAGGTATGCACGTCACATTTCTTGCATTAACGCAAAGTGTCATGTGTAATGTGAGCTAATTGTATAGTTATTCGAACGTTCGCGCTTGGCTAATGAGGTCGGCGCCGCGATCCATCTCTCGCCAAATGCTAATGGTGTCTTGCTCCGACTTGGAGTTGATGCGACTAAGTTTGGTGCTGTCGAGACTGAGCTGGTAAGTATTTTCCCATCTCGCGCCAAAGACTTGTTTATAGATAATAATGGCCGACAAATTAGTTGCGAGAATATACTCCAGATGGAAAACCAGTCCACGTTGCACCCATCAAGGAACACGCTAGCTTATGGAGACATGTAAGTCGGATCCAAAGCAAAGACAGCAAGAAGAAGAGCTCTATTTTAGTGATCAAAACTAACTGGTCAGCGCTGGCTGCTTGTGCACCGTGCTCATTTCCACGAAGGACTCAAAGACGCAGCCCAAGGACCAGGTAAAGGCCGCCCAGCCATTCTTCACAAAGCAAGCAAGGTCGTGGATGTCGATCCCCACAAATCCACCGTCACTCTTGAGAATGGCGAAGTTATCAAAGGAGACGTGCTCATCGGTGCAGACGGGGTACACTCTCTGACTCGAACCAAGCTATCCAACAAAGCCCCATACAGCTCAGGAAAGAACGCCTTCCGCTTCCTCATCACACGTCAACAAGCCCTAGATGATCCCGAGACAAACAGTATCGCGCGAGACTTTGGAGCCGTCGATATGTGGGACTCGTCTGACCGGCGAGTAGTGATCTACCCTTGCTCGAACAATGAACTCCTCAACTTCGTCTGTATTCATCCAGACTCGTTGACGGCCATCGATGCTCAGGGCGACTCTTATAATCAGCAGATTGGTAAAGACACTCTGCTAGAAGTGTTTAAGGATTTCAATCCCCAGGTTCGAAAGTTGTTGGAGAAGGCAGACCCACAGACACTTAAGCTTTGGCCGTTGTTGGATATGGACGAATTGCCATCTTGGGTAGAGGATCGCATGGCGGTTCTGGGTGATGCCGTTCATCCATTCCTACCATACCGTGCTTCTGGTGGTGCGATGGCGATTGAAGATGGAGTCTCCCTAGGAGTCATGCTGTCTTCGGGTATTACACCTGATCAGGTTCCTGAGCGGTTGAAGCTATATGAAAAGGCGCGTCATGCACGCGCAACAACCATTCAACAGATGACCCGAGACTCGGCAACATTGATTCCACAGGAGCGAGGTGTGTACCATAGTCTTCAAAAGTACTTTGCGAGTTGATCCATCTGTTAATCTTTTCCTAAACTATCTAGCTCAGGCCATGATTGGATATATCTACGGTTACGACGAGTTCGATCACTCAACACAACTCCTCCGCAAGCATCAGTGGTCTCAAAATCCCCACATGTACTGGCGACAGCCAATTGTGTTTGGCCCAATGCCTGGCCCTCGACAGGATCACTATGGAAATGACCGCGCACTAAAGTCCCTCGAATCAACATTTACAACCGCCTCGATCAAATTCAAAACCAGCCGGACTCTCCTTGAGAATCTCTTGCCCTCAGACCGCTATAGCTTTATTTCTCCTGCAAGTGTTGCGCGTGCCAGTTTCTCCCAGACAACTCTCAACGGAATGGACTGGCTAGGCGGTGGCGGCTACCGACACATCGGATTATACATCCACGGCGTGCAGTATAAAAAGGAGAATGGTGAAGTGCTAAAGGGCACATACATGCCGATCTTATTTGAGAGTTTGGCGGATCCGATCGTTTCAGGACGCGAAGAGCTTGGAATGCCAAAATTATACACTGCGATTGATTTGCATGAACGCAATAATTCCTTCCGATTGCAAACAAGCTGGCAAGGAGCCGTGTGGGGTCACTTTGAGCTTGAAGATCTGGAGGATCAAGATCCTGCCGCTGACAAAGGAACGATCGGTGGAGAAGATGACGATGGCATCCTCGTATACCGGTACATGCCTAAGGTTGGAAAGAAATTCAAGGGCGAAGCAGAGTCAGAATATCCAATCTTTGTACCTCATGCGAACGAGTCCAAAGTGGTACCGTCTAAAGTGACGCGTCTGCGACGAACTAAAAATGCCAAAGTGGAGATCAACGGTCTAGGCTGGGACGCGCTACCTACATTACACCATGTGGTGTCGCGGCTGGCGGAGATCCCGATTGATGAGGTGATCGATGCGAAAATCACTGAGGGAAGAGGGGTACCGGATGTTTCAAGCGCTATGAGAATTGAGTAGGCCCATTTTTTGGTTCAAGAGAGACATCCATGAGGGAAGCGAGGTGGTGGGGGACGGGATGCGGTCCTAGATGAGCTCCATTAGGACGAGTGCAGCAAATCCAATTTTGAATGATTTCTTTAAGTTAGTTCGACCGTTAGCCCAGACTAGGCAGATCCCCAATGATCATCCCGGGGGTATGCAAGTTAACGCATTTGGGTCATAGACACTCATTCCAGCCACCTAGCTCTCTTCGGCCTGTTATCTCCAGGGCTCAGCCATTGCGACTGTCTATGCACCCATGCAAGTCTCGACGCCGGTCAGCTTCTCGGGCGACATAGTGCACGGTAGTGTATGGTAGTGTAGTGTAGGATCCAAAGTCAAAGTTGCGAGTGCACAAATAGTATTCCTCGTAGTGGTGATTCGAAGCAAAAAGACGATCATCCTGCGGCCCCCATTAGATCCATTTCGTAGTGTAAGTTGCTTCCGCTGCCTCCCGTTGCCCCCGATGCCTCCGTAGGCGCAGGCTAAAGCCGGTTTTTCTCTCATTTTCTTGGCTTTTTCCATACAGTTGGGTAAGTTTGGTCAGTGCTTATGAATAGCCACATTGTGCACTCTCCAAATAGCACGTTTGATGGCCTTCCCCACTATGCGACCACATACCCCACCGTTGACGGTTAACAACAAAACAACAGATCTGATGGGGGAAAAGAAGAAGATAACCCTTTTCGAAGACGGAAAGGAAGTCCTGATTCTCAGGAATAATACTCCGGTGGAGAGAAGGGAAGTAATGTGGGGAGGCTAATCCAACCTGGACCTGCATCTGGTCTAGAACAGTAAGAGAGTGGAAGCTAGCTTGGAAGCTGGGAGCTACAGAGTGGATCATGTAAGGGAGAGATTGTCAAGGGCGAGTCAGCCCCGAACTTCTTTCCCTCTCCACTTTCTACCACCTTCTTTCTCCATCTCCCTCTGCCTCTCTCTCTCTCTCTCTCTTACTTATCGTTCGTGGATCTCATCGAGAATCTATTAAAGAATTTCATTCTCGACCAGTTCGATTGCAAATCCTATATTCAACCACCTTCCTTTTTTTCTCTACTCCATCCCCCCCCTCCTCCCCCCCTCCCCCGCATATCTCTCCCCTCAACCCTGTCCAAACAGAAGCAACCATGTACGTTTTGTCATCTTCCGTCATAGTCCAGGTCTAAACCTACCCCCAAAAAAACAAGTACTTGAATCCGGGACTAACCTAACTTCACCCGTTAAAGGAATATCACCGTGAGTGTGATCCGCGAAGATGCGGACTCGGATATTATCAACCTACAAGTCGGCGGAGACATGAACATCGAGCTTCTCAAAGCGATCATCGAAAGCGAAACTGCCATCCCGCCCGCCGCCCAACAGCTCGTCTACAATAATCAACTCCTTCAAAACCCCAACCAAACCTTAGACCAAGTTGGGATCGGCGAAGGTGACATGCTAGGTGTCCACGTTGCCCGCCCCCAACAATCACCAGCACCAGCAACCTCAACAGCCCCCGGGCCTAGCGCCGCACCCCGTCAGAATCAGATCGCTCGCCCTCCCGGGATGCCCGATCCCGAAACGATTCGATTACATATACTTGGAGATCCGCGGGTCCGAGAGGCTGTTCGACGTCAGAATCCCGAGTTGGCGGAGGCGGCAGATAACGCGCAACGGTTCCGCGATGTTTTACTTTCGCAGCAGCAGCGGGAACAACAACAGGAGGCAGAGAAGGAGGCACGTATCGCGATGTTGAACTCCGATCCATTCAACCCGGAGAATCAACGTGCTATCGAGGAAATTATACGTCAGAACGCCGTGACTGAGAATCTACACAATGCGATGGAACATCATCCCGAATGTGAGTCGACCCCCGTTGATCAAGAAAAGCTCGATGACGCTAACCTCTTATTTTATCTTCTGCACAGCCTTCGGTCGAGTGACTATGCTTTATATCCCCGTCGAAGTCAACGGCCACCGTCTCAACGCCTTCGTCGACTCCGGAGCCCAGGTAACCATCATGTCGCCCGATTGTGCAGTTGCATGCAACATCATGCGACTCGTCGACCGACGCTACGGCGGTATCGCCAAGGGTGTCGGAACCGCCCCAATTCTAGGCCGCGTGCACTCCGCCCAAATCAAGATCGGAGAGATGTTCCTCCCATGTTCATTCACCGTCATGGAAGGCAAGCAGATCGACCTGCTTCTAGGACTGGACATGCTCCGCCGACACCAAGCATGTATTGACCTCCAGCGCGGAGCTCTTGTTATCCAGGACCAGGCGGTGCCGTTTTTGGGTGAGGCAGATATTCCAAGACATCTTACGGATGAATTCGAAGACGAGCCTACAGTGAAGGGGTCCGATGGTGCGGAAATCGGTGCACGTACTGGGGCAGTGACGCACCAGGCGAGTGGACCTCAAGGTCAGAGCCAGAGTAGTGCTGCCCCTGGTCCTTCCTCGTCGTCACAACAACCCAAGATCAATATTCGACCCGCGAATCCGGCGTCGCGATGGCCACAAGACTCCATTGCTAAGATTACAGAGCTTGGGTTTAGTCGTGAAGAGGCGGAGCGGGCACTAGAGGCGGCGAATGGGGATTTAGATCGGGCGATCGGGTTCTTGATCTAGATTGGCTTAAAGGATAAGGATTGGCCTCGAGCATTTACTTCCAGGCGTTCAAGGGAAATGTTTGTATTTAGCGGGTTTTTATAATGATGGCACATAAATGAATCAATGTATGATTAAGTGGCTATAACATTTTGTCTCCTTGGCGTAAATTCCTTCTATCATATCTTGTACAGTTGGTGGTGTGTATGTATCTATGCGCGCTTGGACTTGCCAGGCATAAGGCGACCTCGTAAACGAAAGACCATATCCATAGCCATCAAACCACCTAATCCAACTATTAGTCCACCTTCCTTCAAAAGAGCAACTTAAATCAGAGAGTAAGGAATACATACCCAAAGCCACATACGGCGCATACAAATACGTAAGCTGCTGCTTCTCAGCAAAAGACCGATCATCCCAGCTCCACACATCAACCAAGCAAGTCAACGAAGTGACAAAAGCCTGAACACCAAAAACCAGCAAATGAACCGGAACAAGGGGGTGATCTAAAGAAAAAGAAAAACATATTAGTAAGATATCTATGAGACATTTCTTTCTTTATTCTTCCAAACTCAGTTCTATCAAGTATAGTGGGTGTAGTGTTACCTCGGAGTAATCCGCCAATGGCCCATGCACTCAGGGGAACATGGTATAGCAATTCCATCCAGATAAATGTCGTGAACCAGACTGGGGCGGGTTCTTCGAAGAATTTGTCATGGTAGGTGGTTATGTAGAAATCGCGCAGGTTACGGGAGAGGTCTGTTCGAAGCCATGTTGGTTGGAGGGGGACGGTGTCGATGAGGAAGATGATTGGGATGTGAATGATGAAGAAGAGGAGGTAGGCGTAGTCTCTTCGGAGCATGGCGATCAAAATGGGTGACTTCAATTGAATTGTATATCTTTAATTTCAAAGCTCTGGTTAATTCAGTCTCCGTCATTCAGCTCAGCTCAGCTTCGACAGTGTAAACAGGACAAATCGAACAAACAGTGTAAATAGTGTAAACAAGTCAATAGTCAGGTGATCGGCGTCCGATCGGCCGCTAAGAAGAAAAGACGAAATGAACTAAAAACTGGGAAATAAACTAAAGTCACATAAACTACCATATTGCTTTTTCCCTCCCGTTTAAGCTTGTGGAGATCTCGGTTTCTCGGTCCACCGTTACATGATGCCATCTTTGTTCTGGAATCTGGACTTCTCGTACTAATGTCACGTCACACACCACACTCCCATGGTACTTGGTCCGGCCCGGTCCTTACCATAGGACCTTGGGCGCTGGTGGACAGATCCACTTTAGGTGGAAAGGGGGGACTGAAGGCGAAAAAAGAAGAACAAAAAAAGAGAAAAACAGCGCGCCCATATCTACATCCACCTGAAAAGTTATCTCATCCTGCCGTACTGCATTGGGTACCTTGGAAGAAACGGTAAAATAAAAGTAGACGAAGATTAAGCACGAATGATTAAGATTGCGATGTATCAACCTATGATGGCAACAGGGAGTACACTATGTACGGTACAGTGTACCCATCCCATGCAGAGTGCTTAAACCTCAATCTCAGTCCATTACACCAGAAGGACAATCAGGTACGTCCATGCATCCTCGGGATCCTGTGGCATCTCTCTTCCATCTTCCCGTGCGACGTGTCCGTTAAGAACATGCGGGATTTGCAGACCGCATGTTCCCATTACCCAATGAATCCTTCGGACTATCACCACGCGATCGGAATGGGTTCTTTGTTCTTTGTTCTTTGGTCTTTTCTCGTTTTGTTCACCTATTTAGTCTAATTTTTGATCTCACTTTCCCTTGAGGGGTTTTATGATTATTCTTTTATTTTCTTCCATCCTTTGACCCCTGCCCAAGTGGAGTCCCATTCGGTTAGATAAAGACGGACAAACTCTGATATACTGCTAAACAGCCACAGGTATAATTGTATACCGTTGTATTTGTTACTAGGGCTAAACACTGCATGCTAGCCAATCCGATTAGCTGCATCGATCACGGCAGATAATGCAATTGCCATACGGCCTGCATTTGCCTTATCAGAGGCGAGGAAGATGCAATGAGTGCCGTGATACAGAGATGCAGTGCCCGTGATCACTAGGTAACCTTGGTGGTACTATCTATACGGTATTCTATCGTTAAAAAGATAGAAAGATAGAAATTAAATCCCGCGAACCGAGGCTGGCCTCTGTTCGCAGAAACACCCCCCCCTGTAAGTCTAAGACCCAGTAATCCAGTAATCTAATAAACCTAGTCGCCTAATCAACCCTGGTCAATGGCTTAATCAAAGCCCATCCCTTCCCCTGACGACATCTACGTTTTTCCATTTTTCTCCATTTTTCTATGTAGCGGTGAAATACTCTTGATTCTTCCTCAATTCCCAGTTTTGGTTTTAATTGAATAATAAACCCAACATCACGGTCAATCCCCAATCAGATTAGTAGAGACCAGGATCATAGATCGGAACTCACCGGGATAAGGGTGGTCTATGTACTTTGACCGTGATTACCTTGATACCCATGAGCTGTTTACGTACTGACCGCTCATCTGGCGAACAGGCACACAGACCACTTTACCGTGATTCCGGAAGATGAAGGCCCACGAGCTAGCGTTTGAACTATTGCATGGTGGAGAGGGCTAAGACGATATCGACGTAACCATGTGGGTATATAAACACAAATGGAGACCCGAATATCGGGATTCCTGTTATTTGCTTTTTCCTTCCATTCTTATCAATCAGTAAAGATCGAACTCAATTCTTACTGCTGCTATATCTACTTCAAGTTCCGACTGCCTTTCTTTGCTTCTTTTTTATCTCATTCCAAAGCATCTGGGCATTCCAACTTCAAGTTCTTTGAAGGTTCTATTATTCTTCAAATTCAATATGCCCTCTTCCGCTCCTCTGATTCGCTCCAAGGCTACCGGCCCTAATGGCCACAAAGCCGAAATCCCAATTAGCTACGACATCAACATTCCCTATGTCGATGTGGAAAAGCAATCCAAAATCAAAACCCCATACCCAGAATATCTTCCCACCTGGGATCCAATGTGGTTTGAACCACTTCCGGAATTCGAATACTCCGACCCAGCCCTCCGAGTAAAAGACAAAAGCAAACCAAATCTTCTAAACAACACCGGGGCAAAAATCACCGACATCCAACCCGCAATCGGTAGCGTGATCGAAGGAATCCAACTAAACAAGCTAAACAATGCTCAAAAAGACGAGCTTGCACTTCTGATTTCCGAGCGAAAGGTCCTCGCCTTTCCCGATCAGGATCTTATCGATGCCGGACCGGCCGAACAAGAGGCTTTCATGCGGTATTTCGGCAAACCGAACTATCAGCCTGTTTCAGGGACTGTGAGGAATCATCCTGCTTTTCATGTGATTCATCGTGATGGGAATCGAGAGGAAATTGCACGATTCCTCGAAGCAAGAACAACAACTACACTCTGGCATCAGGATGTTAGTTACGAGATCCAGCCACCGGGTTATGTGATGTTGGGACTTTTGCAAGGTCCCGAGGTGGGAGGCGATACCGTTTTTGCTGCGACGGATATGGCTTATAAGAGACTTTCGCCTACTCTGCGCTCATTCCTAGATACGTTGAAGACAGTGCATTCGTCTTCGAAGATGATTCATCACACGCGGTTGACGGGGGGGCTTGTGCGCAAGGAGGCAGTTGATACCGTGCATCCGCTTGTGAGGATCCATCCTGTTACGGGGGAGAAGTGTCTGTTTGTCAATGCGGAGTTTATTACGAAGGTTCAGGGGATGAAGGAGCCTGAAACTAAGTGGATGTTGGATTTCCTGATGAATCATATTGTGACTGGACATGATTTCCAGGCCAGAGTGCGATGGCAACCTAGGACAATTGTTATGTTTGATAACAGGGCTACTACTCGTGAGTTTACCTTTCTGCCAGTGGTTTTCTATATAATCTAAGGCTAACTGATATGATAGACTCCGCTATTGTGGATTACTTGGATGAGGAGTATGGTGCTAAAGCTCGTCATATCTTCCGATTGATTGCGCTGGGAGAGAAGCCCATTCCTGTTTATGACGAGTTTGACGAGTAGAAAGCGTGTTTCTGATAGACTTCCTTGCTTTGCTTTGTTTTGCTTTGCTTTGTTTTCTTTTCCCCGTTATATTCTCCCTTCGTTATACCTTGCTGTTCTTGCTTTCTCGCTGTTTATGATCTTGGCGGGCGTTTGACTTAGACTGTCTATTCTGCTCTCGGGCTTAATGTTAATGAGTTGCGTCTACAAAAGAAAGATTCTTAATCGTTTTGTTAATGAGAGAAATCTGCTATTCATTTGACTTTCTTAATTTTTTCCAAATATTCCTTAGATCTTATTCTAGATTTTATCTGGGAAGTCATCATGAACAATTTCAATATTTGTCAAATGATGCAGAATGCTATCATTCAAAATGCTGTATTCTCTCATTATACTGTAAATCGGAGGAAAGGGTTGATTTTTTTCAAGGATTCATTAAACCTCCGAAACGCCACCTAGAGTTACAAAACATGACACTACCAATAAATCCTTCCGGAGACAAAGAAGCAGGAAAATGGGAGAAGAGATGTTAGTTCATAAGGTCCAAAATTCGTTGCCGAAGGATCAAGCTTTGTTCCATAACATCGGATCCGTTGGGCTGACCTCCTTGGTGTAGCAAAAGAAGGGTCTCGGAGATAGCCAGAGCCATATGCTCTGATCCGAAAACCATCCCGCCTAGTCGCATGCTTTCGTGGAACCATCCATTCAGTAGATACATCAGATCGGTGGCGATGTAACGACGGTTGTTTCCTTGGAATGGAGCTTCGTCGGTGTAGTACATAGCTTCCAGCACGGTATAAATCGACTCGTGTGCAACTCCCAGATCGAGGAACAGATCGACAACCCAATGAGCCGGGCTAACGTGGCGCTGGTGCTCCAACGAATAGCGTTCAAGCATGGGGACTAGTTCGCGAACGGGGAACACTGTCTCCGAGAGCCGGAGCCGACTGCCAAGGCTGCGAACTTTCTCAGCGACGGCTTCAAAGGGTTGTGGAGACCCTTGCTCTAGCGTGGCAGCGTGCAGATCGTGAATTAAATGGTGCCAAGTGGCCTTGATATCGGCGGCATTCCGGTGATCGGCCAAGGCGAAAATCTGCAGGCAGATGTCATAGTAGCTTCCCGAATCCGCGTATTCGTTGAAGAGCTGATATTTAGTCAGAAAGATGCAGGAGAAAGTTTTGACGGCTCGGAAGAAGTGGGGGTGTTGTTCCATTAAGGGGAAAGGGGCCGGCGGTTGCAGGGATGCCGAATTCAACCTAGTCACGTACCTTGCTAATATCTTGGACCGGTCCATCCACATCGCCTAAAACTTGAGCCCTGCGTTCCGGGGCGATCCGATCGTCGTCTTTCAATCGTTGCAGGAGTTCATCCTGGATGTTTGCGACATCAATTAGGGTAGAAATTTCCTGCAAAAGGCGCTGTCGCGACTGGCGCCCCACATCAGGTGTGTAAGTGGAGGCATTGGCACGGGCTCGGCCTAGGTACTCAATTCGCCGGCTGAGAGGTAGCGTGAACCCGCTCTGCGCTAGCTGGAACTGAACCTTAGCGGCTTCGAAAAACCGCTGAGACTGCGCATAGTATCGCCACAGGAGATCTGCATGAGCAATGTCATCAGAGGATTTTCTCTCCAAATAGGTGACGACGAATGCAGATTGTGTCTGCAAGAGACGATCACTCCAGCCTTGTTCCAGGTACCAGTCGTAAAGGCTAGTCAGAAATACTTCATCAGTGGAGTCCGAAATGACAGCATATGCCTCGTTTTGACGTTTGGCAATCTGCGTCATCTGGCCATCAACATAACCGGGGTCTGATGCCGCCAATGTATCAACGGCGATGACAACCTTGAAAATCAGATCGTAACATTGCTTGCGGAAATCGTAGGCGTTCTTTCGGGGGTCCTGTAGAGTTGTGAGCGGGTGTGTGGCGTCAAATCTGAGGGGGCTCAATACTTGTTCGGGACGCGCTTCCATAATCCAGGAAAATGCGAGGTTCGCTTTGTCGGATCGAGCAGCAACGGTAAGAGCTAGTTGAATTGCACCTGCATAGGCATTAGCACTGAGTTGACATCAAGAAAAACGAAACAAAACAAATTCATGCGGCTCATGGGTGACCTACCTGCAAAGAATTGATTTCCAATATAATTGTCCACGGCAGACACGAGATAATCCATAGGGAGGTTATCTGCTACTTGCCGGAAGAGAACCAAGCTTTCATTCAAAAGATTACGCCCCAGTTCAGTGTTAGAGCCGGCCTCGGTGGCTCGCTTGAGCAGTTCTTGTGCTTTGAAAATAACAACATCCTCGGCGCTGCAGAAGCTACCACATCGACGGCGCAGAGCATCAGCAACAGTTTCAACATTGGAACCCTTAGCAATGTTTCGGTTCACAATGCTTTTGACTAGATCCTTGGCAATATCGTTGCCCTTGCTAGTACTGAACAGTTCCTCGAAAGTGAGCTTCAGGAACTTTTGCTTAGAGTCTTCGGGTAGCGTGGCTACGATCTCATCCACCCGCTCATCGAAGAGAACCAGGACAAATGAAATACCTTCAATTGTGTGCGAAACCAGCTGCACCAAGGAGTGCAGGGCACGGTGTTCACCCTGGAGGGCAATCTCTTCTTTCTTGTTGGATACTCTTGAGAGAGCCTCGGGTCCACTGAGCCCCTCGATGAAACTCTTGTTGGTCTTGAAGAAATTCTGGAGGGAGGAGAGGTCGTGCTGAATGGTCTGTAGTTTGGATGCAGACACCGATGCAGAAATTGTCAAGGCGCCGTTTGGTGCCTTGCCTACCGTGGCGATTTCTCTCTTCCAGATGGATCGCAGAAGACGGGACAGGTACAGGGAGATACCAGCATGTCGGGGTGAGGGGTTGACAAGGTCAACAGCGGGAGTAGTGGCGTCAGGCACGGCGTTATCATTCATAGCAGCGCGGCCACCAAAATCAATAAAAACCTTGCGAGCAAACTCCAGGACATCCGGGTCATTAATTTGGGTAAGTCGCTGGTCCGAGGAAACCTCTACACCTTGCCCACAAGCCACTGCGAGAGCAGTAGCCAGCGTCTCGGAACGACCATATGTACGAATGAAGCTCTTGGCTTCACCCTCGAGGCTTTCTTGGCCTGTACCCCCGCCACGAACCAATGAGGCGAAAATGTCCACCAAGCGTCGCCGTCGGATGACATGGATTCCTGTATTTGTGAGAATGGCGACCTCAGCCGCCGGGTGATCGAATTGAATAGCCAGCTCGTTACCAAATCCTGCAGTTGATGGTGGAGGAGGGGAGCAGAGACCAATATCCTCAGCTCGGCCGCCAAGGCTCATCCAAATGGCAGATTCGCCGGCCTTCCCAGCCAATGCATTTTCTTGGGACTTGGCAACTCGGCCGGAATCTGGAGACGAGATAAAAAGACTATCTGCCTTTTGAGTCGCATCCTGGCAGGTGAAGCAGAAGAAGTATCCAGGCGGGAAGCGATTTGCCAAGCGCGTAGGTGACAAGGTGTGGATCGGGAGCTTCACGCCGAAATTTGGGAACAACCCACGCATCTCAATATCAGCAGAACTGTCCACAGGCGGGGTCTTGACGTGTTGAGCCTGCATGCTAGTAGGCGCAGTGGTGCCATTTGGAGCGGGAGCCCAGTTGTACGCCGCTGTGGCACTGAGATAGATACGGTATCCAGTAGCAGTTGTAGCGACAAGGTGATAACGAGATGCCTCGGCGGCAGGGATGGGGCTGATAGAGACAATCTTGACCTTAGGATTGAGTGTTTCGTTGGATGCAATGATATGTCCGATATTCGAATAGATGTCAGAGGCATGTTTGGTGATAGCCAAGGAAAGTGTACCGTCCGATTTCAGGTGGAAAACCCGAACAGTAGACGCCGAAGACAAAGTGTACAAGAGTCTCCGACTCTCATCCACCACCATCTGCTCCACGTGCTCCATAGCCCGCTGAGCCAAGTTTGTAAAGCTCAGTGAAGGCGCGAATGCCGTAAGTCGAGAGCTGGTGTGGTTGACCTTCGCGCACCGACCTTGAAACCAGCGCTCTTCTTGTTGATATGTCAGCTCGTACACATCGTTGTCAGATGATCCACCAAAGAAAATGCGACCAGTAGAGTCAGAAGAAGCAAAGACATGGATATCTAAGCCCCGGATCGAAACTGCCATGCCAGTTTGGTATAACGACACTTGCCGCCCACCAGTTGGGGTACTCTCGACACCCATACCCAGCAAAATCACATCGGCGGTAGTCGATACCACAAGCAGATGAGTGATTGCTGGCAAAAACACCCCCGCGCGCGGCTTGACGAGTTTGACGGAGTTGATGCTGTTTGGCTGTTCCTCAAATCCAACCAATTGAGGGTTCGGGTGTGTGAAATCCCAGATGTAGAGCGCGTTGTCAATGGCCACCCACGCGTGGTTCAGCTCGGCGAATAGTCCCATGCTTGTTGATACTTGAGCGCGATTATATTGATCAAAGATCTGATCGGGAATGTTGTACATTTTGACCTTTTGGAACGGCGCCCATGATTGGGAACTGGGAATGTCATAGTCGGATGAGAATCCCTCTGTTCTTCAAATTAGCATTTTCGATCCCGACCAGAGCATAGCTTTTGAGAATACATACGGGACAGATAACTATCCAAATCCGGGTATCGCGACTCTTGGAATAGTGTATCATTAATGGTGCGCGCACCTCGCTCCTCAGTGCTCAAGTTTTGGTTTGGTGTCGGCGCGGTCGCAGGCAGCTTCGGGAGGGTCTGGGGAGGGGATTGAGCATTTTGTTGCTGTGACTGCTGTGGGTTCAGTTGAGGAGGAGACCTAGGATCATGTCTAGGCACAGCTGGTGTTTGCAGGTAAGCTCCAGGCAGGGGTTTCTGCGGCGTTGCCGGTGGCAGGTTGGATTGAAGAATTGGATAAGACATTGCGCTCAGCTGGGGGAGTAGAGAGGAACGGGGACTCCCCGCTGGAGAAATAAGCAATTAAAGCTGCAGTATAATCGAAAGATGCCCGAATGTTAGGAGATAGGCAGCGAGATACAGTTGGTAGATTGTAGAAATTGCGGGCAGCTTTGGAGATGATTGGTTTCAAGGTTCTTTTGCGAGGTGAGAGTCAACAATTCCCGTGCACAGACCACTCGTGATCTTCCGCCTTTTCTGCAGTTGATGGAGCTTCACGATCTCAATCTTGAAACTCTACAATCTGCAACTGCGCAACTCAATTGTCACTTGTTTATTGACTGGAGCTTATTTAATTTTACCAATTTGAAAAGCTCTACCTCTGTCCATCATGTTTCGAGCTCTGCGATTCACCTCATCTGCCCCTCTGCGCCAAGTGCGATGGAACTCTACGGCCACCACACCACCTTTAATGGCAACATTGCGGGCTGATCTTAAGACAGCCATGCGTGCCAAAGACACTGCACGGTAAGATTTGTTGATTAAATGCAACTGGTATTTATGAAAGGTTTGGTTGGCTAAACAATTACAGACTCAATGTCCTGCGTGCCTTAATCTCCGAGACCAACAATGCCGCTAAAACTTCCTCCCCCATTCAAACCGATATACAGCTTCTGTCGTTGATTCGCAAACGTGCTGCTGCTTCCACTGATGCTGCTCAACAATTCGCCACTGCGGAACGTCCCGATCTGAAAGCCAAGGAGGATGAACAAGTCACCATTCTGGAGGAGTATGCCGGTCAAGTCAAGACATTGTCAGCGGAGGAAGTGGAGGACATTGTGTCTCAGCAGATCGCTACCATCAAAGAAGCCGGGGGTAAGCTTGACTTTGGCCAGGTATTGAAGACTCTCTTTGCTCCAGGAGGCGCCCTAGATGGCAAGCCAGCAGACAGGAAAGAGGTCGCTGCTCTTGTCAAGAAGGCTTTGGCTTGAACAACTTGAAGCCATGTACAAAATATGTAATAATAAAGGTGTATAATAATCTACGAAACGCAAAAAAGGCATTCTTCTCTCTTCAAATGCGCATTCAGTTGGATAACTATGAATTAGAATGAGAATAAGAATATAAAATTAAGAAAAGAAGAAAGCCATGCCTCCAAGGGAAGTCATAAATACCCCCAACCACCACCATTTGTCTGGATTCATGATCTCTTCTTTGATAACCAAGTTAAAACCTGGTCCTGACAATGAAGAAAGGTCCCTCTTCTTGTGCGATCCAGTTGGTGTTGGGTTCAATGTGTTTGTAGGGAGCATCTTCGGAGGTTTGTAGTGCAAGTACATAGGATGCATGATCTGGCCATCAGCCTGGGTGAGATCGAGACGAGTTTTGCCACTGTATGGATCAGTAGAGACCGAGAATCCCTGCGGGGGTTAGAAATCAAGATAAACAGCAGAACATGAAGACAAAGATTGAGGATCCCATCGCTTACCTTGAAGTGCTCCGTGTTGTTATAGCGAGTGTAAGTGCCAGTGTCTTGATTGCAAGGCTCAGAGACCAATTGCCGACCATCTACCTTAATGGGGGTCAATGTCAAGCTTCCATCGGATAACAAGATATAGGATCCATGCTGCCAGCGCAAAATTCCAGAAGGACAGGATGGGTCGGTCGCTGTCAAACCGTTAGTATATCTCATGATGTATACAAATGCGCGGGTTCCACAGTACGATTGGCTATAGCGCGAAAGAGCGCCTCTTCATAATGTCCCTCTGAATCAAACGAGTATGAAATGCCAGTCAAGTTCGGCTCGAGGAGCTTATCATGAAGCGGATCGTAGAATCCCTATTTCAAGTCAGAAAGTAGCCTGGAAGTCATCTCCATCTGAAGTACATACGGGCCCGGTTAGAACCTCACGGGATTTTGTAGTCCAAGTACCAACCAAATCATCCACATTAGCGGCCGCGACCGACAAAAAAAGACCCCAAATCCAAATCATGATGATTTTCTGTCGAATGTCGAATGTCAAAAGGAAAAAAAAGGTGTTCAGACCAGAAGCCATCGAAGGGCTGTAAACAATCCCTTCATTCAAGTGGGGACCAAACAAGGCCTCAGCATACCGGTGTCCACCCTTATCATTATCGGCTGGAATGAGGAACCTCCTCACCTCTTAACCTTTTCCCGCGGGGATCTTAAAACGCAACGATGATGGCTTTCCAGACTGCAAAGCGCGATTTGCGCAAGCATATGCGGGATGCATTGAAGAATATGTCTATTGCAGTGATCAGTCAACAATGTTAGCTTTTTTCTCTCTCTCTTATGGTGGTGCTCCTACTGTACAGCTTCCCCAGCTAACCCGTTGCAGCCGGAGTCGCAACCAACAGATTCCTATCGCTGCCCGAATATCAGAATGCGAACAGTATCGCCGTCTATTTATCGATGCCAACCGGGGAGCTTTCAACTCGAAGCATTGTGGAAGATGCATTTAAGCGCGGAAAAGATGTCTATATTCCGTACATCCATACAGTGGAAAAAATGTCGGTCATGGACATGCTAGCGCTCGAATCCATGAATGAATTTGAGTCATTGCAGCCCGATAAATGGGGAATCCCCTCACTACAGCCTACACAGGTGTCTGGTCGTCGCAATGGATTGAAAGAAAATGGCTTAGATCTGATTGTCATGCCGGGCATGGCGTTCGACCAGGAGTTTCGACGGCTCGGGCATGGTAAAGGATATTATGACCATTTTCTAACAAGATATTCAGAGTTGAGCAAAACGATGCCTTTCCTTGGTAAACAAAATTCAACCCCCTCTTGTATTCTTTTTTTCCTTGTCCAAAATAACTAAACTCCGTTGCTAGTGGCCTTGTCGCTTCATGAGCAGATGGTCGAGGAGGTTCCGGTGATGGCGCATGACTGGCGCATTGATGCGCTCGTGATTGGTGATGGGCAATATCTCGATCGCCGAGTGTAGAACAAAAAAAAACGATTTAAACTGCTTGGATCAGGGAGACATTGTCACCCTTAAGGAGAATTTGGCCTGTACGCAGCAGCAGCAGTGTTAGCAAGACAAAGACCCACAAGGTCATTTTTTGATAAATCGATTGAAATCATACCCAGCGGCCTGCGCTTCTCCTCCTCAGTGTTTGTAGCCTGGCGAACCTCAACGGCCTCGTCGACGACCAGATTCATGAACTCATCGAAACCCTGAATACGCGTTGCGTTAGTGCGGAGCCGGAGACAAGAGTTGACCGCAGATTCATATAATCACGTACCCGAATCTTTCCTTCAATTCGGAATGCCAGCTGCTCGTAAAGCCAAATCGAAACAGTGCTGCGCTTCTGCAGCAAGCTGAAGATGAAGTGGATAGGTGCCAACAATGTCTTGCGGCCTGCCATGGTGAATGTGAATGGTGAGTCTGAACTCGATAAGGTGATGGACAGCAAGAAAGGGAAGTCAAGCTCTGCGTCCCGTGATTCGCGGTAATACCATTACGCAAGTCACGGGCACCAACATCCCACCTTCTCTCTTTCTCCCACTCATACCGCGACAAATACACCCCTCCCCTTTATCTTGATTCCAACCACACTCGCTTTTTACGTCTTTTTTCCTTTTCTATATTTCTCGGGATATTGCTGAGTTGTCAACGTTCTTGCGAATTGCAATCCCTTCCCCCGATATGGCCAGCAAGGATAGTGGGCAGGCATTCGCCCCGGTCCTGGCGGCCGTCGCGACAATGCAAGGGAATGTGCCTAGGTCCGAAAAGACCCAAGCTCATGAATTCCTTGAGAAATTCCAGAAATCTGTACGCTACATACCCCCTTTCAAACTTTAATCGCAGAAAAGAAATTGGAAAACGTGGAACTGACACCTTTGAAAAGATTGAGGCATGGACAACGACACATGCTTTGTTACAGTCACCCGACGTACCAGTTGAAGCCAAACTGTTTGCCGCGACGACATTGAAGGGAAAGGTGAGCGCCGGGCTGATTGCTCATTGATATATTTTTGCTGGGTGTTTTTCTTTGTTATTATCAGTCGTAAGGCTAACCGATTAGATCGTGTTTGATTTGGACCAACTGAACCCAGAGTCCGTTCTAGCGCTCCGAGACTCCGTCCTTGGCCTACTCGTGGCTTTTGCCTCCGGTCCGCGACCTATTCAGACCCAACTATGTGTGTGTTTGGCAAGTTTGGCGATTCAGATGATCGCATGGAAAGACGTATTGGCTGTCGTGGGAACAGCCTTGGGTAGCAGTGCGGGGGATTGTGTACTGGAGTTTTTGAAGATTCTTCCAGAGGAGGTCACAGAGGGTCGCAAAATCAATCTCAGTGAGGATGAGCTACTTTCACGAACAAAGGAATTACTGGAGGACAATGCCGAACAGGTATTGCAGCTCATGATTCAGTATGCTCAGTCTTCGCCATCGGCTGCGACCAACCCGCGCCTTCTGGACTGCATTACCTCATGGCTCCGCGAAATTCCCGCCTCAAAAGTTGTCGAATCGCCTCTTATGGACGTTATTTTGAAAGCTTTGGACAATGATGTGTCGTTTGATGCTGGTGTTGACTGCATGTGCACCCTTTACCGAGACACCAAGGACGTTGACGAATCCCTCCCTATCATTCAAGCTCTTTACCCACGATTGATGGCGCTCCGACCTAAGATTGCCGAAACTGCGGAAACAGAGGACCCGGAGGCGTTTAAAGGCATCACGAGAATGTTTTCCGAGGCCGGTGAAGCTTGGGCAGTTCTTATCGCACGACTGCCAGGCGAGTTCCGAGGCTTGGTTGAGGCTGTGCTTGAGTGTTGCGCTCGCGACTGGGAGCGCGATGCTGTTTCTCTGACTTTCATCTTTTGGTATGAACTCAAGCAGTATATTACCCTCCCTCAGTATGGGGATTCCCGCCTCAACTTCCAGGACATATTTTCCCAGTTGGTCGACATTATGGTCAAACATCTGGAGTTCCCTACCCCAGATGAAGGAGAGACAGATCTTTTTGGTGGTGACCGAGAGCAAGAAGAGAAATTCCGCCAGTTCCGACACTCTATGGGCGATGTTCTGAAGGATTGCTGTTCTGTTGTGGGCGTTACTGATTGTCTCGGCAAGATTTATGCACTGATCCAGCAATGGGTGGGCAAGTATGCAGCTCAAGCCAGTAATGAGCATGTCCCACACTGGCAGGAGCTGGAAGCACCTCTTTTCGGTCTCCGTGCAATGGGTCGTATGGTTGACCCGGAGGAAAGCACAGTGCTGGGTGAATTGGTCAATTTGATCGTACAGATCCCAGACCAAGAAAAGGTTCGATTCCAGGCCATCATGGCCCTTGCCCGCTACACGGAATGGACCGCACTTCACCCGGAAACACTCGAAGCGCAACTCAACTACGTAATCAGCGCTTTCCAGCATCCTTCTCCGGAGGTCATCCAAGCTGCTGCTCTCGCCTTCAAATTTCTCGGAACGGATTGCCAGAAGCTGCTTGGCGGCCACATCGACCACCTCCATCAATTCTTCTTGTCCGTGCTTGACAAGCTCAAGCCTACCAGCCAAGAGGAGATCACCGAGGGTGTTGCGGCTGTTGTGTCTGTGCAACCTATGGACAAGATCTACGATTCTCTCAAGATGTTCTGTGACCCAATCATGCAACGAATTATGAACCTCGCCAACAATGCTCAAGACGAAGAAGGCCAACGGGCCGTCGCTGATCACTTGCAGCTTATTACTATTTTTGTGCAAGTTGTCATTCCTATTGTTGCACCGGGCGAGGAGAACCCAGCCGTCAAGTATTGCGGCGAAATCCTGCCTATCATGACCACGATTGTTATGAACTTCACATCCTCCACTCCCATTTTGGAGCGCGTGTGCCGTTGCTGGCGCTATATGATAATTTCTTACCGAACCGCTATGATTCCCCTGCTTCCTACACTTGCTCAAAGTATTGCCAGTGGTTTCGAGGCTTCGCGGGAAGGTTGCTTCTTGTGGGCTACCGATGCAGTTGTTCGCGAATTCTCTGATGGTGCCGAATATGTTGATCAGGCAACAAGTGATGCTGTCTTCCAGTTTTATGAGCAGCAAGCTCTTGCATTCCTGCGGATACTGAATGATCTACCCCCAGAAAATCTCCCCGATGGTAAGTCCACATTAATATCTTTATAGATCCATGCTATGAGTTCTTCAAAAAGCTGTTTCTAACTACTCCCAGTTATCGAGGACTTCTTCCGGCTGTCTTCTGACGCCACCCGCTACTACCCTAAGAAATGCATCAGCTCATCCCTCGCCGTTCCTATCTTCTCCGCGGCACTTAGTGCTCTCACGCTCCAGCAGGTTGATCCACTTATCGCCACTCTTCATTATTATCGCGACCTATTTAGTTTTGCATTCGATAAGCCTATGGTTTCCGAATTTACCAGCCCTGAAGGCAAAGTCTACTCCAACCCACCCGAGATCCGCGATGCTGTCAAGGCTCTCCTCGTGTCCCAAGGTCAACTTATGGCTGAGCGCGTGCTCACCGGTATGATGTTCACATTCCCCGGCGACTGTTTCCCAGATGCATCAGGGGTCATGATGACACTCTTCGAACTTCTTCCACATGAAACCGGATCCTGGTTACAGAACACACTGCAAATGTTACCCCCAGGATCCATGAAACCAGGCGAGGCCGAACGTCTTTTCAAGGGCATAGCCGATAAGGTCCAGTCTGGTGAAACCCGGAAAATTCGAGTGTTACTTCAAGGTAAGTTTTCTTTATCTCGTGCATTCGTTTCACTTTCATCTTTCTTTGTTCTAACTTTATCAGATTTCACCAACTCTTACCGCCGCCGCAATGTTGCCCCTCGCGATGGCCTTGGTCGATTAGAGGCAGCAAGATTCCGATTCAGCGGATGAAGCATTGTTCATGTGTACATTTTTCCCCTTCTGATCTTTCGAGTGTTCCATCGTTGGGTAACTCGACCAACATTTGGAAACAAAAAAAAGAAGCCCCCTCCCCCGAGCATTTGCACAACAGGTGTTGGTCTATCTATTCTTCTTACGCGATATGTGTCATGTGTGGTATGTTAAGATGGCACACGAAATTCAGTCATGCTCGTGATGATTTATGATCCGCTGGCTCACGCCGGCCGCCAGATCCACTATTCTTGTATTCAGCTGGCTTTTCGACAATGCCTGGGTCCTCGGGGATATGAACGAGTGGGCATTTTTCAGTTAAGCGCCTTGATAACTAGGTAGAAGTTACGAATAGCCAAATATGTCGGCTTGTCCGTTTTTGTAATCGGTAGCCTTCTGATCAGTGCTGGAAACAGACATAGAGATAAGTAGCCTTAGAAGATAGAAAAAAATACGTAGGAGTCAATACAATTCATTTACGAATATAAACTGCAGTATTGAATACTCATGAGCCAATCTACTTTCGTTTTGACGGGAAGTTTGTGAAGAAAATCACCAATATTTAGGTTAAAAAAACCCATGGATATATTCATATATCAAAGAAACTAATATATACAAAGAACTTGGATGAATATTTCAGACATTCAATCACCCATCTGAGTTGCGACGAAGGGGAATTTGTTCCGCAGGAAGACTGCTTTCCTCTACCTCATCATTTCCCTCTTCAGTAGGGACATTCTTATAAGAGCTGAGGTGGCGACGACGACGAAGAATCCGCTTCACACCAAACACCACACCAGCAACACAAGACCCAACCAAGACCAGAATAGCAAGGGCCTCAACAGCATGTAAAATCGCATAGACCTTGTAAACAGACTTAGCAACCTCCTTAGTATCAGCGTAGATCTGATCCTGCGACTTGAGATTCGACGAGGAAGTCCCATCATCAACGGGTTCTTCAACTTCCCCATTAGGAAGATAAAGCAAAGAAGGATCATCAGGAGAAGGCGATGATCCCTCAAGCTCAAACCCAACGGCAGCCCAGTTCTCTGGAATATTTGTCCGCTGGAGACCAGATGTACTCAGCACGTTTCCTTCACCATCAATCGCCTCTACGGAAACCCAATCCATAAACCCGTCAGCAAGGTACATGGTCTCAAAGTCTGATTTGGAGGTATATCCGATGAAGATGTTCTCGCCGCTTTCATGAGCACGAGCAAAGAAGTTCCAGCCCGCGATATCTGTTGCGCCGTTCCAACTAACGTGGATGATGGTCAAGACATCTTCGCGATTTGTACCGTAAACAGATGAAACAAGGTCAGGAGTAGTATTAGGACGGCCGATCCAGTCGAATTTGTAAGATCTGTAGCTTGAGAATCGGTCAGATGAGAACTTAGCCCACATGAGCAGGTCACCGTTCGGTGCGTGCTCAGAGTGATAGCCCCGTTCACTCCATCCAACGAATGTATTATCATTCGGCAGTGACTGGACATTACCACGGAGACGGGTAAGTCCTCCATCCGGACGCTCGATACGTCGAATTACCCGTGCTACCATCGTAGTCATATCAAGCTCGATGTATAAAGCTGCCGAGATACTTTCATCAGCCTCTCCTTCGTCAGAGGCATTATTCATCAATGAAATGACATGGTGTGTTTCATTCGACGAGATGAATTTGACATCATGCTGTTTGTGGAAAATGAAATCCATATCGAAATTGCTCTCGAGTCCACCGAGACGCCACATTATTTTGCCTTCGGAGCCTGAAATCCCGTAAATGGTATTAGTGAATCGCATGGAGATTATATAGTCGCCTGCATCGTTTTTGTCGACAGCGTTAATGTGAACGTAATCCGAACCAGGCGCGCCAGATGGTGAATCCCATGGTTGTACCTTGATGGATTCAAAGACTGAGATCTCATTGTGAGAATCCCATTCATGGACAACTTCCGAAGACTCAATATCCAGTTCCACGAATCCACCTGCCTGCACCCAACCTTCCTCTTCCGGCCGGCCGAAGGAAGCAAAGCTAACCAATGAAGGTATATACGAACAAGCTAGGGCCGTTTTGCCTCCATCCAGAATATTAAATTCGTGCATATTGAAGGCATCAAGGTCATTTGTGACTGCAACTTCGTGCTCGAGCTCATATTTGTTGTTAAGGATCATTCCGCTTCCCTTTTCGACGTCGGTATGTTGAAGAATAAAAGATAGGTGGGGCTGATCGTCGATATTCCAGTTTGCTTTGAAGTCGAAGACATTTCGATTATCGTAAAGCGGGGATCCAGCCCAGATGAGCATCTATACATGGAAGTGAGTAATGGGTGCGGAGCAAAAGATTCCCAGCACATGAAGTAACTTACGCCGTCATTGTCATAGATATACGGTCCAACCTGGTATTGTTGATATCTATGCGTTGATGCCTCTGGGTTGATTTGACCATACGGCGCAACGAACCAATATCCAGGTAGTTGTCGATCTCGGTCTACGTGGTGGACCTCGAATTTCAATGCCCTAACTTCGGGGAGCTAACCAGGTGCAACGGAAGCATTAGAGGCATTCTAAAAGTGTCTCTTTCCATCCCATGTATCACTCACCGTGACGAAAGAGGAGAGGTCGCTGTCTCTCTGTGCAACAGAGCCTTGCAGTAGGAGCACAAGGGCGCCAAGTAAAAGCATCATGATAGGATTCTAGGTGTGACTACTAGCAAGAAACTCCTCTCATGACACTATATCGATTCAAATTCCATGAAAAAGCGACCCCGGGCCGCAGCGAGAAAGGACAGTCGTGAAAAGAGAGAAAGGTAAAAAGAAAGAAAGCGAACACCAGCTGAAGAAGAACCCAAGCAAAAAGAGAAAAAAACAGAACACGGAATCGTCAGCTTTGAATAGTGGGCCAAGGATACTAGTAGCATCTCCGAACCGCCAAGACCAGTCAGTGTCAGAACCTCAAGCAAGTAGTGCCGAGTCCCGGCTTTAATGGACCCAAGCCCTAAGGAGGGCGCGTATGACGACCATCTTAGATCGGAGATAATCAAGCATCTGGAGATGATAGGGTTCCGATTGGCCAGGAGGATGCGAGACCGCGTGTCCACCCTACGAGTACATCCCGCCCCCTGGACAGTGGTCTGAGAGCACAGCATAGAATTCGACAGGACCAAAATGGGATCAAATTTCAGCCACCACCACACCATAGAGAACTAGGGGTTCTGCATCAAACTACGCGTCTTGTGGGGCGTGGCCGGCGTCGGATGTGGGTGGGGCGGATTCGCTTGCGTATGAATAGAGTCGATCATTTCAAAGTTGATCTTCAAAGAAGGACGGACTGTAGATCAAAGTCCAAAAGTAACAAAGTGATTTACGAAGTGGATTTAGGAGGTTACAAGGAAGATAAATGTGTACGTATGCAGGGGCGCTTAGTGTTGAAAGATGAAAAAGGACTTGTCAACTTCCGAATCATTTCCGATGCGCCAAGCTTCTCCGCTCAATACAGCCCTTTATGGAACACGCGGTCGCTTCAGATTGAAGAGTGGGCGTCCACCCCTTTGCGAGTGCTTCGAAAAGTTCGAGCTGGATCAGGTTAAATATCTTTGTTCGTTATTTGAATCCAGACATTGCCAGTGGTATATGTGCACAGGTTCCCCGAATCCTACCCGCACAGCGGCTCCAGGGGATCATTAGGCTACTCGAGATCAACATCCTCTATAATACGAATGTCCAGGTGCACTGTGTATTTACTATATAATAGAATGAGTCCCAATGGTTTTGGTACTGCTGTTATGTTATATCAGGAATTTTTTTGCGTCTTACTTCCTTTATCTTCAAAATTCCCATTCTATTATATATGCACTACCAATTCAGCCTCAAATTACACGTCTGACTTTATTTAGACCTGGTTAATTAGTTGATTATATAAAAAAAGACCGTATTTCAAGTTATCGTGCATGTGGCTTGTGCCTAGTGGGCTGGCCTCCACAAATTCACGCTGTACATTACTGGTACATCTAGAACATTGGAAGTCTCTTTGGTCTATCAACTGGGACGAAAGCCATAGGAACTCTTCAGTCTCATTGATTGGGGGTAAAGATGTCCAGGGCTATATATACGTAGTATATATGTAGTACTGTTTTCCGAGGTTCAAGTTGTACATATAGTGGGCAAACCATTTGGACAGTTCCGGAGATATACAACGTTCGTCAGTAACTTTGGAAGTGGGCCACTTCTTTAAAAGTTGAGATAGATGCATCTATGTAATTTGTGTGACGGGAAGATCATTTTCAGATTTTGCTCTAATTAGTTTCTTAATTTAAATCGGATACTAGTAGTATTTTGTAGGTGGATGCGTGGATGTACATTGACATCTTGGCTACATACTAATTATGGGGCTCTGCAGCGGTAAACCGTGCATTTGACAGTATATGAATTCAATTATTCGAAGCGCATTGGGTCTTCTGACTTCAAAATACCCATTGTACCACTACGTACGTATATGTATTTTCTGTAGGTCCCTGCTATCCAACTCAGGATCTGGGGGACATTTTACTGCCAGGCTGTACATATTATCATTAGCCTGACCATAAGTGATTGGACTTGGAACGCCATATGCCATCACCTGCATAAGGATCATCGTTTTATACATCCTGGAAAAGATTCAAGTACTCACTGGCGCATAGGTGATATAGACTCATAGATAGTCATCAAATATAATATACCCTAACAAAATCAATATACAGGTACATTGCCAACCATGGGGCTTTTTAACGAGAGTTTTCCCCAGGTCGGCGAATATTACCTCCGCCAACTTTAACCAACCCCACTCTGAGTTCTCCGCACTCCCCGGAAGTCTTTGACTCGCCATTCGAACCCATCGCAACTTCCAAAAACCCCCTTCATTCCACTCGTGGTTGATTGTCTAGCCTCTGCCGATCCAAGTTCCACGTGGTCCTGTGATCGACATACTTTTCACGCTCGCCCTCGTGCTATGGCATCCAATGGCGCTCGCCGTCGTTAAACCAGACTTCATGGCAGACACCGAGGAACAACCTAGCAAGCGACGCCGACGCAGTCGTCGTGGCCCAACCGATCGCAAATTCGAATGCACTCATGAGGGATGTGGCAAGAGCTACTCCCGAGCTGAGCATCTCTATAGACACCAGCTGAACCGTACGCTCCCAACCCAACTCTCTTGCTTCCCCCCCCACCTTTGCGGCGAAGCAACACCACTCAACTAGAGACTGACTGGAAATGAAAAATAAGACGCCCCAAAACAGATCTTTCGCTGCGATTTCCCAAATTGTTATCGATCCTTCGTTCGACAGGACCTTTGTATCCGGCATCGCGAACGTCACACCACACGCGGGTCACAGCTACAGAAACGCGACTCGTTCACAACAGACAGTCACGATGACCTGTCCAAGTCGCTAATGCCGGTTTCCTCGCCTTCATCTCCTGCCATAACCGCCGCGGACTATCCATTTGTGACCGACCCAGCGTCGGGTTCAAAGTCACCACCGAGCACATCCTACCCACTCTCGACCGGAATCGAAACCACGGGCGTTCCAGTATCCGGCTATAATGACTTTCGCGGCGATTTCAGTCAAACGGATCCTATGATCGATCTCGATGCGATGTCGAACGCATACCCAATATTTGGAGGAGAGACTTACAACCGGTCCCCATTCGCCATGGCTGACGACTTTGCGGCTTGGTTGTTTAGCGAACCACTTGCGCCGCTGGGGTATGGGATGATGCCGTTTTCACAAAATCAGTTCTACAACAACGAACCTTCATATAATAATTTCTGCTCCGTTATTCCTCAGCATCCCATGAGTGTGACCAGTATCCTGGACTCAGGGTCGCTACCGGCGATCATCTCTGAAGAAAAACGCCAAGAGTTGCTCCATTTGATGGCTACACGATTCAACGAGGCAGCATATTCAGCTCAGACCAAGCGCAAAGAAGCTTTAATGGAAGGGGACCTAGATAATGACCGGCATGTCTTGAGTTTGCGCATGATGCAGACTTATATTGGGTCATATTGGTATAATTTTCATGCGCAACTACCAATACTTCATCAACCGACATTTGCAGCAGATCGCACACCGAACTTACTATTATTGGCTATTATGGCTATTGGTGCTGCTACACTTGACAAAATTCACGGTCAAGCTTCTACCGAAACAGCCGCTGAGTTGGCCAGCTTTATTGCGTGGCATTTGCGTTGGGAAATTTTCATGGATCCAGATTTTCGGCCGCCTGCCCGACTTTGGATTTTTCAAGCGTTATTGTTACTGGAGGTCTACGAAAAAGGGTTCTCTACCAGAGCGCTGCATGAACGTGCCCATATCCATCATGATACCACCTTAACCCTGATGCGCCGGGGTAGTTCTTTGATCGGCAGATCATCATTTGATACCCCAGAGGCTAAAGAAGAGGATGAGTCGTGGTCGCACTGGATCAAGGCAGAGGCAACACGGCGAGTGGCCTTTGCTGCATTTGTCCTCGATTCAACCCACGCGACCATGTTCGGACACTCAGCCAAGATGGTTGCCCATGAATTGCGATTACCCTTACCGTGCGATGAGGCGCTGTGGGCTGCAACCAGTGCTGCAGAGGTAGCTCGCGTACAATCCAGTCTACAATCGCACGGTGTACGACCAGTGATGTTTCTGGATGGGCTCAAACAAACACTCAACGGCCAACCCGTTCGAACCAACACCTTCGGTCGGACTATCTTGATTGCAGGACTGTTAAGCGTAAGCTGGCATCTGAACCAGCGAGATCTCCAGGTGAGCTCGCTTGGAGTTGGTCAAACTCTTGGTGGGCGAGATAAATGGCGAACTGCGCTTCTCAGGGCATTTGACAACTGGCGCCGCGACTATGACGAGGCGCTAGGTTCTTCTCCAACAAGCGAATCCCAGTCGCGCGACGTCCTCCACGGACTTGCACACATGGCTTCCCATGTTGATGTTGCGGACCTTCAGATCTTTGCCGGTGCCGATCGGCTTATGGGTCGCTCCATCACATCTCGCGATTACAGCACCGCTCGCGAAAAGACTAATCGCTGGGCAACCAAGGCGTCCGCTCGCGATGCCACCTTCTACGCGTTGAAGTTCTTGTCCGCCTGTTTCGCAGTTGATGACCCGACCGGCGAGTATATTGCACGAGAAGATTATCTCCTTAATCGACCGTGGGTAATGTACTTCTCTGTATTGGTCGTGTGGTGTTACGGATTCGCATTGGACGGACCCCTACGCCCAGCGCCCACATTGGCTTCCGCCGCGGAACGAAGGCAGGACATGCAAATGTTTCTCCAACGCGTCGGTGGGCTAGGGGAACCGAATGAGCTAGAGGGGATGAAAGGACGAAATATGTGTTTGGGATTGTTGATGGTGGTTCGAGACTCATTTTCAACTTCACGATGGGAGTTACTAGGTGAAGCGGCGCGGCTGCTGGACAGCTGTATCGCGAAATTGCAGTCGTAGCAAGACGATGAAACGGGAGGATTCTACTTAATTATTATTCAAATGTAACTCTATATACCATTTCTCACAGCCATAGTATAGTATAGTAATGTATGATCTCACCGATCGCACCAAGTCCACCCCGATCTAACAGTGGAGTTCTGTTGGACCGTTGCCGCAACAACCACCGTCGATCCACCCATCCAAATTCCCACTTCTCATTCCAAACCTTCCCCCCTACCTTGCTTTCCCCTCAATTCCGTTGCATTTCCCACTCCAAGCCACTGATCCCACGAGAAACACAAGAAATCCTCCATAATGGTGCGTACCCAGGGATGTTGACGAATTGCCTCTTCCGTCCCATAGTTTCCCCGATTGACTTTCCGCCCCCCTCACATTCACATCTTCCCTCCTGATCTGCCCTGTCATCGACATCAATATCAACATAAACACCATCCACACCAAGATATACCCATCACACCCTTTTAACCATGGCTAATAAACACGATCAGGCCTCTACAAACTACAAGGAAGCGTTCTCCCTCTTCGACCGCCGTGGTACAGGCCGCGTTTCCGGTGATCTCCTCGGTGATCTGCTCCGCGCTTGCGGACAGAACCCTACTCTGGCGGAAATTGGTGATCTGGAGAAGTCTGTTGGTAGCGACTGTATGTGCAGGAATATGAATCGGATACCAATATCCATACCTACCCGCTTATAGGGATCGATGCGATGAACAGTAACTAACGATGGATGAACACAGTTGACTTCGATTCCTTCTTGAAGGTCCTGAACCGTCCCGGTGGTTTCCGAGAGCCCGGCGAGCCAGAAGAATACTGTCGCGGATTTCAAGTGTTCGATAAAGATATGACTGGTTTTATTGGTGTGGGACAACTCCGTTATAGTACGTGAACTTCATTCGCTCCGTTCCCCAATCTTGCGACGCAATCCTATCCTATTCACCAACGGATGAAGAATATTCGGAAAACAAGGAGCATATATATTCCATCATCGAAATAAGCTAACCAGTTCCTCTATCTAGTCCTCACCAACCTCGGCGAGAAAATGTCCGACGACGAAGTCGATGAGCTCCTCAAGGCCGTAGACACCAGCTCCGGCGAGATCAACTACACCGATCTTGTGCGCACCATTCTGGCCAACTAAGCCAAGCAACCGATACCCCTGCAATTGCAACAGCAACAGAAATGCAATGCATTGCATACCCTTCTTATCTTATTCGATTTCGAACGTCTTTGTGTTATGAATGCGCACGCATCACGGTTATGGAACATGTCTTGTCTTATCTTGGCGAGGAATCGGGCTTCTTCTTTACTATTGCTTCTTGTTTCTTATTTTGTTACCAACTTACCACTACTACCTACTATTTCTGTCCTGTCCTGTCCTCGGTTCGGTTCTCGGCGTGAGGGGAAAACTCTTGTATTGATTGACTGATTTCATTTCAATCCGCGAATGGATTTCTGTCCATATTTGTACACTACTGTGTAGTGATTCAGAACTACTGCATTTATGTGTATTATCCAGTACTTAAAGCGTAGAAGAAAACGCTTAGCAGTGTAAGTAAGCAACGGATTTTTAATGTAATACCTGAACCTGTGAATTACTATATTAGGTTAGTTTTGCCTTTTCCAGTTTAGCGCTCTAATACGTCGTTCTATAAGCTCCCACCTTCTGCTGCTCTGGCATAAAAAGCTCACCGTGCCCTTTCGACCTCTTTTCTCCTTCGTCCCCTCTCTTCAACTCCTCTATCTTGCACTTATTGCCTCCAGAGTGCGGCTAACCCAAAAGAGGCAATTCCGTCATGTCCCTATGCAGGGTTGTCTCTTGCGATGGAGCTTACCCCGTCTACTCTGGCGAGAGATTGCATCAAGTCGAGTTGAGTAATATGTCATTTGATGCGTTATTCGTAAAGTTATAAGGTTATTTTCGCCCCCCAAAATCGTAATATTCCCTTTTGTAAGTTGGGTCCTCTCCGGAACTCCGTGTCGCGACATCCATTTGTATATATGTCTTCATCATGATTCCATCCTGATCCTGGTCAGGGTTATTAGCAGTAACAATGGCATCCTGACTACCCAAGGTCGTATCCCCCAGCCCCCGACGTCGATTACTCTTTAGAGGGTTTCGTCGATGTACATAGCTTGCTCCGGGTGACTGCGCGTTACTTGGGTATTTGGCAGTGCTGGGTCCAAATATAGATGGCGCGTAGGCTTTAATCAAGACGGAAATTGAGGGAGCGCAGCCGCAGAAGATAGCTATCGATAGAAAAATTAGAGAAGATATACCCATGGAGTGAGATAGACTTACCGATGTAGGCCTCGATCGTGCACCAGTTGAGCGAGTCAGCCAAGTCGAGGTAGTAATTTTCTGTGACTGTGGATAATTTTGTCACAGAATTATAGCGAACACAGGCCGCCAGTTGCAATATGTAAGTAGATTTTCTTTGGACGAAACAAATATTATTACACACCAGCAATGGATATAATACCCAGTCCAAAAATAGCCATAATAGCCCCCTTCTTGCGCCAAGTCAATTGTAAGCTCCAGAGCATGGGGACTGGAAGCAAGTATATCAAAATATCCGTCACAATATTCAAGACACTATTAACCTCATAGAAAAGTTATTGTAGGCCCTTGGCCATACATTTAGTCGATGTTGGGTCGGTCCAAAACAAAGATATAGGGGTACAGCTCACTAATGAGCCGATGAAACTTGCAATCAATAATCCAGCATTGATAAACATAACAAAGAAGACAGTCCAGCGCATATATTTTCGAGGATCGAGACGGAGGTAGAACCATAGTAGAGACATTTTTATCAGACCCATGGAAAGTATATAGAGGATACGCGTTATGAAGATACACTAGTGATGGTCAACAATCGTATACCGATCAGGATAATCGGAGTGCATACCTTCAACATAGGCACCGTGTCACTTTGCTTTATAGCAAGCCCAGACTGTGCGATTCCGTAGTTGGATCCGATCATAGTTGTTATTGGTAATCCGAAATTGAGTACCTGATTGTATGGGACTGAGTGAGGATTTTCGACGATATGGCTTAGGAGTGGCTTACTGCGCCAATTGTCATCAGAACTAGACGTTTTTATTAGTGCAACTCCTTCGCCGGGATCAATTGACTTACTATCATCCGTCCCAAGTGCGTTCAACATAAAACTGCGTACATATATGCGCAACGCGATTACAATAGAGTCAAACACGATAAACCCAATTCCCACACCGAATATAGACGCATGCCAATTTCCCGTCATATTGGCTGAAGGCGCCGTATTCTGGACAACAGTCGTTTTTGAAGCGTGGTAAAGGGACAAGACTCGAGCGTGGCCAGGGGCGTCAACAAGCTAAGTACCTGGGTATTCGCCGCCATGTAAGACAATTTGTCACAGTGCAAGGTGAATTGCCCCACAAACGGCAGCATGAATTTGCATCCTGCTCAATTATGCGTACATATGCAACTAACAGCTATTCATGGAGAAAACCGGGATTTTAGATTGGCTGCCAAAAGGGCATGTTCTGCGAGCAGCTGTGTGGGACTAATGGACTTTCATGCATCGAAGGATTCATTTCGTAGCAACGAATAGTAGACTTGGGGCCATTGCGCCTATCAACCTGGAATTTTACTCAAAGAGGCAGACGGCCAAACCTCGGTATCTACCGCCATCGGCGGGTTGCGATTCCTTAGCGAAGTGGTATTACATATTATATTGCGGCCCCAAAGCTCCAAAGGGGGTGGAGAATCAATCGATCGACGACCACTTCATCGGTTAGTACTGGCGCGGACCTCGGAGAATGGATCATAGTGCTAAAATTCAACGAATGGCGTCCAAACACTCCCGTCTACAGTATTCAGGTTTCCGCTGGCTGACCAGCTCGACTGAATCATGAGCCTTGGCGGATCCAGGGGAGTGGAGAAACTCTGCACTAGGGACAATTTAGTGACAATTGCTTCCTAATGTATTGTTTAAGGTCGAGGGGAAAATTAGTTGACCAATGGCAGTGTTGACCGAGGCGAGGTAGGGGTTAATGATGTCGCTCTTAAATGTGCATAGCCTCTCCTGACGATCAAGCGTGAGAAAGAACCAAAGTCCTCGTACCCTTTGAGATCTATTCCAGGTTTATAATACATAACCACAATGGCTGAATCGAAGAACGTCGCATTGGTCTTCGGGGCAAGCGGTATCTCCGGGTGGGCCGTCACCAAATGTGCTCTCTCATACCCTACGCCTACTACTTTTGACAGAGTGATTGGTCTGACGAACAGGCCGTTGACCTTGGATAAAAGCGGCCTGCCGAATGATCCTCGATTGGAATTGCATTCTGGGGTGAACCTGCGGGGAACGCTTGACGAGGTCCTGTCCCAGTTGCAAGAGAAGGTCCCCAATTTAGAGGATGTCACTCACGTCTATTATCTTGGTAAGTGAGGCAATTGCGTGGCAACAGAAATTATCTAACTTCTAAAAAGCCTACTTCAATGCGACTGCATACTCCGTGGATGTGATGGCCATCCGGGATATCAATGAAGGAATGACCTACAATGCCGTCTATGCTGTTGACCAATTGTGCAAGAATATGAAGTTCTTCGTTCTTCAAACGGGAACAAATGTATGTCTGAAACTATTTCAAACCCAAGTCAATGGCCCTAATTAATTGTTCACAGAATTATGGTGTCGCTCTTTTTCGGTTCCAGGAGCACATCGAAATCAATCCTCCTCTACGCGAAGACAACCCACGCATTCCATCGCCTTGGGGAGACGAGATCTTCTACTATGCCCAGGTTGATCTCATCAAGAAAGCAAATGAAGGAAAGTCTTGGAAGTGGTGCGAGGTTCGGCCAGATCAGATCGTCGGTAAGCTACCTTACACCTTGGGCTGAACTAAGCTCATTCCCATCTAGGCCACGTCCCCATTCCAACAAGCATGTCCTACGTCGAGCCTCTCGCTATTTACTTGATGCTCTACCGCTACGTGAATGGGCCTGGTGCCGCTGCTGTCTTCCCAGGATCTTATAGGAATTATGTCCATTCACATACACCATCCTCCCAAGATATCATCGCCCACACGGAGCTCTACTTGTCTATCGTAAAGCCAGAGCAGGCACATAGAGAGACATTCAACACAGCCGACAACGTTAACCCCGCACCTTGGACTATTATTTAGCCCAAAATATATGAATACTTTGGTCTAAAGAGTAAAGACGTAAGTCCTGAAGACAAGGCCTAGAGACCTATCGAGAAGTAGTGGTTCGCCCATCAGGATAATTACAAAAAGATTCGTGCAGAGTACGATTTGCGTCCTCGCGAAATTACCAACGAGACCTGGATTTTCCTTTCAGCTGGAATGACCTTCCTAGGCCGTGACCGCGACCTGTGTCTGGATAAGATTCGGAGCGTGGGTTTCACGGAAGAGTACCCAGTCGCACATGGTTATATCAAGGTGCTAGATCACCTAGCTCACGAAAAGATTGTCGCCAGCAAGGACGTTTGGAATAAATAGATCATGTATTGTCTTTGAGTACGGCTGGATAGAAAAGATTCAATTACCCCAGCACATCGAGTTGTATTCAAAGTTGATTGGTCACGTCTAGAAGGGGTTAGATTAAGATACAAGTCAGCCTCAAGAGCTGAAGATGCTAAGTCTGCGGAGTGTAGCATAGACAAGAGGAGGGAGGAGTGGTGGTGAAAAGCAACTACTAATATTTACTATTTGTCACTAAGCATAGCCAGCTGTGCAATTGAGCCAGAGTTATGGAAAATTATTTTATGAACTTCTTTATGTCAATTCATTGATCTATGTTAGTTAGAGATATAATGCTAACTTCTTATGCCAAGCCCATATCCTTGTAGAATGCAGTGGTTTCAGGCGCACGACCCAGGAATTGAGTTAGAGTCGTCATTTCGTCTTGGCTACCACCCTTCTCAAGTACTTGGTACCGGTAGCGGCGACCAGCATCCTTGTTCATAGGGTCATTCTTGAAGACTGTGTAGAACATATCTGCAGAGTAGACCTGGGAGCTCAAGTATCCGTAGTAACCAGCATCGTAGCCACCAATCAAATGACCAAAGGTTGCCTCGCCGTGACCCCACTCATGACCACCAGACAGCGCCTCCATGCCGTCCATTTGGGTGATCTCCTGGCGCAAACGGTTGTAGGTAGCCGAGAGAGGCAGAGCCTCGATGGCGGTGTGGCTCTCAGGCTCGTGCACGGTCATATCGAAGATACCAAAGTGCAGTTGGCGCAGGTTGAATAGAGCGTCGTTGACGTGCTTGGTGCGAATGAGATTCTCAATCACATCATCGGGGATGTTTTCTGAGGGTGGGCTAGTAGCAGTCTTGCCTCGTGCTTGCTGGGCCTCCTTCCATCCGGCAAGGTACTCGGGTGATAGGGAAGAGTAGTGTCGGCTAAGAGAGCGCAGCTGAGAGGGAGTCCAGCACCAGTTCTCCAGCATCTGACTAGGGGCCTCGACGAAATCCCGTACGGTGCTGGTACCGTGGAATCGAGAGTATATGGTCTTAGATACCAAGTCGTGGATACCGTGGCCCAGCTCGTGGAAGAGAGTCACAACCTCGTCATGCTTCAGCAGACTGGGCTTCTTGGGGCCAGGCTTGGTGAAGTTGCACACCAGGGCGGTGGCGGGGAAGCGACGGTTACCCTCACCATCGATGAAACCCTAAACATAGCAAAAAGATTAGCATTCAGCTGTCTAAAGGATTGAAAGGGGTTTTATTTGCATACCGGCTGGAGGTTGAAGTTAGCAGCGTGGCCATACTTGCCCTCACGGGGGAACAGGTCCAGGTACAGGTAACCAACGAAGCCAGATCCTTCACCTTCATCGTTCCACACACTGAAGACCTGCACATCTTCGTGCCAAACAATGTCATTGCCCTTTCCAGTAGGAGCAACAGCCGCGCGGTCCTCGCCAACAATCTCAACAAATTCCAGACCAAACAACTCCTCGAAGATCTTGAGCATACCCTGAATTGTAGTCTGCAAGGGGAAATATTCAGCGATAAGCTGCTGGTCCAGCGAGTAATCACGCTCCAGCATCAATCGGTCGTAGAATCGGTGGTCCCACAGATAGTAGCGGCCATCGGCGTTAGGATCATGCTCCTTCTTCAAGTCCTTCAGAATTTGGATCTCCTTCTGACCACCGGCGGTCAATCGTTTGCGCAGATCACCCAGGAAAGTGTCTACGGTCTCAGGAGTCTTGGCCATCTTGTCTTCAATGCGGAAGGCGGCGTGGTTGGGGTAACCCAGGAGACGAGCAGCCTCATCACGCAGAATAATGGCCTCGCGGAACAGGGGGACGTTCTGGTTGCACTTGTTCTCATTGCAAACCATCATCTGCTTTCGAACCTCGGTGTTTGTAGCGTACTTCATTGTCGGGAACAGATCCGGGTACTTGAAAGTCATCCAGAGCTTGCCAGCGTTCTCGCCCTCGCCGCGCTTGAGGCCGGAGGTGACATCCTCTGGTACACCATCCAGTTGCTCGGGGGTAAACCAGATACCTCCGTTCTCCTCATTCAGATTCTTCTGGAACTCAATGCTCAATTGACTCAAGCGCATCTTGATCTCCTTGAAGCGAGCTCGTTGAGGACCCGCAGGGATACCAAGACCATTTCGAACGAATTCCTTGTGTTCCTTCTCCAGCAGACGACGAGACTCCGGATCAAGATCCTCATTCTTCTTCAAAACAGCATCAAAAAGTGAGAAAACGTCCTCGCGCATCACTGACTCAATAGAGAACTCATCCATGAGCTCTTCCGCCTTGGAGGAAGCATCCCGGAGCTTCTGATCCGTTGAGACAGCTTGGTAAAAGCCTAGGATGTGTGCCTCCAATGCCATTTCGTTGTCATTTTGTGAAAGCGGACGTACCACAGAGTCAAATGCTGCAGTTTCCGGCTTGATGGCGGCGACAACCTTGTCCTGGACATCGCGGGAGATCTTGATCAGGCGTTCCGCATCGGCGACGAGTGATTGCGGGGTAGCTGTGAAAATGGGGGGAGCCTGTGGTGGGCGCCGAAGGTGAGCTGGAGCCATGCTTGAGGTTGTCAAGTATCGTGGTGTAGTACGCAAGTGACCTAGCACAGATGTGAGGCGAGCGGGGAGACGGAGGAAAGGCGCCACGATGAGAGCGATAAGTATGATGAGGAGGTGGTGGCGGGTGCGGAAAGCAATGGTGGGGGGATGGGGGGTTGGTGGTGGGTAGGTAGACGAATAGAAGGTGCGGTGTAGGTTTCAGAATCGGAGGTGCAGCTGTGATGCAACCAAGCTAAGTAGTAAACAGAAAGTACAGGATAGAGGCCTGAGGTGTATATGTATCGTGGCTTCTACAATATGGGGCTGTCAGGTGATCATATACGGAGTTTCCCCGCTTGTTGGTTTTTAGCCTGTAATGGCATGCCGGCACCTAGATTTCATCTAAAGCCCTAGGGTAGCTGTTCTATATTGAAGAAACTACTAGTCTGTAATGGATTTCGAAACGATCATCGGGGAAAACTCTATGTTTGTTTATTTTCCAACGGTAGAAAACCACAATACCTTCCAAGGTTCTATTTGTCTTTCTATTTATTATTCTAATTATTGTTCTTATTTTTAATCATGTCTAATATTTTCAGATGTTTCATAACATAAAAACAATTTTTCTTCTACAATAATATATAGCTATATAGAGTCTACCCTAGCAAACGGGGTGGCTTGTTGCCCTAAACAATTAGAGAGGGAAAGAAAAGAAAGTATCTACCGGGAGTCGAATAGACGTGTGATTGCTTTCTGAGAGTCTTTTGAGGGTAGAAAATATAGTTTTTCTAGCTTCACACCTTAAATGAGGTCCGCTAAGAATAAAAAGAATGGGTAGCTTCTCTTGAAACTTCTCTGTATATTTTCATTTGACAAATGTTCCGAAGAATGTAGAACATTCACTTAAAGTTCACTATAGCCTCGCCCTTTTCTGCCCTAGTATACCGCCTAGTATAGAGGCTGATAGCAACAACACTTATAGACATAGGAACTACAGAACTTCATATTTAAAGGTTTAGTCTAGTTACTGTACTTAGCTATTAGTTTGCGCAATTAAGTAAGGAGCCAGAAAGAAGAAAAATAACTTTCAAATAGAAAAGGATAAAAAATAAGGGTGTAGTCTCTATCAAAGTTATGTACAGACTGTAACATGGAGGTCTCGGCGGAGGACGAGCGGTAAGCAAATGCCAGGCAGTCGCCAGCTTTCCGAATGGACCAATCAGGTTGGCCCGTTGGGAGCGGGCATTCAAATATTCAAATATTCAAATATTCAAATGTTCAAATGTTCAAATGTTCAAATGTTCAAATGTTCAATGTTCAGATGTCCTTACATGGAGGCCTCACCCCGTGACCTTCTTTGATTCATCCAATGTTGAAGTTCTTCGTATTTTGCACCAGCCAATATTCTTGGTAGCTCTGTAGGCAGTATTCTACAAAGACCATAAGCGGATAAAGTGGGCTTTCGGTAACTATTTCTAATTCAAAGGATGAAATGATGGAGAATCGAGTGGATATTCTCCTCAATATCTCGTTCACGTAGTTGTAGAATAGGTTTCTTTGGCTTAAAGCGTTGGCTAATATATGATCGAGGTATTCATCATCCCAGTTGTCGGTCACGTAATCCATATATAAGCTATCAGGCTGATCGGACGATGAAGATTAATTTTTTGGACTTCATCCGGCAGTCTCCTTGTGATTTTCTGTCCTTGAAGCTGAATTATCGCAGGACCAATATGGGTAACCAGCTTACGTCACATCCCTTGGGCCTCCATGTAGATTGATTTGACTGTTGTATGGCTTGCAGCAGCTGGCTGCAGTATGAAGCTACACATTTACAATGGTGCAGATATGGATAAGATATGAAGATGATATAATAATGGTCGTTTCTAGTTCATGACAGATTATCTATGCGAGGGTCGCTTTTCGAACACAAAGAAAAGTAAACAAGAAAAAGGAAAGCAAAATTTCATAACGCCAGAAAACACCAGCCAGTCCACAGGAAATGCAAAGCATGTCGTTTCAATCGAGTACAATTTGAATTTAAGCCGCATCAGCAGTAGGAACCGGCTCAGGGATCTTAGTCACCTGCATACCGGCGCGAATGACGCGTTGGCCAGATTCATCACGAACATACTCGGAGTTCTCCTTGTGGGAGCGCTTCCAGATCTCAACCTCACAGCCTCCACGAATAACACCAACACGCATGGTGGAAAGAAGGTTGTGGGCAGCATTAGAGTGGTAGTAGATACCACCGTTGAACATGGCAGTGGCATCCTTGCCGATACCAGAGCTGATCATAGCCTTACCACCGGGGTGGTCCTTGATGAAGTCGGTGACGTCGTGGACAACACCAGCGATAGCAACGAGACCACGGCCGCTCTTGGCCTGCTCGACGTAGTCATCCCACTCCAGGACAGGCAATTGCTCCAGAGGAATACCCCAGTCCAGCTTGGAGCGCTTCTGGTCAATCTTCTTCTGCAGTTGCTGAACGCGACCCTTCTCGATCTCGTTTGCACGGAACTGCTTCAAGTCGTAGGCGAGACCGAGCTGCTTCATGGTCCAGATGGTCCACTTGGTAGGGTCGTACTGGTGCCACTCGATAGCATTGCGGTAGTCGGAGGGGAACTCGTGGTGGAAGTTGTGGTAACCCTCACCCAGGGTAACCAAAGCGGTGATAACGTGATCACGAGGAGAGTTGCGGTCATCGAAGGGCTGGTCACCGAGCCAGTGAGCCAGAGAGTTGACACAGAAAGTAGCCTGCTGAACGAAGAAGATACGCAGGATACCGGCGTAGACGAAACCGCCGAACCAGTCACCCCAGCCAAGGCCAGCCACCAGCATAGGGAAAATGAGACCCATTCCCAAGACGACCTTTAGGTAGTGACGGTGTTGCCAGATGACGACGGGGTCCTCATTGAGATCAGAGATGTCGGTACGGCCAATACGCTTGGGGTTCTGCTTCATGACCATCCAGCCGAGGTGAGAGTACCAGAAACCCTTGCGAACGGAGTAAGGGTCCTTGTCGGTATCAGTGTAACGGTGGTGAGCACGGTGGCCACGAGCCCACCAGCGGATGGAGCCCTCAACAGCACCACCGCCAACCAGGGCGAACCAGATACGAAGGGGCAGAGTAGCGGAGTAAGAGCAGTGAGCCCAGAGACGATGGTATCCTGATGAATCAAGTTAGAAAAAAGTGATCCCTTGGGGGAAGATTGGAAGATGTCTCAAAGATTTGAGATGAGAACTATAACAAACATACCTGCAGTGATACCAAGACCAGTGAAGAAGTAGTAGACGACGGCCCAGATGGCAGTCTTCAGCTGCAGTGGCACCCATGCGGACTGAACACATCCGTAGGCGGGGATACCGAGAATGAAGAAAACATTGAGCCAGTTGACATGCTTATACCAGTTTGCACGGGTCATTTGAGTATCGGCGATGTGCACCTTCTTGGTGTCCGCTGGCCGAGGACGGGCAGCCTCTGCCTTGGTCGACATGATGGACAAAGAGTGTTGCGTGTCTGTGTATGTGAAAATGACACTGGCTTGATTGACCAAGAGTAACGAAAGGGAAAGATGGGAAATGGGCGGGGGGGCAAGAGCTTTTTTTTTATATGGAAAGGGTCCACTTGGGGACTAACGTTGGGGGGCTTCTGGAAAGGGATTGATCGCCAACGAATATGGGGAGCTCAGCACCCACAAGCGAATGAAGAAAGGACAAGGCCACTTGAATCACAAGATCCCGAGGTTGAAAGAACTAAAAAGAAGTGACGATCAAGTTCAATTCTTGCTTTTTCAGTCTTCTCTTCACTGTGAGTGGCAAGTTTCAATGCTTTTTCCGAACAATGTTGGGTCCCGCCCCAACACTTTGTTGCCTGAGGCAGTCAAGAATTGCCCCATGCGGAAATGCCGGGAAAAGTAGGAAAAAAGAAAAAAAGAAAAAAAGATCCAGAAACATCCAGAAAATCAGGTAAAAAGTCAGTGAAATCAGAGAGATTATGATTGGAAGGAAATAAGAATGGCCTGATCTATCTAGTGGTATCTAGTGGTACGACGTGTCTCCCCATTATACAGCCCTGGACTACCTCAAGTACAGTGGTATAGTTAGTTCAAGGTTTCTATTAGTGAATTAAGGTGCAAGGCCCAGGCCCAGAGCACGTGATCCCCAACAGCACCAAGAATGTGCCTGTTAGTGCTTTCTATACACAGTATGGATCTCCATTCTCCATGTTCCTTTCCGCGGAGTGTAGAATACGGAATAGACGGAGACCGGAGTAGAAAAAGTACATAGGGATGGTAGAACACCCTTACCAGTCACACCTTAACCTATATTGAATTTTTGAATGTTCGTTTTTTTTTTTTCAGGTTCTACGTGTCTCATTCTCGGTCGGTCCCACAGGTTCCTGGCGTGTTCGACTTCTCCTTGCACCCCTGCTTGGTTCCGCCCCCCTGCGCCACTGCCCTACGGAGTTCAGTGGCAAAAAACAACGAAAACGATGCAAACTCTATACCGCCTTTCGTGTACCATTAAGCATCATTATGGACGGACTCGGCCAGCCCAGCGTCATTTCGACTATACAGTCCATGAACGATAAGATATACTTTATCGCTTAAACAAGAAGATACTGAGCGATGATTCAATAATCATGTTCAAAAGTAACCATCTAGATGACGGTGGAGATTTGCGACCGAGGCTTACTTTGGTATCACGAGGAATACCCCGGGGATCACCATAATAAACCCCAGATTTGAACAACAACTTCATCTAGTCGAGAACAACACCGGATTAATGATGAAAAGTGACATCAGTCTCGGTCTTGCTTGAATCATGGCGCTTTTTATTTTCCCAACGGTTTCGTCGGAGCGACACATGCTACTCATATACTTTCCTGGCTAGAACCCGTGTACGCCCAGGGTCAGTATTGCCTAATGAACCTACGCTTCCAACCTAATTATTCGCCTGGTGAATATGACATAGTGCAAGCGTCTAAAGCCCCATCTTTCTAACCGCATAGGAGACTGTTTCGAGAGCTCGGCAAGATTAACCCCGTTCGCCGACCGTCACATCATGCAATATCCAAATGCTTCGTTCTTCAAGTTTTTCGAGGTGAATCCCTTATACCAGGGCACACGAGCACTCTCGTACACCTGAGACCAATCATGTCATATTATAGAACCTCTGAATCAATGATTGATTAATTCCAACCTTCAAGCTACCTGATCCGCCAAGTTCCTAGATCTATACATATACCAACCCTACCACTCCCAATCCATCAGATAGGGCATCGGCACCCTCCATATACAACGGGCACCTCCGCCAAACGAACCAATCTGCATAGATAAAACCCCAGATATCGATGATAGCGGATAATTGAATGACTCCACGATCCCGCATCCACACGTGGTACCCGATGCGATCCTATCCTATCATTATCAATCTACGGAGCCCCCCGTAGTACATACTGGGTGAATAGGCACGACCAGACCCACAGACACAGACACACAAGGCATTGATAAGAACACAAAGTCCAAAGTGGAACAGCTCGATATGCATAACAGTAATCCTCATCGCTCACCACGCATATAAGCCGGGTTCTTATCTCTCATCCCCGGAGGAATACTCATGCGCAATCCTTGATTGGTCTCTGATCCAAGGCTGGGCAGATCCACCCAGATAAGACACAAAGTGGATTACTTCTCGTCCATTGGGTACAGGCCGCATCCTGGGCAACTTTAGTAGCAAAACTAAGTTACTCGATACTCTTGCTAATGATAATCGTAGGGAATTCCGAGACCTTATCCTTTCCCCACACTGATATTTAGACTTTTTTGCTTTTTTGGATTGACTTCCGTGTTTTTGACAAAAAAAAACATCGTCAAGATTCTCGTCACGATATTTTATATAACCATCTCGATTCCCCGGGTTGAGTGTGGATTTCAAGTTGATCTCTAGTACGCCTAGAACCTTAGAACAATCCACTTCTTCAACTTACTCAGCCCATTATGGATGGTCCCGACCAGATTGGACCCGATCAGTCACCGAAACGCACATATCGCGACAAGCTAGGACGCTTCGTGAGAGCTTTTACTACTCGGTATGTACTCATACTACATCGAATCTGTCGATCTATTCTGGATCACAACTAATAATCCCATTAGGAAGGGACTCATCGGCGACTACGACTATGCATTTCTCTTCACACCGAAACTCCCCTTCACCAAGCAACAGCGCAAATCCGCCCCATTCTTCGGTCTAGATGATAATGTCCCCGTTCTCCTCGCCTTGATATTAGGCTTGCAACATGCCCTTGCCATGCTGGCTGGTGGTAAGTCCCTACCTAATCACAACATTATCCCATTTTCCCTCCCAGGTCCCAAATTCAATATGTACTAACATCATTTCCTATAGTAATCTCACCACCCATCATGCTTGGCGGTTCAGCCGGCGCCAACTTCGGAACAGAAGACTACCAGTACCTCGTATCTACATCATTAATCGTATCAGGACTCCTCAGCGCAATCCAAATGACCCGCTTCCACATCAAAGGCACAAAATACTACATCGGAACCGGTCTACTATCCGTAGTAGGAACCTCCTTCGCCACCATCACCGTCGCAGAAGGCACATTCACCCAAATGTACGAAACAGGATACTGTCCCACCTCGTCCGACGGAACAAAACTCCCCTGTCCAAAGGGGTACGGTGCACTCCTCGGCACAGCATGTCTTTGTTCGCTTCTCGAAATCGGTCTCTCATTCATGAGCAGTCGGATTCTAGCACGTATCTTCCCACCAATCGTTACAGGTCCAACGGTTCTTTTAATCGGTGCTTCACTCATTGAATCCGCCATGCAAGATTGGGCTGGTGGTTCCTCTTGTGCGTCTCCGCGCGCAATGTGCCCGTCTGCTGATGCCCCTCATGCTTTGATGTGGGGTAGTCCGCAGTTCATTGGGCTTGGATTTCTTGTTTTCGTGACTATTATCATTTGTGAGCGGTTCGGGCCTCCGATCTTGAAATCTTGCGCCGTCATCGTCGGTCTGCTGGTCGGCTCCATCGTCGCAGCAGCATGTAACTATTTCGAGTCATCGGGTATTGCTGCAGCGCCCGTGATATCCTTCGCATGGGTGCACACCTTCCCACTATCGATCTACCCACCTCTCATCCTGCCTCTGCTAGCATTATACATCGTTATCACGATGGAGTCCATCGGCGACATCACAGCTACATGCGACGTCTCCAGAGTCCAAGTTGAAGGACCGATGTTCGACTCCAGAATCCAAGGCGGAGTCCTCGGAAACGGAATAACATGTCTAATCGCAGGCCTAATGACAATATCACCAATGTCCGTCTTCGCCCAAAACAACGGTGTCATCGCATTGACAAAATGTGCAAACCGCACAGCCGGATACGCCTGTTGCTTCTTCCTCATTGTGATGGGATTATTCGCCAAATTCGCCGCAGCCCTGGTATCTATCCCCAGCGCTGTACTAGGTGGCATGACAAGTTTCCTGTTCAGCAGTGTGGCTATCTCTGGTATTCGGATTATCAGCCAAATTGACTTTACGCGACGAAACCGATTCATTCTCACTGCTAGCTTTGCGATGGGTATGGGTATTACTCTTGTCCCGTCGTGGTGGGAATACTTCTTCTCTTATGGTGGTGATGACCGTGCCTTGGAGGGATTGTTGAATGCTGTTGATTTGGTTATGGAGAATGGATTTGCAGTTACTGCTATTGTGGGTGTTATTCTGAACTTGATCATTCCTGATGAACCGGATGAGGTTCCTGTTTTGGATTCGGATGATTCGGAGGATCAGGTTGAAGAGTCGAGTGAGCCTACGACTACGGGCAAAATGGAGCCTGTGGCTATATGATTTCATTTCTGTATTTATGTTTTGTTACACATCTTTTAGCGTTGGTTGTATATCCCAGAGGCTATGTATATTGAATTTACTATACGCACTTTTGCAATTGCATTAAACACATCAATCTCAACTGATACTACTACCATTTATCTAAACTACCAACATTTCTAAAAAATATAAATAATCCATCATAAAACTTAATCATACATAGTACCACACATACTCCAGAAAATACTAGTAAAGAAATACAACGTCCAAATAACAGCACTAAACCCCCTCAACCACCTCCCCAGGCGCCAACATCTTAATATACCGATGCACCCCCGTCTCGCGCACAACAACCTCATTACCAACACTCAACCCAAACTCCTCAACAGCAGGAACAAGCTGCATCCCAAGACAAGCATTCGTACGATCCCCCTCATCAATCCTTCTATAAGACTTCAACGCCTTATCCGGCTCACTCTTATGTCTAACCCCAGTGACAGGATCAACATTCGGCAATTTACACCGTATAGTCCGACAAGCCGCATGAATCTCCACATCAGCAATAGAGATCCGCTTCCACGAATCTTCCGCAAAGGCGCTAGGACCTTGAATGATTATATTCGCGCGGAAGCGTAAAATGCTTAGATTGGGAATTGCGTAGGCGCATCTAGATGCGACATCTCGATGACTTGATAGACTTAGTAGGTGGATGGGGTATGCGTCTGCAAAGGCGGTATTAGGTTGGAAGCCTAGGGTTTCTTGTCGAGGGGCGTTGCGGAAGATATGTCGTGTGTGTTGGGGGCTGGCGCGGAAGAGAGAAATAGGTGATTGTGATTGTGATTGTGATGAAGTGGGGTTGAAACCTAGGTATTTATGTAGAGATGGTGGAATGAAAGAGGCATAGTTGAATGCTAGAGGTTTGTCTTTCCAGATTTTGACGGGGAGGAGGGAATAGTTATTGTCTGAGTTTTTGGGCGGAAATAGAGGGACTGAGAAGGCATGTCGTGATTTGATTAGGTGTGTGACTGTGCCTATTTTTCTGAGGATTTGTCCTATTCTCGTTGCTGGTTGAGGGCGTGGGTATGAGATTATCATAACGCCTTGAGATTGAATTTCCGGGAGCTTGGGATCGTACTCTGGGGATGAGGGGTCTGGAACCCATAACTCGGGCTGAATAAGAGCCAAACGCTGATATCCTGCATTTCGAAGAGTGCGAGTATTCCAGCCCTCAGCACCATTCTCAGCAAAGACAAATTGGCGATCGAATTTGAGACCTGTAGGCACGACATCGGAATTTTGAAGCTCAATCCCAGCGCAAGATTTTAAAGGGTAGATGAACAGCGCTTTGATACGCCAGGAGGGCAAGCCATTCTCATCTTTAGTATTTGGAGGAACACCATGGCTATACTTTGAATTGAATTCGTCGTGTAGATTGCTCTGGCCTGGTGGAAGACCGAGACGTCGACATCCTTTAGGACGGAGTAGATGGGTTTTCCGACGAGACCATGAGATGAATATGGGGAGACAGCAGATAATTAAGATATTCCAGGAGATGTACTCGAGATCGAGGTCAAGATCTCGCAAGACATTATGCCATGACGACATGAGGTTCACCTGCAGGGAAATCGGTATCAAAAGTATACAGTACGATCGTGTCATATCTCCGTGAAAGCCGAGGGAACTCGCGATTGTGCGTTGGACCCACTTGATCCACGCAACTTTGACTACACCTCACGCCGTAGACAAGACGCGCTGGCGAGAAGTTCAGGCACGAGAATTCAGCGCTGGATTGCGTGCGGTTAATTAAATGTCATTGTCATAGTATTCTGCTTTGCCTCGATGTCTGAATGATTCCTCACCATGGATGCCATCACGGACCTTTTTGGGTTCGACAACCAAGACACGCGTAAGTCGATACTTTACGCGACGTAAATATCCTATACTAACTATTTGAAGAGCCCGTTGTCTCTATATCAGCCTCGCAGTCATTAAACGAGTCTGAGTTTTCTAGAGAGCCCATAACAACTGGACTACCGCGTTTCGATCAGGCGTTGAATACCGCGTCTTTCGACCCGCAACGAGCTGGCGGAATCTTGCGTGGACAAATTACAGAGGTTTTTGGGCCACCAGGAGTGGGAAAGACTGCATTGGCGTTAGTTTTATCATGGATTTCCCTCTTTTCATATCGAATATGTCATTGACTCCATACAGACTAAATATTGCCTCCCATGCACTCCGCGACGGTGACAAAGTCATCTGGATCGGTATGATAACCATGTCCACAGCCTAATGTACAAAAAGCACCACATCTAACAAAATCAAAACCAGACACAAGCTCACCACTCCCCAAACCACGACTTGAAGAACTAAACCCATCCACAAACACAAACTGGGAAAATCTTATCTACTTCCGCACCCCAACACTCCCCCACCTCCTCGCCTTACTATGCAACCCACCCAAAGAATTCCCACCCCCAGAAACAACCCTACTAATAATCGACTCCGTTTCTTCATTATTTCCCTCCTATTTCCCCAACGCAGCCGAACTAAAAGATCGCCAAACACAAGGCAAAATAACGGACAAAGCCCAGCTTCAATGGCTACTTAATCGCAAATGGAACGTCTCATCCGATTTAGCAACTCACCTTGCACGGCTCGCGAGTCGAGGAATCGCCGTGTTGGCTATTAATCAGGCACATACGAAGATTAAGGGACAGCCGAGGGCGACGCTGCAACCTGTTTTAGCGGGTGGGGGGTGGGATAGTAGTGTGCAGACGCGAGTTGCGATGTATCGGGATCTTCCTGATAAGCGATATATGGAAATTACAAAGAGAGCGGGGAAGACATTTTCTGTTAGGATGGCGGATATGATTATCGGGTTTCGAATTGATACGGTTGGTGCTTTTCGGGCTTTCTGTTGTTGTTTGGATTCTTCGTTACTGACGCATTTTAGGATGGTCTTCATGAGATTGTTGAAACGGAACAGAGATCACCGGAGCTTTCTCGCAAGAAGACGGCGCAGCCGATTGAAGAGACGCCGTGTCGTAAGCGCAAGGCATCCGATGAAATTGCGGATAGCCAAGATGAAGAATCCGATGAAGAATACGATTAGAAGGAATCTTCGATTGATTTCATCCGAGTTACGATCATAACGATGAACGATAATGATGAAGATCGCATCTTGCATTATTATTACATGAATTATTTCATTTTCTTGTTTGTACACCGTCGCATCATGAGTTCGATCTCCCCAATTCCCTCCTACCCGACCCCACAAATCCCTTCGCTTCCACCATCCTGTTCCTAGTCATTGCAGGAAGAATCTCCTTCGGTTCCGGCATATGTTCCTGCTCCGGCTCTGTATCATGCTGCTCAACATGAATCGTAATCTCAGGTGGACGCGGATACGAACAAAGAGGCAACGTATCAGCAATAGCAAGGGAGATAGGATGTCTCGACCCCTGAATAATATCAACCAAACGACCCAGCACCGCAAACTCAAGCTTAAGTTTAAGCGAGTAAATAAACCCCTTAAGAACAATCTGAATAGCATATTGATTCGCATACTCAAGACCCAACAATAACAAATCCATCGCAACAATAGCACAATTTATCCCAATAAGCTGATACATAATCGACCGCGAGTCAGGACGAAGTTCCGCATCCACTCCAAGCCGAAGTAACTTGACGGTATGTACCACGTAAAGCGTAGATATTAAAGTCTCCTGAATCGTGAAGCCGGTCAACTGAACCTTTTCCATAATGTTATATCCCCATACCCAGGCCATATCGCCCGAATGGACGATATTAGCCCCATACGTCAAGACGGTAGTGGGTACGTGGAGCAAGAAGAAGTTGGCAATGATCATCTTCAGCACGCGAGCTAGTGTCTTTTCATTGCGAAGCACGAGATGAAGGCGCGAGTATAACACGACCGATTGTCCAGTTACCATTGTCCACCAGCCGACTGTTAAGACAGTCACGGAAAGTACTGAGTCGGCCTGGGTGAAAAACTTCATCATAAAGCCGATTGAGTATGGCACTATCCCGACACAGGCAGAGACCAGTAGCGACCAGAAATAAAGGCCTCGCCAGCGACGGAATGAAGTCGGGACTAAGATGATGAGTTCCAGGACATTATAGCATGATAGTCCGATGAAAGTCACTAGGACCATTTGTAGGATATTTCCTTCTGCTGCGAGAGCTCCGGATATACCATTTAGGAGATCCTCAGGAGACGACATAATTTATTCGAAGCTTTTGTCGCTTTTGTCGAGAAGAGTGCATTGAAATAAAGCGACACCAATCAAATCCAGTAAGGAAAAAAAGCACTGGCAATAGGTATATCAAACGAGCCAGTAGACTCGACTCTGTAGAGCCTACTTCACCCTGTCTGGTATGCCCACATTCTCCAAACTGGACAGTATATTGAATTGAATTGGAGGGAAGGAAACAAAATTCAGATTAAAGAAAGAGAAGAGAAGAAAAGAGAGGAAGAAGAACAAGAAGAAAGTCACCTGGAGTAAGGCTGGGCCAGATGTAGTACAGGATGTACCCACAGTACCAACAAATACAAGCAGATGGAATAAAAAACTCCAGCTTGCATGCAACCTTGGAACCGTCCAAGCCACTGGGTAGAATTAAATTGTTTAAAAAATCATTTCTCTCTCATTTTTGGCCCCTACAGTCCGTGCACAAGAGCGGGTGTACAATGGAAAGAGGAGAGCGAATCACTAGTTCAGTGATAAGTGACCCGAGCCCTGGGGTAGAGGGAAGTTTAACGCCATGGTCCAAATAGCTCGGGTGTTTTTCGCGGAGAAACTAGGAGCCAAAAAACCTGTCAAAAACCTTCCATAACAGGATGAACTTGGCACTTCCAGTACTCCGTGTATGTACGGTATTAACTCGTATGGGTTTGGACCAGCCTCGTCCCGGATTGCTACTTTCAGTTAGGCGGGCAGCTGGGCAGGATCCATGCTAGACCATGCATCTCCCGGGTTTCTGGTTCAGCGTATATATTGTTTACGGGATACGTGGAGAAGGAATGGATACAGAGTTTGGAAGGAAGCGACAAATCTCAAGAAAATGAAATTACATGAGTCCAATTTCAGCTGTTACGAGGTGTCAGATGGGGTGAGAGTGGAGATACAGGATTTGGTGGATTGGAAAAAAGGTCTACGGTGCGATGCTGTTAACCGCGGTACTTATCCGGCCCCCAATACGCGTGTGTACATGTGTACAATCTGGTATGTGGCAGCGGTTGTCCTTGAGATTCAATTCTTCACCTGCTGATTTGGATGATGTGGCTGATTTAAGTGATTTGCTATGATCAAACAAATGGAAAAAAGACGTGTCATTGGAGTTCTATCATGTCTCTCATAGGTTGGTCAAGTAGTCCTCGATCTGCTCCTTGGTCAACTTTCTGAACCGTGGGCCTTGGGAATCCTCCACACCCTCGAAGCCCAGCAAGTGATCTGCGGGCGGGCCAACAATGCCTGTTTCATGTTAGTCAGCTTGAGAAAGTAACAAAAAAGAATCAAGCCAAGCTAGCTAAGGTAGGAACGAGAACTCACCAATTTCTATTGTGTCGCCATTCATTTCACCCTCAATGGTCTCCTTGAGTGTCAACAACGCAATGTGAATGGCGTCTTCCAGCTCCAAGCCCTCGGTGTATCGTTTTTCCAGGAAAGTCTTAGCACTTGTCGCATGCTTGCCAATGGCCGTCGCCTTCCACGGATAGTAGCTACCGCTAGGATCAACCTGGTACAGACTAGGTCCACCCTTAAGGATACCACCGGTCTTACCAGGTGTCTTCTCCTCGGATGAGCCCTCCTGAACAGCCTCTGCAGATTCGGGCTCAACACCCTCATCCCAACCGGCAATCAACAGACTGACACCGTACGGCCGCACACCACCAGACTGCGTGGCTTCTTGAACCACTCGGGCGACATCCTGTACCAAGATACGGGTTGGAGGATACTCGTTATAGATGCGCTTGTAGCCTGTGTGTGAGACCTTTCGAGCCTTGTCTACCAGCACACGATAATCGGGGCCCATGCCAGCGTAGACCATGCCGATGTCTGGAGTGATCAGAGAGATCTTCGAGAGCGAGGGGGGATCGATGAGTGGCGATGAAGACTTTTTCTCGGTGGCGAGGACGATGCCATTAGTGGCTATGAAAAGGAGATGGTTAGCTTCACCTTCTGGATTAATGTTCTGATGGAGATAAAATGTTCCCATACCTTTGATACCGAGGGCTGTGACACCCTGGTTGACGGCATTTAAAGCATATTCTAATCAGCCATTGTTAGTCTTCTAAGACGTGCCACATGTATTGGCTACTAATTCCATCTTACCAATCTGTACCAGCTTACCGCTGTTTAATCGATGATGTTAGCTTATTGGATCAATGCTGGGGTGTGTGAGGTGGGCTTGGGATCAATCATTTACCTGGGCGAGAAGGTCGTAAGGGAGAATGAGTAACGGTCCGCCATGATAATGTGTATAGAAAAAACAACAATATCACAGAAGATCGCAAAAGAAGGATAAATAGAAGGAGGTTGGTTGGGGTGGATTAGCAGGCAGACGGAGGGTGACGTTTGACGCGGATGCTTAGGTAGCTGGGAGCTGCTTGCTTGCTCTGTCAAGGCGGTGAGTCCGATCGGGTTTAGTCAAGGTCGGACTTGCCCACAATTTCTTCCTTCCTCTTCGCCCTTCTCTCTCCCTTCCCTCTTCCAACAACTTATCTTCCTCTCTTCTTCCTTGTTTTGAGCAAGGACTGATCTCATTCGAAAGAGATGGTTCTTTTTAACAATTCCAATGGATTCCCCAAGCAATGAGCAAAGCTCACAAGGGGCAGAGTCAGAATCATCTTCTCAACGAAGCTACTCTCCACGAACGTGTCGGATTTGTCTGGAGACAGTGTTGCCGACTTTTCAACCTTCGGAATTTTTACAAAGACCTCGCGTGGTTTATGAATCCGAAGATCCAGAACTAGGCCGTCTACTCCGTCCCTGCAAATGCAAAGGCTCCTCGCGATATGTACACGAAGGATGCCTCCAAGCATGGCGACATTCAGACCCTAAATACCGGACAAAGATCTACTGGCAGTGCACGATTTGTGGTTTCCAGTATCGACTGGGACGACTGACATGGGCCCGCTGGATTAGTAGTACCGCGACACAGATTATTTTGACGCTAGCCATTCTTTTACTGGCCATCTTTCTACTTGGATTCGTTGCTGACCCCATCATTGACCTTTATCTCGGTCCCGTGGACGACCTTTACGATGAGCTGGAGGACGACGCTTCGTGGACGGAACACTTTCTGAAAGGGTTTGCTGCGCTAGGGTTATCGTCGTGTCTGAGGGCGCTATTCAGCTTCTCGCCGATCCATTGGAATTTCCGTTCCTCAAGCATCATTGGTAATAGTCGCTCCACTGGACGCAATCGAACAGCCAACTTAACATGGCTAGTGATTCTGGCAGGCGTGATTACATTTCTCTGGGTATGCTGGGCATCTGGGCATCGTAATGCTGACTACTCCATCAACTAACCTACATATTTACATTTAGAGTGTCTACAAGGGCGTCCGTGCCTGGAGCAGACGTACCCTCCAACGGGCAGGCGAAAAGGTCATGGATGTTCCTTTACCAGGGGACGAATATGAAGATGTACCTGAAGAGCCCTCCGCCCATCCTAAAGCCGAGTAACACCGATTTTGTTTTGTTTTATTTTTCATCTCAGAACTCGCACTACTTAAGTTACCGTGCTCCTTTCCAATGAGACGTTGATTAGTCGATGTGCGAAGAATTTTCGTTGTCTTCATTAACTCTTGTGTGAAGATCTGAGAGACGGTGTCTGATGGCGTCTGGAACGTCTTGTTCTGCTTGTCAACAGCCTGTCTTGTTAATCAGAACTTCACCTTGGGGAAGACAAGACCAAAACCTCAATTGTATCAGAAAGCAAGCTTCTCTTTATGAGATGATCAATATGCATTTTGGGATTGAGGAGTTGGTAAATACCGCTGTAATTACATTCATGGAATTTAATTCATTATTCTTTTCTAGATTTGTTTCTTTTTTTATTTGAATATAATCTCCTTTTACATAATTTTGTGCACTTGCTTTTCCTTTCCCATATTCCCCTCTCTGTTTATTGTGCGCCGCCTTTCGTTCCTTTACTTCTTTCACTACAAACTTGACGTCGCTTACTTCACGTTGCCTCACCCCCAGTCATTCCTTTACACCATATGTACTCATTAACTGTGCAACATGGCAAAGACCCCTGTTTCATCCCTGCTAGACGCAGTTCGTTCGCAACTCGTCGTTGATTCGGATTCAGATGGTGCATTGTCTCCAGGCCGCTCATCTGAGAGGTGTGACCCAGTCCGGGAAAGTGAACTCACCCACGCACACAATCCACGCAATCGACGCAGTATACACATCTCACGAAAATCAAACAGCTCTTCGGAGCCCTTTCCAGAGTACGAGGATTCCCCACCGATGGACGCAGCCGATGAGGCCTACAAAGAGGCATTCACAGCAGTCATGCAGGAAGACATCAGAATCCATACTGTCGAACCTGCCCTGGAACCACTGTCAGAACAACCCGTGAAGAAGCAATGGGTTCTGGATGAGATGACGAAGTGTCTCTCGAACCCACAGCTTACCGAAGACACCAGGATGCGATTCATAGCTCTGACCAACATGGTTATTCGTCTGGACAGTGCCCTCTTCTCCGGGCCGATATATGACTTCCTCAATCCATTTGCGACAGCTGAGGCCCAGAGCATCGCAAGTTGCATCCTGGACTTCGCCTCGTGGACGAATAGTCTGCTGAAGGAACTTGTGGACAGGGCAGACAACGTTTGGAATGTGCTGGAACTTATCCTGGAAGAGGACATCCCAGAAATTGTACGCTACCAGCGCATGGTACGCTTGGTTTCCGCGTATGTGAACTTCTTACCTCTTGCCTTCCACCTTTGGATTGTAAGGTCGAGATACAAGGTGTAGCTAATTGTATTCAATAGTCATCTGCAGAAGACTCGGCGTCTCGAACAACATTTGCTTCAGTTGCTCCTCGATCTGTACGATGAATGGGTTCACAATGATTTTCTCCGACTGCGCAACGCTCAGATCGTCCAAGAAGCCCCACTGGATAACAACCGGCTTCATCTGACTCGGACACTTCACGCCATCTGGGACGTTCTGTCCCGAGCAATCGAGAACTATGACATCTATCGCGCCTCCTTGAATGCCATCAGAGACAAGTTCTTTACCACGCCCGATGATACCGCTGGGTCTTCGTCGTTCATATCTCTACGTTGTTTTCAAGACTGAACCTAGGACATAAGATCACATAGGGAGAAGCGAAGCGAAGAATTGTACGATGTAATGAATGATGCATGTAATAAATCACGAATGATGCATGATGTACCATGTACCATGTAGGATACTGATGTACGATACGATATTGCCCACTCCGTCAGTTTGACGAGTTAATCAAGAATAAAACATGAACAATTGCACAAATTCAACCCCTAAATTAAACATAAATATACAACTTGTGCTCTCAAGCAGTACTATCCTTATACGGCCCCAACTTAAACAACTTCTTAGCATTTTCCCTCCCAATCTTCAACCGATCCGGCTCCGACATCTCAGCCTTATCAAACCAATCACACCCATCCTCAAAAGTCTCAAAAGGATAATCAATCGAGAACAAAATCCTATCCGCCCCAACCTCAGCCATACAAAAATGCAACGTAGGGGTCGAAAAATGCCCCGAAGTAGTAATCCAAAGATTCTCCGCAAAATACTCCCTTATAGTCTTCTTACACGTCTCCTGCAATCCCAACAGCTTCTTTCTATCCTCAAACCAGTGATTAATTCTCCACATGTCAAAGGGGATATGTTCTCCGAGATGACCGAGGATAATCTGCAGCTTGGGGTGACGATCAAAGACTCCATTTGTAACCATTCCTAGGGCGTGGAGGGATACTCCCTGTGCAAAGGAGAGAGGGGGTCCAACGAGCCATTTTCTATCCGCCCAGAGCTTTTCGTAGATTGTTCCGGTTGGATTGCGTGGGTGAAGGTATAAGGGCACATCGAGCTCTGTGCAGGTTTGCCAGAAGATATCCCATTTCGAATTATCGTAGAAGATCATGTCGTCGCCATCCGGTCCGGCGCGCTGGGTATCGTTTACCAAGGCACCGAGGAATCCGTACTTTGTTACACAGCGACGGAGTTCCTGTGCTGCTTCTTGGGGATCGTGCATGGAGAGGGTTCTATCGTATCAGTTAATATTGGTATTGGAACTTGTTGCTAGGTGTGGTAGGCAAGGAGCTGTAGAACTTACGCAAATGCAGCGAACTGATCGGGGTGCGCCTTCACCTTCTCGGCGATATAGTCGTTGATCTCCACTGCGAGGGCTTGTGCATCTTTCGCGTCCCAGATATCCTGTACACCAGGTGCAGTGTAAGAGAGAATCTGAAGACCAACACCATGCTTCTCGGCGAAATTCAATCGAATAGAGTCCACATCTGTAATCTCGGCAGTGTGCTTATCGACATCAGTGGCGAACATACCCGCCCACCACCTCGTCTTCTCCTGGAAGCGGGGAAGCGCAAAGGCTTCTTCGAGTGCGATCTTGCCGAGCATGGTTGTTTTCTGTTCTTTTCGTTTTATTTCAATCAAGTAAATGTTCAAGATGAATAGTGACACAAAGAAGAACTGGGAAAGAGCGGGCTTAAGAGATAGTTAAATGTCGGAATTTAAGCGGTTTACGTTCTACTCCGCATTTAAGCCCTGCGCCGTCGGAAGGTGGCTTTTATCTTATCAGCTGTGGTACTCTGCACTTATCCTGGGGTAGCTATGGTGACACATTGTAGTGGCCGTACTGTTTTTCGGATGTTGGATGCATGGGTTATCCGACGGTGACGCGGTCCGCTGCACTGAGTACAGTATGTGTTTAATGCACTGGCGGCTCGAGATGCGGGGCGGATCGACCACTTCTCCGGTTGCCGAGCCGATCTCTATCCGACGGTTCAAGCTATAGATACCCCAGAACTTGGAGCTAAGATACTCACAAGGGCATTAGAATTTCTAATGAAACTGATGTGGATTTGTTCGGCTAAAGCGGAATGTCGAGTCTTGTATCATAGGTTATAATCCTCCACTCAACTTGGATCGGCCCAAATCCTGAGATTGGACATGGAAATCGAAACCATCTCCTTCAGATTTCCAAGGCGAGCCTTATACTTGATGTATGTATATAAGATAGAGTGTGGAGCATAAAAAAAACGTTTAGTGTGAGCGACATACTCAACCATCAATTTCTTCTGTTTATTCATAATCTAGCCGAATCATAATGCACTTAAGGGAGCACATCTACACTTGATGGCAGGTTCCATTGAGCGGTCAGGACGTCATGCGGGGTGTACTTTGATCCTCAGGCTTTGTAGAAAGCCGTGTCCCTCAACCATTTTCAATATTTCTCGTTTCAAAATGCATATTTCAGGTCTTTATTTGACACTCGACAACAAAGCTCTTATTGTTGCTCAGCTTGTTTATGATGGCCAAAACCACAAGAGTGTACATACGTTGAAGCATGAGCCCTTACCTAAGCAAGTATCGAGCAGTCAAAATGGCCTCCTCAAATGAACATTTTCCAGCTTTGAAGTCACGTCTTTAAACTGACCCATGTCAAAAGGTCTAGGATATAGAGTCTAGATGCTGAAAATGATTACGTTGATCCTTGCTCATTCCCAAAAGAGAACTGTGACAGATGATCCTTTGTCTACCATGCTGCACTCGACAAAGCTCACCAATCATTTTCAATCCACCAAGAGTTCCCTTACACTAGCTCGCTTATAGTTCATGCAAAGATGCATTCTCTTTGACAACCAACGGAGTACGCGCCACATTAAGAACTCCCAAAAGCAAGAAAGCCAAATATTCGCCTCGTGTTCGCTCTTTGTTCCTAATTCCCCGAAATCTCCTTTTAACAGTCATGATCTTTCACCATCCTCGAGTCTCTTCGCATGACATGACATCTAGAGATGGCGGAGAAAATCGACCCATTCGATGACTACTCATCTCGCGATTTTGTGCCGCAGCCCCAGCGAACAGCAGGGAATGCAGCTGAGCGAGCTAGGCGTAATATAAACGCTAAACTTTCTAATCCACTGGCAGGATTCAGTCATACTGAGCTGCGAAAACAAGGTCGTGTATTTGCTTTAAGCCATGAGATAGGAGATGATGAGGATATTCGGGCCTTCGAACTTGGCGCGATTTTAGCACAGGCCCCGGAAAGATTTCCACGTATCGATGCACTTTGTCCTCGTGAGAAAGCAATTCTGCGTCATGAGGTTGAACATAAATGGTCGCAGCCATGGAAAATGTATATCGTGATCGCATTATGTTCTCTTTCTGCTGCTGTTCAGGGAATGGGTATGTCAATCAACCCATATTAATAAGATAAATACTGACCTTTCTTGTCTCAAGATGAAACCGTTGTCAACGGAGCTCAACTATGGTATAAGCATCAATTCGGAATCGCCGACGACAGCGCTAGAAGTACCTGGCTCCTCGGCCTAATTAACGCAGCTCCCTACCTCTGCTGCGCTCTAATAGGTTGCTGGCTCACAGTCCCATTCAACGACTGGTTCGGCCGTCGCGGAACAATCTTCATCACATGTATGCTCAGCGCTCTCTCCGTACTATGGGGAGGTTTCGCGTCAGAATGGTGGAATTTATTCCTCTCCCGATTTGCGCTGGGCTTTGGTGTTGGTCCAAAATCAGCAACTGTGCCTATTTACGCTGCTGAAACGGCCCCACCCGCTATTCGTGGTGCGCTAGTTATGCAGTGGCAGATGTGGACGGCTTTCGGAATCATGTTAGGTTACGCTGCTGATTTGGCTTTTTTTCGGGTCCCCGATACCGCCACTGTTGTTGGGATGAATTGGAGGATCATGATAGCTTCTGCAATCATACCAGCTGTAATTGTGCTGACATTTGTCTTTGCCTGTCCTGAGTCTCCTCGTTGGTATATGAGTAAGAATCAGTATTATCAGGCTTATCAGTCTATGTGTTGGCTTCGGCATCACAAGATCCAGGCTGCGAGAGATATCTTCTATATGCATACTTTATTAGAGGCAGAGAGGAATATGAAATTGGGGCAGAACAAGGCGTTGGAAGTTATTCAAGTGCCTCGAAACCGACGGGCCATGGTAGCGTCTGAGATTAACATGTTTATACAGCAGGTAAGTTAAAGAGAATAAAGCCAATGGCACTAAATGAAATGAAAGCGAAAAGCTAACATTGTACTACAATTTACTAGTTCTGCGGTAATAACATACTTGCTTACTACTCATCAGCCATATTCATGGTACAGTTCCCCATCATTTCAAATGAACGATATTAAATCCTAACAATAACATTTCATCACAGGACGCCAACCTCAAAGCTGAATCCGCCTTACTGGTCTCCCTCGGCTGGGGAATGGTCAACTGGCTCGGTTCAATCCCAGCAATCTACATAATCGACACCTACGGCCGCCGCAACCTCCTCCTAACATCCCTCCCCCTAATGTCCCTCGCGATGCTCTTCATAGGCTTCAGTTTCTGGATACCAATAACAACAAAAGCCCACTGCACCTGCGTCGCAGCAGGAACCTACATCTTCGGCGCAATCTACGCCCCCGGAGCTGGTCCAGTCCCCTTCACCTACTCCGCAGAGGCATATCCGCTCTATGTCCGATCACATGGAATGGCACTAGCAACAGCCACAACGTGGTTCTTCAATTTCATTCTTGGAATCACATGGCCGCCTATGCAGAATGCGTTTACGCCACAGGGTGCGTTTGCAATCTACGCTACGTGGAATATTGTTGGGTGGTGGCTTGTTTTACTTTTTGTGCCTGAGACGAAGGGGAAGACGCTTGAGGAGTTGGATCAGGTGTTTTCTGTTCCGACAAAGTTTCATGCGCAGTATGGGTTGAGGCAGGTTAAGTATTTTGTTAAGAGGTATGTGCTGTTTCGGGAAGTTAGACCGGAGGTTCTTTATGAGATGCAGGAGGCTAGGTATATCCCTGAGGATTTGGGATATAATAGTTGATTGAAATTCTCGGGTTGGGAATATAGATATGGGTGCATTATGGTAGTCGAAGATTGGGAACTTGAATTTGAAGTTATGATGATTTGAATGAGCGTTATGAATCTGGACGCAAGGCGAAGGACATTCTCTGTATAACTCAAGCAATGTCTTTTATTATATCAGAAGGAGAAGATGTCTTCAGTATCTCTATTAGTAATTATTGTTACAAAACGTTTGTTAAATTCGATTAGGTATAAATTCTGGAGATTACTATATGTAGTTCCGGCGATTTAAAATTAAATTTGACACATGATTAAGCAAGGGAACCACAAGCTGCAGTACGAAGATCGGCCTGGCATGGCAGTCGTCGCTCACATACAGTCAACAGATCAGTATATTCTAACCTATGAGTACTGTGGGTCAGAAAATTGTCAGGCTTATTACAAAGTTTTATCATCGCCATTGACATTCAACTCCGCGAATGGAGTACTAATATTGTCGAATGATGCCTCCAAAACAGCACCGGTTGGATCTCCATATGTTATTTAGACACCACGTCCGGATAAGGCAGATGGGTCTAGCATGATTATCATGAATGCAACCTCAGGCTCCGAAGTGTTTGTCAATGACGATTCGGCTGGTCAAAATGGTTGGAGGGTGGTAGATATTAAGTAGTGGTCTGCATATTCACGATCTTTGAGAGTTATTAATGATGCGGATGAGAGGCGCTTGCTTTTGAGAGCTGGAGGTAATGTGGTGGCTGATACCTCATGTCACTGGGTTTCATGTGGTGTGATTGATCTTTCTGTTTTGCTTTGAATGGTGGAATCAAGGAGGGCCGCATGATGCTTATGCCTAGACGGTTCGAGGCGAATTTCAGCGCGAAGTCAATTATGTTCAAAACATCGAGCCATTATTCTACGTATGAAAAATTTGATTTTATTCCGCAAGTGGCTTTGCGTTCGAAGCGACTGAATCCATTTGAGATAGGTCCTGAATTTAAGAACAATATCTAGGCATTTATTACAGGCCCAGAGGTGCTATCCCCCCCCCGCAGTTTCTCCCTATCTTTAGTGTGATAACTTGTTATAAGCTCTCTAGTTCACCCATGATTTAGCCACACAGCTATTGCAACGCCCAGGGCAATCAACGAGGCTAAAAGTACCTCGCATGGAACTAGCATGCCAATCATTGCCATACTTGTTAGCGTAGCGAATATGCCGCCCGCTGGAGTAAAGCCGCCATACATCCACGACTGAAAGGCTGCCGCTAATGAACCTGCCACATATTTTAGCTGATGATATCAAGATCTGAATAGATCCCACAATTAAGAATCAAAACGTGGGTTATACCTGGCAAAATACCGACTGGGCCGAAGCCCAGGCAAAGAAAAATAATCATTAAGACGGTAAAGGTAATCCACCAGGCTGTGATAGCAGCCAGTATGTCTGTAGCTAGCTATCAGTCACCGAATTACCTATCATATCACGACGTTGCTCACCAGGACGTGAAAGCCATTGTAAAATCTTCTCGGAAAAGTCCTTCCACGACCAAGATTCCATAACTTGTTGTATCCATGTCAAAAGAAAAGAACGATCCTTTGCAAACTGACCGAAGCCAGCGCTAAGGATGTCAGGCCGGGTGAAGTTGAGGTTAGCGACAAACAGATCGAGCGGCGCCATTCTGATGGGGAAGGTGGTGATGGAAATTTACGAACGGAAAATGTCTTGTGAGAGATGTAGAACTCTTTATGTATGGTAATAAAAGTCACTCAAAAAGATAAGCGCCCAAGTTTACAAGGGTGGCTGCAGTCATTGCATACGCGCCCGATGGGCTGTGCTTTTCAGTGGACAAACGAACACGAATTCCCAGCCCATTGTGGCTTGGTTTGTTTGTCTGAATTTGCCTTACAAAACAAGCAATGGTGTCATTGCAACAAGATCCGGTACTTCATTGGTTGACCGACAAAGTAGTTTGATATACACTATGTACGGGGCGTGTGAGCCTTGGTGGGTCTCTTGCGCAGGCCGAGTGATGTTAGTACTTCAATCACCGCAAGATGGGGCCAGTATAACGGAGTTGGCCTGTGCAATCGATTGATCTAATATGTTTAAAAGATTTCAAGAATCAGCTATTATTTTGATCAGTTTATCTTGAGTACATGATTATTACTAGGTGACTTCTAATTATCGACTAGTCCAGATTCGGCTTCCGTTCCAAGGTTCCTGCTCTGACTGGCAAGTGTATGCCTGAGGCTCTAACACGCGCCCCTCCTTCCTTTTCGGGTAGATCGTTAGATCATCCTTCTTCACCCCAAAGTGTCTTCCCGCCAAAAACGAAACCATACATCCCGAGGATCTTCTTTCTCTTCAAGATGACTCAACCTTACTTTGGGATCTGAGATGAGTCCCGTTACAATGTCCTCAATCCAATCGCGCCTTTTCTGGAAGTGGCAGTGGCGGACACAGTTACCAAGCTTGGTTGGCATAGGAGATTTCAGACTGTGAGGAGGTACGGCTTGCATGGCGATAATCGATTACATTATGGCCACATTCCATTTGTTCACAAGTATTATCGAGATTTCTTTCTTGGTATTCTCATCGATGAATACAATATCCGACTGAACATACAGCAACAGGAGAGAATCGAACGAAAGATAAACAGTCTACGTCCGCCACTGGAATCTGACGTTCTATACAATGAGGAGCAGCAACGGGATTTAGATGAGGTCGGAATCGATTACAGTGACCTATCACCGTTACTTCGCGATTCATCGGGTGTATTACACCAGGAGGAACCAAAGACTACTCAGATCCCGGTGTTTCAGACGACCCTCTGTCCACGAGTCACCAAATTCCACGAAAAGGGTTTCAAAATATTACAACACAAACTTGACGAGACAAACCATCAACGCAGCCAGCTTTCACGCAGGCTATACGAGATGGAGACCATGCTCCCGGACCTAGTCAAGCAGAACTACGAATCTATTCGAAAAGACCCAAACGGGTACATGCGAAAGGAGTTGGTGAAGGATTGTGCCGATCGAGGTGGATGTTGCGGTCACCGATTGCGGATGTTGTGCAGCGCGTGCCAAAAATGTTTATAAAAAAGGCATTGGTCATTGTACGGTCGAGTGCTTTTGTTGTGTTGGCTTTCGAGGTTTCAGACTGTCTTCACAGGAAAAGAAGGATACACTTAGGAGAATTATGATGATTCTCAAACGTGATACTGCGACGAATTAAAATGGCGAACGCGCTAAGTAGTTCAATGAACATCATGCCCCTTGATGCCGAACTGCGAGATATCTATTATCTAGTATCCCCCTTGAAACTTGAACCCATGATTGATTTCTCATTTTTGCCCCTTTTCAGCCGACAGAGAATTAAAATACCTTTTAGTAACTTCAAGTACTATTTAGGCCCATGGGATATCGCCAAGCCAAGCCTCAATCCTGCGATCTCAACATCGACGCTTAACGGTGACATCGACGATATAGTAACTTCGAAATGTAATCTTTCCTTCTCTTTGAATAAAACTACTGGCGTAATCTAAAATATTTGGAAAAATGTCATTTCTCCCTTTACCTTTCTGTATGTCTTTCTACTTGCCTGTCCATTGATCCATCATGATGTAGAGCTTATAATACAGGTAGCGTTGTAATAAAAAGTAAATATTTTCTAGTATGGCCAAGGGGTTTTTTCCCGATGATCGCTATGGGCCCCCATATCTCGTAGATCCCGTCACTCCGAGTCCTTATTGCCATGCCACAGTCGCGATACGAAAGGAGTGCAATTCCTGTCATCAAATTATTTACTTTATCGGAGAAACCTCTGATCTTGGTTAAGACATATTGATCCACAATGCTTGAATATTGATTATTAGATACAATGTTCCAGGTTCTCTACGTCTGCTGTGTCAAGGCAAACATTTTTCCAGACACTGTAGTAAACCTAATTCCAAGGATCAAATCTAGTATCATTGCCTTCCCAGCCTGTCAAGGTTCGAAGACGTCGATTAACTCCGGGTCGAAGGTATCGATACACGATGATCAGGGATTTGGAGTGACCACCGTTGGGATCATCACCGATCAGTTCGTTGCAGACCCTGAAAGAACCTCCATTTCTGGCAGCACCCTTGAACTTCGACAGCAAATCCTTGTAGTCTGAGGTTCCGGAATCATAGTAGACTCTGCTGCCGTATGTAATAGATAGGATCTGGACGTCATCATTTTGAAGCTCGTCGAGAATCTTATGATCAATACTGCTCCTCTGCTCTCTCAATTCGTTGATTTGAGCGTCCTTTTGATTTCGTTGCTGTTCCATGTCACGGTTAAGTGCCTGGAGCCGTGTATTCAAATCTTCGCCTTGGGCTTTGAACTTCCCCATCCACTCGTCACGCGAGTGTTCGGCCTCTAACTTCTGTCCTTCAAGAAGTTTTATTTGGGAGGTAGCATTCTGGACGTTTCCTTCAAGAGTTTGAATTCTCAAGGCAGCTGCTTCCTCCCTTTCGCGGCGTTCACGTTCCAGTTTTTCAGCCGCCTGGGATTCTCGAAGATTGGCAGCGGCAATGGCTTCTCGCTTCCGGCGGTCATTTTCGAGAGTGCTTTTGCTGGTGAAATCATTCGGGAAGGCAGACTGCTGGCCAGACCGATTGCTTTGATATTTAGGGGCCACCATGTTGACTTTTGGAGCGAGAAGAAGAGCTGGGATCTTTTCCTTCTTTTTGTGTGCTTGTGATTGAAGAGGAGTGGAGTAGAGTGTGGAGTGATAATTCTCATGGGAGGGCGAGGGGACACCTTTTATAATGAGAAACAGGAAAAATGGCCACATGCTGCCATGCTCGGCTGAAATGACCGTCTACCGATCTTGCAGGAACCTGAACCACCGCCACCTTTTCTTCGCATATTCTTACCCCATACTTCGCTCCAAATTAGTTCGTCTCGCGGTCACCGACTGATGATCCAGCTGGCTTTCATGAACCTATCTTAGTAGGCATTCGTGCTTTTTGGAATAATGCGATTTATCGATACGCCAAGTTTGGATTCACTTTCCAGCTAACACGCAAAATTCTAAGCAAAGGATTGTCGGTTAGAATTCTACCGATTGACTCTTTATTTTGATTTTGAAATACTTAAAGTGTGAATTATGCTGACTTTACAAAGAATGCATTCCTAACTGACTAAATCCAAGACACTAAATATGATCAATAGTTTGATGCATCAAAAACTCCCAGGATCTCTCCAGTATACTTGCGCCACAGCAGAATTCCTAGCGGTTTGCGGGGCCATTTCTCCAGCCTTGACCACGTTCCTGACCTGCGGGATTTCTCTTACTCTCAGCAGAGGTGAAGTTCACAGTGGGATTAGCCTCGCTCGGGTTATTATGGACACCAATGGAGGATTTATGACGCTCAAAAATCCGTTTCTGGGAAACCGGTTTCTGCCCGTCAACTTGTGTTTTGATAATGACTTTTGGTCGAGGCCGCGCCTGGGTTTGAGGCCGCGTTTGGGAAAAGACTGCAAGCAAACTCGTGTCTTTTTTATTGTCGACGACCGAATTGTGCTTGCGGGGCTTCCTCCCGACGATTTCCTCTCGCCTTTCCTCGGATTTGTCTTGTCCCTCTCTTTCAAGGGGGCGGTCATGTTGAGAGCTGTTTGGTCTGCCCTCCTCCTCTTCATCCAATTCCTCGCTTTCTGCCTCTTCAACCTCTTCGACGAGTCTCGCTCCTTCGGGATGTATTTCGAGTTCATCGAGGTCATCAGCATGCTCTTCGATTTGATTGAGGACTTCCTCCACCCGTTCAATCATTGCTTCAGCCCTCAGGCCCTGATCAATTACCTCGTCCACTGGATTCAGATTTGCCTCGGGCTGGCCAGGAAGAACGGGGTCATTTTCAGTGGGCGCGAGGAGGTTCTTCGGCTTGAAGTCCCTGGCAGCGTTTCCGGTGGCACTAGACTCCATGGCTTGGATCTTCGCCATGTGCCTTTTTAGCTTTGCTTCTTCGCCCAGGTACACAAGCTCTGAGCATTCACTTGGAATCTTTTTGAGATCAGTGTCGTCTAGAAACACTTTAAGTTCATGACCAATCTGTGCCTGGCCTGTGCTGTGAAGTAGCTTGCCCAGATTGCTTAATAGACTACCTAACGGCTTGTACGGTTTGGGTACATTTTTGGCGCTGCCCTCAAGACCCTTCATAACAGCATCCGTGACGTCGTTGTCATCAGTAAAACGGTGCTATACAAAACGTTATCAGTGTGATTCTGTGATTGTGATCATACTTAAGGTTTCTAAAACAGAGCACGTACCTGCCAGACTTTTGGCCGACGAATGCCAAGTCCGACGGATGGATGATAGACAATGTATCTCCGCCGAACGCCCAAGACACCACGGCTTTGACCGTAGCAGAAGGCCCCGTTTAACTTCATGGTAACCCATGGAGATTCATTTTCAGCACCAACGTCACGAGCTATGTCCTTGAGATGGAAGTGAATCAAGTCCGTTTGACTTCTGGCGTATTCATCCTCAAAGAACTCTGCCGCAATGAAGATCTTTGTTTCACCTATGTAGTTTCAGTGAATGCTTGTTAAACCAACGCTTGAGATTTGAATATCATAATGAGGTAAATCCACTTACCCAGAACCGTCATCCTTTTCTTTCCCTTGTAAACAATGGGGCTTGGGACTAGAAGCTTTTTGTTCGCCACGAATTCTGGTGTAGGCACTTTTTCCTCCAAGATACCATAGTAGCACTTAGCCACGTAATAGGTGTTCTCATACTTATTCCGGGCAACCTCCCAATGAATTCTAACCTGCTCCTTAGCGGAAACAGGGAAAGTAATCCACTGGGAAGATGTTGCGATGTTGGTGAATTTCAGGACCATAGTGACGTTGGAACACGGAATCTAGACAGATGGAAGATAAACACGGACAAGGTAAAAGTTGGAGTATTTACTATCAAATTGAATATTCCCTTATATTTCAACTACAGAAAAACGAGCATTAACAGTGTGCTTAGAATAAGCTATGGTAAAATGGACTTTGCAAGCGATCGGCAAAGAACCCCGGGTGCATGATGCATGTGCTCCACCCACAGGGGGCAATAGTGACCATCGGGAAAAAACCCCCCTAGCCATAGATAGCAGATCAAGTGGAAAGACAAGTAGAGAAGCAAATAGAGGAATGCCTTTTTCACCGATGATCGATAATGTCTCTCGTACCTGCTGCGCTCAACTCTTCAGCAGCGTCGGATTTTGTTAGAGAGCGGGGCTAGTGGCGCAGCCATGGCATCAGTGGCTCCAATAGCAAGGGGATGCCGCTTCGCACAAATTGCCTGGTATTCGAATAGGTTCGCGAACGGAGCTAGCAGAAGCTGCACGACCAAGCCCGAGCGACAAACTTCTCCACACGAGCTCAGGGGTAGTTTGGCGTCCTCGGTCAGCCCGAGACTGGCCATGCGTTTCTGGATCTCATGATCAAGCCTAGCGACGCGGGCCAGATGTTCGCTCGCCTCTTTCTGCATCTTAACCAGGCCCTCCACTGACGTTGAACCATCCGGCGAGACCCCCGGATACTTTTTGACCTCGCCGTCGAGAGTATTGAATCCCGAGAAGGCGAAACTTGCCGACGATTTGTGTTCTTTAAATGTTTCTGTGTGAGAGACACTGGCGGACCAAAACAATACCTTCACAGTGACGGTGATTTTAAGGGTCTCTTCAGACGAATATTCCGAGCTTTCTGCAGAAATGCAGGCGCCTGCATCGGCGCCAAGTTCATACCCATAAATATAGTAGTCTCCATATCGTTCGCAGAAGCGGGAGTCTCCATCAGGCTGCGCGAGGAGTGTGGAGGCTTCGAGTGAAAAATCCGGGGGGCGGTCTAGAACCACGCGGCCCATGCGGAACGACGCGTTCCGTGAGGATTGAAAGGCCTAGCGCCAAGGGTGTCACGCGTCAACATTTGCACCATTTGAACCAACATCGGGGATAATTCAACACTTACGTTTTTTGTCTCGTTCACGTTCTTGTCATATTCACCGGTTACATTGGCATTCAGGAAAGAATACCCGACAGTGACACCAAGCGAGGCGCTCAGGTGCTCGTTAGAAGATGCAGAACGAGTGGAGAAACCTTCACGGTAAACTCCGACGCCGCCACTAGCGTCAGGAACTATTGTGGCTCTGACAATTGACTGGGCGCTAAACGGAGATGCCGTCGCTTTCCAAGGACCATCTGAGAAGTCTCCCATCTTGGACGAGTCGAACCCTGCCAATAGTGACCTTTCTTCCCGACTCCATGGCAGTGCTATCGGTGCCCCCGCCTCGGTCTGGGCTTGCAGGGTAGGCAATGCGGGGTCGTTCTCGTTCTTCATGATAGTTCAAATCAGAGGAAAAGGATGTGGATGTTGACTAGACTGAGGGTCGCGAATTCCTCCCCTTATGTGTGCACCTGATTATACCACATCGGCTACAATGCCCTTGGAGAGATCTTCTTGTGCACAGTCTTCAGCTCGCCTGGGGGGTTTCTTCTTTTTGGAGGAACTCATAAAACACTACTTAGGCCCTTAAGGTCATTCACATCCGGACAGAACAAATAATCCATTACACATTAGCTTTGCAGTTCATATACCAATCAGTCACAATGGCGCAGCTTTTGGCTCCATACAACAACTCCATGCGGCTTGGTCAAGGCTTCAACTCCTATACACAACAAACATGCCTTGACCAAGCTGTTCTCCCAGATCCAACCTTCGCCCAGTCCGATGCGTTGAGAAGGAAAGCTGGCGATGCTATTAATAGTCCTCCGGTCAATGTTGATACACCTGCCGCCGCCGATCCTGGCACTGACAGCTCAGTATCTGGAAGCAAGTTACTTGATGATGTCGAATCTGTCAGCGATTCGGGCACTCATGTTGATATAATCGAAAAGGCACGACAGGAAGTTTTGAAAGAGTCCAAGAAGGACCCCAACTCTGGACTCATTGTGCCTTCCTGGGTCAAACCTCAAATCGTGACATACTCGTCGCGTTTTGTGGACAAGCTGAGTGATGTGACAGGTCAGTGGCTTTAAGGATGAAAGAGGTGTCGGACCATGGGTGTAGCGAGCTAACACTTTTGTATAGATGCAATGAATATTTCTGGTTCCTTGTCTATCAAAACCGCTACCATCGGTGGAAAGGCCAATGGTTCTTACGTCGACAGTGACAAGTTCAAGTCCAGTGATATAAATTTCCATCTGCAGGTCAAAGTTACCAACCAGGTCGTTGAACCAGGTAACTACTGCATTTTCAACAAGATTCCTCAAATTCACCAAGAGAGATTCAACGAGATTTACGGAGTAGGTTCCTAGGTTGAGAAGTGCGGGCATTAAACAGAGCATTACTAACCTTGTCATCTCGAGTACAGGATACCTTCATCTCCGGTTGGGAGTCTGGTGGCGAACTGAATGCCATTATCTCAATGAAAATTGCCGACAAGTCCAAGGTCTTCGAAATCAAGGCCCACCTTGAAGCAGAGCTTACCACACCTAGTCTATCTGGTGCTGTCAGTGGCAATTTCGAGATGGCCAAGAAGAACATTACTTCGGATACTGAGACAACCATTGCGGTTAACTGGTCAGGGGGTGGCCGTATCAAGGACCCCACTGAAGACTGGAGCATTTCCAGTTTGAAGAAGGCTGCCGCTGCATTCCCAGATTTGGTTGCAATCACTCCTCAGCGTACTTACGCAATTTTGACCAAATACAGTGCCCTTGAGAGCTTCCATTTGCAAAACCCAGACTTTTCGCCTCTTGACTATGAGAATGCGGGTGTCTACACTGGCTCCTTGCTAGACAACTACATGGATTACAAGTCTCTCTGGAAGCAGATTTCATTTGCATCTTACGAGTTGGAGAGCAACCGTGCCACCATCGACTTGGCCCAGCCTTCTCAGGATGTTTACGATCTAGCCAAGGTCAAGGGTCCACTGCCTCCTGGAAAAAGAAGTGCACGAAAGCTTCTTCAAGCTAGTACGAAGGGAGCCCTTGCAGTTGCACAAGAAAAGGACACACCTGTGCCGTCTAACCCGACGGAAACTGAAGAGTCCGTCCCAGTTTTCCCAGCATCGTTTGCTGGCCTGATCCAAGCTCGCAAGTTGTGCCGCATGGAAATGGCTAAAATCGTCAGTGAAGTTGATGCCGTGGCCGAGGACCCCTCGGTCGCAACTGATGTAACTCGCGACTCATACTTCCTTAATCCATTGATCTTCAAGCAGCTCGTTCCGGTAAGCATTTCATATCCCGATTTGATTCAATTGCATTCCATTTCTAACAACTGTTTCCATTCGATCTAGATTGTTCGCTCTCTATCAGCTGAGAATGCTATTTACGGTGTCAAAGATCCCAGTGCCACAGTCATTCTGGGTTATAACCCTCCTGCTCATACAACCACCGCTCTTGTTCCTGTTTATAAGTTTAACCTCCCCATCGACAAGCAGGACCACCGCTTGCAGGCTTCCATTAGAAAGTGCGCGGCCAAAGCAGAAGACTATCGCGTACATGGCACTGCTGGAGAAGTTGAGCAAGTGCACGAAAATGCTAAGATGTTCAATGCATTGGAGACATTGAACGCAACCTTCTGCCCAAGCAGTATTGGGGTTTGGGCCCAAAATAACATCGTGCAGGGTATCCAGATCACCTACACCAAAGGAGACAAGATTTCCTTCGGAGTATGCAACGATAAGGTTCCAGCCTCTCATCAGCTTAACCTCGATATTAAAGTTTCCGAAGCGGTTGTCGAAATCAACATCAAGACTAGCACTAAGGACAGTAAGAAGTACATTGCTGCAATTAGCTTCGCGACAAATGCCTGTCAACTCCTGGACACCTTTGACGAAAAGAAAGCAACAGCCGAGGACAAAATGGAGACATTCCGCTATGTGCGCTGTGATGACCAACCATGGACGCTGCGCGGATTCTTTGGCTTCGCTGACAACGAGCATCTGACCAGTCTTGGTGTTGTGTGGGGTAAGGACAGCTTCGTCCCCACTCTCAACTCGCTCCTCCCATCACCACTGTGCAGAAATCTACTCGGAATGAACCAGGCTATGCAGAAAGATGTCCTTGGTCACATGGCCCGTTTGCAAAACAGGAACAAATTCATCATGGGCGACTTTGTTGCCACTGGCATTAGCTCTGAAAAGCCGGTCCTCTTCAACGCTCTCACCGATGTAGAGAGTACCTGGACAATCGCCAAGCTTGGCTTCGCCACTGCCAACAGCGGGCCGGGCCAGGGCAAACTTAGTGGTCTGAAGGTCTCCTACACGAACGGTAGAAGCCTGAAATATGGTGCTTATCCCGAGAAAGATGAGGATGCTTCTTGGGTCTGTGAGGTTAACTCACCAATTGTGACGGCAAAGCTTGTCACCACCAAACCCACCCATAACAGCTCGTTCATTAACTCTGTTGAGTTCATACTCGCTGCGGATAACCTGGGCCAGCTCCCTGGATGGCCACTAGATGTTGGAACTGTACGTTTCTTGAGTGATGAGGGTGAGCAGAGCGCGAGTGATTCCCCTACATTAGTGGAGTCTGCACCAAAACCTGGTAAAACTATTTGGTCCATGAAGGGTTTCTACGGCGAGCATAGCTGTGAGCTCATTACTCAGCTCGGTATTGTCTGGGGCCGTTCTTGAAATGTTGGATATAAGCCACATACTAAACATGGTCAATTCTCAAACTGCCCTTTGCCTTAAACAGCAATGTGGTTGGCGCTAGGTACGGGGGCGCATCGCGATTATCAAGAAAAACCCCCATTTTTGAAGATATATCTTCGAGATGTAATCGTTGTTTCTTTTTAAATGATCTCACTAGCATAATCTCCAATAAGGAAAAAAAAACATTTCTCTATTTACCGTTCAAAATGTCTTTCTAGTTGTCCTTCCACTTGGTTTTCTATCTATGCAGATCTTACAATACAGGTAGTAGCGCAAATATCGAATCTACAAAACAATCCAATTAACGTTCACCTCTTTACGCTTGGGCAGATATTCGTCATATCCCCTCAAGGTCAGCACAGGGGGATTCTCGACTTTGATCATCTTCTCAGGCTGAAAAGAGTCCCCACTACCGGTGACCATCAAAAACACACCAAACCATTGACCGCGTCGGTACTGGAGATGAATAGCATAGTACCTCCCACCCACTCCGTAGATAGCTCTGGCCATCTGGGGAGTATGGTACTTGAGCTTGCAGCTGGGTGTGGCTTCGCGAAGAGCAAGCTTCAATCGCAATGTTCAGACAAACGGCTATCTAGGCCTCCTTTTGTCGGAGCAAATATCTCACCGGTATCATGTATGCATTATAATTCTTTCCCCAGTATGCCATAATTTCCCAGTCCCATCCAAATTTTGCCCAAGGCAGCCAAATATGCTGATAGGAAGCATAAGTATCGTAATTTGCTCAGCAATTTCGGACTTGGGCAAGTAAACTTTCAAGGCTTCTATGTTGAGCCGCATTTGCGTGTCAGTTGATACTACCTGAATGCCAGTGGACCTCGGAGGCCTTGACAGCGTTTTTGGTTGAAATTATTCTTGCCGTACAAGTAAATGTGACATGCCATAATAGTTTATGCAGGTTTCTGTGTCGGGTCCAAAGAAGTGACCCGCACATGGTCCAGACGTTTCCTGTAAAGATATCGCCTTCCCTCACTCACCCTCCTCTCCTCACTCACCCTCCTCTCCTCACTCACCCTCCTCTCCTCACTCACCCTCCTCTCCTCACTCACCCTCCTCTCCTCACTCACCCTCCTCTCCTCACTCACTCTCCTACAAAGATACCACACCGCACAGGTGCTCTTCTATCATCATCATCATCCCCTCCGGATCCTCTGACAACCAACCGATCGTCCTGCCTCAGCCTCGCCTTTTACGCAACTCCCATAATTCGAAGTGCCTCCTTAAGACATTAAACAGGTTACAGAGACAACATAAGAGAAGGAAGAACCCTACTTCTAGCATGGTAAGAGTGCCCATGTGGGCCCTTCATTCTTGTTGATTTCCCTTCGCTTCGTTCAATACTAACTCACTAAAGGATTCTCAGGGCTCCAACCACGCGCAAGAGATGCATAGCTCCTCTGCTAATATCCATAAGCCTCTACTCAGTCAAGAGGGTTGCTCACCTGACTCATCACAAATTGACTTGACCTCCGGCCGCCGATTTCACCCTGAAAATGTGTACTCACAACAGTTCAGCCAAGAAGAGATTGAGTGTCCAAATGGAGACCTTGTTTATCTTGCATGCCCCGGATCAAAAGAAAGGTGCCGCGGTTGTGGTATTATTGCGGACTCGTTCCATGCGGACTGCCTTATCATCGCGATTGATGGGGCTTGTTCGAATAATGGCAAGGATGAGGCGCGTTCCTCGATTGGGGTATTCCACGGCTACGATAACGACCTCAATCTATCCCGCACTTTAGACGGCTTTGACCGTCACACAAACCAGATAGCTGAGCTGGAGGCTTGCTTGGCAGCTCTGATTGCTGCAATCAGAATCCAGACAGAGTGGAGCCAAGCAGGCGACCTGCTTGATGCAATTGTAATCAAGTCCGATTCCGAGTACGTGGTACGGGGCCTGACTGAATGGCTCCCGAAGTGGAAGGGAAATGGCTGGAAGAATGCCAAGGGCTTGCCAGTCGCGAATTCTGACCAGTTCAAGAAGATCGAGCTGCTGATTGATTATCTCGAACGGTACATCTCTGTCAAATTTTGGATAGTGCCCCGAGAGCAGAACAAGATGGCAGATAGTCTCGCAAAAGCTGCCCTGAAATAAAAGGAAACTGAGCAGCAGTGTCATGCCATATGGACTATCTCCAGATATCTTCTACTCTGGAACCTGGTGGTGCTACTATGGCCTTCGAGAGTGTTAATGCAGCCCACATAGTGTGCCTTTGATATCATGTCCCTTAGTGCACGATTGATGGACATCGTGATGCGGTAGCTTAGCGAATCCGAATCCGAACCATCCAGATATTGTGAAGTACCTTGTGAAACATATGAGCTATGTACTGTCAGAGCCCTTTCCCTTGAGTAGTCTGCAGCCAATCTTTCACTTCAAGTTTCGAATATTGTGCTTCATACTACTTTACCGTACAATATTCCATTGTTAGCATAAGCACCCGCTAAGGTAAGTGCCAATGGTTCTAAGCTACGCGTCAAGCAATATACTATCAGGACCAAAGTACGTCGCACTAGTGTGATATAAAACCGACAACACACTATATAGTAATTCCTTCATATTATACTAGTAGTACCAAGATATTCTGATAAAGTCATGATTACCTGGGTAAATTTGAAACATGAAGTTTTCACAGATGGACTAAGCTACAATCGAATGAGATTGAATATTTCCATTCCTCTTCATACATCACCGCGAATACTTGAAACATCATAACTTTCTCTACTGAGAAAGACCCCTCTTCACTAGGTAGTCATGGAAGAGTGTATGTATAAAATAATGTACTATAAAACTCCTACTAGTACCTGTGCCTCTTAGAAACGTTAATATTCCTTTGATAGTTTGTTCTTCATTAAGTTGAAAATAGACTGATCATAACTGGGAAAAAGAAAAAGAAAAAGAAAGATGGAACTGAAAACAAAACCAACGCCGAGCTCCGAATCCGCCATCCCATTTAGCTCGAACGTTTACAATACTTATTTCGCCAAGCAACAGCCTTGGGGCTGTGATGAATCTTCAGTGCTTCTTCAAAAATCCGCTTTATCTCATCGTGCTCCTTCTCCTCTCGCTGTTTCCACTCATCTGCGTCTATTTTGCTCAGATCCTCATAGAAAGCTGTACCACGCCAGCCTGGTAAAAACAAAAGCCAGCGACTTGGTCTTATTGTATAGGCGTTTAGGTCATCCCGTCTAACCCGATATTCGATCCCTTTGCTGTATAACAGGCTAAGATAATCATGCAATGGCTGTTCTAATTCAGCCAACACTTTATCAAAGTCCCATTCCACCCTCGCTCGCTCATAGAGGGGTATTCCGGCGCATTTTGGACATTTCATCCAGAAATGATTGCCGGTAGGATCGCGTGAGGAGATATCAGGAAGGCCAATCCATTTGGAATATAGCTTATACTGAGCCTTTAGACATTTATATAGATCAAGGTGAGATTTTATGGAAAAGTAGAGGGAAATTATTCTTAGAAGCTGGCATGTCAAAAAATGACAAGGAGACGAACCGCATAACGCCCTGTCTGCCAACCTGAGGGTCCTGAATACCGAAACTTGGATCTTGAATGCTTTGAAATTTTTGGATCACGCTGCCTCAACTGATCTTTCCGCATTTGCTCGCGCTGGGCTTCAAGTTGTTTGGTTGAGTTTCGGTGAGCTTGACGTCGTAGCTGGTGCTCTTCGCGTCGCCTGGTCGATTTTTTGTGTTATCGAGGCCTATTAGGTCGGCCTAGTTCCTACGTCTCGTCCATTTTGACAGTTCCAAAGTATTTGGCGCGAATATTGGTAAAAAATTCATAATAATGAAAGAAAGAACAACAAGAGCCTAAGGGGGTTTGTCTGCCTGGGATCGCAGAAGTTCCAAAGTTGTTTATGGGATTACGTCATCGAAAATTATTGGCTCTAGTAGATATAATGTACAGCATCTTCCCGTGATATAGAGATAGAGCGCGTTTTGGTCAAAAGCTTCAGGATTCCAAATCCCGAGGACGAGGCAACCAACACAACAGAGAACTTACACCCCGCAAAGGCTCTGTTCGTGATGGTGATGCTTGCCTCATCTGTTGGACCTGTGGAAAGACAGATAGGAATGAACGAAGCCGAATTTGGAAGTGGTATCTAAGGAGATGAATGGTGAGCTTCGAGTCCCTGACTTGACAAACTTGAAGCATTCTCCTGCGAGTCCTGTGTTATTCATGTTATCAATCCTGTCTTCGTTAATCTTCAAGTTCCTGTTATTGATTTGCTGCTTCCATGTATGTCTTGTTTTGCTAGCACTAGCTGCACTAGCATGCTAACATCTTGATTATTTAAATTTATGTTTTAACCCCTAAACCCAAATGTTGTAATAGTGGATCCACCTTAGCGTTTGCCTAGCTGCCTTATCCTTGTATCGTGTGTATTTGGTTTACAGAGTAGTCTTATGAAGCATTTTAAACACTAGGAATTCTCGGCATATAATGTTTTGTTTGTTGGCTTGTCGAGTCTGTACTGTAGTGATTGATACATAAATACCACATTCTTACGGTAGAGCCTAGCTATCGAGAGAACCTTGAAAACACCTTAGTTAAATTCTATCAGTCCCTCAATGTGAGTTCCCGATCTCGTTTCTTATGATTTAGTAGACCTTATAATTATTATGAAATCGGGGTTTTTTTTGGCTTGATGCTGCTATTAAATCCTTGGTGGTAACTCCAGAACCCTTTGTGAGGTAAATCAAACGATTAGGGCTCATCCGAACACAGGTGCAATGGTATTGCTTATCGAAAGGGGCTGGTTCAGGTTGATTTACTAGCTTGGGAACCCTGCCCAAAGAAATGGTAACTTGTAACTCTAGGCTAAACTTTGTACTGATTTTTAACAATAACTTGGTTGGAAAACCATAGGCTGTTTTAAAAATTTCATCTCCTCCCAGTACATCCATTTATGTCACGAAGAGAAGAAAAAAAAGACAACGAAAGAGCCACCAAAAGCTTTGATGACCCAATGATTCAATCTTTTTTTAGCGCCAATTGGAGTGCTAAGATAAAAAGCGACTTTGATATGACGATCCACACTATCAGCGGGATATTTGCCGTGCGCGCTTCCCCGCTTATACGGGGGATAGATGCACCGACACATTTACCATTTACGAATTCCAATTCTCAATCATTGGCAATAAATCATAAGCCCATTTTACCAAAACCCACGAGTACATACTCATATTCAAAATGATCGGTCATCCTCCAATCAACTATTGGAACTATGATCCTACCACAGGCCAAATCGATCTCTCGCGAGGAGCAAAAGAGAAGACTCTAGACCTACAGACAACGACAAATCCTATCCGATTGGACACCAACAGAACAGCACTAGTCATTATAGACATGCAGAATCTATTCTTGTCACCCCATCTACGTCCAGCCGGGATACCAAAAGATGAGCAATCACCTGGACAAAGAGCTGCGAAGGCGTTGATAGACGAAGGACTTTCGGCAGCGAGAACTGCCGGGATCCAGGTCATCTGGTTGAATTGGGGACTTACGGAGGAAGAACTGGAGACTATGCCACCTGGTGTTATGCGGGCATTTGGGATATACGAGACAAAGACAAAGACCTCAGCAACAGCTGATGCCTCGGTCATAGAGGATGAACCTCCAAATATGCTGCGAAGCAGGAATCCGAACGTCTACAAGGGTCCTGGACAATCTCTTGGGCTGATAACCCTGGACAATGAGATAGTAGATGGTGGAAGGATGTTGATGCGTGACTCATGGAACTGTGCCCTCTATCCACCCCTAGAGAAAGAGTTTCTCAAAGGTTCTGCTCCCTCTCCAGATCATCCCGATGCAAAAAAGGATATCATCATAAACAAAAATCGAATGTCGGGTCTTTGGGGCTCTGATCAGGAGTTGGAAAGGTTTTTGGAAGTGGAGGGTATTACGAGTTTGCTTTTTGCGGGTGTTAATCTTGACCAGTGTGTTGGAGGGACGCTGGTTGATGCATTTAATAAAGGGTATGATTGTATTCTGTTGAGAGATGCATCTGGGACAAGCTCGCCGGGATTTTCGGAGCAAGGGTGGCATTACAATATCCAGAACTGTTGGGGATTTGTGACGACTTGCAAAGCTCTGAAGGAGGCTAAATCCAGCTCATGAATTCAATTAGTACCTAAAGCGGTATCTGAAAGGAAACATGTTTTGTATAGAATTGACAATACTTGCTTTTTGAATTGCAATTGAACTTGGAATAATTTGGGAGAAAACGTATGCTAAAATCCCAATAATTGTTGCCGAATCAAGCGAGCTCTCGTACCTGCTTCTAGGTATGCGAGTACCCGTCGCAGTAAGCTCGACTGCAGATCTGCGAGCAAATTTAATCTAGTGGGCCTCTTTTATTATGAATGAGTTATTGTCGCAATATCATTCGCGCGGATGTGCTCCGCAGGAAACTACATGCTGGTGACTTGCAGCATACGCTATTTACGACAGAGATACAAAAAAACCGAGCTTGAGGGAAAGATATTGCAATATTTTAAAACGAATTGTATTGTTTTTGAAAATGAAGTATCGTGTCGTAGTCTTGTTCAAAAGTGTTCCTGTACTTTTAAGATCATTAGCAACGATCCAAACAAAGTGTTGAATAAAAAAACACGGTGATAAGCTTCATCAGATAGCAGTTGAACAATGAAATTCTTGTCCTCATAATTACTCAGAACAGGTCTGTGTGAAATCGCATATCATCATTGAAGCGGGGAGGAAGAAGGCATTGAAACTCACATTATTAGTTGGTTGCGACTCGAGTTGATATTATTCCAACTCAAGTCGCAGATTAGGGTGCCAATGATGATCCCGTACCTTTCAACGCAATGCTGGTTCAAATAAAAGATCCCAGCGTTGCATGGAAGGGCGTGAGAAGATTCATCACAGCTACCTGCAGTCTTGATTGAAACCAATGGCGAGTGCCGCGATAGAATCAATCGCCATCAAGACCAATTGATCAAGGACACACATGGTGACAACCCATTCTCAATTCTCATCATTTGAGAAATCCAGAATATTCAGGACTGAATTTTCTGAGGAAGATGAAGAACAGAAGAAATAATGGGCAGAGAAGAAAACTTAAATAGGAATGGGTGGATCCCTCCAAGTGGACATGTTTGCAGTGTTTGTATGGACAAACAAAAAAAGTGATGAGCGTCACATTTTCGCCGAGCTCGTTTAGTTAGTGCTGAGAGTCAGTCATTTGTGATCAAATACCGATTCAGAAGTAAGATTTTGGAATTGAACAGGATTCCAGAAAAATTAAAATCAAAATACTAAAGTTTTCCAGATCATGGCCGATGTTGAGATCCCCAGACCCGAGGAGCCACAAAGTGTGTTGCAAAAGAAAACAGCCCACCTTTTTTTCTACTGCAAGACATTCCAAGCTGACAGTTTTCGATCGGTAAAAAGCTCCTAGAACTCCTCACCAGGGTGTTCGCACCAATGGTCGTGCTTTCAACTCCGCCAATTGGCGTATGAAGGGCGAAGAAAGTCCCCAGCCCGCATCTCCCTCCTCCCCACGAACCAACACCTCTCGTTCTGCCTTTAGTCGGCCTGGATCCCATGTCCCTCAAGCGATCTCCGATGGCCGTCGCCTGTATGTCGGTAACATGCCGTACACAGCTAAGCTGGAAGATGTGCAGGCACTCTTCACCGCCGCTCAATTCCCCATGTATGGACTCTCTAACCTTCTACCGGCGAGTTGGCCTTGTTGAGTCTAAGTCTGAAACTTGATAGCGAGCGTATCGATATTGCCATTGACCCATTTACCGGACGGAACCCATCGTACTGCTTCGTCGACCTGAAAACAAAGGAGGATGCGGAGCGCGCCATGACCGATTTGGATGGCAAGGATATTCTGGGCCGTCCCGTTAAGATCAAGCCTGGTGTCGCCAAGTCTCCAGCAGAACGTGCCAATGAGCAGCAGCAGCAGCAGCAACAACAGTCGCAGCAGCCACAACAGCAACGATCACCGTTTTCAATGGACCGATGGCGTCGTCAGGAAGGCGAGAGCCTTGCCAAAGCCAACAACTTCGATTCTAGTAAACGCGTATACGTGGGTGGATTACCGCGTGTGGCCGAGCCTGAGGATTTGGAGACGAAGATCAAGGTTTTCTTCCAAGGATATAATGTGTAAGTCGAGTTCTTGTGGGATTGGGATTCGTAGATGGTAGACCAGTATGTACTAATCTTTCTCATAGGGAGAATGTCAGCAAGCTGTTCACCCCACACCCAGCTAAGAGATTCGAGCCTGGCGAGCATTATTACTTGTTCGTGGACTTCAGCAGTGTCGAAGAAGCTCAGCGGGCCATGGACACCCTCAGCGGCCAACAAGGACCATGGGGTGGACCGATCCGCGTTCAGCGGGCGCGGGGCACAACGACCAAGCCCGAGGAGCGCAATGGAGCAGAAAACGTATAGAAATTATGATCATGATGGGATGATAAGAAGTAGCTTAAGTTCATATAGACGAAACACACAAAATAAATGAGATCAGAAACCGGGAAAAAGTGCAGGAAAGTCAAGATTGTGGTGTAAATTGAATCAGCGAGAATCGGATGACGTTAGTTATCGATAGTGGAGCCCCAACCCACTCCCCAATGTCCAGACTCACCGCATGATCAACTCGTTTTTTCCCTCTTCCCTTCTGCATTGACTCTTGAGTATTATTTCTACTTGTTCGAATTTCAGTCGATCTCCATCTGTCCGGGGAGAATCCCACCATCCTTCCTCTATCTGCCGGTCTTCATGCTCGAGTAAAAGCGCCTCTTCAATTACTTCAAGTTCCTCCGACGGGTCGGAAAGCTCTCCCTATTCCTCCCGAACCTTTACAATTCGACGCCATGTCTTCAGGAAATGCCGTGGAAATTGACCTGCGGCATAAGGGATACATTGCTAGCGTAAGTTGTTTCATTATCTTCTGGGGGGCATATCTGCCCCTCTTTTCCCCCTCCCTCTAGTCCTCGGATCGGATCGTCTCCTTCGAATGGCGGGGGATCGGGATCCCTGCGCCCCTCATTCTGCCTCGGTCCAGAGTCCTTTTGCCCGATGATATGCGCTTGCTTCTACCCCAATGGTTCAATACTGTATTATCTTCTGCTTGATTCGATCCTCGGGGTGTATTGTACCAATCCATTGCTATTGATTTTGTATTGTGCTTGTCAATATGGCGGTCAAATGACCCCATATGTATCTGCCATTGACTCCCCGAATTACATTGTCGTCGATAAGACCCTTATATCACCGCTGGATATCATCATCTGATCCTCTTTTGATCTCTTGACACGCGTCTGTGCTTCACCTTATTTATTATTTTCTTTCTTGCACACGTGCCCCTTTCCCTTTTGCATCTGTCTATTCATTACCTCTGTCCTTTCATCATGGCATCTAGCTTACCTCCTATCCAGTCCGATGACTCCAAAATATGCGTGGTGATGGTTGGTCTCCCTGCACGAGGCAAGAGTCTCATTGCAGGGAAAGGTAAGATCCTCAAAGCTCAAGTGTGGCTGTGACTTCGAACGTATATCTAACTTTGAACAGCCATGCGATATTTGGCTTGGGTGGGAATCCCTGCCCGTGTGTTCAACGTCGGTAGCTACCGACGAAATAACACCCCGCAGCCACAGGCGACCTTCTTTGATCCCCACAATGCTGAGGGTGAACGTATGCGCCGGGCTGCCGCGGAAGGTGCCTTGTCCGATATGCTAGCATGGTTCCAAGCAGGCAAAGGAACAGTTGCGATCTTAGACGCGACAAATTCCACAAAAGAACGCCGCAAGTGGATTCATGAGCAATGTACTGCGGCAAATGTCGAAACGCTTTTCGTTGAATCTATCTGTGACGATGAAGATTTGATTATGACGAATATTCTAGAAGTGAAAACCACTTCGCCGGATTATAAGGGTCAAGACCCTGAGTTGGCCGCTTTGGACTTCCGAAAACGCATTCGTAATTACGAAAAGGTCTACGAGACGATCGATGACGGCGAGAAGCAATACACTTACGTTAAGCTGATCAATGTTGGATCGACTGTCATTATCAATCAGATCAAGGATTACTTATCCAGTCGCCTGGTATATTACATTCAGAACTTGCACATTAAACCACGATCAATCTGGTTATCTCGAGTGAGTTATATTTCCAAGCAAACAGACAACATAGACATAACAATAAAGAGCCCATTCTAACATAACAAATAGCACGGTGAATCGGAATACAACCTGACTGGACGTATTGGTGGAGACTCTAATATTTCAGAGCGCGGTGAAGCATACGCTAGTGCACTACCAGAGTTAATGCGCAAGTCCGGAATCCCAGAAAACACCAAGATTGTAATCTGGACCTCTACCCTTCGTCGCACCATCCAAACAGCCCGCCACCTCAAAGCCGAAACAAGCTTCGAGAAACTAGAATGGAAAGCACTAGACGAGCTGGACTCTGGTGTCTGCGATGGCCTGACCTACGAAGAAATCGCCGAGAAGTACCCTGAAGACTTCGCCGCCCGCGACGAGGACAAATACAATTACCGCTACCGTGGTGGAGAATCCTATCGTGATGTCGTCATTCGCCTTGAGCCCATTATCATGGAACTAGAACGCAGCGAAAACGTCGTTATCGTCACCCACCAAGCCGTCCTACGATGCATATACTCTTATTTCATGAATGTTCCTCAAGAAAAGTCTCCGTGGATGGAAGTTCCATTGCATACACTGATTAAACTTACCCCTCGCGCGTATGGTACAGAGGAACAACGCTTCAAGGCGGATATCCCTGCTGTATCTACGTGGCGTGGGAAGGGCACATCAGCGAAACATCAGGATTTTCCGGCGGATGGACATGAAGAACTTGGACAAAAGTAGGGGTTTAAGAGGACTTGGTGCATGATTGGCGTTCCAGTTTGACTCTATGTCGGGGTTTATGTGGCTCTGCATAACAATTTCTTTTCTATTTCAAGACGCGTTTTCAGATACCAAAAAATGTTATACTGTAGATATTTTCTTCTTTTTATCAATATAAATAAGTATAATGACGTTTGGTTCAACATCTAGCTCTCTCCTTTCACAAATACTACATACTATATTGCACATGTGGGGGTAAAATGACATGAAAGGCATATACTAGTCACCCCGATAAATAATCCGACATGTGCGCTCCTTATACTTTGAATGCGCGTTTAACATCATATTACACCACACGTCTTTCCAATGGTTTTTTCAAACATCGGTCTAATCGTCTCTCGTAGTAGTACCTTCACTAAGGCTTGAATACTATATTATACCTAAGCTCTGAGGTGTATACTTAATATTACTACATATGGTAAGACTTTACTTAAAGGTAATAGAGGTGTGATTCTATAGGAAGATGGTAAAGAGTGTAAGATTTAATACTAGTAACTATGGATGGTGGGGTTGAAACGACATACTGTGACTCTTTTGTAGTTTTACATGAGCAATAAAATTGATTCTGCTGTTCGTTTTACAAGAGTTGGATTATTTATCGGGTTGACCGTAGTAAAATAATTGACAAAGTATCTAACATATCTATCATAGTAAAGAATCTGCAATAACTAGCCCATGAACTGTAAAAAAATGCAATTTGAATAATTTGGAGGGAATCATGATAAACAGCTCCTGGCGTACCAGTGAATCTTAAATACTGCCTATTAAGCTTAGAACTTGAAAGAAGCTACTCCCGAGGTCACTGGTATGAGGGCTCCCAGTTCATTTCATCTTGCTGAGAACTCTCTCCCCCGGGAGGGCATGAAGAAGCTGAAGGCTCCATGCTAGAGATGAGGTCTTTTATAGAGCCAAGGTCAGCGGGCCAGCTGACCCATCAGGAGGTATCCATATGTACATCAGCTGAGGTAGATGGTCGTCTCAGTGTATACCGAGAAGTGGTCGGCAGTAATGCGGCAAAAACATTGGGCATATTCCACATGGGTTCTCTGCTCCTACCGTTCACAATCGCTGACGATGCCCAACTCTTAAACAAAGGGTCTTCGTACAATTCAACGAGAGAAAGAGTTTGAGTGGAATTCGACACTTGTCTGCTCATGCGAGTATCTGTAGGACCTTGTATGGTTCGGAAAGCATCGTAAATAATCCGAATTGCCCTAATACAAGTTGCTTCGATGGCGTCTCGTTCTCGAGAAATTATTCTCTTCGCTGCGCGAGTCGGAGCAGCATCCATTCTTGTCGCACACTTATCACGGTTGAGCGCCGTTTGTATCATAAGATGATGGAACATGCGTACTACCTCAGGAAATATTAACCCCTGTGCTCGGATGAGTGGCGCAGCATATCGCAGCCATAATTCAAATGCCGACAAACTCTCTTCTCGCAATTCATTCAACAATCCAGCAGTACCGGAAAACGTCCTTGTCCCGGGATGAGCGCAACCGCAATTGCTAAGGATATTGACAATAGGCATACGGCAAAGCTCTTGAACAACCGCTGTATCCCCAGAAGCAACCGCAGCTCCCAGTGGTGTTACCTCCCAGATCCAGCCTTTCGAATTCGCCGGCCAGTAGAGGGGTTCGTTCACGAAGGTTCCAGATGGCATAGCTGCAAAGACTGGAAAAGGATTTGCTGCCATCCATCTCATCAGATGAATTCTTCGAGGGTTTCTCTCATTTATTAAAGCTATCCATAAACTCTGGTTATCACCATTATCATCTACCACACCGAGTTCGTTTACATTGAAACTCCACATCGGAGCTAAGTGATTTCCAAAATCATTTGCTATCTTCGGGGTTATATACCTGGCTACGAGGGCATGTATGTGGGCACCTCCCATCACCAACCCCATGTTCCCTCCACCCCGGATAACGGGGATTGTAGCAGTATTAAACTCCAATCGCGACAGAGCCTCAAGCCTGTTAATATATTGGGCGAAGAGGTCTTCATGATTCCTCGTACGCCAAAAAATAGCAGATTGAGGCCAACTGAGAGGTGCCATGGTCGGACCCAATGCCTGAGGAGCAAAGAGTTCCTCATTTGGTATTCTGCCCAATATCCATTTGGCAAGAGGTACGCTCGCTGGGGACGAACAGGCATGGCAAAAGTAGCTGTGAAACATATGGTTGTATCCGGTGGGCTTGATAACTTCTTGGCGTACGAGAAATTTAAAGCAGTCAGAACAATTGCGGATTATCCAAGTAATGGCAGCCGAAGGAGCCGGTGGGAAGTAAGCCGTTGGCTGGGGCATGAGGTCTCTGCAGGCTTTATGATCATCAAGATGGTACGTAGCGTATTTCATCTTTGCGCGATTTGTGTGAGCGGCGGTCCACCCATTAGGTGTCCCCTTCTTGAGCAGGAGAAGAATATACAATCCTGCTTCTCCCTTGGCTAATTTCACAAGACTGTGGAGAGCATCGTGTCCTCCATCATCAATACACATCTCTACAAATCGGTCCAAAAATACAGCATTCTTAAACAACGCCACCATGGGCGGGTCGACAGCGGCCATTGTGAGAAATTTCCGATTTTGCTTCTGAGACTGATGGACTTTAGGTTGAGACTGAAGGGAATATAAGGGCTTTCCAAAATTGTCTTGAGACGCTGTAGGAAAGCCTTTTGAGATGGAAGAGAAGTATCCTGGATTACATGGAAGTTATGATACCATTTATAACATGAAATATGCCATGGCTCCCTTTCAAGTTGAATCTCGGCCAAAAATATAGTACTTGATATTAAAATCTTTTGATAAAGTATTACCTTTTATGTTCATTCGAGCCTTGAATGATTCTATCCTTTTGTTTTTTCTTCCCGCATGACGGGAAATGAACTACTTGTGATGAATGAAGTTAGAATTTTGCAAGCAGATAGAGAGTATTTATTCTCTTTTAAGGCTTCTTTCAGCTGCATTTTAGCTGTTCAAATGACTTCCTTTACTCGAAGAATCATGAAAGAGCATAAATGGAGTTGTGGCTGAGTCTTTCAAGTCAATTTCAAGGGAATCGGTCGATTTCTCTGGGTCTCTCTGTTCTCTGTAACTTTAGCTGTTTCAAGTATTTATAGGTAGATTACAAACGATGACCGAGGGGGTTAGTGATGTAAAGCCCACAGTCCCAATACCATGCCATTTCAAGGTTATCTATCCAGGTTATTCTCAAGGGAAAACTGTTCGAAAAGAAGTTCGGTCAGGTATCGATACTAAAATCTCAACAGCAACTTCTCAAAATGTCCTCAAGAGAACGAGTAGAAAATGAGTTTCTATGAACCTAACAGTCCAGTGACTAGCAATGGGCTGCAAATCTACTCCGCTGGCCTAGAAAGATGTTACTGGCAAAAGCAGAAGATTATTGGGAGAAGAAAAACGATATTATTCTCGAAGTTTTTGAGATGTGTACTAACACTCGCTAGACCACTACGGGGGTTTCAAGTTCTCAAAGCTTTCAGGTTGAATGTGAACAAAGTACGCCCAGTTATAACCTTGCAAGCCACCACTCTTTGATTACTTGTTTACCGCGGTCCATTCTAAAGTTATATGCTTCGATTTTAATTGCGATTTTTATTTCACCTCATGATCATATTCAGGACTAAGCTGTAAAACTCTACCTCCGGGTATTTCAGTTATATATAATCGAAAGTAGTACTCGATTGAAAGTAAATATATTGGACAATATGTTGAAGAATATCATGATGTCGTGCCAGTGGTTGCTGAAATATGGATATGTTCATTAGATGCCGGCTTTGGATATCGCATATGACCACGTTCAAGCACAGATGCAACCATGCTTTCTTATAATATATGTGGACTTTAACCTTGTTGATTTCACTACCACTTTAATGCATGGATGTATAGTTAGACGGCGAAGACCGTTGATGCCTTAGGCATAAACCATTGGCCACATCATGACTCAGCAAAGACGTCACCTGGCGGAGCTTCTCAACACCGCAAGCACAAAGGAGCTCAGCGAGGGACAGGAGGGATAGATTGACCCCTGTCGGCGCGCGATGTTATCCGCATTCACCGCGCGACCGCTGGTCGAGCTCAAACCACGCGACAAATCCCGGATCGACTCCGTTCTAGCCTACGGCGACCGACTCCTAACCGGCCTAAACAATGGCTCACTCCGCATTTACCGTGTGACCGACGACGGCAAGACCGAGCTACTCCGTGAACTAGAGAAGTTTGCCCGGTACAAAATTGAGCAGCTAGCCCTAGTCAAAGAGGCACACGTCATCATCTCGCTTTCCGGAGGCTTCGTGAGCTTGCATGATTCCCAGAGCTATGAGCTTCAGGAACAGCTTGCCCAGACGAAAGGCGCCTCTGCATTTGCTATAACCTCGAATGTCGTCAATGATCCCGATACCAATGTTCCGGCTATTGTTTCGCGGTTGGCCGTCGCGGTCAAGAGGAAGATTTTGATGTGGGTGTGGCGGGATATGGAGCTGGAGCCAAATACCACGGAATTGAGCCTTGTGAGCGGTATTAAGACCCTTACGTGGGTGTCAGCTACGCGACTGGTCGTTGGCTTGGGATCAGGCTTTGTGATGGTTGATATTGAGAGTGGCCAAGTTACTGAACTGCCGAGTCCAGGGAGTGTGGAAGAGACTGGTCGATTTACGGGCGTTGGCGCAGCAAGCATGAGCTATATTGGAATGGGAGGGATGGTTCCCAAGCCACTAGCTACGAGGCTACGTGAGGGCCAGATATTATTGGCAAAAGATGTGAATACGACTTTTCTTGACGTGGATGGCCAGCCCCTTGGACGAAAGCAGATTCCCTGGAGCCATGCTCCTGTGGAAATTGGTTATTCGTATCCATTCCTATTGGCTTTGCATGATACAGCTAAAGGGGTACTTGAAGTGCGAAACACAGAGACACTCTCTTTACTACAATCAATCCCTCTTCCTGCGGCAAATATCTTGCACATACCTCAGCCGAATATAAGCCTTGCACATGCTGGAAAGGGATTCTTGGTTGGCAGCGATCGTACAATCTGGCGTATGGAAGCTTCGAGCTATGATACCCAAGTCGATACACTGGTCGAGAAAGGCTATCTGGACGAGGCCATTAGTCTCCTCGGGATATTGGAAGATGCACTCTTGCGGGACAAGCCAGGTCGACTACGCTCTGCTCAACTTGAGAAAGCCCAGAGCTTGTTTGCGTTGCACAAGTATCGAGATTCTCTAGATTTATTTACAGAGGTTGCGGCCGCTCCCGAAACAGTCATTCGTCTTTATCCTCGCTCCATTGCTGGTGAATTCTCGGCGATCCAAGAGCACGATGGTCAAGACGGATCAGATCCCAGGAGTTCGGACCCAAAGATCAATGGATCTCAAGCTGATGGCTCTGTCGAGCCACAAGCTACAAATGGAGCCAACGGAGGTCATCTTTCATCGCTCTATGCGCCTTCAGTTCAGTCCTTGTTACGAAGGACTGACGAGAGCAGCGAGTCGAGCAGTGTCCGTGATGAAGAAAAAGATTTGAAAAACTCCGTTCGTGAACTTCAGGGCTACCTGGCTGATGTTCGCCGACGTTTTCAAAAATTCTTGGGTCAAGATGGCACTCTCAAAGCTACTGCACCAACTGAAGCTCAAGATGAAGCCAGCGCTTCTGTTTTAAAACTTCTCGATTTCCCAGCACCCGAAGACTTCCTTACGGTGATTCGGTCCAAAGCGCGCCTCGTCGATACCACACTGTTTCGCGCACATATGTATGCAACGCCATCACTTGCGGGGTCTCTGTTCCGTATTGCCAACTTCTGTGACCCGGATGTAGTCATGGAGAGGTTAGAGGAAACCGAACGGTATAACGATTTGATTGATTTCCTCTACGGCAAGAAGCTCCATCGTCAAGCTTTAGAGCTATTACAACGCTTCGGACAAGAAGATTCAGGACCGCTCAGCGGCCCAACACGCACTATCGCCTATCTACAGAACCTTCCCCCCGATCAAATCGACTTGATTGTTGAATTTGCCGAGTGGCCTCTGCAAATTAACCAAGAACTTGGAATGGAGATATTCTTGACTGATACCGAGAATGCCGAAACGCTTCCACGACCGCAAATTTTAGAATTCTTACAGGAGGTCGATGAAAAGCTTGCTGTTCAGTATCTCGAGCATGTCATCAATGAGTGGAATGATATGAGTCCAGATTTACATCAGCGACTTTTGGTCCTATATCTCGACCGCATTACAGCGAACGGAAAGGATATACAAACGAAGGACAAATTCTTGGAAATGCTCAAGGAGAGCGAGCAATATTCACCAGCCAAAATCCTGGACCGACTCAATCGTGAAGGTAAGCCGCAGCACATATTGAAGCTCACAAGTCTTGGAGAGAAATCTAAAATAACTCTACTTTTCAGACCCCGAATTCTACGAGGCTCGAGCGATTGTGTTCAGCAAAATGGGCCAACACCGCCAAGTACTTGAGATCTACGTATTCAACCTTGAGAATCATGAAAAGGCAGAAGAGTAAGTGCATATTTGCGATTTGCGACCCGCTATTCCTTTTGGTCCTTTGCGCTTCTACTAACACATCAACTAGGTACTGCAACCATGTACATCTCGCAGAAACCACAGAAGAAAAAGAACCTGAACAATCCATCTATTTAACCCTGCTGTCGATGTACCTCTCACCACCACATGGATACCCAGCTCAGAATGGTCCTGCATTGGCGGTCCTTACTAAACATGGCTCTCGGCTACCAGCAGATTCAGCTCTGAGATTAATCCCTGCCACACTACCGGTGCAGGAGCTTGAATTCTATTTCAAGGGCCGAATGCGAGCAGCAAATTCCGTGTTCAACGAGGCCCGCATTGTGGCAAGCCTGCGTAAGACTCGTGATATGCAGACCGAAGCCCAACTCACACTCGGTGAGAATATTCGTGGAGGTGGAACCCGAGCCCGGCATGTTACCATCACCGAAGAGCGGATCTGTGGAGTGTGTCACAAACGGTTGGGAGGGAGTGTGATCAATGTGTTTCCCGAGTAAGAAATCCCCGAAAATTGTTGCCAACTTTTTGGTGAATTCGCATACTGACTTCATACCAGTAACACTGTCGTTCATTTGGGCTGCGCAAACCGAGTTGCAAGCATCGAGTCGAAATAGCCATGGGCTGTCCGTATCACATTTGCTTCTTCTTTTTCATTTTTCATTTTCCATTCTTTATTGTCGTTTTTGATCTGCATCATGCAGTGGGGGTTGTATTTTGTTGTTTGATACCCAGTTGTAGCATTATATCATATCATGATCTCGGTCACGCATCATCTTCCACCACTTCCTCGCCGTAGTTTTCCTCCTCCTTAGCTTCCTTCTCTGAGAGTTGGCCTTGAGCCTTTTTATCTTCTTCCATTCGCGCGGTTAAGTAGACATTGATTTCATCCTGGAGCTTAGGGACTTCGGAGCGTAGTGCTGCCAAGTGGGCTTGTTTCGCTGCAAAGGAATCTTGGGAAGCGGGTGGGATTGTAAATTGGAAGGATTTGGTGGCGTCAGGAGCGGTGTAAGTGGCCCGAAGAGGGGATTCGGCAGCCATGATTTAAATTGAAATGGGAACTCTGGGGAAATAGACAGAAAGTATCGTATTGAGAGTTGGTTGAAACTGGAAGAGAAACCTTGACAGATGCAAAGTGGGTGGGGAGGAATGGAAATCGAAAGATCGGCAACAGAGACAATCGCCTAAACCCAAAGGGGGGAGCTTGTTGATCGTAGTTTGAAACTTGAACCCGTTAATCTAGGCATCCAAAACAACCTTGATCAACCTCCGACACTGCCTCCTTTGACCCTATAATTTGGTCTGTTATATATAGATATAATATGGATCATTCACCATGAACCCGGCCACTCGTTCCTCCAACTCGCCGGGTCGGACCCAACGAGGCCCCGCCCCGAGCCATTATCCTCCTCCCCAACAGCCGCCCGCCTTTGACGACGAAGACGAAGACGACGATTCTGACGACGAATTGGCTCGCCCCGGATCTTCCGGTAGTGATGCCTCTTCCAATGTGACCACCGTATCTGCCGCCCCCATTACCCCAATCAATCCTCCAACTGGAGGTGGGTATTTCTCCCCACACCCGCGATCTTCCTCAGCCACCACCTCGCCTCAACACGCCGCCGCTCGAATGCCTCAAGATCGTCGGCCGTCGGGTCGAGGCCCCTCGATAGAGCTACCGAGACACCATAGGTCTCGAGTTCATTCGCAGGGGTTCTTTGAGCCGTCATTGCCCACCGCGTCGTCTGATCAAATACCGCAAGTCTCGGCTTCCCGCATCGCCGCTCAGGCTGCCATGCAACACATGAAGCGACCGGACGATATAAGACGCAGTGGCAGTGCCTCACCTACTCCGCCACCTCCCCCGTTGATGCCAGCGCCTCTCCGAATTAATCAGCCCTCACCGAATGTCGCAACAACAGCAGCCAATGTTGTGTTCCCGCGGGCCGGTGCAGCGTCTCAGTCAGTGGACCAACCAGAAAGCAAGAAGAAGAAAAAGCTGTTCTCAAAACCAAAACATATCGTTCTTAGTCGTGACAAGTCTGACCCTTACTCTCGAGATCGTGGTTTACCTTCTCCGAGTAAGCTTACCGGTGGTCTTTCGCGCATGGTCAGCGCATCTACAACTAGCGTCGCCGATCTACCATCCAACAACTCCTCTATGTACAACCTCTCCAATGCGTCTGTCAGCACCGTCGTGCCCGCGGGAGATAAGCCTCCGCCGCCTCCAGAAAAAGACACCAAAGACAAGGACAAACATAAACATCATTTCTTAACCCGACAAAAGCTTAAACTGAAAGACCGCGCGGAAGAACACTTCAACTTACCTCTCTCCTCGGCGTCCAGTAATTCACGACCCGCCGATCCCAATGCTCCTCAATCGCTCTACTCCTTTACTAGCCCTGCATCTCCGGCACCAGGTGCAACATTCGGGAAGTCAGTGAGTGGCTTAGATTTGCTACATGGCGGACGAGCGCTCCGTGAAAAGAAAAAAGAAGAGAAAGAGAAAGAGAAAGAAAAGGCGCTCGCCGAGTCAGAGCACACTGAATGGCTGGTCAACGCAGCTGTAAATGGCAGCGCTGCCGCTGGGGCTTCATTTACAGGGCCATCGTCCTTGAATAGTTCGTCTGGTGTGATGGGTGAAGCAGTACTTCGAGAGACACTACAAGGATTTGGATTAAACAACATGTCTCCCGAGGATGCATGGGACTTTTTAAAAGCGAAACTACTGGTCATCTTCGATGGCGAGGATGTGCGAATCGCCATTGAGGATCTCAACAAGCTCGTACTGGTGCATTTGCAACGATGCGTACAGAAACGAACCCCGGTCTCTATAATCGCCGATCTTCAAGAACTTCTTGAGACAGGCTTCGCCACTCTCAATCACAGTTCTCTGATCGGAATTCCCGACGAAAAGGTTGTCCCTCATTTGGTCCAAGTGTGGATGTTGGTTTTCGGTACAATTCTACCCTTCATACAAGCCGTTTTCCTCCCATTAGATCTAGAGTTCAAGGGAGTAGGATCATTGATGACATCGCGAGAATCTCGCGACTTCTGGGGCGTACCGCCACAGGGCGGAACCCTCGACGTACGGAATCTAGTACTGATCGCTTTCCGAGATTGCATGATTCTGAACCGCTACGAATCTCTCAAAGCTACTTTCTCCCGACTTAGCCTCGATACCATTAACACCGGCTTCCCAACTCTCAGTGTAACAGCGAAAAGCACCGGCACGGGTGGCCGACCAGGCACGGCAGCATCACTGGACGCAGGATTCGGCAGTTACAATTCCCAATCCTCAACTTTCCTCAGCAATGTTGCAGACAGTTACTCCTCAGACTCAGTGAGTGCTTTGGCTGCTTCAAATGCGAATTATCGGCCAGGAAGTAGCAATTCTCGCAGTCGAGCAACCTCAAACACATCCTCCAATCCGGACCCGATGATTTTCTCATCCATATCCTCCCCTCCGGCCACCTCAACCAAACGTCCAACCATCATCCACCGAGTCGGGTCTGCCGATTCTTCGCACGTCATCACCGAAACAGTCGGCCGCATGCTCCAATGCGTTAGCGTCATCGCCAGTGTGCAAACTGACGATGTCTCGCAAGAACGAATCGATGTCCTCAGCAAAGCACTGAAACACAATTGGCTCGGTCGCGGACGTACAGGCCGCGATCGCCGTGGCTTTGTCGGGGCGAAGATCCGCCCTGTGATGGTTGGTGGAGCTATATCCTCCCTTCCAGACGATGGGGACTCTCTGACAACCGCGGGTATTAGTATCGGGGCTAGTACGAGCACCGGTGGATCTCGAACTCGCGGAGACTCTTCATCATCAGATTGGAGTGGACAAAGTACGGGTATCAGCATGAGGAGTGGAGGAAGGCGGGAATTGAGTGTTCTCTGATGATGTTAGACCTCCTGCTCTGGTTTCTTTTTACGATTATCTCTTCGACCCTTGCCATCCTCTTTCTTCTCTTTTTCTTTTTCTGTTTATGTTTCTTTCTGTTTTTCATGATTTACGATGGCGGGCACTGGTATCGGACCTGGCGTTTTCTGGCAAGGCGGGGGTGTATGGGGTTCCGAGTTACGGTGGATGGATTTCCCTTTCGGTTCAACGAAGACTTCTACAAATTCAATAAACATCACATACTATCAAATTGATTCTATAGAGACCGTAGTATCTACCAGCTGTGTGAACTAGATAGCATTGGCTCCACGTTCGCCTATACTCGAAGCGCGGCTCGGAGCCAGAGTATCCAATTGGGAGATATTAATGCCTAAGGTGTAGACATCTTACACTAACCAGGCAACACCAAACTGAGTTTAAGGCCTCCAGCTCTCTCACCCCTGTAACCGTACACCGTACACCGTACTTCCGACATAACCTTGAAAGAAATGGATAGGGATCATGATATTTGTACGTAAGACTTAGGCTATCCACAGAGCCAAGAAAAAGAGAATTTTAGCTGATAATTTTTACATTTACAAATACTACAGTACATAGTATATAGCAGCTCGGAGATGTCCTAGCGGATCACTTTATCGGAAATGAACCACGGAAAATCCAAAATCAGTGGGACTAATCGAGAACTAGAAATGAAAAATGGAGTGTTAGCGGAGCACGGAAGATATACAAAGCCTTAAAGCGACCCGTATCCCGTCTCGGGAGTTGACCGTATGATCTGCAAAGCTATGTCCAGCTTAGCTGAGCTGACCTTGACCTTGACCCGGAAATGATCGTGTACGTATGCACTGCACTATAAGCAAACTAACATACACAGACATACATACTAGAATCCGGGTATAATTGCAATTATAAGATTGTTGCCAGACCGGTGGCTATTTCCCGCCACCGGAATAACCCCTCAAACCGCAGAATAGAGTACACATATTGCATTTCACGGTTATTTTCAAGGTGAATGTATGACAAAACGCCTCTTTCGTGCCGAGCCACGTTGATAGGACTCCATGATCCTGTCGCATCCTTGTCGCAGATGTGGAGCGGCGGATGATACCGAATCTGTCCAAATCCCCGTGCTGACCATTTAGGAGGGGATGAGAAAGCCGCACACGCACACGTCTTGCTGCTTTGCTTTGCTTGCTTCTGCCCCTGCTTTGCAGTGCTTTGCAGGCAATTGCTAGTGGTAAATAACATGATACAGTCACGGAGATTCAGCCTTTGTACTTCCGTCATTCTTGGCTAAACTGCACCCGTGGACAACTCTGGGGTCCTATTTCTCTCTTCCTTTAACCCTTGACAGGTTCAGGCTCAAGATTATAGTTTTATGTAGTATTTACGCTCCGTCCACCTCGCCAAGAGAGTATGATGTGGATGTGGCTGTCGCAGAGCCTAGATACTGTAGATCATAATCATGATTGACCAGGAGTATATTGGAAAGAGTATCAAGTTCGGATCCGATCTATGTTCAAAGTTTCTATGTCGCCTAGTTCGAGTTCCAATTTTGGAGCCCACGATACAGTAGTTACTAATGCATCTTTGACAGATACAAACTCAAGTCCTGACCCTCGACCTCGACCCAACCTCCTCCTTGACCTGGGTGGGGTTACATCAAAAACGGCCCCCGATAAATAGACACTAAAATCTGCAGACGCGGATAAGCGAGCGGGGGAATTAATGTAAATGACGACTCAATTCGACTTAGAACAGTCAAAGCATCGCAGCCGACCGATTAATGTTTCATAATAACATATGGTTTTATCCGGAGTATCTTTTTCATTCCATATCATCCTATTCTCCATTCTCCATCTGCCGTTCAGCCGGTGGATGTTCGGCACCGACACACGCAACTCACAACGCGGAAAATACAGCAGATCTCATAATTAGGAACCACCGTGGGGGCCATATTATCAAAGGGCCTGAAACCTAATAACATGCACACATGGACAGGTACATCCAGATTGTATGTACCGGCGGACCAGCCAAGAGCAGTATACACTTCAGCAAAGTACATGGAGATAATGCCCAGTGGAAACATGTGGATCCAAGTGGGCGTATTCAGTGAGCAGCCTCAGATCGACCACTGACCATGATGCAAGTGGATTTGAAAGGATTTTAGCCCTGTTCAGTGTTTCCCCATCTCGTGCTTTTACAGGTTGAATCCATGTAGATCTCGTCAGAAAACAATTGTCCGCCGAAACACATCAGGGATGCAACGAGGCAGAACGCGGCCTAGGAAATTCCTTCTGCGCAAGTTTCTGGGCTGGAAGGATTCCCTGCAACAATTTCCACGCGAGTGGTTGGTTGCGCTAGGAATTATGATTTTAAAATTATATTATTGTTTTGGTACTTATTGCTAAATATTTTGTATTTTATTCGATTTTATTACTGTCCATTCGGGCTTGGTGTGCATTTTAGTACGTCACAGGTTTCCTTAGCTGCTGTTTACTCGCTATTATCCCATTTATTATTATTATTCTTATTCACATCCCCTAAGCACCTTCTTTTCCTTCCTTCCTTCCTTCTTCCTCAAGGCTTCCTTTGTCATCTACGCCGTCGGATGTACCAGGGTCTCTTCCCATAGCGGTACAATTGAATCGCAATGGAGTCCCCGACCTCTAAAATCCCATACTGGCGCATGATTTTCGACCAAAACGCATTTACCCAAGATGTTATCGATCACCATCACGAAGGGTCCGGAACAGAGGAGGATCCATACCAGGTAACATGGTTAAATGAAGATGCGCGCGATCCAATGAACTACTCGACCATCCATAAATGCTGGATTACAATTCTAGTCGGTATGTCTACGCTAGCGTCGGCGCTGACCTCCTCTGCCTACTCGGGGAGTTTGGTTGAGATTATGAAACACTTCACTATCGGTGAGGAGGTTTCAATCGTTGGTATTTCGTTGTTTGTGTTGGGTTTCGCAGTTGGTCCGTTACTATGGGCTCCGCTGAGTGAACTATACGGTCGACGACATGTTATGAATGCCTCGGCGTTGGGACTAACTGCTTTCACGGCTGGATGTGCTGGTGCACAGAATATCGAGACATTGCTCATTCTTCGATTCTTCGCTGGATCGATGGGTGCTGCGCCATTTGCTGTATCTGGTGGTGTTATCGCTGATACTTTCGATATTAAGACGCGTGGACTCGCTAGTGGATTGTACTGCGCTGCACCTTTCTTAGGTCCCTGCCTGGGTCCTTTTGTAGGTGGTTTTTTGTCTGAGAACTCGGGTTGGCGATGGGTTGAAGGTCTGGTCGCTATTGTCTCTGGAATCTTGGGAATAATCACCTTTTTCTTCTTGCCTGAGACCTACGCACCGGTGTTGCTGAGGAGGCGTGCTGCTGTTCTTTCTGCTCAGACTGGTAAGGTATACAAGAGTAAGGTTGAACTTACCCAGGGCAAACAGAGTCCTGGTGCTCTGTTCAAGACTACTCTATCGAGACCGTGGGTTCTTCTCTTCGCCGAGCCTATTGTTCTTCTATTGTCGATATATCTTTCCATTATTTACGGAATGTAAGTGCCGAGCCAAGTCCAACATGAAAACCGAAAAAAAAGGAAAATTGGAAAAAAGAAGCATCAATCTAACCGATTTTTAGTCTATACATGCTCTTCGCAGCTATGCCAATCGTCTTCCAAGAAAAGCGCGGCTGGAGCGAAGGTCTGGGCGGTCTCTCCTTCATGGGTCTAACAATCGGCATCGTCTTCTCAACACTAGCCACCTTCCCCATGCACTCCGCCTACACCAAAACAACAATCGCCGCAAAGGGCGCCCGCGTACCCCCCGAAGCCCGTCTCCCCGGCGCAATGATCGGCGCCATCTGTCTCCCAATCGGACTATTCTGGTTCGCCTGGACCAACTACCCCCACATCCACTGGATGGCTCCCATAGCCGCAGGTGTCCCCATGGGATTCGGAATGGTGATGGTCTTCCTGCCTGTCCTGAACTACCTAATCGACTCATACACCATCTTCGCCGCATCAGTACTCGCCGCAAACGTATCGATGAGATCACTCTTCGGAGCTGCATTCCCCCTCTTCACGAAGGCTATGTATGATAATCTCGGTATTCACTGGGCTTCGTCTATTCCTGCTTTCTTAGCGGTTGCTTGTATGCCCATGCCGTTTTTGTTCTATAAATATGGTCCTGCTATTCGTGCGCGTGGTCCTTTTGCTTCTGCCTCTGATAAGTTTATGGAGAAGCTTTATGCTAGTGGAGCTGCTGCGGCTACGGCTGCTGCTGCGGCTGCTGCGAAGAAGAAGGAAGAGGAGAGCAGTCAGGCGCAAACTGATGAGGGTCTTTCTGGGGGTGAGGCTGAGACTGAGGCTGCTAAGGATACTGAAAGTACAGATATTGAGGTTGAACCTAAGGAGACGCAGACAGAGACACAGAATGAGGTTACAAGGGAAGCTCACAATGAGACTACTCAGAATACTCACATCACCGAGACTACCGAGACTACCGAGAATGTGGTGGTAAACAGTGGTTCTGAGACTGATGTCCCGCATGTTGAGGCTAAGTCTCAATGATGAACTGAGTTATTTCCGGAGATCTTGAAAAAGGCCCGGGGTATTTCTTAATTTAATCACTTATACGAGTTTGTAAAGTCCTGCGAACTGTTATTGCCAGGCATTCATGCACATTTAAAATAATAGAAGTACGAATTGATGCCCATCATATTATGATTGAAAGTTGTTCGTGAGTATGCTCAAGCAGTGTGTACAATGTAGGAAAACAAGAGACTTAGATCAAAGGACTTGAGATTTATTAGAATTCGAAGAACTTACATCTTAAAACAAATTGTTTGTTGTACAGTGAATGCCGATTTCCACCCTTCCCTAAACTCCCAAGTGACATTAAACACCAACATCCCCTAATAACGTACAATTCTGCCCATAGTTCTGAAAAGATAGAATCGACCTCTAACACCATGAAGATGAACCAATCTTGAGCCCAGATTAATGCCAAAGACACCACAAAGACCTTGGCAGTAGATAGCTTGATAGCCCCATAGCTCAACAACTTATGCAAACATTTGTGCCATTCACAGACTCATATGAGCTATATCCTTCGCATCCGGATCTCCCAGCTCTATCTTTCCGTTTGTATTCTCATCGGCAATCGCACCCATGCTAAAAGGATTGAACTGGGGAAGACCTCCCATGGCACCTACGTATACCATTTAGCATAAGCACATCACAGCCAAAGAAGGACAGAAAGAAAAAGAGAGATACATACCACCTTCAAAGCCCGGGTCCTCGTGAGGAATATCTCCCAAAGCTTTCTTAATTCCCCAATAGCGACTCTGCAACGCAGATCGCGTGTGCCCATGATTGGTTAGCTTGTTGTAGCTCTTTTCAATCATCTCCCAGGTGCCGCCAGCATTCTTCAGTTCAAACAGCAAAACATCTGCACCAGAGGCAGCGGCCCAAGTCTTCGGATACGGAATCCGCAATCCGATAGACCTATCCGTCCTGTTGGGTGTAGGGGTTCCATGACTAGATGCGGTCAAAACAGGTGATCCTGGGGTTACAGGAGAACTGGATTTGGCATTTTTTCCAACAGAAGTCTTTCGAACTCTAGGTGGAGTCTTGTATGCGTGCTTCGTGGCAGATGAACCGCGCGCGTTATGTGGAGATTTATTTACGGAGTGAGAAGAGCCGGCTGCTGAATTAGGGCATGACTTTTTCGGAGTTGGAGTCCATATTTCAATCTCCAAATTTGTTTGGGTGGGGCGTTTATTCGGGGTTGAGGGTGCGGTGACCTCTTGCGTGCTGCCTGCGAGCTGGGTGCCTAGGAGTTGAAGAAGGTCTTTTGGGTTTTTGGATACGGCGCGCCTTTGCTGTGCGATGCGAGGGGGGGGAGTTCGGTTGAGTTCATTGGTGCTATTGGGGTTTTTGAGGTTTTTGGTGGCATTGAGCCCATTTGTGCCATTGACTGCATTGGTACTGTTGACTGCATTGGTACTGTTGATCGCCTCGGTCCAGTTGATCCCATCGATCCAGTTTATCGTATCGGTCCAATTGAGCCCATAGGCAGTGTTGAACCCATTCAAACTATTGATGCCATTGGTAGTATCGGTGTCATTGATCATGATGGTATTGTTCAGCCCATAGGCAGTGTTGATCGGATTGGCATTGTTGATACCCTGATATGACATGGGATGGCTGCTCAAGATCATTTCCTCGGATCCTGGATTCGGCTGAAGCTTTGCAAATGGCCGCGGGCTGAATACATCAAACTCCTGCATCTATTTTATATCAGCAAAGTTCTCGTGTTATGAATTTTTGGGATCTTGATTACCTGTTGTAACATGGCAGTGTTTCCTTTGACTCCATGTTCCGATTCCAAGTGGGCGTGGACTGACCTATCGAACCTCTGCACAGCATGTTGAACAGACTCATAGTTCGGGTGTTGCCTTGCGAGTTGGAAATCCTTCTCTGCCTCTGGCAAGTTCGGAGGTGGATCGAGGGCAGTAATGGAAGACGGCACAGGTGAGTTAGGTCGAATATGTGGCAAGCCAAGCATAGCATCCAAATCATCCATTGAGATTGGACCTAGGTCAGCAAGCTCCTCATCTGTAAGAAGGGGAACTGGAGATAGCTCCAGAGAACAATCAAAGACATCAAATGCTGGGTGCTCATCGGAAATCGGCAAGAAACCACAAGGGTTGTACTCGGCCATTTTGACAATTTCGGAAGAACCGAGTTCAACCCAATCGCAGGGAAACTGGATGAAAAGTACAATAAGATTGAAGGAAAAATGGACGCATGGAGTGGTCGTTGATGTGTTGTTGATTTTTTGTTATTGTTGTGGAGGAAGATGAGAGAAGACAAAGTGAGAGTTGCGTATGGAGCGGGATTGGGATTATTTACCTCAACTCTTTACATGTAAACAATCCATGGATGCCTACACAACAACAGTTAATACTAATATAACATTTCTCCTAAATAATCATAGCTCACTCTCCAGAGTTATCAATTAGTTTTTTAAGACGTTCATCATGAGAATGCTTCCCCATCATGTCCCTCTTCCAGTCCCTCCACTCCGTGTTCCTCTCAACTCCAAATACAGCCCATATACCTCCTATCAACAACAATGTCTCTTCCCAAGGAGGATCAACGTCAAGCCCAAAGAATAATCTTCGGAGTTTCTCGTCTTTGCTCATGAGATCAGCCAGCCCAGGCTCTCCCTCTTCCCTTAAGAAGTGAGCCAATGCGAGAACATGAACCGTGAGAGATGACCACCCATCATAGATAGCACCCATGTCTGCTGTTACTAGTGATGGCCCAAAGGATTCCCTAGCAGGAACAGTTCGAGTCATTCGCCAACAAATAATACCGGTAATGTTGAGATCATCATCCACCATTAGATGATCACCTTTATCATCCACATGCTTGAGATAGAATTGCTCTGTTGCGTGTGCATTTTCTACAAGAACCTGGATTTGGTCGTTCAAATACAGAATTACCAAATACACATTGACAGGGTAAGATGGAAAGAGTTGACCATCCGCAATAAGTGCCATATTTTGCTCCACATATGAAGCATAGTAGTACTTAGCTGTACTGAAAGGCCCGGAAGGACTTAGTACAAGGAAACGTTCACTAGCAAGCGCAGAGATTCCTGACTCCGAACATCCTGGCAAAAGAGGCCCGATTCGAGAAAAAGAATGGCGACTGAGCTCGATCAGAATATACGCTAAGCCATTCCACACCTTCTTCTTGTCCTCGTCATCTGCAAATCTCTTCCCCCGTGGTCCTTGTCCGTTCCAGGGTTTGCCAGGCATTTGTTCCATGAGAATATAGCTTACATCCACACTGTTGCTGTCAGTAGAGACACCAAAATCATATACACGGGGAGCAGGTACCTTGGTCATCTCAAGAAATTTCAGTGCAGCATATTCGCTACAAATAAGATAGTCAACGAGGGATTGCGGTATACAGCCATTCATTCGGGGCACTCGAATAAGCCAGACAGAGTTATTGGAAAATCGAATACGAGCATGATAGTTGGCACATCCCGTAAGAGCCCCCTTTCCCCATGCCGGTGTGTGTTCAATCTTGCATCCAACACCGCCACTTAGTTCAGAGGCGCGCTCGCAAAGATGCTTTTCATTGATTTTTGCGCGAAGAGAATTTACTTCAGCATGTACATTGGCTTCAAATGCATCATTTGGAAGGACTAGTAACAGTCAGATTAATTATCGTAGCAGATAATATAGTACCTGGTCGTCGCATGTGTGCGACGGTGGGCCACGATGGCCTAAGCAGAATTGGCGGTTACATCTCTCGCACCGAACCCCTCGGATACATGGGAGGTCGCAACTCTTGATATTACAAGTAAAAAGTCTATCAAGCATAGAAACCATTGTGATTTTGTTAGTTTGAAATAATGAGAGGCGTTTCCTAATAGGGGGTTATACGCCGTAAATAGGAATCCAATCGATCATCGGGGAGAACCCCGGCTTTTTCTATCCATCTGGTGAGTTTGTATTGACAAACATGAGTTGGCCAATAGCATAGACCCTAGAAGCGCCACGGTGACATGCACGAGCCGCAGAGCCCCATGAATGTGGGCCCCTTTACTAGCGCTTGAAATAAAAGCCAATGAACTTGATGGGAGCAACAACATGATACATAAGTATTGGCTGCAAAAGTAGTTGGGCCTGAGCACGCGTCGTATTAATGCATGTTAGTCACCGCAAAAGTACTTCTTGCAGGGATGAAGGGCTCTGGGCACCTGGTGATCCTAGAATCTTCTCTAGTCAGATTTGTCCAGGGAAACGCGACTTTCAGGAAACTGGAGCAAACCCTTTGCAACATCACTGCTTTGTATAGGTAATCTAGCACAAGTCGGCATTTTCGCAGTAAATTCGAACAGTTGAATCCCTATAATTCGAATTCGAATACTGTATTCTAGGTGCTCGAGCTGTCTGATTATGGACGAATCAGGAGGCATTGCTTGGCAACCCTTGTCAGAGGAGTATCATTTACCTGAATCTACATTATGACTTCTCTCAAATGTTTCCGTGCTGCTAGCCACCCTGACACAATGGATACTGTTCTCTGCTGAAGAGAAGGCCAAAGAAAAATGACGGACGCCGAGGACACCGAAGATAAGAGTTTACAGGTTAAACTAAAGCCTCGCAACTTGCTAACGACCGTGATCACATACTCCACTGCAGTGAAAGAAGACCATAATGTTCTTCATGAACTTAGCTACCCAGCCAAGAGAGTTCAATTTTACAATCCTTTATTTCGACACAGAAAGCTGATCAGAGCGCTCGTCGGTCGCCATCTCGGTCTGAATTCTACGTACTCATGTCACCTTGCGCATACAAATGAGCGGTTACATGGAAGCTTTAACCTCTGCATCCACGTGGATGTACATGGGAAAGACAATGAGTTAAAGCAACAAGTGATGATTCGATTCCCCTTACCATATCGGATCGGGGAAGGCCCCTGTCCTGGAAATTCGGATGAAAAGATTCGCTGTGAAGCTGGTACATATTGAAGAGGGGAAATAGGCCTATATCGGAATACTAGTCAGAAAAACCCACAGTAAAACATCAATATCTCTTCCCGGTCCACACAGGATGTGATGAGGTGCCTACGATCTGCCAGAATAGAGCAGGTGCGAAGAACAACGAATAACAACATTGAGGAAAGGGAAAGAAGAGAGAGAGCTATGCTATATACATGTAGGCGGATACCACTCTCCAGGCTAATTATCGAAAGATTAACTCGATACTTATTTAATAGTTTTATATAGTAAAATAGTTAATTTCGATTTAGGAAATATCGGTTCTCTTTATCCTAAGTATCTCTTTCTACCCAGCCCAGAGTATTAGTATTCAAAAGCAATTGTATCAATAGGATAATTAGACAATAATTATATATATATATATTGTATACAACCGGTATATATACTTTTACTAGCTAAGCTAATCACCCTTCTCCTACTAGTATATATCGCACAGCAGGTCGATCCGTAGATTATAGTCGGGCAGTGTGCCACTTGTAGCAATTTACGCCTTGGTATGATAAAAAAGCTACCTTGCTTGGTTGGAGTTATCCAGCGACTACGTTCGTTGGTGTGATCTAAGCTGCGGTATTATATACGTAGAAACGTCGTGGCCGACGCTGATAGGCTTCAATAGCCCTCTTATCGTTGGCTTCTCAACACGCAAGGGTGCGGGGTAATGAGGCTCAATCCTGCCTTGGTAGAAGGCATAATAATAGTTGTCCACTGACTGCAGTAGGCAATAATTACAAATGGAAGCAGTTGTAACGATATCATCAATATTTGCGATTTATAACCATTTTGGACAACATCGCAAATACTTGCAGCACCTTACGCGTGACCTCCGAATTGTGCAGGAACGAGGTCAATCTCCTCGCAGACGAGGCGTTTTCTTGCCAGAGCCTGTTTGGGATATTCTTTCATGTAATCCGCACTCTGCGGAGGTGACCGAACCCATCAATTTTAATTATGTCATAAGTAATCAAGGTCCCTTTGGTCGACCGACAGTCGTCGTAAACGCCGCCCGTAACGGACATTCTCGCCCAAAACTATGGCTCACTGCACTTTGGTGATGCCCAAACCATGTCTGGCTATTTATCCCCCAAAGAAGACACTAGTCACCACGCCAGACCCACGCAAATTGTGGCAAACGATCATTGGACTGGAATCATGCTATATTATAAATCCCTTGTTTGAAAGGAACAGTTACTGCAGGCCCCGATTTTACTTGCGTCGCACCGATATCTTCATTTCATCAACTACACAAATTACTTCGACCGCTCATTTTGACGGAGAGTCATGTATGTTGTTTATAAAGGCCGGGTAGATAGACCAACCATTTTTTCATCCTGGTGAGCTATTTTTTTTCGAGGTTTGCGCGGCGCCATTGATTTTATTCACAATTCTTTTCCTCCTCTTAGGGCATCCGTACACCCCCGAGTGACAGGACTACGTGGCGCAGACTTCACAGAGGTAAAGAATTTAGAGGAAGCGCGGAATTCTATGAAGTCAAAGGGAATTGAAGGATACGACGAGATCGTGAGGTGGGCAGTCAAAAGAACTGATGCGAGGCCTCGGGGAAGATTCTATGCTGTCGCGCTTGGCGACAGAACTGGAATTTTTAAAGACTGGAAGTACGAACTTCTTCTCAACTCCTTTTATCGTGGACTGACATCAAACAGAGAAGTCGAAGATGCAACAAAAGGAGTCAAGTATGCGTGTCAACAGTGTTTTGATACCGAGTACGAAGCGAGAGAATTTATTGACGATTGGAATGAGGCATTTGCCGATATTTGGCACCATGAAATAAAAAGTGGATTGAAAGATGGATGGAGGGCAAGAAGTCTCAGTCTGAATTTGGCTTCGGTCTTGGTGAAGGAAAACCATGAGCCCAGTACAGAGACCGATATGGTCTCTAAATTTGAACGACTCGAAGTTACAAATTAGCAGAATGAATATCAGGTTCATTTGTCTCAACCGGTAATTCATAAGAAGTCCGTTTCATTCTCTTCTACATCAGAAGAAAATAATGCATAACCCGTTATTCTATCCGAACAAAAGCAAGTATTTTCGAAATTTACCGCATTCGACTTCAATTCGCTAAAAGGGGTTTGCCCATTTGGAGCCAAAGAGACTTAGACGCGGAATGCTTTGCTGCCTTCTTGGAATTGGCCTCCGCATAAGATTGGAGATCCTTGTATTGAACCGTAGCCCCCCACCTGGGGGGTTCAAGTACTATTCGCTTCAAAGTATACCGAGGCAGGTAAGACTCTGTATCTCCCATCTCTTTCAAAGCAGTTGTGTAGATAAAGTCATCGTAGGTCTGTTGCGTCTTTTGAAGTTCATCGGAGGACTGATAGAAATCACTTCGAGTAGAACTTGTCTCCTCAGAGTCTCTATTGTTACCGTTATGTTGATCATAGTGGCTTTCATCTCCGAAGACGTCTCCTATCATGTTTGTAGAGCTTCGATGTGATGTTGTGGTCTTCCATATTTCCGCATGGCATCTATTCAGGTGCCCGTAAAGAAGACCCTGGGCTTGGTTCAAAAGGCTGGAGGGTTGGTGAGGGTTTTGAGTGCTCTGAATAACAAGAACACCAATCTTGAGGTAGAATTGTAGCGCCGCTGGCTCTGGGCCTTCCAGGGGCAATAATTCGCAGCCAAGCTCCTTAAGCATCTCATCATATGGTAACAGTTCTATCATTGTAATTCGCCGAATCACCTCTTTTTTTCTTAGCTTCAAGTCAAAATGTATTGAATGAATCTTACCTTAAGTGAAGATACATCGATCAGATGCGGTAGGTTGAAGTGCATCCAGATGCTTATCTGGAACTTAGCCCATTCCAGACCTAGAAGATGAACTAATTGACATTAGGAAACGAATGCGGTGATGAGAGCTCATGAACCCACATCTTTCTTCCGAGAAATTAGACATTGCAAATTCGATTGGGATTTTGCAAGTTAGAACTTCTCATTGATGAACCCGGGGCATTAAATGGAAAGTCTCTCAGACTTGTTATTGCCTTTGTTGTGTCACATTCGAGAGGGGATGTTTTCCTGGCCCGAAATGAAGCGTGAGAATTGTGTTAGCGAGTCAGCTGAACGCCAGTTAGGCCTCCAAGGCAGACTACCATTGTAGTCTAGATTGCTTCTGCCCTAAATTTAGGTTTCAATTTGCATATTATTGGCTCAGTCAAGCAACGAGCCGCATCGATTAGGTATCATTGCATGTGGTCATCATCAGGTCTAGGTAACTTATGCAGAATATGCCTTGGTCCTGACCTCTTCTAGGAGGCTGAGTCCAGAGAAAATCGGTAATCGGGTGTGCTTTTGTGGTCGCACATCTTCATTGAATTGCTATAAGAATCTCTAGAGCCCCACCATCGTGCAAACCACAGGAAGAATGGCCAAGCTTCATTATTACATTCAAAGGCTCAGAAAGTTCGCACGAGCAACGCCGGACCAAGACTGTGAAGATTCAAATATCCTGGTGATTGATAGTTCGAAAATCAATATGGCCCCCCAACGTGTTAATGTGCCCGCCTCGTGCGAGCTTGAAGCAGTTGAGATGCCAAAAGTCTTCGAGATGGACGGCTTCATTTATTTTTACGATGAAGGCAAGTATAATGGACTAGTACTATACCAACTGGATGTTCATACTGACTCTTTTATCAGACATGGCCACTCCGGCACAGGCCCTTCAGGCGCAGGCCACTCTGGCGCAGGCCTCTCCGGCGCAGGCCACTCCGGCGCAGGACACGGCACAGGCCACCCCGGCGCAGGCCACTCAGGCGCAAGCCACTCAGGTGCAGGCCACTCAGGCGCAAGCCACTCAGGCGCAAGCCACTCAGGCGCAGGACACGGCACAGGCCACCCCGGCGCAGGCCACTCAGGCGCAAGCCACTCAGGTGCAGGCCACTCTGGCGCAGGACACCCCGGCACAGGCCCTTCAGGCGCAGGCCACTCAGGCGCAGGCCACTCAGGCGCAAGCCACTCAGGCGCAGGCCACTCTGGCGCAGGACACCCCGGCACAGGCCCTTCAGGCGCAGGCCACTCCGGCGCAGGACACGGCACAGGCCACCCCGGCGCAGGCCACTCAGGTGCAGGCCTCTCAGGTGCAGGCCACTCTGGCGCATGCCACTCGGGTGTATCCTGAAACTGGAAAAAATCATCAGCCATCTCCCTCCCAACTTTTTGAATACCATCGAAGCGAAACAGAGATCGATGACCATGTTTACACAAGCGCTTTGAAAGAAACGGGAGATGCAGAATCTTGCGTGCCTCGGTATACTTTGAAGCGAAAAGTACTTGAACCCCCCAGGTGGGGGGCTACGGTTCAATACAAGGATCTCCATTCTTATGCGGAGGCCAATTCCAAGAAGGCAGCAAAGCATTCTGCCTCTAAATCTCTCTGGTTACAGATGGGCAGAGGGTTTATTGGCAACGATTATGGTTATATCTAAGTTTGGCTTGTCTTTTGTGGCTAATAACTGCTTTAAACTGAATTATTTATTCTTTGAGAGGCTTGCTAGCCGCAAAATGAAGTTTCGAATTTCTAGTCTTTTGTAATCGGCTCTTTCGAAAAAAATATATTCATTCTGCCTTTCGTCTATAGTATCATCGGTTTGTTTTTCCTACCAGGTCTGTGAGATCAGTCACTGAATAAACGAATATATTTCCTGTTTGCCATCGCCTTGGTACAGCTGATTGGCTATTTTCAATGTTCTTGATGGTCCTTATTATACAGTCGTTGTGTTACTTATGCACGGGCGTGAGGCAGTGCAAATAGTTTCATACAGCTAAACAATTTGGAAGGCTGTCTTTTACGCTGATTGACTCATTAGGCTCTCGTATGATGGGTTCTATTGTCACTGAGCTTTTGAGCCTCAAAGCCCATATCTCTGGATACCTAGGGCATGGAAATATGAATGAAAAGATCTAAGATGTGTATTCGCTTGCGAGGCGTCTGGCCCACTGCACTCCGCAAGTCCCGTAAGCCCGCTCACTCTGACCGTGGCTGGATACCGCTGGCTCACAGCCAACAAAAATAAAATAGGACAACTCAGCGATTCAAACCCAGCACGAGGAGATGGTTTGTGGCACCAGCCTGAACAGGCAGCTTCTTTCAAAAACTGGATTGTCTTACGTTGTGCATCCACTACGATCGTTGTGCATGGGCATGGTGTGATGCAAGCTGCGGCACTATGCATGTAGGAATGTCGTGGGCTACGGTGATAGGCTTCTTAGGCCCTCTTATCGTTGGCTTCTCTACCAAGGCAGGATTGAGCCTCATAACCCCGCATCCTTGCGTGTTGAAGGCATAATAATGACTTGGTTAACTGACTGAAGTAGGCAACGTTTACAATGAAAGCCGTTGAAGCGGTATCATCAATATTCGCGATCTATAACCAAATTTCCCAAGCAGCTTTCGCTTTTGGACAAATCAAGAGACTAATACGTCTGAAGATGTTGAAAATGGTGGTGATGTTTGAGATGGAGCAAAGAAATATGTGCTTATGTGTCTTGATGGCGAGAGATATGATTCAATACCTGATAATAAACATTCAGCTGCTGCTTTGTGTTGATTCAGCATTTAATGCCTTGTAAACGAGAAATGCGGTGAATCCTCCTAGTCAGCCCCTTCTCCTCTTATTGAAAGGTTCTTTCCGAGGGCTGATTACTTTCATAGGCGGTCAGGTGGTTATCGTGTCAACAACGCGGGGAACCACCCACAACCCCCCCTTCGACTGATAAAGCCCATTGCAACCGTTACCGATTTCGGCCAAACTGATTGATCCAAGATCTCGTGCTGTTCTAGTAAAAACAAGGCTCCCTTCTATTTTCATTTACATCTACAGATTCATCAAGGGAATCGAGGCAAAACCCTACCGGCCGTCCGAAAAATGGTGGATTCTCTTATTGCCGCTGCTTCCTTGACTGCTATCATTAAAGACTTTAATAGATTTATGTCTTTTAAATTCTTTTAACTATATCTAGATATTTTAGTAAAGAATAAGATTTCCTATAATATTAATAGACTAAAGGACTAAAAGAAATATTTATTTAACTAAAATAGGAAAATTTTCTTTTTCTAGTATCTATTATATTCTAAACTTTCTACTACCCTTTTGTAATGGTTACTAAGTTGTCAGGCTAGAGACCTGTGACTAGGCAAGGATATCGGATAGTAGAGATCATGATACACAGACTGATTCTTGTCGAACAAGAATCGTAGCTATCGTTCGTGCGTTTTTATATTGCTAGGGCTTAGGGCCGTCATGCATAAGCGGGTGTATCGAGGTAGATATGCCCGCGGAGCGGCCATGAATCGGCCCGAGTCGTACCCGAGGGGATTCAGGAATCCCGTGACAAAATAGGCCTATATCGGAATACTAGTCAGAAAAACCTACGGCAAAACATTGATATCTTTCCCCAGTCCACACAGGAAATCAGAGAAATCAGAATCGCAGGACGTGATCAAAGAGTATAAGAAGTGTGTATTCCGTAGAACTAATTGTAACGCGATACTATATAACTACAAGAAACAAAAACATTGATAAATCCGCGACTGTAATGGTCACTTCTGATTGGGTGGAGGTTTTCCCCACTACAATATGCATGGCTCCAAGAAAATTGCCATGATATGTGTGATGAGGTGCCTATGATCTACCAGAATGGAGAAGGCGCGAAGAACAACGAATAACAACGTTGAGGAAAGGGAAAGAAGAGAGAGAGCTATGCTACATACATATAGGCGGATGCCACTCTCCAGGCCAATCATCTGATTGGTCTACATCCGAGAGTGGGTCAAACCGCACAAACGTGCAGACAGTGCAAACATACCCGTCCCGAGTCTCCTCCATGTAGTTATATGTCGGATAGGGGCGAACGCGTATGAACTAGTATAACTGGATACCATTCAGAGAGGGTTGTTTTATCTAGGTGCTCGATCGAGTTGAGCGATCTTGCCTGATTCGTATAGGCTAGTTGTATAGCCCATACGTACGCTTACGTGCGCTTTATATACAAAAACAGTAATATAGGATCTTAGTACGCGCTGATGTGAAGGGCTAAAGCAGAATTTATGTTTAATTAAGCTAGGCCACGTACTATGTATAAAAAGCTTAAAGAGAGAATTACTAAGTAGGTGTTCTACGTGTTAGGTTGTTATAGTTATATATACTACATGACCTTATACCAGGTATTGGCCTATAACAGTATCCCCCCTTTAGGGTAGTCCTCCTTGTGTATATTATAGTTGTATTCGGTCGTCTTCGGGCCTATAATAGAGTCGAAACGGGGCCGAATCGTCTTTCAAAGGTACCTAATATAGAGCAATCTCAAATATTGCTAAGGCTCTACTAGGTCTATTCCACCTAATCTATCTATTTTACTAGGGCTTTATTATAGTATCCTTAACTGACTTTCTTATGTCTTATATCTATTATTTTTTCTACTTTATACTTAAGTTCCTTATTAACTAGTATTAGTAGGAAATATAAATTATCTATAATCTATAATAGAAATGGGTCTAAAGCGATAGGTCTAACTAACTCTATATAGAATATTAGATAGATACTAATAGATATCTCTAATTATACTATATAAGATATAGAGATATCTAAAACTTAATATTAGATATATAGCTAGTCTAGCTTCTTTAATTATTATTATATATATATATTCTATAAATTTAGCTATATCTAATCATTTTTCTTATAGACTAGTATAGTTTGTTATTACTTATTTAATTACTCTTTCTATAGAGTTTATATAGAAGTAATTATAGCTTGGGCCTAATTAGTAGCTTCTTATAGTTAATTTATAAATGTTTCGCCTATGATTCCTGGTTATATATAGGTTTTATAAGGTTCCTTTATCTCTTCTATTTTAATAAGATTAATATAGTAACTATATATAAAGAAGAAGGGGGATAATCCTGTTGCACTAGTATTATAGTTATTAATTACTATAGTAACAATAGGGAGTAGTATATTCTAATTATTTTATATATAGGTTATGAATATATATAAGATTTATTCAACTTCTTAGTTTATATACTCTATAGTACTATTAGATTATAGATAGAAAGTAGTCAATAGTTAATATTAAATTAATAGCTTCTTATATACTATTCGCTAGAATATACCTATAAATTAGGATCTATAATTATTTATAACTACTTATAGTAACCTATAGTATATATAAAAGTAAATAAAGAATATATCTACTATTTTCTTAGTGGTTATCTCTACTATACTTATAAGAATTATACTTTTTATAAGCTGGTTTATAATTACTATTAAATTTATTATATCTATATATACTATTGGGGGTAGTTCTACAATAAAATCTATAGATAATTCTACCTATATTCACTATAGAATCAGTAGTGGTTTTAGTAGTCTATACTTTATATTGTGCTATATAATACTATAGCTATAAACTATATAGTTTTATAAGAAATATTATATATCTTTTACTACTCTTAGCTAGAAGAATCTCTATAATAGTATTATATAGATAGTATCTTAATTAGGATATACTATAATATAAGAGTTATAGATCTTTTATATAATCCCTATATATAGTATCTTATTATCTAGGATCTATATCTATTACTTAAAACAAAATAGCCCTTATTTATCTAGATAGTACTCTAATAGGCTTATTTTTATATTTACTTTAATAGCAATTCACTAATCTCCCTTTTCTAAGACTTTATATATCTTCTAATACTCTAGATCAGTAGATCTTATATTCTTCTATTCTTATTATAGTATAGACTCCTTAAATAAGAATATTTCTTTTTTAAAGTTAATTCTCTCTACTACTAGTAGATTAGGTTATCCTATCTTAATCTATACCTTTTTTAGTAGGGTTTAGAACTAATTCGATAGCCTTTTATCTATAATATACTATAGGATATCTTAGCTTTACTATAAAAGTATATTAAGTCTTATAGTAAGCTTCCTAAAATAATACTTTAGTTTATAGTTAAACTCTATAAGGATATCTATCTATCTTATTTATTATTTATTTAGATATTATACTTTACTAAAGTATCATAGGTTTTTATAGTCTATTATAATAGTAAATTAAAATACTATCTTTAATTCTAGTCTCTACTCTTAGAAAATATATATAATCACTAGCAGCTCTTTATTATAAATCTTATAATTTAACTCTACTAGTAATAGTTTCTAGGAGAGATAGGTATATAAATATAGCTACTTATCTAGCCTATATTATAATAAGATAGCTCTTATAGTCTATCCTAATATATCTACCTCAATAATAGTTTTCTTATCCTCTTTAAAATATACTAGAATTAGGGTATTAATAAAAAGGCTCTTTAATTCTTTAAATACTTATTAATAGTTATTATCCTATATAAATTAGGTATCTTTTCTTATTAATTTCATTAAGAGTACTAAGAGATTAGCAAATTAAGATATAAACA